TTGTTTGATGGGAAATACATTGCGTTGTTGTCTAGGTACCAAGGGCATAAAGTGACTGCCCATTGGAGTTCACAAGACAAATAATCAGGGCCTTCGATTACTGCCTGTTGTTGATAACTTAGCCGGCCTCTCGGGCTAAAATTATACACAATCCACTCTATTTTGGCTACCGCTGAATACACATCGACTTGCGGATACATAGAGAAGAAATGAGACCTGCAAGTTGTTGGAACTCTGCACTTATAAGCACCATATCGGATCTCGCCGCTGTAGTTGCACGAGTCAGCCCTATGGATCTCCAAATGACTCGCAGCCCCCGACCCTTGCGGGTAGTTGGGCATACCAAGACCGAGTTCCCGAGCGGGCGAGGACTTGGGATCGGAATGCCACGATGGCAACTGGGTCCAACCCCTTATAAGACCACTTGCGGAACGGATCTAAGCGGATAAGCGTAAATTTTAGGAAAGAAATGGCACGAGGTGCCCATAGTTGCATGTGGTGGGCAGCACATTTGGAAATGCAGCCGGAGGTCCGTGTGATGGGTAAACATTGGCACTTTGATAAGGGGCTGCTCCTGGATATCACGACAATGTGCACCATTTGAAGAAGGAGAAGCAAACCTACAGTTTCAAAATATAAGGAAACTCCAATTCCAGCTTGCCTTGTAACAAGAAAACATGAAAATAATAGTCGGACCTCAATCAGCACTGAGAACTTTTAGCGAATAATTGTAGATATGAACTCTATGTCGTCTGAGTCTCTATCATACTGCAGTAGTGCTGTGCAAAAGAAACAACAATGAAGCTCTTAGCAAACCTGCTCACCACCTGCTTGTTTTCATGACTCGAGATGCCTGGTCTGGAGGTGCTGATTTGAACAACTGAAACGCGCATGCGTTCGATTTTCTTGGCCAACCTGTCAACGGGAACTTTTGATTGAGATTCCTACCGTTTGGATCGTGAATAGTGGTTTAAATGGGGAAGGCTCCCAATTTCGTACGTCAATACGACTCCAGACTTCCTTTACGGGATGTGTCCAAGCCATGCCCCCGGTTCCGACGTGGAGAATGTGCTTTCATTCCTGGTATCCTAAGCCGATGGGATTTGACATGTCAAAAACGTGGCATGCTTGCGCCGTAAAATCCTTATTCCTCAAGGTGCGCAATGCCCATGCCTTGGCCGACTATGTGACGCGGGCACCTTTTGGGCAGGTTCAAAGTTGGTAACGAGAAACTCGGGAGTACCTTTATTTGGCAGACTTTAATTGCTTCCTATCATCTTGCTAGGAGGCGCCTGTAAATGGAAGACTTATGGGGGTTATGGATATCAACCTGTCAGGCCATCACACTGCATTTCCTTTTCCGAGTAGGATATCTGGAGCATGGGAAATTGAGTTCGATAACTTGGCAAGCTTTGTGGGAGCAGGCTCCCGGCCATCGTGAGATGGATGGAGCCGCTCAACGAAATGGAAGTAAGTCCAAGTATATATAATAGGGACTTCAAGCCCATCTTATGATCGAGCCTCGAATGCAACTTACCATCAGACATCTTTAAGAGCGTCCGCTAATTGATTGATCTGAACATCCTCTGACCTCTTTACTGTAAGTTCTCTTAGGCTCAAAGTCTGATAACCTTGGTTCACTAAGCGTCAAAACTGACATCGTGGTCCAGACCCCCATAGCCAAGATGAAGACGATCGGTACATTTCTCCTCGCCACTTTGGCCAGTCAGGCCTCGGCGCAGTTTCAGGTCAAGATGGAAGTCCGATTTAGCGACAGAATGATCGACGTCGGCAATCTCGACCTCTTCGCCGTAACATGGCAAACCATCTACGGAGAGTCCGGCAACACCAGAGCCATCATGACAGACCGCTCTACCGGCGCCCAGACCAACGAGTGCACGCACGCCGACGACTACGACCCGGACGTGACGGTACGGGTCAAGATGAACGGCGCCTGGGGAAAGACGCCCGGCCTCGAGGGCAACGAGATGCGCGACGGCCTCGTCCAGTCCATGTGGGAGGTCCTGAGCAGGGTGTCGGACCCGTACGGGTACGAGGTTTTCAACGGCTGCCGGGGACTGACGTGGATGGAGGGCGTTGGGTACACGTCCGACGCGGCGTGTGGTCCCCAGAGTTCGAGAAATTGCCAGTACCCGTGCCGCAAGGAGAACTCGCCCGGGTTGGCGCAGTGCATGAACCATACCTGGGGCCACAAGGTCCCGTCATCGCTGCGGGTCACGGCGTACGTTGACGGTCAGCTGCAGCCTGATGACTTGATTATTGAGTTCTCTGCAACTGCCAACTCGGAGAGTGGTGGATGCGGTTGGGTTGGAAGTATTGCTGGTGCTCTTGCTGGATTCATTCCTGTTGGGGGCAAGCTGTTTTCAAAGGGTATTGAGATCGGGTGCAGCGATTGAGAGTCACTTGCCAAGTGAGTGATGCTACTGTCAAGTTGGGATTGTTGACGCAGGGTGGAAGCTCTCAGAGGCCAACTGCAGTTAGGGGTAGAATGATGAATTACTGAAATCTACTCCTCCCTCGACGTGTACTCCCTGCGCTGTATATATATCTGAGCTGCTCCTTTGTTGCTTGGACTCCTTACTACCTCTGACTAGCCCCTATCCGGGAGGGCTCTGACAGCTACTATCTAAGATTAAATGATTATCAACCCTTTAAGCTTAAAACCGGTTCTTGTTGATCCTTCATGTAAACACTGTTAACATCAACTGCGAAAGTCCCCTTGGCGTGAGGTATGTTATTGGTTAAAATGGCGGTTGCATTGAGAGATCCCAGCAATCGGAACTGACCGTTCTGTTCTCTAAGGATTTTTATTACCTGGGGTAGCGATGCGTGATGATTGGGCTGCGCCGTAGCTAACATCAACCATCAGGTCAGACGCTTCCCCAGGCAACAATATGTATACCACCTCAATATCCCCTGATGTCTTGAAAATCTACACAATATCAGTCCTAGTTGAAGATCTTGGTCGCCCGTTCGCTTCTTACTTACCTTCACGATGCCAACGCCCACTCTCTCCAGCACAAGTCTCCTCAACCTAGGACCCCTAACGACAATATGGACAGCCCTAGTATCATGCGCAACCGCAACGCCAACCCAAGCGCTAGCTCGATTCCTTGACCCCGGTGTGGTCTACTGGTCACAAACCTGCCAAGTCGACCGCGATCCGTATAACGACTGCATCCCCTCCGGCGAGTTGCTGAGCTCAGGGTACCGTTCACGCCGAACCTCTACCCAGAAGTTCCTCTTCCATCACTCCTCGGGCAGCCAGTGTCCCTCCGGATGGGCCACCGTGGGCTACGGCGTCCGCGACGAGACGTCGTCACACTCCTTGAGCGGCGTCTTCGCGGACCCGACGGTGACGGTCGACTTGCGGACGACGATGTCTATTGCGTCGGAGCTCAAGCCCAGGTTTGAGTTGGCGCCGAATTTGTTCATGTCGGCGATGGGGCCTTCGGAGACTGTGGTCATGTGCTGTCCGAGGTAAGTTCGGCATCTTTTGAAGTTGGTTTTCTTCTCAAAGGCTAGGACAGGTCTGATGATGTGTCTTTCTTAGTGGTTATACTGGGGGATTCTATGGGAACTGCTACTCTTCGACCGCTAGAGAGGCCTAAACGGCTACCACGGGCTGCCAATTTTTGAACGTAAACGAGATAGAACTCGTGGAACACACGTATACTTTCCATGGGAGAGTCGTCACGGGCAGCTCCATCTCGACGAAGGGCTCGGTTGTTTCGTTGCTGCCGAAGACAGTGACGATTGATGCGGAGAGAAGTGACAGAATTCGGAATTGTACCGTTGCGCCATATACAAAAGAGAGATCCCTCTACTGCATTTAGGTAGTTGTGGGTACATATAGTTTCCGTCAAGAAGCACGAATTACCTTGGCGTGTTGGTCACGCCGGGGATCACGCTTTTGAATAAAGACTCTGGGGATGTAGTTCAGACCTTAACTGCTGCTTCCGGAGAGGGTTCGTCGACGGGCCCGACTGAGACGGCCAGCTCTGGAGTTCCCTCCAAGGCCGGCTCATCGATGGTTACTGGTGTTATCAAAGCTGTTTGGGGGGTCGCGGTGGTGGCGAGTGCCACTCTTATGGTGCCTCTTTGATATAAGTCCACGAGTTTCACAACTCATTCTTTCTAATGATAGTGCATAGTTTACCTACCTTATCTATATATATATATGCACCACACTTATGAAGACTTGTGATGAGACTGATTCCACTTCATCCATACCCGCTCTATTTGTAGTTGAGAGGTCCCGCCGAGTCATTTACATAATGGTGGACCTTCTAGCTCAACTCTAAGTGGACAACCCCAAAATGCATGCGAAGCGAGTCCCATTTGCGGAGACGCACACAAAAACATAGCAAACTTTCCCTCTTCCACCGTCAATCTGCAGGAGATGCCAAAATGGAATCCAAGGACCGACCGCGATTCGAACGCGGGGCCTAGAGATAGTTACAGCTGAGAAACTGCAATCTCTCGCTCTACCACTGAGCTATCGATCCAAGTGGTTATTGCTGATTTGGGGGCTTGCAGGTGAGCTCATGGATGGTAGCTAGTCTTCTGCAAGCTTCTGCAAGGGAGGATGCTTACCTACCAACAACAGGCCTCCCAACAGCTGCCACTTTAGCCATGATCTGAGCAACGAGATTGGTTGACAATAAGAGGCTGACGTCGTATAGACTCATTCACTAGAACAACAATGGCTCATACCCAAACTCTTGTGTCACCCGGAAGATGAGTCAACAAGAGACCAACAAAGACCGGCTCCTCGGCTGAGCTGAGCAGGGCAGAACGGACTTGACCGGACCCATTGGAGGGCTCCACCGGTCTACAGCCAACCTACCTAAGCCCCAATCTGAGCGGGAATCGTCATCAAACAGCGGTTGCTTTCGTAGCTCAATTTGGTCAGAGCGTCCGACTTTTACAAATAAAAGATCATCGGAAGGCTGTGGGTTCGAGTCCCACCGATCGCGTCTCTTCTTTTGCATTTTGGGAGACCTCACTTCTCTCTATGATAGTCTTCCTTTTTGTTATCGTGTCTGTCAAGTAGTTGGTAGGTGATATGTACCTTCTCTGTATGGACTCCCAGATACATGAGGGGTTCGGTCTTGCTCTGAACATGCGTCGACTTTTAGTTTAGCACCTGATGCATAATAATGAAAGGCTTGATCGAATTGTCAGTCATCACTACTTCAGATAAGTCATGGCAAGTCAGGTGCCTAATGATCTTTACATCGGGGCTTGGAGTCTATCAGACTTTAGAGCGCTAGACATGTCACATCCGGCACCGCGACTTTTTGGCCACCAGCAAGTTCTTGAAACGTTCTACTCTCTACAAAGGGGAGAAAATCATCAAAATCGTGATGGGAATGCTGACATTATCGGAATAATTGCCATGAATTCATGTCAAATTTGGCCTAGGAAAAGTGTCACGAAACAGGAATGGTATCAGCACTTGTCAAGCATCTTGCCACGTGCTTTCTCACGTGGATATCACACTCTCTTAGTATATAGACTGCTCTCATGTGCTCATTCTAGATGGGTTACTTCAAGCCACTTTAACCCACTTCATATGCCCATTGCTGCGTGCCATAACTCGTGACAAAAAGAGTCTAGCTAAAAGGCCCCCGTTCTGCATTAGACCAGCATCAGGTCACGCACCGCGATATTCGCAAATGTGCTGCGGCTTTGTGGCACTGCAAACGTTCCAACCCGCTCGAAAGCACCCTGTTTACGCGGCGATTCTCGCAGAACCAAGCCTACATCCTGCACATTGGTTCTTTCTGACGATGCCTCCCCCGTTGCTTCGTTGATGGCAACTTGCCCCATGTCACCTAGCAGCATAAGGTAACATTTGAACCCGTCACTTTCTTGGACAGATTCGCGGAACCGCGCGCAGTCTGGCAGAAATTGACAAATGACAGAGGATTTGGGATCCGAGACTTCGCCGTCGTAGCAGCTGAAAAGATGTGGCGGTTGGGGTCTTCTGCCCTTTGGCGGCACGACGGTGACCGGCAGAACTTGCGCTCTGGCTTTCATGCGGTAGTTGCCGGCCAGCAGAAAATCGGTGGCTCCGGGCAATATGTCACACTCCAGTCCTGGCGAATCGAATGTCTCCTCGCAAGCAAAAGAGTTGAATACCTGGTTTGGCACATGAAAACAGGATTTCCCAATTTTGCTTCCTTTGCTGACAACCATGGATGCCCAGGACCACGACGGGATGTGACTGGTGTGAAGTCGATATGCGTCTGGGATAGATGGAGATTGTTGGTCAGTTTGGTCTCCTTGCGGCCCCTCGGGCGGTAGGATGGTCCATAGGAGCTCAAGCCCCAGCTCTGCATATGAATCTGCTACTATGCCGGCGAAGTATTGTGCTCCATCGAGACGGAGGATGTGTCGAAAGAGGCCGGCGACAACTGTCAGCCTCTCTTCGGGGTTGGACGGCGTCATGGCCTTGTATAGATCGAGCACATGTTCGGGATTCCGGGCGTACCCTTCCGAAATCCAGACGGCCTTTTGAAGGACGGGCGGTCGATTTCCTTTTCCAAAGTAAACTGGGTCACCGCACTCGCAGCTGGGCTGTTTGAGGCAGTCCCACACCAGCTCCGACTTGTGCAGATAGAGCAGCCTGCGAGACAGCAAAAGGCGTTGGAACGCAGGGGCATGCTTGAAGAGCCCCATGTGCTCTTCCACCGCGTCCAACATTTTGTAATTTTCGCCATGCTCATCGGGTGCCAGCATGGCCTTCTTGCGAATACGATATGGTTCCACCGTTCCAGTGCATAGCCTGCCGGGCATGGATGTGATGCGTGCGGCCGAATTTACTGACTTGAATGGCAACGGAGTTAACCGCGTGATCGGCGCCGGCTGTGCTGTTCTTTCGCTCGGAGCCGAAATTGCTCAACCTGATGTCTTCGGTGCTTGTCAAGGCGATGGTGAGGTATGACCGTTCAAAGATGATGTCCTCTTGAGCCAGGTGCCAGTTTACGTCTGCTTCAACATCTTGAGTGACGCAAAAATCTTGAATCCAAACGTATTGGACACCTAATACGCTAGCGATAGTGATGGCTTCTTGCAGAGGCACAGGTATCTGCCACCAGTGCAAACGCTTTTCGCGCTCCTCGAGGTTTTCCGAGGTTGTCGACGATGAAGGAGCCGGCAACGGACCGGCGTACCCATGGACGATGGTGATATAGGGCCCCTTGACTGAGCAGGAGCTGACCAGCTTGACACCGTTCCGCGGGGTTTTCCCAATATCCAGAAACCGTCGAGGAGCAAGACCAGGCTCACCCGGGTACAATTTCGCACCACATGCCTTGTGTTTGGCGTTGCATTCATTGACCCATCCACGGATCGTCTTCTGCCGATGCTCGGAGTCTGGCTTGGTAGAAGTCTCATTTCGGACTCCGATGGACTTCCACGGCAGCGGTTTGTCTTTGAATGTGTCAACATCCATTCCGAGAGTCACTCCACGTTCATCATTCTCTTACCTGGCTTCGTGAACAAATCGACCAAGCCCGTCGCTTCAGCGACTTCGTTCGCGGAGTTTCGATATTTGACCAATGCTGTAACGCTGACAGTCTCGGAAAAATCAATCAAGTCGACCGAATCATCAAGAAGCTTCTCTTTGGGAACGTCGAGATCGGTGACCCAAAAAATGGCAACTTTGATTGCGTGACAAGTTTGGCATCCCCCCTTGCTGGCCTTGATAATGTGTCAAGTTGGGATGTTGACGCAGGGTGGAAGCTCTCAGAGGCCAACTGCAGTTAGGGGTAGAATGATGAATTACTGAAATCTGCTCCTCCCTCGACGTGTACTCCCTGCGCTGTATATATATCTGAGCTGCTCCTTTGTTGCTTGGACTCCTTACTACCTCTGACTAGCCCCTATCCAAGAGGGCTCTGACATAATGTCCTTGAGACTGCGTTTAATTTCACCGCATTCGAGCGGTCCTGCTCCAGGCCTTAGCCGCTCTCTTTTAGGCAAACGAGCCTTTTCAAGACCGAGACAAACCGTACACGGCTGTGACTTCTGGTCCGCATCGGGATGGGCTTGAACCTCGGTGCCCGACATCGTGTTTTCTCAACGTTGGCGGACCTCTATACAGTGGTGATTGTTACGGGCTGGACCCAATTAATGGATCCGGGCTAGCGCCCGGATATTCTATTACAATTAATCGCGCAGGCTTTATTATATTTATAACTAGTCTTTCTTTATAATGTTACGGCCAGCTAGTCGTAGTGAGGTATGTTTGCAGAAGTTGAGGCTGCGGAACTGGTAACAGTAATCGTAGTCGGGGATAGCTTCAAGGAAACTATGTCTGTCAATCGTAAGGGTAGGTAAGGCTTCGGTGATCAATCGTAGTCTTGTCAAGGTAGTAGCTGAAAGCGGATGTTAATCCTGATACGAAGTTAATTGCTGAAGAGCTATGGAAGTCTGTCCTAGAGTCCAGCTCAAGTCCATCCTTATATACAAGTCCTGATCCTGAACATGTCCCTTGTCCCTTGGGTCGTCTTGGGTCATTCTGATCCAGAATGATCGTTTAGCCCCCAAGTCGTGTTGGATCATATTGATCCCAAATGATCCTTATCTTATCATCACGTGACTTGTACCATAGTTCTTCCGTTCCGTGAGAGGGTGCCTTGTGTCCCCTTGTCCTGTGCATGTATGGCGTATCGTAACCGTCGTAAGCCTGCGGGGCAGGCCCTGTTCTTGGTCGTGCATGTTGGGTCGTAACAAGTTATTTATATATCTTTTTTTATTAATTTAGATTTTATATATAAAAAGTACTCTTATATAATTATTATAAATTAAACTTTTAATAACTTAAATAAATTTAAAATAATAAATGTCACGGGCTGGAGCCCTGTGTGGGCTTAGGCTACGCCGTAAGCCTTACGAGCCGTGTGTTACGACCCAACATGCATGACCAAGAACAGGGCCTGCCCCGCAGGCTCGCGGCGGTTATAATACACCACATATGCAGGAGATAAGGGACACTAGGCACCCTCTCACGGAACGGAAGAACTATGGTACAAGTCACGTGATGATAAGATAAGACATGAGCGGCCATGGTGGGGCCATGAGCGCTCATGCCAAGTAATGAGCGCTCATGCCGAACAATGAGCGCTCATGCCGAACAATGAGCGCTCACCCGATCAGAGGAACTGATCATTGACAAGGGATATGTTCAGGACCAGGACTTGTATATAGGATGGACTCGAGCCGGACTCTAGGACAGACTTTCCATAGCTCTTCAGCAATTAACTTCGTATCAGGATTAACATCCGCTTTCAGCTACTACCTTGACAAGACTACGATTGATCACCGAAGCCTTACCTACCCTTACGATTGACAGACATAGTTTCCTTGAAACTATTCCACGACTACGATTACTGTTACCAGTTCCGCAGCCTCAACTTCTGCAAACATACCTCACTACCTACGATTACTGTTACCAGTTCCGCAGCCTCAACTTCTGCAAACATACCTCACTACGACTAGCTGGCCGTAACACCGTGCATACGTACTTAAGTGCAGCAGAATGAATAGAGAGGGATCTGTTCATTACGTACCTTTTGGCTGAATAAGCCCGGGTGCGCATTTAACGCAATGGTTTATTGTGTCTGCTGCCACATTTGCCCTTGTGGGGCCCACACCGTTACAATCTGTTACGGGCCAAGCCCTCCACATGGGATGCTCTCGGCTATGCTCGGCTTGATAATAAGACATCCAGGTGGATACAAGGGAGACACTAGGGTAACAGCAGATAAAAGGACACATAGACCTAGCTATAGGAACAGGAAACCTTCCCTTCCTCATCTGAGGATTCTCAATTGAGAAAGGAAGTACGAGTTGCAACATTGCTCTTACCGCCCTTGACACAATCTATATGAATACTCAGTTATTTTGTTATAATTAATTATATAACGTGGTTTACTAGTCAGCCGCGCATATCAGTCAGCCGCGCATTTCCTTATGGTATACTAAGTCGCCTACATTTATAATTAATATCTTTTTCATTGTTGATTATATAACGTTCAAATTTTTTCATTAGTCTTTGATAAGAGTCACTAAACTAAATAAAAGGTTTTAAAAATTAATTTCTATTTAGAGAAAGAGTAAATATATTATATCCTTATCAAAGACTCATTTTTCTATTCTACTACTTATTCCAATATAAAAAGATTAAAGTGTCTTTTTTTATTAAATTTAACTAGTTATAACGTTATTTTAAATATATTATTGTCATGGTAGCAAGCAGGTTGTTTGGCAGGTGGATGCTGGGCAGGCGGATCAGACAATCTATTGCTACGGGCAGGCTCTATCCTAAGCAGGTACAGGCTCTGTTGACAAGACGTAGCTCAAGGAGCTACGTTTCTGGACATGCGCGACAAAATATAGGATGCAGGGTTTTATCCAGCCTCAGGCTTACGTAACCCGGCCACCGGATTACTCAACACCAATCTCAAGGTTGGGGGCTAGGACAGCGGGTCTGTGACAATTATAAAGATACTGAAATCTTTCTAATTAGTTATTATTCAAAGAAATTAGGTAAATATGCAATTTAGTATGCGATAAGGAAATGCGCGGCTGACTGATATGCGCGGCTGACTGGTAAACCACGTTAGGCTTTATTATATTTATATTTTATTTTTATAAAAGCTCTGCTTATAAATCTCTTTTTATTAGCTTAGATTCTATATATAGAAATTACCCTTACGTGGCCACACGAGGGCTGGGCTCTTAACAGTGATGCAGAAAGACCGGCTGGACAGGGCTGTACTTTGGACGGCGAGCAAGGTTAAATGACTCTAATATTGAATGGGAGTCCCCAACGACGTTATCGTCGAGATGGAGCCGGCCGGCAGGTTGCTAATGAAAGTCGTGCTGCAAGGATGAAGATTTTTATAGACGGGTTGGCGCAACTTCCCCTGAGCACACCGCCAGTTTGGTGTTAATTAAACTTTGCATCGCACCGTTCCATTGTAATGGAGTCTCGCTGACATAAGGCAAATAAAAGGCTCCACTGAAAGCGGGCTGAAACGGTCCGGTCTTTTCTTTCCCGCGAATCCGTCTCAACACCACTGTCAAATGCTGTCAAGCTGCATATGTCACCAAAATACCATTCTTTAGCGGCACATTCAAGAGGAAACTAAGGATAACGGTGCTGCCAAAATGAAGTCTCTTTGCGGTTGATAGTAAAACACGGGCAAAAAGATTGAAAATTGACCAGAGTCTGACCTTGGGACCAATGAATCGTAAGAATCACAAAGTCTAATTAACTTGTCTATGGTATATATGTATGCTAACTCGCTTATTTTTGAATTGAAATGAATCCATTACATGCCTTCTCTGTCTCTAACACTTTCGACACAGTCTTGCCATCGGATGACCTTCAAGTAAATGCACTCGATGATGGCGATAACAACCATGCCGCCACCGAGGCCTATCCAGGCACCATCTAGCTCTAGGCCCGGTGATCCCAGCTCGAGCCAGACTGCGAGCGGTACTGCAGCCAGATAGTTCACGGCAAAGACGACAAAAGCCGCAACGGCCTGCCGACCGAGACCGCGCAGTACGCCGTTGCATCCGCTGATGATGGAATCGATGAGCTGGAATGCCGCAACCGCGAGCATGGAGTCGGACGTGAGCCGTTGGACCTCGGCGTCCTCGGAGAATACAAGGGCGAGCTGGTGGCGGAACAGGAAGATTAGGATAGCGTCTAGGACACCGACAACGGTGAAGACGATGGCGTATACGGTCGTGGCTCGCCGAGCGGTCGCTACGAGCCCACCACCGATCAAGTGGCCAATGCGGGTGCTGATGGCAACTGAGATTGAGAAGGGAATATGCCACATGACGACAGAGATCGTCGTCAAAATAGTCTGCGCGGCAAGATGCTCGGTGCTCAGGTAGGATGTGCTAAGCGTGAGGATCTCAAAGGCAGCCCATTCGCCCAGGTTAACCGCCGATCCGGCAATGGAGAGCCGCACCGGCACGCTCCACTCAGTGAAGGCCTTGCGAGAGAATCCACCCCAGCACTGGTGCGACCACTGGCCCCAGACGACGATGTAGATGAGCAGAAGGACGGGACGTAGGTCGTTGGCCAGAGCCTGGCCGAGGGCGGCGCCCTCCAGGCCCATATTCAGCTTGAACGCGAAGAGCCAGCTGAGGAGGGCGTTGATAGGGGCGCAGATGATGAGGACGACCATGGCGCTTTTGAAGTCGCCCTGGGCCTGAAGGAACCTCTTGAGGGCTTCAAAGGCGGCGTAACCTGGCATGCCGATCAGGCTCACGCGCAGGAACGTGCCAGCCTTGACGGCCAAGTGATGCTGCTTGACAAACAGTGACAGAATCGAGGGCGAAAACACCCAGAAGAGCCCAATGGGCACGGTGGCGAGGGCCATGAGAATGAGCATGCGTTGAACATGGAGACCGACGGCAGTAAGGCGCCCGGAACCGTGGGCCTGAGCACAAAGGGTGTCGAGGGCAGTAGCCATCCCTTCGTAAATAGCGAGGCCGATGATGTTCATGGTCGTCAGACCGATACTAGCGGCGGCGAGGTCATCGGCGCTGAGGTGGCCAGCCACGAATGTCGTGATGACAGTGAAGGAGTACTGCAGCAGATAGGTGGCGATGAGCGGTAATGAGTACCGGCAGAGGAGCCATGCTTCCGACAGCCAACCACCGCTACCCACCGGTTCAATGTCCGGCTTGTGATGCGGCTGATCCGACAGCAACGGCGTGGTCTCGCCGGTGCGGTCGTCTCGGTCGCGGGGGTCCATGGCGGGGGGGGGGGGACGGCTCTACTTTCGGTCGCAGAACGAGGGTATGAGATGACACGGGAAGGGTAGGGCGGAGAAAAGGTGAGGTGGCAGGTGTTGCTTTTTTAATTAGGTCTTTAGCCAGGGGCCCAGCTGAGGACTTTAGGTTCCCGTAAGGTTTGCTTTGATTAGCCCAAAGCTGAGGTGTATCAGAGGAGTCTGTGTGTCTTCCGGGTTGTCTTGCTTTGTCTTTGTCTCTTCTTCTTTTGCTTTCTCCGTCTGGATTGGGTGGTGTCAAACGCGTCTTGGGATCGGGCCGTTCTGCACCGCGAGAGCGAGGGATGGAAGGACAAGAACCCAGCTTACACAACTGTCCGTGCGACTGCAATAAGAAGAGAAAGTTTTCACGCCGGCAATGCATTCCGACTCCCGTCGACTCCGGATACTGTACTTAGAGCGGGTCAATTGGTGGATGTATCTCCACTACTCCGGATCCCCGAACCCGCAGCACTCTGTAGGATCGCGCCACCTCGGGGAGAGCCGGTGTGAAATCTCTCCATCTCATTCGCTCCATCGGATTCCCATGCTCGCTTTCACTTAGGGAGTGGAATGAACTGTTGCGAACTCTTCAGCGGCTTCTAGGTCATATTTGGCTCATCCAAGTGGATTGATGCAAACAGGTCCAGGGAGTTGCGAGAAAGTCTTTCTGCCCAGCTCACTCAAGACTGATTTATCCCAACATAAGATGAGTTGCAAATTTCTTTTCTGCCCAACGTTACAGATTTGCGATTCAGAAACAAAGGAATATTTCTCAAGACTTCAATCGGCCTCATTTTTCTCAATATTTTTGTAAACAAATGAAATGCTCCGGGATTACAATCGCAACTCAGCCTCAGCAGACTTCAGGGATCCTTCCTGTGAGCTCGACCTTCGTCTCTCATCAGAAGACGCCCCAAACTCTCCACCTTCTGTCAATTTCCGCACACTCTCACTGCAACCGACGTCTTCTTTTTCTACATAGCCGTGGATCCCACAACCGATCGACCAGTCGGGTGGTCTCGCCAACCCAGCCCTCGCGATCCTCGAATCTCCTGTGCCGCTCGCCAGATGCGACCCCGGTCTCGTGTTGGACCCGCTGCCGATCAGCAGACTCGTTGGCTGAAGTCTGCTGCCGTCCTTCCCTGACGAGGTCAAATTGTAAGGTGCCTGGATCGCGGCTACGGAGGTGGAACCTAGGAGACTGTCGATGACTCCCTTCAGACTTGGGATACACGCTGTGAGGATTGACATGCCTAGTGAGACTTGTAACCAAATGACATGATGAACCGCATGCCATGTTGTGTCAGTGTAGCTGGTCACCAAGGTATGTGTGTAAACCAGTCTCGGAATCGTGATGATGGGTATGCTGTGAGAGAGAAATGTTAGCAAATGCATCACCGAAGCGGATGTCTTGAAGCAACTTACATAATGCGGGTGGTGAAGAGAGCAACCACCATCATTTTTCTCTTCAAAGTAGTCTGCACTTTCCACATCATGGCTACAGGGAGCAGACATAGATAAACATCCGTAGCGATGTCCATAATGCCGTTGTAGAGGAAAATCCCCTCTCGACCTGGGCACTTCTCGACAGTGGTAGCAAGCCATGGCTGCGGAGGAGAGCATTGAAATGACGCCATTAAAATTCCGGATATGGCCCATGCACCGATGATGCCAAAGAGTATCTTGTTCGCAAGATTGAGTCGGCCGTGGTTATTGATGGAGTGGATAAGGAGGCATAGCGAAATTTTGGTGCTCGCTGCGGTAGCAATTGCTAGTAGGGTTGAGATGTAGAAGGTCTGAGAAAGGGTCAGTTCACACGGTTCGGCTTTGGTCCAAACGAGGGAAAACCTGCCTTGTGAAATGTGTCCAGGTCGTGAGAGTCTACCGTATTCTGATGACGTCCGAGCCCAAACTTGCAAGCGACGATGATGCAAATCGTTTGCGAGAGGAGCAATGAGGTTGCGAATAGTAATACCACATCGTGACTCTTCAATGAAGTGATGTTGAGACGGATGATAAGCTTCAGTGATATTCCAATGACGGCGTAGATGAGAAAGATCAGCGAGGCAACGACGACGAGCGCAGCTTGGTCGTCCTCCGTCAACGCGTAAAATGGAGGATCTGGCTGAATGTCGACTACCATATTCAGCTGGTCTGAGGACCGGATCTTTGCTGGAAGGGTTCAGTCGAGCCGTTCTACTTGTGGCCCTACGACTTCCTTAATGGGACTGCAGAGTCTTGAGCTTTGTAATGAGCTACTGCGGGAGGCGGGGAGATAGGACCCATCGTAATAATTGTTTGGTAAATTCTTCATCGATCCAACAAGCCGGGCTTCTTATCAGAATCCGGAGTAGTTTGCGAAGATCTACACAGCAGCTACATGGCTGGTTGGTATGCTTGCAGGTCACTGCAAGGTCCTCGTAGCAGTCGTCTCTGGCCGGTAGGTCGTGGAATTCACGTCGTGTGGAAGAATAAAGCCAACCAGCAACAAGTCCAAAGTATAGTTGCTTGGCCCGGACATCCTAGAGTGTGAACTCTGTCTGGGATTTAGTGAAAGTACATGTACACTTGCTAGATACAGGTACATGTAACTTTGGCATGTGCCGGGAAGTTCCATACGATGGGAGTGGCCTTATCTTCCGTGCGTAAGAAACTAATTAACCGTCCAACAACTCCTTGGCATTATCCCATCGTACGAAACCCTCGATCTGGTTCTCGAGGAAGATTTTCTGTGTGCGGGTGGTGAAATTTCGCCTGTGGTTCTGTTACGTGTTGCAAGGATGGAAGCGAAGTTTGCCTGGTGGGCCGAAGTCTGATGTGATGAAAAGTGCCGTGGCACATATCATGTGGAGACGAAAGCACGAGTGCAATGTCTGTCAATCAGATTGAACTCATCTCGACTTTGGTTCACAGGCTCGACCGGAGAAATTTCGTTGGAACTGTTGGAGACAATACATCAAGCGTATCCGTACCTGGTCAGTCAGTCCGTGCCGTTTAGAGCAGTGCATAGCAAGCTTCCGCGCGTAACCTGGCAGGGTTGGCTCTCTTACTTGATAATGCCCTAACCAGAGTTCATCTATTGGCTCGGTGGCTGGGAAGCATGGCATCCAGAAGCCATGAATCTCAGCCAAGCATCCAGACCATTGCCACGAGATCGATCCGATACATTGGGTTACATTCTCTGCAAGCGAGGCCGGACAACCGGACGAAGATTACTTGGGGACTGTGATACAAACCAAAGTGCCTCAGATTTCGATTTACTCACCCTGCGTCGAGTTGGAGGAATCGCACAGAGATGTGACGAAGACAAGGGGACAGGGTATTCTGACCCCGGTATCCGGGCATTCTTCAGCCCACGACCAATGAAGTGATGACCAGAACGGAATCTGACCGGCAGAGACCACATATGATCGATTCAACTGCGAGTTTAGAGGGCCCGACGATGCCAAGTAGCTCCGGGAACGGTACGGGTAGAGTCCGTGTGGTCGAACCCCTCCCGGCATGCAGGAACCCCGGCTCGAACCCACCGCGAAGACCACCTGTTGGTCGGTAACAGTTCCCATCAAGGAAGCAATGTTTGCTTCAACATGCATGTTCAGCGGAGCCCATTCCGAAATTTTGATTAAAAGCTCGTTGGTTCTGACTTTCAACACCCAGGCGTCACTGCATCGAAGAGGATGACCCGGATCCTCCCTTCACCGATCGTTCTCCGAGCTCAGGTCACTCATCTATCTGCAAGCTTGCTGCGGCTACGGGGATCAATGTCTCACGTTTTTCCACGTCTGCGGTTACGCCTGCTGATATTTATATATTTATCGTGCAGCATTCGGCCAAGGCTTTGGATGTGCTGCCCGACTCTTCTGATTTTCTCCGACTTGAGCAGACTCTCATCTGTGCCGAGAATCAGACGTGTTTCATTCATCTTCGCTTTCACATAGACAGGACTCGGAACTCTTCCTTGTGTTGAGTGTTTCTCAATCACTTTTTCAGTTGGTTTCTCGAGCATCTCATCATGGCTCCCGCAGAGGCAATAGAGCTGCGGCCCACCGTCAAAGACGCCAGTCAGATTGACGCGAACGAGTCAAAACATGGATCCGAAGTCTATAATCAGACGAGAACGCGGAAAGTGTTCTCATTCTCTCAGCTCTTCGCCTTCTCCCTGACATACATGGCCTTGTGGGAAGGCATGTGCACGTAAGCAAGCTACCAATGCTCCCCTTACATCCACCGCCTCAATCTGACCGTGTCCCCAGAAACATGTACTTCGCACTCTACAACGGCGGGCCTCAAACATTCATCTTCAGTTTCGTCATAGTGCTTTGCGGAGCCATCGCACAAGCCGCGTCTTTGGGCGAGATGGCTTCGATTCAACCGGTCGCTGGTGCTCAGTACCACTGGACGTTCCACCTCGCCCCCGCACGTGTCAAGCGTTTTGCTACCTGGATTCAGGGTTGGTCAACATGGTTTGGCTACGTATCGCTCCTTGCTGGAATTGCAAACGTCACGATTATCCTCCTGGAGTCGATGATTGAGTTGAACCATCCTGACTATGTGCCTGGAGGCTGGCACACCTCAGTGCTTGTCATCGCCATGTGCGTCATTCAGGGATTGATGAATACGTACTGCTTCAGGGTCATCCCGTGGGTTGAGCTTGTTGCTGGAGTCCTTCACGTCTGCTTGTTTGTCGTCTTTGTCGTTGTTTTGGCGGTGATGGGAACTCGGCACTCGGGTAGCTTCTTCTTGGAGACCAACATTGCGTCTGGTTGGACAGATACCTTTATTGCCTGGAACCTCGGCATGTTGACTTGTGTTTGGAGTTTCACCGGTAAGTGCCAATACTTTCAAAATTACACCTTCGTTTGACTGACAGTTGACTAGGCTTCGATAGCGCCATCCACATGAGCGAAGAAACCCGAAAGGCCAAGTCAGCAGTGCCTCGTGCCATGTTCTGGTCCATCTTCATGAACGGATGCCTTGGCTTCGTCATGGTCTGCGTCATACTTGTCTCAATGGGTTCGATCGACGACGCCCTCAACTCAGCCAGCCCAATTCTCACCATTCTTCTCAGCATCACTGGTTCCAAGGGCGCGACGACGGCCATGATCACCGGCCTCTTCGTCGTCTCCTTCAGCGTCAACTTGGCCAACATCGCCTCCGTATCTCGTCTTACTTGGGCTTGGTCCAGAGACGGAGGCATGCCTGCTTATCTGGCATACGTTCATCCGAAGCACCGCGTACCTATCCGCGCCATTGTTGTCACGGTGTTCATTGTCTGTGCCCTTTGTCTCCTCAATATTGGAAACTCAAGTTACGTCGCATTCGGCGCCATTACTTCTCTCTCATCCTTGGCTCTCTACCTGAGCTATGCGATCGCAATCAGCAGCATGCTGTACGCTCGTCTATCTTCCAAAGGAGGGATCGAGCTTGGAGAGTGGAACCTCGGTCGGTTTGGGCTCTACATCAACTCATTCGCCTTGGTCTATACCCTTTACGTCATTGTCTTTCTGCCTTTCCCTTCCACGGTTCCTGTCACTGCAGAGAACATGAACTATTGTGGACCGGTAATGGTCTTCGTCTTATTGGTTGCAGTAGGTCTCTGGTTCATCAAAGGCAAGAGATGGACTGGGCCAAATCTCACCATTCTGGATCTAGTCATGGACAAATCTTGATGGAGAACAGGCAGCCAGTGTCAAAGTAGTTGGTCTGTGTAAGATGTACAAAGAATTGAATTTTACTGAGGGCAGCCTCTCACTAGATGCGCCACGCACTTGGGATTTGCGCTTCCGGCTCCGCGAAGACCGTCTGCTCCTTGGAAATGAACTCGTTGAATCCATGTCTCAGGTCTGATGGCACGCATGGCCGCAACCCCGTGCTGATTACAAGTACGGAATAAGTGCCCAGCGAGGTTGAAGATATGCCCAGCTCTAGAATACAAGCTCGTCGGGTTTAGTACTTAGGGAAACTTGATAAAGACCTTGAGCTCCTGCTGGTTGCTCAGCCGTTCATAGTACGCCGGGACTTCCTCGATGTCGATAGACGCACTAGCCACGAAACCCGGTTTCGCAATACCTCTTGAAATCAAGTTGACGAGTTCTCCTGCAACAGTCTCAGGATCTGCGATGCCGCCTTCATATCTGATACCCTTCGAAAAGAACTGTGTGAGAGGAAACGAAACTTCCGGTGTGATTCTCTCCGCATTCGGAGCCAGACCAGTGTTCGGCTGGGCCAGGTAAATTCCAATCTGGCCAATCCCACCACCTGCAGCGACAAGTTCGACCATTTGGTTAAGCACAATGCTTTGCTGCATAGTGCCATTGGCAGTGATGGCTTCCATGCCGACGGCGTCAACAGCACGGATGACACCGCCGGGCTCGTATGCGAGGATCTGCTGCACGGGGTCGCTGTCCATGAAGTTGATAGGCACAGCTCTGATGGATGCGGCTTTCTCAAGTCTCATGGGAACATGGTCCACGCTGTATACTCGAGACGCGCCGCGAAGTAGAGCAGAGTATGCGGCGAGCAGGCCTACGGGACCAGCACCAAACACAGCCACGGTATCACCGGGCTCAAAACCGGACTTGGTGACGGCAATCCATCCGGTGGAGAAGACATCGGAAACGGTCAGGTAGTTTTGTTCGATACTGGTGCTGGTGGTCTCGGCGGTCAGGGGAACGGGAATTAGGGCCATATCGGCGAATGGTACTCGGGCGTAAGGAGCTGATCATACCAAGCATCATTAGTAAATGGCAACCAAAGAGAAGTATTGGGAGACGGCGTATGAATACCTTGAAGACCTCCGTCGAGGCCTCCGAAAGGCAGACCCATTCGAGGTCCAGTCGCGACTCCCATATCGATGTGTCCGGTAGCGCCGTTGTCTGGAATGATAACATATTGTCCCACCTCCAAAGATGACACGCCGCTACCAATGGACTCGATATATCCCAATATATCACTATTAGCTTCAAGGTGCTTTTGCAGAACATCCTCTTGTCCTAGACTTGGTCTCATACTAGCTTCGTGGCCCAACGCCCATGGTGGCTCCCCTCCCACATAGCCATGATAACGGTGCAGGTCCGAACCACAAAGCGCAGAGGTTGTGATACGGACTATTGCGTCGGTGGTATTGATAATACGCGGCATGGGGAACTGATCAATGTGAACTTGATACGGCCCCGTCATGACGGCAGCCCGCATGGTGCTGTTGAGAAATCCAAGAGACATGATGTTCAAAATTTGTAATTCTTTTCGACGTAAAGAGATTGCCAATGGTGCTAAGAAGACTTTTTTTACCTTCAAGCTAAGTAGCAGTTGATGTTATATAGTGAATGGGCTTAGGCCTAGCCTGCTCGGCGCTTGTCCTCGGAGTCATCTCTTGGCTCATGATCCGCAAAGCATAGTGTCATCCGCATTGGCATGACGCGGCAGTGGTGGCTGTTCGAGGTGATAGCAAACCCACGTTCAAAGTTATGATTCTATCATGTGTCCACTGATAGTGATGGTGTCATGGAGGCTGAGAACTGACCGAGGCCGTACCCACCGCCTGATTTAAGCATATATCAACCCAAGCTTAGTTCAGACTTGTCAGCATTGACGGCAATTCGCTCGGTATCGCATTTGGCAATGGCCCACTTGCCCTAACATAAGGTGATATACGCATAGGAGTTGATCTCATTGGACGACTGCATAGACCCTTGCAGCCATCTTTCGTAGCCGCTGTAGGTAAACAGGAAAGTTTTCGGTAGAACCACTCCTTGTAGAAAGCCGAATTCATTGAGACAGAAATCCGCTTCCCCCACATTGAACCAAGGTGTAATTTGCCCGAAAGCTGCGCCGAAGTCCGTCTTGCTCTTCACTATCCGTGCCAAGCCTCGGAAGTCACCTCCGACAGGATCGGCAGCCGAGCCGAACTGGACGATTCAGAGAAACTGCCTTCTTACTTAGGCTTCATAGATAAGGATGTGATAGAATATTACTCGAAGCAGTAGGTAGATTCCACAATACCAGGTCCCTTATCCAGACGAGAGAGACCTTGCAGGAGCCATTTGCTCGAACTGTAGTCTGTAGATCTCTAATGTCTGGATAGTGTGCGTGGTTACGCAGTCATCGTGGCTATGCTGCCTTCACAGCTCAGATCGAGCGAATCTATCGGCAGACTGACATGATTCAATGTCATCGGCACTTCATTCATGGTCATACCTCACGCTTTCCTGATTCTCAACTATGCTTTGCAGCTTTGGCCTGTATGCTGTGTATTATTTGGCAGCTAGCCCGACGTGGCACAATAACTTTCAACTAGTGAGAGTACTGATGCGGTAGACTGTCCTTCTTTGTAGCTTCCATAGCGGTCGCAATTATTGCACCCCTAGTCTTCCGACCTCCCTACTTCAGTCACCAAGCCAAACACCCACTGCATATGTCTTGCTAAGGAACTGTCCAGTCTAGCACCCACAAGGTCGTCCCGAACTAAAGGCTAATGAAGCTTTTTTAACGGTCATATCTCAATTGGAATAACCTCTCTGGTTAGTTGCAATCTTCATCAGCGACGAAGCTTTCGGCTCCGACCTCACTTCGGGCCCGAAGTTGCCTGATGGCCCCATTTTCAGCTCCGAGACCCATCCGCGGGGACATGGATCTTTGACTGATTGTTCGTAATTGCACAGAAACTCGCTGGGTGGCTTCACAGAATAAGTAGTCGGTTTTAAAAATTGAATAAACGCTACGGGGGATTGAAGATAACTGTTGGATTCACAGGTGGAAAAGGAAAATACTCGAGTATCGTGGGTAGCAACGATCACCGACTGTAGTGGTGATATTGCTTGTTCTTGTTGTTGTTGAGTGGAAGTCTAACCAGGTGCCAGCGGCGGCAGGAAGTCTGGGGTATACCACCCTCGTGTGGCTGAGCCACACGGACCACCGTGGCTGGAACGGACCGCGGCAGCAACCTCCTGCTGCCTAATGTAGGCCTATTCCAACAATAACATAGTATGTCCGAATAGATTCCGAACCATATACGTTTCCCACAGAATGGAGTCAAAATTAAGAGTCTATAAGAGCTAGAGCCTTGTATCAAGTATACGCGAAAGTCGAGGCTCTTCACAATCTCTTAGATAGTTCAGACAATATTGCCATCTCGGTGTCGGAGCCGGTGTTATTGGTGGCAGACCTGATGAAGTGTTGCGATCTTCTTCGCTTATGATCCCAGAAGAGCCATCCAAGAAGGACAGCAGTGGTCAATGGAATCATGAACGCAAAGTAAATCCAAATCTTTGACGAAACATGAGCTTCTGCCATGATAATGTCAGTGCTAGACGCTCCATAAACGCGCCAAGGGACGCTGGTACTGACGAGTTTGGAAGTCAAAAAACGACATGCTGAAAATAGAGGCGATGAACGTGCCAGGCAGGAATGCAGCACCGAGGAGGGACAGAGCCTTCATTGCCTGGCTATCGCTTTTACTAGCATGGGCTATTTTCCTCTGATCTCCCGCTATCTTGAGATTCAGTTTCGCATCCTTCTGTGCAATTTCGGCCGTAATGAATGAAACCTAAGGTAGTTCTGGTTAGCAGATATTCTACGACCTCAACTTATGTGAGGTACGTAGTGGGTGGGCGTTTTTCTGACCATGCTCCTTTGGATGTTCAAGCGTTCCACAGATATTGAAACGTATTTCTCCAGTCCGACGAGCCGCACTCTGTGGCACTGGAAACGGTCCTTCAAAGTCGCATGGAGCCGATCTAACGCTTTGGTTTTGTCTGCAGAGTCGATATTTGCCCAGAAGCAATCTGTGGCAGCTTCCAAACTATCAATCACCTTGGAATACAACTTGGGTGGCCTATGGAGAATTCTTCTATGGTGTTCTGTAAGATCACTTGCGACGGCACGCAAATCGATAGTGCCATCTTTTGCGTAGTAAACGCCAGTTGTATCATCATTGACACTGATTGCCTTTTCGAGTTGCCGAATGCTAGTCCGGGCTTCTCGTTGCTTCACTTCGTCAGTTGTCGCTACTAGGCCAGACATGATAATGCTGGGAATGAGAAGTGGGTGGCTTATATCAAGGACACAGTCTCGCAAGTTCGATAAGCACTCCGTAATATCGGCGGTAGGCGTCCATTTAACGAACCCTGTGGTTTCAAGTCGCTTGAAAGAGTATGACAGGATCAGTTCCCAGCCGCGTGTTCCAGTCTTCTTGCGGCTATCGTGCTTCCCAAACACTATCTCTGAAGATTCAGTGAGTCCAACCCTTTGAGCGTGTGAGTGAAAGGTGGCAATAGCTTACGAAGGTGGGGATCGTCGTCTGCGAGAACGACATATCTGTACCAGAAGAGAGGTCCAAGAAAGGTCGTCAACTCAACGGCATGCAGTGGGAGCCGCAAACATTTGAGCATTTGCTCATAATGTGCTGGTGGCAATGGAATCTTCAATGGCGTGAACGTTTCTAAATCCATGGCATCCTTTTGAATGCTATCCCGCGATGTTAGTTACTGCGGCATATGCCAGTGAGAATCTGTCCTGACATCAAACGGAGCTTGCTCGAAAGCTTGCTGTTTTCTCCAGCGACCGGCGGGTAGAATTCGCCCTTGAAGAGTTGTCAGTGCTAAATGGTCTTTTTGCAGCAAAAGTACGGTCGGGAAGGGGGGTCAGAGACTCAGAGGGAGTCGCAAGGGTCTCACCTGCTCGTGTAAAAAGTCATTGAGGCTGTCAATAGTCAAATCTCCTTCCTTCAGCGCATTGAACGACGAATCCTAAATCAAGCTAGAGCTATTAGAATATTGACGCCAAGGATCGCATTGACAAAGGCAGTAACTTCCTATGTAGTTGTAGAGCGTGAGATAAGTCGTTGCTTCAGTGACATGGCGACACCTTGCCAAGTGCTTTTTGAACATGCACTCCTCCATTGAACGTTGAGGGCTTCGCAAGGAACTCATCTGCAACAAAACGAATAGCAAAGCTGCACCCTGGACTTTAAGAAGAAGGAACCCTCTGATCATGGAGAGTGGTGAGGCGGATCGCGCTCACTGCATAACAAGGGGTAAACCGAAATCAGGCTGAGAAAAGTGCACTTTCACTTCGGATGGAACTTATCGCATGCAATATTACTGCTTGATGCATGTTTGCGCAGCATGTTGCTAGGCGAAATATTGCAACACCCATGCTCACTCAATTGGTTCGACGAATCACTATGCACAATCGCGCGCTGGTGTGCCCCGGCCAACATAATGAGGCTGTCCGATCCTGCAGGACTCATATTAGGCAAGGCTTTTGGCAGCGATCTTTTCTACCCTGAGACTTGAAAAAATGACAAGTTTTGAGGATCACATTACTTATCACGCCTATTCGGGGGAATATTCCCATTTTCGGTCGCTAACATTGGATAGCCTCAAATCAATGGTGTCTGAAATGGTTAGAACTTAGAATCCGTTCAAAGTGTCTTGAAAGGCATCGACGTGGATGGCCGAGGCAGCCAGACAGCTGGCAATCGTCCTTTAATATTAGTAAAGTCCAAGAGCTTGGAATTACGTTAAACGGAAGAGAAAAGAATAACGTTTTAAGCCGTTTATTCAGCTAAAATATCCTGGATTCCTCATTCAGGCGCCTTCGAAGCTCTAATAGCGGGGATGAGTTGAACGAAGTGAGCTGAAATCGAGTTATTCCTAAAAGGTTTGGAATAGTAAACTTTTGTTGACAGAGCCTTGTTCTCCTTGCGGCAATAAGATGCAACTTGACAAACAGGAGTCAAGAAGATGGAACAAAGGCTTGAAATCGTGAATGTCTACACGTTGCACATAGACCTAGGGTAATTTGACCTGAGCAGAAATGTCTTTGGAAAGGTGATCTTGACTTTGACTGGATGGTGAAGCGGGATAAACGACCTTTTTTAAATCTTCAGATCAATTTGAATACTTGCCAAATGCGTCGCTGGCAGGTTCTCTGTACATCACTCAAAGTCGGCACTTCCGGCTTTCTGTAGGGGTGGATGCTGGATCCCGCCGAACACATTATTCCCAGAGCCGTGGCACGGGATGTGGGCAGTAAACGGGATGAACTCTAACAAATTAGAGAAAACATTGAGCCCGGACTCGTCCACCAGCCGCACTTAGATTGAAACAAGCATCGCCTAGCCGCGGGACGAATTTCTCCCCCATCAAGAATGGAGATCCCGACCCGAGTTTTACTGAATACGGCTTGGCTGGCTTTTCGGGATTACGCGTGCGCCTGTCAGAATATAGGCGTTGTCGCTCATAGGACGGTAGGACCGGCCCCTTGAATTTCGTCAGCTTTGGTATTGAGCCACACTCTGAAACTATTCTTGGCATTTGCAGTGAACGCGAGGCCTACTTTACCACTACCAACGTCAACCCTTTGTCTACGACTCCATGTTTCTTCTCCACCGCCCCTGGCTGCTGTTCTCCATACTCCATAGCGGTATTTGCTTGCCCCTGGGCATACGTTCCCCATGCGAAAAGCTTGGTATACTTTATTGAGCCGCGTAACGGCCCCCTGACATGGGGCTTAGCATCTTCGTGATGTGGAGAGTCTTCCGCCGGCGGGATAGAGGCCTTCGGGAGTCGTCATCTTAGCTGTAAAGGCGTTTTTACAAAATGATGTTTAAATCTGCCAAGCACCCGATCCCGTCTCAAGCTGCCCTCTCATGCCTGTTCATCCCATCTGCTAAACTTCAACACCATGCGCTCGTTCCAAATACTTTCGTTGGCGGCAGCCGCTGCTCCGGCCCTAGCCGACAGTCATTACTTTTTCTCGGGATTCTTCTCCGGCAGCACTATTGTCGGCGTCGAGTTCGATGACCAAACACAGTCGCTCACGTTGAAGAACAACATTAGCACAGACGCGAGCTCGGGCTCCAAGTGGATTCACATCGATGTAAGCATACTTGAGAATGCGCCTGCCAGATCTGATGCTGACAATTTGACGATAGTCCCGCCTGAAGAACTTGTATGTCGGTACGACTGGCTACTTTCAAAGCTATGCCATCACAGACGACCTCAGCTTGACGTACAGCAGTAACGTGAGCTTGTCTTCAGACTGTGAGTGTCCTAAAAGTAGATTGTCTCAAAATGAGTCTGTTGCTCACAGTAAATAGGTAGCAACGCCAACTACATCACCTCTTCCTCTGCCTCCCCTTACACTGTTTTCGGAACTCCCTATGGAGGTGGCTGCTCAAGCCTGGCTATCACCGTTGATGACTCAGGTGTGCTCCAGGAGGCTACCGCGAACGTCACATACGATAGCGCCGAAGGTGTCCATGGAACATGGATGAGCCCCAACAACGACTTCATCTACTCTGCCGATGACATGGGCAACGCCGTCTGGGCTCACTCCTATGACAACACCACCGGAGAGGTTACAGAAGTCCAGTACCTCGCCGCAGCCGAGGGATCTAACCCCAGACACTTGACCGTGCACCCCAATGGCAACTGGGTCTATGTCGTCTACGAGGAGGCCAACTCCATCGCGTCTTACAAGCGCGATACGACTACCGGCAAGCTGACTTTCACCAACACCACCTACTCTCTCTTGCCCTCAGGTATGCATCAAGTGGAGTGATTGCTAAAACTACCAGCTAACATCTCGTCAGGCTACACCAACACATCATCTTACTGGGCTGACGAAGTCATGTTCTCCATCCCCAGCAGCAACGCCAGCGCCACCGCGCCCAAGTACCTCATTGCTGCCACTCGCTCCCGCACCGTCGGCATCCCGGGTTACGTTTCCGCTTTCGCTCTCGACAGCACCACCGGCGCCATCACCGAGCAGCTCTTCCTCACTCCCACCACGAACAGCGGTGGCTCCGCCAATGCTGTCTCTCCCGCCAAGTTTAGCGAGGACTATTTTGCAATTACGGATAGCGGCTCGAACTTCCTGGAAGTATGGAAGATCGACACTACTGGCTCATCCACGACTGCGGCAGCCGTCGCGCATCTGGCCTTGGCATCGGGACCGGCCAACGTTGTTTGGTACAGCTGAGCGAGACGATGATGTTACGACAAGCATGCAATTCACGTTGCAGGTTTTTAGCTCTACGTACATAGCTGTGTATATCTCAAAAGAAACTAGATATCATCTAGGTGTTGATAAACTAGCTCGATTACGCTATGAACAGTCTCGAGTCTTCAACAAGTTTTCATGATTTATTGTGTCTATTGTCTATTATCTGTTCCAACTTCTGCGCTAAGTGTTTTGTTGGATCTCTGAGCAGTCGACAGAAAGGGTGGATCTGGAAGGCGGTATGAGGGGCACTTACAAACGGCCCTTTCACTTACATACCACTTCTGAGGAATCGTGGGCTTTGCCCACAACCTCCTCCTTCCACCTCCATACGCAGCAATAATAGACCATTATTGACACTTCGTTCCAACCGTACGGTTGCCCTGCTGACGTGTATACCAACATGTTTAGACCTGCCGTCATTCTTACACTAGGTACTCATGCCTCCCACGGCAGGCACTGAAAAGATCTCTGAATGCTCTAGCGTCGCCCTCCTTTGTTTCTTTTGAGCGGTTCATAGATGATTCGTCATCATCGCTGTCGTCATCGGGACCGAGATCATTGTCTCCAAACTCCATCTTATCAGTCTCACTGTCCGCCAATAACCATGGACTGGGACACATTCCCATGTCGAAATTAATGTATCGAGAAGGATACAGCACAGTTCCAATCCTGGTCGGACGAAGAAGGTGAAGTCCGTTGGGATCATTGTCAAAGCGAAAGTCTTTCAGGTAGGGAAGGCTGTTACGGATCTTATCAAAAACAACCTCCCATGTGCCATCGAACCTGTGGATCTCGGCACCACCATAAGAGATACCGTAAGAGCCTCTGAGTAGACGCTGCCAGTCTTCCTTGTGGAGATTCCATTTCTCCGTAGGCTCGGTGTCAATGTTAATGTGAGAGACAATAGAACAGCTGTCCAAACGTAAAGTCTCCAGCGAGTTCTGCGAGAGAACCCAGTCGAAGTGGCGGTTGTTGCTGATGACGAAGTTTCCCAGGTCCAGGGTCTTGAGACGAGGAAGCTTTAGGCCCGCCCCATCAAAGTATCCTGGTGTTGGAACAGCAAAGGCTGATAAGGAGTAATAGGCAGGTACCATGGGCTGGCTGGCACCTGCCCTGGGCGAAGTGGGACAACTGGCTTAGTCATCACGGCCGGATAAAGGTGGGGCAACCACACAGGCCGTCACTACCTACTTCGACCGACTCCTGCCTACAATGTAAGATAGAACAACAAGAAGAACAAGCAATAGGATCACCAACAGACGAGTGATAATTGCTACCACTATTTGTCGTATACGACCCCGTGAACCAACAGTCTCTCAAGTCTAGCCACACGCTGATAGTCAGGTCGGTGGGGCGCTTTGCATCCATCTTTGTCAACTTGTCGCACTCTTCGATTATGGCTATTCGCAGGGTTTGTAGTTTGGCTTGCCGAGGTAAAGGGCGAGAATCAGGGAGCCAGGCTGCAAAAAGCGATTTCAGAAGAGCACAGCTGGACGCAGCCGCATAATCGATTGCGGATAAACCTAGGCGATCTCTCGTGGTCGGGTCTGCGCCGAGCTGCAGTAAAAGATAAGTCATTTCGATGTTCCCACTCATGGCAGAAGAATGAGTGCATCTGCGCCACGACTACCACAAGATTGCTTCAGGTCTTCTCTAAGATTGATTCCGCGTCGGACGAGTTCTCGGAGAAAATTCGAGCAGCCAACGGTCGCTGCCAGCCACAGTGGACCGAAGGAACTGCCCGTAACGCCGTTGAGTGGAACCCCAAACTTGGATAAAATGTCTATTGTCGCTACCGCTCCTCGCTGTGCGGCATGACACATCGCATCCGTTCCGAAATCATCAATCGTTTGGCTGAGCTCACAATTGTGGGTAAAGAGTATCTCCAAGATCCTTGGAGATTGTAGTGTGGAGGCGAAATGGATGCAAGTTCGGCCGAGTCGATCCCGAATCTGGCCTGCTTCCGAGTTTGCTGCAAGCAACAAAGCAACAGTCTCAGGCCAGTCACCAAGGATTGCTTCCATCACTGGGGTCAACCCAGAACTGTTCTGGCTCAATGGATCGCATCCCGCATTGACTAAATGCTTGACGATGGACTGGCTTCCCATGGATGCGGCAAAATGGAGTGGTGTGTTGCTGTTCAAGCTCAGCGATCGGCATTCGGCACCTCGAGCAAGAAGGGAAGTCACAATCTCTTCGTGCCCGTATTCCATAGCGATAGCGACAGGATAAATCCCCCAAGTATCACATAGATCTATGTCGGCATCCTGCTCGATCAGATATTCAACAACATCTTCTTGGCCCCTTTCACAGGCCCACCTAAGGGGCGTTTGATTGAGCTTGTCGCGCTCGTTGATATTTCCTGCCACAACCAAAAGTCTCGTACAGGCAAGATGCCCCTCTCCAGCAAACCAGTGAATTGGGAGATTTTGATCGTCGTCTTTGAGGAACAATGAAGAAGGCTCAATATTCAACAGCCATTCTACAACACCTAAGGCCCCACACACAGCAGCCGAGTGAAGTGGAGTTCTGCCAAGCTCGTCGACGGGGAATGGGCTCGGCACAAAAGGCAGGCCCATGAAGTCTTTCATGAACTCTACTTGATTGTTTTCTGCTGCCACATGGAGAGGCGTCCGTTTCCTATGCCGAATGCATTCAAGGTACCAAGTCGACAAATTTGGGATGAGTTTTAAAATTGGCGACCATCCATTATGAGCTGCCCGGTATAGTGCGGTGTTGTCGGTACCTGGCGATAAGGCATCCGCTTTGTAGTCGACAATGAAAGTCTTAGCAAGTTCATAGGCTCCGTGAGAAACTGACGATGTTAATGGTGTGAATCTGTCTTTTTCGGAGTGATCAGGTTGTGCTCCATGTTGTAGGAGTCTAGTTGCAAGTACAAGATCATGTTGGAAAATGGTATTGTGTAAGGGCGTAAGCCCCTGAATATCTCCTGCGTTTATCAATTCAGTTGCTTCGCGCCTCGAGAGCAGAACGTCAACGACAGCGTAGTGACCGTGAATGCAGGCTAGGTGTAGTCCGTTTTCGCCTCTATGGTCGGCATTCAAAGCCTTGATATCTGCACCGTGTTCGAGAAGCAGTTCCACCATAGGGCCATGTCCCAGAGCGCAAGCGAGCCAAAATGCGTTCTCGCCATTGTGCCGCCTGTGGTTGATAAGCTCGAGTCTATGCGAATTGCCCTGTTGAGTCTTCCGGTTGAGAGGAGAAAATCTGTTGGGATCCCTTGCAATATCTGAGATTTTGGAGAGTATGATGTTGACAAATTTCAGCTCACCACTAGCAATGGCTTTGATGAGAGGTGTTGTGCCATCGTTTGATCCGATTGTGACATCTGCGCCTGCGGCAAGGAGTACCTCAAGAGAATGGTGGCAGCCACGCTCTATTGCACCATGCAGAGGCGTTTCACCATAAGCATCCCGAACATTCGGATCAAATTCGAAGCAAAGCAATTGGCGCAGTACATTGGCCCAATCTCGATCTGCTACATAATGGAGGTAACTGTCGCTAATGTGCTCGTCTATCAGCGCTTGCTTATCGTCTCTCTCTTGAATCATCTCGAGGATCCAGTTGCACATATCTTCACTATTGAAGATGATAGCATAATCAATGGGAATCCATCCTAGATGGTCCACATGATTAATGAGATTTGTTGCATGCGGCATTGATGCAGCCAGACTTCTCAGATCGAGGGCGCAGATGAGATGAAGTGCAGTTGGTTTTCGGTCAAAGTACGCCTCGGCAGGGAAGAGCTCCTCCGCAGTGAGGTCGTATGAAATGATAACCTTGAGACATAAATGGACAAGGCTGTCTACCGACAAGAGCCTCAAGGAAAGCCTTTTGATTCCAGGTCCTCTGTTGCCAACCAGACTCGACTGGTTGTAATGGCTTCCCCATTGAGACGACGCGTAGTGTAGCAGGGGATACTGCTGTTGCAATTGCAACAATTCGCTTGAGGCTAACGTACGAGTCCTCTGGAAGTCGTCAAAGTTGAGATAGGTGAGGCAAGCCTCGGCCATTATATCGTGAGCCTGGGATTGTAGCTCTCTGTATTCAGATAGGCCAGCAGAGTTCGAGGATAGGTAATCTTCAAGCGATCCATGAATGAGGTAGTAAAACCCCCCCGTCTCATTGATGAGATCCGCACATTGTCTGCAGATTTGGTAGTCGCTCTTCAATCTCTGACTGCCTCTCATGCCATTTCGCTTGAGCTTGAGCGATAAAGCTTCGAGTAACTCCATCTTAGACAACGGGCGACGAGAATTTGTAATCCAAAGGAGTGCCATCAATGCTCTTTTCCTGAAGGGCGTATGCTTCTCAAGTATTGAGTTGATGGCCTGTCCGTACAAATCGTTCAAATCTTCCACGGTGTCCTTCAAAGAATCTTTGATGTCTTCGGCATTTCCAAGGTCTCTGAAATCTCGCACCTTCAGACGAACATATAAAAACATTCCCGATGCGTTGTTGACAAGTTTGCTTTGGATTTCTCTGAAGTCTTCGAGTTCTTCTTGTGAGGGTCTCAGAAATTTTCTGCGACACAAATTTCTCAATGTCGACATTATTGGCGCCGTTGTCGACCTTGATGATATGGGAGGTATTTTGCATAATCTTGTCGATCTCGCTATAGTTAGGTCTGCTCAGTACCATAACCTTTGTGACGGCACTCGAGTTCTCTGCCAGACTAGAAATGAAGTTGCAAAACTCCTTGAAATGGCTATCGTCTAGTTTGCTGCATTCGTCAAGACCATCGACTATGATTGAGCTCGTGTGGCATGCCGAGATAGCTTTGAGAATGCCACTCTTGAGATCGCTTCGCCGGGGAGACTCTTTGCTGTTGTAATCGTCTCTCGAGATCAAGTCTTTGACATCTTTGCTTGGGGGAAGCTGTCGACAAATTTGCCTCAGGAGGGAGCCCAAGAGGTTGTTGAGTGTCATTTCAGTCTTTGACTGTGTCGTAGTACAGTAGACAAACGCTACAACATTGACCGAGGCATTATTTGCCTCCAAAATCAACTTTTCGATGATCCGTGATGCCAAGTGAGATTTTCCAGAGCCATGCTTCCCACGGATCCAGAGCATAGATGACGATTAGCTGTCATTCCATGCTTTGTAATCGTCGTTATTGTTGAGCCAGTCGCCTGTGCCATCAACACTTCTCTCAAATGCATTGTCGTGAATCTCTCCAAAGTCAATGAAGGGAAGCCAGTCAAGGAACTCTTTGCGTCTTTGCGCTGCGAAGTTGTCAGTATAGAGTAGTTGCGAACTGGAGGACGATGTCTTACCTCTGTCCTTGTCTTCATCCTGCTTTTGCCGTTGTAGCTTTTCTTCCATCGCTTCCCCCTTATCTTGTGAATCTCGTTCAATGAATACACCCATTTACTTGACTCCAAAATGTGTTTCTTTGGTCCATCGATTGTTGATCAAGCCTCTCCGATTCTCCAGAGCACGAACGTGCTGTTTGCAATGTGCCACGATGTCACCAAACTTGGTATCGAAGTCTTTGAATTGCAGCTTCATAGCCACTGAAAGACCATTTCTCTGCTTGCCCTTTTCATCATAGAAGACGGGTGCCACTTTTACACAGAAATGAAGGATGTCAGTTGCAAGGTTCAGTTCGCATGCCTTGATTCCGATATCATCCTGGAAAATCCCCTCTTGGCGATATTGATTGATAGAGTCAATCTCTAGCACCATTCGCTCCATCTCCTCAATAAGCTTGCTTTGGTAATCGTCCACACGGTTGCTGGCCGACAAAATGCAAGTGATGCCTCCGATGACAAGAGATGGCGGGAATGGACTGGCCTGGTCTGCGGAGGCTATCAGCGGCGCGATCAACTTGACGAGTGCGTAAACGGGCTTCAGATTCCTCGACAGCCTCGATATCTTGCTTGAGTTGGTTGTATTCTGAACTGCGCGGGTCAAGTCCAATACATAGTTCTCGTAGCTGTCGGCCTCTACGCCTCGCTCAAAAAGCAGGCGCTGCTCTGGCTGGAGCTTTTCTGCTTCCGATAGCCAATATTTGACAGCAGTGTCGGTACTCTGTTTCTCAAGCTCCTTCTCGTTGGCTTCCATCGTTACTGATCGCTCCGGGGGCCTTGCGGGAAGGCCCAATGACTTTTGTCGGACGGGCATGGTGTTTGGTTCGAGCGTTGTCGCACTCGCAACACAAGCCTCCTCGCAGAGAAAGTTGGAGAAGGAACATTGCGAGCAGAATAGTCGGGGGACCAGGGGCGGGCTTTGCCTTTGGGCAGTTATCTGCAGCCTGATCTTGTGAACACCACCGACTGTGCCGCTGCACACTCGACATGGCCACACAAGAGGGGACATGGAGCCCCGCAGTGGAGGAGCTTTTGTTATGTACGGATACGTGGTAATCAGCTCAGATACAACCCAGCCAGTCGTATCTGCATTCTTTACACACCCCCAGTCAGTCGATGAAGCAGGCTGCGGATGATGCATGGCCGGGGAAATATCTCAACGCTGTGCAAACTGGCGAAATTCTAGGGAGTGCTACACAAGTGCCTGATTGGTCAACATTGGGAGGGATGGCATAGAGGGTTGAGAATGAATGATCTTGGCTCTTTGTAGTATCCAGGTAGTCTACGCAACTAATCAAGTTGACGCCATGGAATTTCTTCACGCAATTCTGCTAGACTAAGCATCTGACAATCAAACCTTCGATTTGGCACCGACATTCTCAACCACTTCAGTATTGCCGCCTCCACTCTTGACCTCGCCAAGAGTATCCATGTCATCGTGGTGGATGACCTTCTCAACAGCGCCAACAGCCTGGTCGGCAAGGGCCTTGTCCTCAAACACTGGTAAAGCACACTCATCAGCCATGCACAAAACAGGAGAAAATCGCGAACGGTGTCAAGAAACTTACAGAAAGCCAACTCCTCAAGGGTACGTCCCGCAGTCTCGGGGAACATAAAGTACACAAACACAACCTCAAAGGCGAGCCAGACGCAGTAGCTGATGAGGTACTTCCACGACGCCTCCTTGATGCCAATGGGGTTGACAAAGGTCGTGAAGAAGCCAGCCAACCTGCCAAAGAGCTGGAAGAGCGAGATGCCGCGCGACCGCAGGGCGTAGGGCCACAGCTCGACGAGGTAGGTGTAGGTGAGGGCGTTGTAGCCGATGCTGTAGCAGGGTGAGTACATGAAGATGAAGAAGATTGTCGCGACGGAGGCGGACTGGTTCTTGTAGTCGTTTTCGAGGGCGTGGACGGCGCGTTCCATGGAGATTGTCCAGCTGATGTAGCAGAGGAGCTGTTGAGGATTGTGAGCAGGTGAATGCTTAGGCTGACGTATTGGGGGAGACATACCAGTGAGATTGTGCAGGCTAGGTACATGACGCGGCGACGGAAGGTTCGCACGAGCATGGCTACTGTGAAGCCGCAGATGAGGGACCAGCCTGCGATGCCGAGATTGATCTTTTGCTTGACCGTGGAGTCGGTCAAGCCGATCATCTGGAGCAGATCACCCAAGTAGTATCTGTATTGTTAGCCGCTATTCAGGTGGTACTTGAAGAATAGTACCGGGAGACTTACGAGATGAGCGTGTTGCCGGACCACTGGGTAAAGAGACCCAGCATGGAAGAGATGAGAGCACGGCGGCGCATACCAGCCGTGTTGAGGAGGTCCATCCACGACTGCTTGGAGGCTTCCATCTCGAGGGTGATGACGGTCTTCATCTGTGCCATCTCGGCCCTGACGAATTCGGACTCACGGTCGCCTTCGGCGTGGTACTTGATGAGGATTTCGTGTGCTTCTTCGCTGCGGTCTCTGGTGATGAGCCATCGGGGACTCTCGGGCAGGAAGCTGTGGCATTGTGGGTTAGAAATCGATGTGACTGAAGTTTACGCGTTGAGCTCATTCTTCGAGGGGTGCGACTTACAAAACGAAAGATATCTGCAACAGAGAGGGGCAAATTTGGAGGAGAGAGGGAATTCTCCATGCCCAGTTGCTCGCAATGTTGTTCGTGCCGAAGCAGATGCCCGCAGCCACGATCTGACCAACAAAGTACGCCACGTTGAAGCTAAAAGTCCGTCAGTCCAACAATTCGTCCCACAAAGAGCGAAATACCTACAGAGATGTCAGAACAGGACGTTCCTTGGGATAACTCAATTCACCAATCAGAGACGAGCCGGAGACGATACATGTCGGGATACCAAAGCCGAGGATCATGCGGGCAACGATGTACATGCCAACTACTCAAAGTCAGTTCTCATCTTAGACAAGGCGATATGACGGCCGAACGTACCATGCTGAGAGAAGCCCTGGATAAGAGCTCCAACGACCATAACCAAACTGCCGCCAAAGATGGACCATCTTCGTCCAAACTTGTCGTTCACGATGGGGATAAAGGGAAGAGACAGGATAGCGCCGAGGGAATACGCAGCGGCGATGATGCCCTTCAAACTACCCTGTGGGTCTCCAAAGTCTACCAAACAGGTCAGCTTCAGACTTCCAGGCTCCTCCTCAACACACTCAAGAACTTGGAATCGGTTAACCAAACTTACAATCTTTCCAGGATGGCACAATCTGCAGCGCATTGATCATTTGCGAGTCGAAACCAGACGTCAATTCGATGCCCATGCACGTCGGGAAGAGCATCAGGTAGAGGTATCGCAAGTTCGGCTTCTGGTACCACGGCACCTTGTCCTCCTCCGAGATGCGGGTCAGAATGGGGTCCGCCGCCCCGGTCTCCTGGGCACGCTTGATCTGCACCATTGTGACTTTGTGAGGATGTTGTGCGGTTTCGCTCACGCAGAAAGAAGAAAGCGGTCAGAAGAGTCTCAGCGACGCGTCGAAATGTTTAGACGGTGACAGTCGATGGGGGTGGTATCAGGAATAAGTAGTTTTTATCCAGTTGACCGAGTATACGGGGATATATGTTACCGAGTCCTTGTCCCTGGGCGTTCAAGGGTGTGTGTGTGTTCAAGGGCGCGCGACTCCAACACGCTTCTCTAGTGTATCCGTAGACTCTCTCATCTCCAACTTCCGACGAGGTCCACCCGGGTATTTTATATACATACGCACTGCCGTGAAGTAACTACCCCATGTTTGGATACGTCCGAACCTATCAGCACAATGGGCAGATTTCGGCAGACAGCAAGCCAGAACCAAGAGAAGGGCTAAGGCGGGACAGCGGGAGAGGGAAGCGGCGTCGGCCAGGATCCCAGGTGGCAGAAGGTCCGAATGAGATGACTGTTGCATCGGGGACACGCTCGCAAAGAGCCGGGGGCGGTGGCACATCATCCATGGCCCCATGGGAGGGGAGTTAGCTTCTCGCCAAGACGTGTCTGGGGGTTTCCTCGCCGGGGCTTGAGGTTGAATTGTTGTTTGCATTTATCCATCCAGTGAGGAAACCACGTTCGTCTCAAACAATGGAGCAGCATTCAATGATATGCGGGGAAGTTTCCCCCACATGGTCTTTGCTTTTCCCCATGGGCGTTGGTCAGATGGTTCGCTGCTTAATTTATGGGCAGGGGAAGGATTGTGGGAGTTTTTCGCACGAGCATTCAACTCCGCATCTCCGCTAGAACAACTAGATGGTTTGGGGAAAGACTTGGGCCAAGGAGACGGTTTATTGGTTGGTTTTCCATCAGTTGCTTACGGGGAATGGATCAACATCAGGTTTGTTTTCTCGAGGTGCTTGGCTTGGCGGTGACTTTATCAGAGGGATGGGGGGAGGTTGGCGCCGTTACCGTATTCGGTCATTCGGGATGGCCAGAAGCGAGATTTCGTATCCAATGCCGAGGTCATGGTACGGAAGTCCGAGATGTGGAGAGATGAGACACTTCAATCTCCCAGACTCTTCGATGAAAAGTCTACGGATGCTATGAACCAAAAGAAGCATTCGAGTCTTGGAGGGTTTCCGATGAAGCATCATGTCTCCCATGGGTTCCCCGCGCCGAGTTCAAAGGTTGTGATGGATGTCGGGTTACTCCAACTAGACTGCAGCTGCTCATGCGGACTGACGCCGAGAGACTGTCCAGCGCAGTAACGCGGCACAGCTCGTCTATTCGAGGCGAGCTGTGTAGGATGCGGACGAAAAGAACCTTGCTCAGAAGAAGCAGGCAATCTGTCGTATTACCACATCTTCTTCGGGCTGGTTCCTGTAAGGTACTCCGTAGTCACGCTGACTTCTCCCACCGGCCGGGGCATGCGTTCCAACTTCTAATTGTTCCATTCATTGAGAGAACCCCAGTACAGGACGAGGTTGGCAAAAGACCACCCACCCGTGTGTCCAAGATGTTGCTTACTCTTCGCTAAGTATCCCATTCCATCAGTCTGTGTTTAGCAACTTCATGTTTCTTCCCAACGGTGTGGTCGACAGCTCGCACTGATGTAACCCTGTATCCAAAGACTCAAGAGTCTTACCAAGTTCCGACTGGTCTCGTCGGACTCGGGGACGGTGCCCGTGCCGTGTGTCAGCGGCGGATCGGAGCCCATCCTGGTTGAAGCCATTGGAACGCGGGGATGCAAGATTCATGGTCGTCCTAGCCGGGTAATATCAAAGGCTCTGACTAAAGTTTGCGAGGGTTGTGATTGACGTCTCTTTTCCAATTCACTCTCCTCAATGTATGAGCTCCTCGACGTTGATCCGAAGGGGGGAAGATTGCGGGGGAAGATCTTCTGCATCTCATTGGAGTAGAGCCGGACGCCGTCAACCATCCCGAATGGGCTCAAAGTTCTAGAACAGTTGTCACACTCATAGTGTACCTACGCCCGACGAAACAAGACCCCGTAGAGCTCTTCCGTAACGCATGCCATTCTGTCTTTTGCACACAGCGGCGAACAACTTATAAGAAAGCAAATAGACATCACGCGGGCTTGAAGTCTTCCGCCCTCTAGAGTCCATGCCAAATCAAGGACAAACAAAAGTCCTCGGCATCCTCCCATTTTCCCCCCACAAGACAACACAGACTCAAATATCATAGGCTCGTGAAGAAGGAGCACCCTACAGGGGTTTCCGATAGACCCGTCAACCACACCATTTCCCTCTACCGGCATTGCGGGAGACCGGGGTTGGGGTGTGCGCGTTAGCCGTAAAGTCCCGAGAGAAGGGCCGATTGCCACGAGGGATTGGGACTAGATAATCGGGACGTCGTCCCTGGAACGCTCGCCTCTTATGGTGTCTGTTTTTCGTGATCTCTTAAACTTCGGAAGGATTTTGATTTTCTTTGGAGTTTCTGTTGCTTGGCTCGTTGCGAAGTCTTAGGAAGGGGAAAGTGGAGGATGATCCAGGAAGGTCTATTCCGATTCTTTACGATACCCGAATACTCCCGACTCGAGCACCCATCCGAACGATTTCCATGTCCGATGAGAATCACAGCACAAACCATGGGTCGACATCTCGACCGAGTTTGATACCGATGAGCTTGGCAAAATGTTGACTACAGGGGAAAAGAGGCTATTGGAGAGGGAGTTCGTACCAGAATCATCCACCCGCCATGGCGGTGAGGGGGAGTTTTACTTCCGAAGGGTCTACAAGCACGATGACGAGAACGACGAGAACAATAACGACCACAATCAACAACATCCCATTTTCACATCGCAGAAACGTAACAGCAGTGTTTTAGTAACCTTCCACTATAGCGTTAAGGCTTCTTTAAAGTATAAAGCAACGCCTCACAGACGCCCTTCTCACGATAAAAGCAGCGACGAGAGCTTCCATGGACACATTCGGTTCAACCACAGTGCCGCCACGACAGTGTTAGGTTCCCACTGATATCGATGATCGCCTCTTCGATGACAGCGTTTGAACCTCGCCCACTAGAGCCGGTCAAGAGAACCTCGAGTGCTGGTGCGGGTTAAGACTAGAGTCTGGCTGGTACTAGTGTCTTCGTATTCGTAAGTGGTTACGACGAGGGTAGAGGAGAGAGGATAAAAGAGAGGTATAGAGGATAAAGAGAGACAGAGAAGAGGGATAGAGATAAAGAGGATGAGAAACAGAAGACGCTGATGAAGATAAGAGAGAGAAAGGCAGGGAGGGAGAGAGAGAGAGATGGGGAGAGGTTTTTAAGTTCGATATGCTTTGTACTTACTCCAGGGGATCTGGCCCAGGTCAAGACGAGGATCTGGCTGGCATTGGTGTCTTCGTATTCGTGAGTACCTATGACGAGGGGACGAGAGTGGACGAGAGAAAGGCCCGGTTGATCGATATGCTTGTTGCTCACCATATCTCGCCTCACCTTGCCAGGCTGTCTCAGTATCGTTTGCCCGGCACTCAGCCGGCACAAAGAGCCGACGGCAACAGCTCTCAGCGAATTGACCAGTTCTCCGTCACCGGTGTCCGAACGGTAGGTTTTATAGATATTAATAGTAATAGTCTCATATCACACAGTTCATCGAAGAGCCAGTAGGAGCCAGCAGAATGCATCAAGAACAAGAGGTGATGGTCATTACTCCAGAGCTAGGAAATCTAAGTTTTTTTTTTTCTTTCCCTCTTTCCACTTCCTGCCATCTGTCTCGCCACACTGTTGAGGGGGGACATATCCGATCCCCCATGTTTACCCATTTACATTCATACAAAACGTCATAAGAAGCTTCAATCTCATTTCGTCTCACGAACAACCTTGTCGACCGCCTTGGCAAAGTACTCGACATTCCTCGTGTTGAGACCAGCCATGCTGATGCGACCGTTCTTGGTCATGTACACGTGAGCATCCTCGCGCAATTTCAGTACCTGCGTCTCGGACAGGCCGGTGAAGCTGAACATGCCGATCTGGTCGGTGATGTGGTTCCAGGTGCCGGGGGTGCCGAGCTCCTCGAGCTTGGCGCGAAGGACCTTGCGCATCTCGATGATGCGGCCGGACATTGTGCGCAGGTTGTCCTCCCACTCGGCGAAGAGCGCCGGGTCGTTGAGCACGGTGGCTGCGACGCGGGCGCCGTACAACGGAGGGTTTGAGATCTCGGAGCGCTGGAGGATGGCGAGCTGGGAAGCGATGCGTTTCGTGGTATCGGCGGCGTCGGAGGCCGGGGCGGTGACGAAGTGGAAGCATCCGGCGCGCTCGCCGTAGAGGCCAAAGTTCTTTGCGAAACTCTGGGCAATGAGGAGCTCGAAGCCCTGCTCGATGAAGTAGCGCACAGCCCAAGCATCCTGGGCGAGGTTGCCAGAGGCAAAGCCCTGATAGGCGCAGTCGAAGAAGGGGAAGTGGTTCTTCTGGCGCATCAGGGCGGCAATCTCCTTCCACTGCTCCTGTGTCGGGTCAACACCAGTGGGGTTGTGAGCGCAGGCGTGGAGAAGGATGATGGAGCGCTCGGGAGCGGAGGACAGGGTAGACTTGAGGCCCTCAAAGTCGAGACCCTTTGTCTCCTTGGAGAAGTAGGGATATTGAGCGATGGGCAGGCCGACGTTGCCAAAGATCTGGTTGTGGTTGGCCCATGTCGGGTTGGAGATGTAGACTGTGCGGTTGCCCTTGTAGAACTTTGCGAGGAAGAGGGCGCCGAGATGGACGGCACCTGTACCGGAGATGGTCTGGACGGAGGAAGTGCGCTTCTCACGGATGGCGGGCGAGTCGGCGCCGAGCATCAGCTCGTTGGCCTTGCCGGTGAATTGGGGAATACCGGCGATGGGGGCATATTCGTGGTTCAGTTCGGGATCGTTGCGGAGGATCTCGTCGGCCTGTAAAGTTGCATCATGGCGGGGTTAGCGGGGGTGGGTAACTTGTAAGGGGCAGGCGAAAAGTGGAGGAAGTGGGATGCGATGAGGGGAAAGCTCATCAAAAATAGGACGATGCACATCAGCTGTTGTGCTGCCGATGCGTGACGCAGCCGGGCTTTGCCTTGCTGGAGCCGGAGGGGCCGCGAGCAGGGTCCGTCTCCGGAGGGTATTCACACATCTAGATGAAGGAAAATAGAGAGAGAGAATTGTGACGCACCTTCTTGACGACGGGGAGAACCCAAGGCTTCGCATTGTCATCGCGGTAAGCTCCAATTCCCTGGTCTGGTTAGCAAAAGAGTCGAGAACACCATCAAGACAGCTAGTCACAGCCTCTTGATGAATCAAGGGTTCACCCCACCAAATCGACCTTGTCCTTGCTCTGGTCTGCCCTGTAGGCGGCCATCAAGCCGAAGAGGGGATCCTCGGGAGCTTGTGGCACCGTGCTGGCGGGGAAGTTTGTCGTGGAAACAGGCGCCATGATGTGCGATGCGATGTTGCGTATTCTCGAGAGGGTAGAGTTGATCTGGGGAGAAGAAGAAGAGGAGGAGGAAGAGGGCGAAGCTGATGAAGAAGAAGAGGAATCACCGGGCATTTTCAGCGTCGGAGCTTTCGTGAGAAGGGGGAACGAGTCAGAGGCGGGGGGGAGGAAGGGTCTGTCTGGGGGTGGTTATTATTATGGCATCAAATAGTGGTACGATTTAGACGGGCGAATGGGAAGCTTTGCGATTACAGGTGCCAACCGTTTGTCCAGCGTCTGAGGTGCCCCCAAGTACCCAGGTGGGCAGTGGGAATGGGAGCTTGGTCACCGGTGTGGTCGGGGTGTTTTGGGACCTTGGGATTTTGGGATGAGAGGTGCCCTTCTGCCCGGGCTCCCGGGGGGGTCACCGTGTCACCCGACGCCTCGAGGTTGGACGGGGAAGGGGAAGGGGGAAGCGGACATGCACCTCCATAGACGGGGGACTTCCAGCTAAGGTAAGGCAGGAAACGTCTAGGACGTCAAGGGACAGGGCAAGCCGCAAGATGACATGTTGCTGAGGCGAGGGACGGACGGGCTGCAACTGCTTACCTAGGGGAAGACGACGGGGGGTTTGGTTGGTGCGGGAGCTAAGCTATCCCAGAAAGACCTGGACATGTTAACTACGATCCGGTAAACGCTTGCTTGGGTCTGGCCGAGTGTCTCGTCCCCGCGGCGCACCGGGAGTTGCAGAAAACGTACAAGAACGTAGATGTGGTTGCAGCGGACGGGCGGGCTGCAGAAGACAGACACTACCTAGGTACAGACGCAGGGTGCAGGGTACACCGTACGGCAGAGCAACGGCGTCGATACAAGGGGTTGGTTGGGGGTTGGTTGGGGGTTGGTTGGGGGTTGCTGGAATCCTGGATGAAGGGCTGACTGAGGTGGTGAGGTTTTGGCTCGGACGATCGGAGGGCGTATGTTTTGTGGCTCGGAAATTCTGGCTGTCTGGGTAGGTGGCAGGAGAAACTTGAGAAAGAGCAAGCAATCGACTTTGAATGGAACCTGGTGACGGAGAAAAAGTACCACTGTGACACTTCCAAGGCTGGGTTTTGGGGCAAAGTTGTATCAAATGGAATCCACCGGGTGCGGGCAGGATAGTCAGGTCGAGGTAGGTATTTCGTAACGCCTTGCCCGAATCGGGTGCGGATAGGCGGATTTGTCTGCAGAAATAGATTGTTTCTGTCCCTTCTGTCCCTTTGCTAGGTAAACGGGAAGCAGTATGGTGACTTGTCCGGGATGTTGAAGCAGAGAAAAAGATACCGAGAATGAAGAAATCGGCGAAGTGTCGGGCGATAATCGGGGATTTCGTTGTTTCCAGGTTTGGCAGCAGCAGCAGTGGCAGTACCTTCCTTTCGGTGTCTTGTGCATCGGCGGGGGAAGGAGCGCGCCTTCTCTTTATCCTCTAGCTGTCGGCTCCCCACTGCTTCCCCATTGCCCCCCAACCTTTCCCAATTGCGCTTGTGAGGTCACCCGTTGCGGGCGGGCCGAGGTCTCGGGCTCAACCCCATGACTCTCCAAACTATCCCATTTGCTGCCAGACTGCATTCACGACTCAAACCTCATGGTACACAGGTAGAAGTTCATCCCGGTTTACCTTCTTGGTTTCCTTATGAACCGATAATATCGGATGTAGTGCAATGCTAGATCAGGCTATAAGCCGAACCGCAGCATGGCCAAGATCATCCCATCTCATCTGTATGATGGACTGCTACAGCTTGACAGACGCACATTCGTCCCAGAAAAAGTAGCCTCTAACCTGGGAATACTGCAACTGAGTAATGTAGTTATATTTACAGAGCTCGGCACATCTACCAAGAATAACCGCAAAGATGAGACCACTCCTCGGTATTGCAACATTCCCCCCTCCAAAACACCGCGAGTACCGAGAACCGTTTCGCATGTCAAATCCAGGGATGTCGTTAGCAGCGCCAATCAGAAGCTCGCCTGCTCAGAGCTTGCTTTGGTCCCCCGTGGACCTGCCGAAGCCCCCAGCATCCCCGAGCACACCGTAACAATTCCTCATCTCTATCATGAAGGCAGCTCGGTTTGCTCAAGAAGGCAAGATCGCTATTAATGCTCCTAGTGCCCGTAGATTGAGGCACCGGTCTTCCTATGTTCTAGTCCGCTGGATCTACATGGCTTGGGACTAGGTCACCTGCACCTGGCCCAGGCTTTTTAACTCCTCAGCATGTGACGCTCGTATCTAGAAACTTTCACATGTCTGTCAGCCCAACCTCCCACCACCCCACAATGAGCCTGTGATTGGAGTCAAGACACAAGTGGAATGCTACGTTGATATTTCAAAACTGCACAAATTGAAAAGGCCGGAGATTGAAGGTGGGATTTATTAGGTCTCGATACGTGGTGGGGAGGACAGCCTAGATGATGGTTCTGATGTGTATCGCCATTAGCAATTCATACTCGACAAACTCCCAGCCAAAGCTTCTATGCAGCCCATAAGCGACAGCCTCACAGCTATATGATCAAATCCCACAGAATCAAAAACGTGCACAACCCAGCCGACGCGAAGAACGTATACCTCGCCGCGCTCGGTCGCTGCGCCGCCTTCTTCAGCTGCTTGTTACCGCCGCCCACATCCGCCGTGATATTTTCCGAATCCGCCACAAGTTGCTCGATATGCGCCGACTGCGTCGCCAAGTTACCCACCAGCAACGTCTGCAGCTCCGCGATCTCGAGCAGCGACTTCTCTGCCGTCCTGTTCATAGCCACCGTTGATTAGCGATGCATCTTGAGAGCAGTCTCGGGCGACTTGTAGTGAAGATCGTCAACCATCCCAAAGACATACCTGACTTTGTCCAGCGTGCTGTTGTAGTGCTGGAGCATATCCTGGTTCCCCTTTTCAAACATCTGAATCTGCTCATCCGTAAGGCCCTCTCGCGGATCATACGACGATGTACCCTCATCCCCCGGCGGCAGACCACCACCAGCCTTGCCCGCCGTCCCCTTGTTGGCCGCAGCACTCTTCGCCATGGACTCATAAAACCCACCCAACTCAGGCATCGCACCACCACCACCAGCCTTAGCCAACACGCTCCGATTCTTCTCCATCTCCCTCGTAAGCCTCATCTCCATCATATCCTGCTGCGTCCTCCCGCACCGCTGCAGCCCCAGCCTTAGACTCTGAATCACCTCGTCGCGGTGCTGCCCAATCGTCCTCGCGCGCGCCTCGGCCGCGGCGTGCTCCGCCGTCTTTCCCTTGTCGCTGTCCCCCGCATCGCTTGCGGCGGCCCATGCTCCCAAGGCGCCGAGCCTGCTGGCGTACTTTTTGCGGATGACGGCCGTTTCGGTTTCGCGGCGGAGGAGCTCTGCTTCGTTGAGGGCTGTGATGCTTGCGTTGAGCTCGCGGAGCATTTGCTTTGCGTTTGCGTCGACTTCTTCGCGGTCGCGGTCTGTTAGGTGACGTTGCTGCTGTTGCTGGGCGGCGGCGGCGGCGGCGTGGATGTGTGTTTTGCGCGGCTGCGCTGTTGAGAGGTAGGCTTGTCGGACATCTTTGAGTTCGTTGTGGAGGTTTGTGATGTGGGAGTTCTGGAGGGAAAGAAGGTTAGAGGGATGTAGTTCTCAGTCACAGAAGGGAAGACACAGTCGTTGAGAGATTGGTATAGACTCACTATTCTGTAAGCCTCCTTGAGGAAGCCGTCAATCGCTTCGAGACTGAGCTTCTTTTCGGTGACGATGGGCGCATTGCGCTTCCGCAGGATTTCGTTGAATACCGGTGTAATGTCCATCTTCGGTGGCGAATGGAGACTTTTCCGTACGGCTAGGAGAGGAAAATGTCGAATATGAGAGCAATTACTTGGAGTTGAGTAGCATAGTGCGTGGTATCACGCAACGTCGAGGAATAACGTCGTTCAATCCTTGGTCACATCCACGCTGCCAGCTGGAGATCTGGAAAGCTGTTCTCCAATGACGTGGCTTCGGTTCTTAGGTCTCATCAGCCACATTTGTCCCCTCGGACTTGGGGCTGTTGTGGCTGGTACCTTAGTCCAAGATTAGCTAAGCGGGCCGTCGATGATGAGAGTCCCGGGCTGCATCGGCAGGGCGCACGAGCCAGTTCCCCCACAACGACGAGGTCGAAGCTTACAGATGACGCCAATTAAGACATCCATCAACGACTTTTCATGTTCCCATTGAAAAGGCACCACATTCAGGAACGGATTTCTGAGAATGGCTTAAAGCTCGAAGCTGAGATTTCCGATCTCGGAGCCAAATAACTCATGCTAGAGTCTAGCGATTCTAAACATGCCCACCATCTCTGGCTGTAAAGCCAACGCAGATCGCCTACTAGTGTCAAGCACACTAAGTTACCAACGGATCTTGTTTCTTGTTTGCTTGCACAATGGCCTCCCGCCCGATACCGCACCGATAGAGGCGTCCCAGAAGCCGCCTCTGTCAATGCTGGACGACTCCAGCTGCCCAAAACAGGCGGGCTTTTGTGGAGGCATGGCCCGGTCCGGACGAATAATGGAAGCTGCATGTTAATCGCGGTCGGTCAGAGGCCGAGTGGTGGAGACCGATCTGGGAGCGGAAATAACATCATTGTTGTAAAGGCAGGGTGTGCGGCAGCGCGGCAAGGTGGTCCCGCTCACGGATATGGACGACTTGCAAAATTCATGGAGGGAAGCAAGATCACTCATTATTGTGGTGTTTGCATGCTCATCTTTTCGGTTTATATCGCGTTGATACAGTCTTTGCGACATCCCCAGGAAACGTTGTGTGATACTATCAAGCAATTGTCTAAAGACAGTAACAGAAGCTCAGCTTCGATCCCTTGTGTCTTCTTGTCTTATCGTCCCCCCGTATCTTTGCTGGCTACGGCGATGCTGTCTCGACAAGTATGGGACAAGATGAGTTGAACCACATAAGCCAAATGGGCTCGGATCAGAACCCAACGAGGCCAAGTACACCACAGACATCTCCAAGCCCGTCCATCATTCAGGCCTTACCACCAGGCGACCCCGAACTCGCCAACGAGAAAGCACAGAATGAAGTCTCCTCAACCGAAGATCCCAACCCGGCCCAAGACCAAGACGACCCCGAAAACCTCACCCGCCAGCCCAGCGGCCCAGCCTACAGCGTCTTCTCCCCCTCCACAAAGCGCTGGGTAGCCTTCATGGCCTCCGTCGCCTGCTTCGTCCCGCCCATGTCAGCGAACATCTACTACCCGGTCCTGGCCCCCATCGCAGACGACCTCCACGTCTCCGTCGCTCTCGTCAACCTCACCGTCACCTCATACATGATCCTCCAAGCCATCTCCCCAACACTCTTTGGCGATTTCGGCGACATGGCTGGCCGCCGCCCGGCCTTTCTCATCGCTTTTAGTATTTATCTGGTGGCCTGCGTCGGGCTCGCCCTGCAGCGCAACTACGCCGCCCTCCTCGTCCTCCGCATGCTGCAGAGCGGCGGGAGCAGCGGCGCCATTGCTCTGGGGTTCGCCATGGTGGCCGATATCTCGGTCAGCTCGGAGCGGGGCAAGTACATGGGCATCGTCGGCGCGGGCATCAACGTCGGCCCCACCATCGGGCCCGTTTTGGGGGGCGTCCTGACGCAGTACTTTGGCTGGGCGTCCATCTTTTGGTTTTGCGTTGTGCTCATTAGCCTCTGGCTTGTCCCGTACGCTCTATTCGTCCCGGAAACCTGCCGCGGCGTCGTGGGCAATGGCTCCGTCCCAGCTCAGTCGTGGAACCGGCCTCTGATCGACCTCATCCGCCGGCGCCGGCGCCGTAACCGCAGGCTCCAAGACCCAGACAACCTCTCCCGGACAGAATCCGCCGCAACAGAAGCACCAACACATCCTCACCGCAAAATCCGCTTCCCAAACCCAATCCGCTCCGTCAAAATCATCTTTGAAAAAGAAATGGCCCTCGTCCTCGCCTACAACAGCCTCCTCTACGTAGCCTTCATCTGCGTAGCCGCCACCCTCGGCACCCTCTTCCGCGAAATCTACCACTTCAACGACCTCGAGCTCGGCCTCTGCTACCTCCCCTACGGCGCGGGCTGCGTCGTCGCCAGCCTGGGCCAGGGCTACGTCCTCGACTGGAACTACCACCGCATCGCCTCCCACATCGGCTTCGCCATCGACCGCCGCCGCGGCGACGACCTTCTCAAGTTCCCCATTGAAAAAGCCCGCCTGCAGCCCGTCTATCCGGCCGTCGCCGTGGGTCTCGCGGCGCTGACGGCGTACGGGTGGGTGTTGCATTTTGAGGTCGGTGGTGTTGCGGCGCCGTTGGTGCTGCAGGGTGTTATCGGGCTTACTATCACGGGGTCGTTTAGCGTTATGAATACGCTTATTGTGGATTTGTTCCCGGACGCGCCTGCGACGGCGACGGCGGCGAATAACCTGGTGCGGTGCGCCATGGGCGCCGTCGGGACGGCGGTGATTGAGTACATGATTCGGGGGATGGGGAGGGGGTGGTCGTTTACGTTCTTGGCTGCATTGTGTGCCGTGCTGAGCCCGATGATGTTTTTGATAGCGAAGAAGGGTCCCGTGTGGAGGAATGAGAGGCGGATGAGGGAAGAGGCGTCATGATTTGGTTTTGGGTTGGATACGGTCTTCCGTTTGTTGGAGAGGGCTGAATCTTTTGGCGTTGATAATGATATCAGAATATCTCAGTTCTAGTTTCAGGTTCAGGAGCGGGTTGGACTTTGTCTTCTCCTGGAATTGTGGTTTTCTATAATTATCATCAAGATCCGGTGCCACATGACCCAGCCATTGTCACTGACTGATTGACACTGTAGGTGTTTCTAAAAACACAATGTCCAGGAATAACTTGAAGCTTGATTTTGGGAGATCATCTACTATCGAAGAACTCTCTCAAGCTTGGACCAGAGGATTGTTTTTTTTGCGAACCACTCCGGTCAGGCAAACGCGGTCGAGACAAGACAGCGGGAAAATAGACTCGACCTAGCTCGAGTAAACATATTCTATTGTTTATGTCTCACGGTCTCGTGCATGCGCTCGCCAACGGGATGGAGCAGCAAGAGTCCCCTCCCGCGGGGGCCCGAGATGTCATCCCTTGGGAGCTCGTCCCATTCGTTCTAGCCCTGTCTCAGTAACCGTTAAGAGCCGCCAAGTGGACCACTCAACCGAGTTGTCTTGCTTGACTCTCGGTCTTGATGGACTGCTAGGTCCTAGACGTTGGAATAGCTGCTTTGCGGGACCGCATCCGGCGTCGCTAACGGCTGGCATGTCGTGGCTGTTGTAGGAGCAAGGCTATCGCGCTCATATTCAGATCGATTTAGCAGCAAACTCCGGCCCCAGAGCTCATGCTCGTAGCATCCCTTCGTTCCATAGCTTCAACTTCTTTGTAGACGCGGTCTCGGAAACCCCTCTTTTGAGGTAATTCCTGTCCGGAATATCGTCCAGAGTATCTATCGTCTTGAGTACCAAGTACGCGTGCTGTTGTCAATGAGATCATGGCAAGAGGTTTGCTTACTAGCCTGTGCGGGGTGCTTGCTGTTCGAACCGGCTACTTGGACGCGATCACAAGCTTCGAAAGGGATGTAGACTCTACGAGCGAGAATACCATCTGATGATGACCGGCGGAGTTGTTTGTGTCTCTTGCCACCTCTGAGGGTCGGATAGGTCAGCAACTTGGCGTCAAAAGTCCGTATTCTCTGGTCGCTCGCGTGCGAGAATGTGACGCCGTCCCACATGGTATAAGAAGCAGGGCTACCTCTGACGATCCCGAGATCAGGATCTAGACCGCAGATCAAACACTCTAGTTCATACCAACGTCAACAACTGGGCCTCTCCTACTAAAATACACCAACAAGTAAGTCAGTGACACTTAGCTGTACCCCAGATCGAACCTGACTTCTGTCTAGTCCAAGCCGAATAAGTCCACCTTCAAGAGAGGACCAGCATCGATGAAGCAGCAGACCCATATGGGCCTCGAGGGTCAGAGACATGGCGTTTCCAGGTCAGGAAGTAGCGTTGTAGATGATGCTCATCAGTCGAATCAGAGTTCACCCAAAAAGAAAAAGAACCGAAATAAAGCTCCTTCGAACATGGTAGCCGTGGACCGTCCGTGGCCTAGGTCAGAGGAAGCTCGGAAGGCTAGGCTGAATCCTTTCAGCACGCCTGTCGACACATCTATACATGACCCGCTCTGCCATTGGTACTACGACGAGATGGCTGATCAGCCATACAATGCAATAGACGAAGTAGAAATGCCCGTCCGGAATTGGGACGAGACACCAACGAGTGGAGAAGACGAAGACGCCTGGCCATGTGGAGCTCCGGCTGGCAGTGATATGGTCTGGTATGGCAGTTTACGATGATGTGTAGACGAGGACAGGGACAGAACAATGTTTTGCGGGAATGTGGTGCTGGATATCATTTTGTCGTCTATAAAGCGGGGACGGAGGACTCCAGAGCCTCTCTTCGAGCTTCCCAAGCCAACCAATCTGATCTCGTTGTCCTATTCCCGCGTCAGCATTTTCATCTTGCCCAGATCTAATGATGGATACGTACGGCAACAATCCCATTGAGTTGACCTTCCAAACCGCCAGGGCCAGGGCCACGAATTGCATAGCAACGTATGCCAACTTGACCTGCAACATCTTGGCCTTGTTCGTTTCCGATTCGAACCTCTCAAATGCCTGATTGACCGCAGTGAGACCCATCAGGGGGTTCTTGAAAGCCATAAACACCATCATAATGCTGAAGATCTGGAGCGAATTGCCGGACATGTACATCATGATGGCCGTCATTGGCAGGTTCTTGACGGGTGCGAGCGCCACCTCCCACGCCTTCTTGACTTTCAGAGTATCCATCTCCTCGGGTGTCTGTTGCTTGCGCGGCTGGATAGCCTTCTGGTCCTTCTGCTTCTACAGAGGTAAATTAGCGGGATTATTTGCTTGCGCGGGGCCGCGAAGAGCTTGCCTTGGAGCTGTATGAGGTTTGCGACGGGTAGCCTGGAGGGTCGGAGATGCCGGGGACCTTGGACTTAGCAGCTGGGGGAGACTGGAGGTCTGCGACCCATCGCGGGACATCGCCATTGACCAAAGCCATGATCGGAGTACTTGTGTCGGGTCTCGTTAGTTGAGCGCGCGGTCGGAAGCTTAGGGAACTCAGATGCAGGTGATGAGACGAAAGCTGGCAACGAATTCGCGCTGGTGGGTGATGACGGGCTGTCGTTGGAAAGCAGTTCCCCACAAAACGGGCCGGCTAAACCTAGGCAACCCGACGCGCACCCCACGCGGTTGACAGCGCCTGCGCTTATTCTTTATCGGCTGACCGATAAGGCCCAGTTTCGGACCTGTCGCACTCCACTGCGGAACGGCGGGAGCTTTGGGAATCCAACGTTGAACTTCCCCTTAAACAACTGGGAATCGAAACCCCGGATTGCCCGCAAGAAACAAACGACAAACGACCGCACCCCGTACCGTCGCACCGAGCGAACCCTCCCGAACCCACGCTCCGATAGACAACGGCCACAGCAGCTGGCGTAGGGACAAAAAGAAGGTTGTCCGGCATTTCAGCTCGACGACACGTTGATCGCGCAGAAGCCTCTTCGATTGGCCGCAACCCCCCCCCCGGCACCAACGACGCATGTGACATCCCTTCTGGCCTTTGCACTCCTCTCACCATCCAAGACAAGTCAAGGAAGTACTGCGTCTTCCAGCCAACTTTTGCGACCCCGTTCCGATCGAGTGGCTTGGCCCTAGTACAGGGACGCCAAAGTCGACATACATCGCGCAGCTGGGCGTGAGGGGTCCTAGGGTGTAATCGCCCTCCACGACGCGATCGAGCACCGGCAGAGAGCTTGCGGGACACCTGTTCGGAGGGATTCTGTCTGAGAATCGCACTACGCGCCACCACACCGACCACTGTGTCTGATACCAGGAGAAAGCCGTAAGCATGTCGAGCGCACAGGGTGGAGGAGACTCCAAGTTGTTTGCCAGGGTAAGATTTGGTTCTTGTCTATCTTGTCCCATCACACATACATGTCTTGCAGTTGGACGGCATCCTTCGCGAATTCTGTACCAAAACTCTCCGATATCTGTCTAAGACAGCCTGAGCTCGTTATCTGAGAGTTGTCCCTCTGCACTGTCTCCCCCATGTCCCTAATACCAGCCTTGCTGTGCGTCGCGGCCACGAGCTTCAGCTTCCCCTCATCATATGTAGTCGGCACAACCGCCTTCACCTCACCTCATATCTCCCACGTTGGATGCTGTCCTCCTATGCGTCGCCCGCCATGTTTATGGCCTACGTGCCCCCGCCGATTTATGTCAATAAACTAATAACCTCCAAGGGCAAAGTCGCAGAACTGCGGCTGGAACTGAACAGCGGCGGCAAGAAGGACAAGAACTATGCGAGCAAGAAGATTGCGCTGAAGAAGATTGTCGCCAACATGACCATGAGCAACAATGACATGGTCGCGCTGTTCCCCGACATCATCGGCTGCATGCATATTCAGAGTCTCGAGATCAAGAAGATGTACTACTTCCCCATCGCTCACCACGAGCCGTCCAGGTGTTGACGATTCGTCTAGGTGCTTTTTGTTCTTGGTCAACTATGCGAGGATGAGACCAGAAATTGCCGTTCAGGCTATTCCTGTGCTGGAGCAGGTGAGCGCAGCACCTTGAACTCATCTGAGACGCCAGTTGATTAACGTCATACAAGGATATGGAAGATCACAACCCGCTAGTCAGAGCTCTGGCTCTGCGGACGATGTCCTACATCCACGTCCGGGAGTTCGTCGAGGCGACTGTGCCTTTGGTCAAGCACATGTTGAAGGATGCGGATCCCTACGTGAGGAAGACGGCCGCCTTCTGCGTCGCAAAGCTCTACGACCACGACAGGCGCATGATCGAGGGGTCAGATCTGATCGACAGGCTTAACACGCTTCTCAGGGACGACAACCCTACCGTGGTTGCCAGTGCGCTGGCATCGTTGATGGACATTTGGGAGCGAAGCGACGCCATCAAGCTCACAATCGACTACAGCAATGCTTCCAAGATGGTGGCTATCCTCCCCGACTGCTCTGAGTGAGTACTTTTTCCATCGTTTTGCAGAGGCCGTTGCTGACAACCATTGTAGATGGGGTCAAACATACATCCTTGAGGCACTCATGTCATACGTGCCCCAGGAGTCAGGGGAAGCCTTGCTTCTCGCAGAGCGCATATCGCCGCGTCTTTCACATTCAAACTCGGCCGTCGTTCTCACCTGTATCCGCGTGGTTCTGTACCTCATGAACTACATCTCGGACCAGAGACAGATCGCAATCCTGTGCAAGAAGCTATCGCCTCCCCTCGTTACGCTCCTGGCAAAAGGTCCGGAAGTGCAATACCTCGCCCTGCGAAACGCTCTGTTGATCTTGCAGCGTCGACCTGAAGTCTTGCGCAACGACATTCGCGTCTTCTTCTGCAAGTACAACGACCCCATCTACGTAAAGGTCACGAAGCTCGAGCTCATCTTCATGCTCGCCAACGAAAACAACATCGATGAGGTTCTCACCGAACTTAGAGAGTATGCGACCGAAATCGACGTTCACTTTGTGCGCAAGGCCGTGCGTGCCATCGGCAAGCTAGCCATCAAGATCGAACCGGCATCGCGGCAGTGTATCAACCTGCTCCTCGAACTGGTTGCGACCAAGATCACGTATATTGTACAGGAGGCTACGGTCGTTATTAGGAATATCTTCCGCAAGTACCCCAACCAGTACGAGTCCATCATCGGCACTCTCTGCGAGCATCTCGACTCCCTCGACGAACCGGAAGCAAAGGCTGCCATGGTCTGGGTCATTGGACAGTATGCGGACAGAATAGAGAACAGCGAGGCACTCTTGGAGGACTTTTTGTACTCGTTTGCGGAGGAGCCGGTAGAGGTGCAGCTGGCACTACTCACGGCGACTGTCAAGCTCTTTATCCAGAGACCGACCAAGGGTCAGGAGCTGGTGCCTCGCGTTCTGAAGTGGGCGACGGAGGAGACGGACAACCCGGATCTTCGCGACAGAGCCTACATGTACTGGCGACTCCTATCGACGGACATGGCCGCAGCCAAGCAGATTGTGATGGGCGAAAAGCCGCCCATCACAGCCGAATCCGAGCGTCTCGACCCGGCTACCCTCGAAGAGATGTGCCTCAACGTCGGCACGCTTGCGACGGTATACCTGAAGCCGGTGCAGACCGTCTTCCGCTCGGCGCGGCCCAAGAAGCTGACGGACTCACCGGCGCTGCAGAAGCATCTCCTCCCGACGTCCATTGAGAATCAAAAGAGTCTGAGCATGCTCGGCATGGGCGGACAGGCGCAGGACTACAACATGCACGGCCAGCACGTCGCCAATGACCCGGCGGCGGTCAACGGTGAGATGGCGCAGGCGGTCAATGACGCGGACGCGTACTTTAACAGTATCGGACCGCAGCAGATGGCGGCTATGAGGATCGACCAGGGAGACGTGTTTGGTGAGACGGGGGGATACGAGACGGGGTACGTGGTGAATCAGCATGCACCGCAGCAGGTGGTGCAGCCGGCGCAGGGGAGCAATGGCGACTTGTTGGTTCTGTGAGAGGACATACGCGACGACGACCAGCTAAGGGGAATGTGTGTTGGTGGGGGGTTTTGTTTTTTTGGCTGTAGGCTACGAAACGAAAGGATATCCTCGGTATTTTAGTAATGGCAGTGTGAGGCAAAAGTTGACAATTAGCAAATTACGAGGAAGCCATCAGGTGTAGTCATATCCTGCCCTTGAATGTGAATACCGGTACAACTTACTTTTGACACCCTTTTAAGGGCGAACACTGCTCATTTTTTGTGAATACCGGTACCACCTAATACGAATGAACATCTATCTACCTGAGGCTGCAAAGGCTTCATTTCTGTCAACGTGTGGATTGAAAAAGAACAAACCATAGAATCCAGAGAAGCTGCAGATCATATTCTTCACCATCTCTCCTATCCAATAGGTTCTTCGGTGCATGTACGATTCGACTTTAGAACCGACAGGCTTGAGAGGCAATCCCAAAAAAGCCATTGGAAGGTTCAGACAAAGACGAGACCAAGCAGTGCAATGCGGGCGCACCTCAGATCTTGCTTAGCAGCGGTCCCGACGGGAAGTCTAAGGGGTCGGCCGGAGCCTTGGGTTCTGTGAGGAATGGACGGGCCGATGGGATAAGCTACCGTACTACGAATATGTAGGCAAGCACGCAAGTTATAGGTCCTTCGCAAGGGTGAAAGGGGAGCAGTAGAAGCCACGGAGCGTGGCGGAGCATACCAAGTCCGGCTCCGGCTTTGGGTTGGTGCCGTGGTCTTGATTCCCGTGTGTGTCTTAGGGAAGGGAAGGCCGGCACGGTCGGTAAGTGATCAGCTTGCTCTCTTGTTTGCCACGGTGTGGTCGACAATCAACTGAGACTTGGGCGCAATGCCGGTCTGTTGGGGCTGTATCTTGGTGTACAGCTTTTGGACAGGCGCAATCAGGTGGGGTCTTCATTGTTTCTTATGTCACCCCGCGATTTCTGCCCGGACAGAGATCGTGAATCCCGGGTCGACGAATGTATCGCTTACAAACGATGGTGGTCAGATATTGCTTCTTCCTCTTTTTCTTCTTCGTGCTCTTCCATTTTCCGAGTTGTCGGGACAAGAAAACAGGATGAGAGACACCCCAGTCAATAGTAACTCGTCTAGGTACTGCACCGTTTCCGGTTCCCCCGATGAAGGACTTCAACAATCGTGTTGAACAGACGTCAATTGCGACCCAAAGGAGAAGGAGATTCGGGCTGCCCTCGGTGGGCCATGGCTGGCCATCGTCGACAGTGTCCTATACTCTAAGGAATTGGTTGGGGTTCCCGGGCGACCTTTCCGCTGGAGCCGTGGATGGATCTAGTCGCCCGAGGACAACGCCTCCGATCTGGTCAGAAAAGCTTGGGGAGGCTGGATGCGGCCGGCGTCCATTTTGCGATTATTATTCTACCCGCGTTGTTGTTTGTCCATAGTTTGTTTGTGTGTGGTCATGTCAGCCTGGCATAGGTAGATGATTCTCCCCGCCCTGGCAGATGCGCAACGAGAACCTCGCACTTCGTCTGTATGTCGCAGAGCACCAGCTCGAAAGATGACAGGCCAAAGCATGGAAAGCTTGTGCTCTGCATCGCTAGTCTTCGAATGCTTCCTCTCTACACCTTTTGGGTTTTGAGTATGTGCGTGCACTACATTGGTTCCCTCTGTGCCTGCGTGTTGCATTGGTGTCAAATAAGGCCATGGGGCGACGGGCAAAATAAGGCCATGGGGCGACGGCAAAATAAGCCTGAGGAGAGTTTCGGGTTCCTGACAGTCTTATCCCATCTTCAGAAACATCAACATAACACCCTCACACACTGATCTGATGGTCCCCGAGAGGCTGAGAGTGCGGAAAAGACCAAGCGGTGACGAAGCTCTTGTAATGCTGCGAGCTCGTATCCAAACCAGCCGCATTTTTTGTTGCCTGCCGTACCCCCAGAAGGATCTGTTTCCCACACACGTATGGAGTGCCGCTGAAACATTGCACGTCTATCTTCTTATCCCGCGCTTGAGGCGAGGAAAAGGAGGGGATTTCGGATGCCCAGAGATGGGGCGCCGTGGTGGGGCCGCAGACTGGCTTGTCCCTGTAAAGAAAGGAACCGGTGAGGGTAGTCTATCGATGGGTACGTATCGGAACCGACACAGACTCGACCGACTGACGAGGCGCCTGGCTGCAGGCGGATTGAATGAGTGCTGTAACTTGCACAGGTAGGTGGTGCGGATGCTAGGTGGTTGGTCTCGATTAATGGCAGTGTCACTGACTGTTGAGGATTTGACAGGCGGCGTCTGCGTGCGCTTGCTCGTCACGGCGTGTGTGCCATTTGATCCTTTCCATTCCCTCGCTCCCGTTCCCGTTTCCCCCGCGAGACGCCCAGATCTGGAGACGGAAGGAATGAGAACGGTGCGTGCGGTTGGAAGTGTGTCACATTGCGAGATAATAGCGTCCTGTCTTCTGGAGCGGTGATGGCGGGGGAGGGCATCCGTGGACGCCGCGGTCGAGTTAGCGAGTGCAGCTGGGACGCTAGCCTTGACCGAGTCCAACAGGCGTGGAAATACTTGGAATAGTTGGTATCCATCCGTATCGACGTATTATCGATTGGTGCGCACTCGGATTCTTTGACTGCGAGAAGCATGCGATCAGATGGGGAAGAACGGCGCAAGGGCAAAGTAACGAAGGGGGAGAGGGATTAGGTAGGTAGAGAAACGCTGGAGTTGAGGATCTTGAGGGATTGGGAAAGAAGACGGGGAGGAAGGTCAGACCTGGAGAGAGTGATTCTTTCCCCTCCAAGCTTCACGGTTACTCCTTCCTGGGCTGTGGGTGTATTCGCACTTGCCTTATTTGTGAACCGGCAATTCCCTCCTTCTCTTCAAACCTGCGCCTCCCCGACAATCTCAGGCAGGTAGGCAGGCACTCGCATTGTTTTCCCACAGGAAGGAATGTACTTCGCGGCAAGTATCTCTGTCAGGGGAAAGAAGTCATCAGTCAACCCTGCAACAACAAAAGCAGAGAGCCGAGAGAGTAGGTAGTAATTAAGGAAGATCAAGAGGGAAAATACAGCGACCACGCCGTTTGCTCCGCGCTCGTCGAACGAGAAACTCGCCATTCCTGGTGATTGCAGTTCCGGTCAATAAGTTGAATGAGCAGTTGTTGCTGCTGCTGCTTGTCGCTTTGTCTCGATTTGAGGTAGATGCCCTCCTACCTAGGTACCAAGGTACTTCGGACCGTTTCTTGCTCTCTGACTATTGAGTACCTTAGCTAATACCGAGAAGCAACCTCACACATCAAGGATTACGGCCGGGACAGTAACTGGGACTTGATGACTGAGAGGAAGGGAGAGAGAGAGAAAGCTTGTGATACCCGAACACTCTTTCACTCGCCCTCCACAACATCCTCGACCCTTGATCGGCCTTGCCCTCTGCTGCCGGTATCCGCCGCCGCTGCTTTGTCAAGGAGGGCCTGATTGACGAAACAGCCTGCACGACTCGACTAATACCGACCGCTCGGAAATTCGACGGGAGACGACGTGATTGCCGGGTATATCGTTACAGCACCACCCTGCCTGGTCACCTTAACATATTGGTCCTCGAGGTACTTCCGTGCCTGGAACAACAACGTGAGGGTAAGCATCGAGGCAGGAGACGACCAAACGCCGCTTCGGCAGCGAAGCACCGCTCTCACCTGAGGTACCTTACCTAACCGACCTACCTGAGGTACGTACACAATCATCTATCTACCAGCTGCCAAATTATTTCAACCTACGGATACAAAGTATTCGTACACGTACCTGGCACACTCCGCGACTCTTTCGCCTCCAGCAAAACTTAGAACGGAATCATTGCCGAGCCATCCAGCCCAGCCTGTCCACTCAACCTACCTTGCCTAGCCTAGATTGGATTACTAGGTAGTCCACCCGCCCGACCTCAGCAAAGCATCATCCCCAGCCTGTCGAGCCGAGCCCACCTCAGTGCTTGTAGAGCTGGAGTGCAGGTGGAAAGAGAGACAACGCCCACGGCCCACGGCCCACGAGCCACGCCTTCCAAGTTCCGCCAAGCCATCTCCCCATTCGACACTCCCCGTCAGGTCCACGGGTCCTCCTTCTCCTTCTCCTTCTCCAACTCTCGGCCCCGGGTCTCCATTTTATCCTTCCTTCCTTTTTCCCACCTCGCTGGTTGGACTGGTCGGCGCCCACACGCTTTGGATGCACTGATCACCCGCCTTTACCACCCGCTTCCGCCTTCAGCGTTCCCGTCCAACATCCTGAACGACCCCCCCCCCCCCCCCCCCCCAAATCCTGGCAACTGCCACAACACCGGCCTCGCTACCCACGCCAACTGGTACCATCCCGACTGGCGTCTTTGCGTCGCTGTGCCTCTGCGTCTGACCGTCTCACCCGACGACTGCAATTCATTCCACCCCCCCGATTCTCTTCCGCGAAACACTGAGAGCCCACTCGTCGAAATATCCTCAACCTTCTCGCAAACTGCCGCATGCATTGAGCTACTGTATTCGATTCGATCTCAATTCCACTCTTCACGAGCCCGCGCGCCCTGAGGCTCGACGCTGCCGTTGCTCTTGCCTGTGATCTGCAATGGCCGACACCAAACCCGCCGACGCCAACACCACCGTCGGTCAACCACCCAAGGATTCTCCGTCGGCGCCAAAGGATACCATCCCAATGAAGACCCTCCCTCAATCCTCGTCGACGGAAGCCGACGTCGCCGCCGCAGACACAACGAGGCCCACGACCACTTCATCAAACAAGACTCCCGGCGCTGCGGCGTCAACACAGCCTGAAGCGAGCAATTCCGCCGTGGGCGATGCCGACGATTCAATCGAGCCGTCAACCAAAGGAAAAGAGAAGGATTCGGTTTCGTCGCCAGCGGCCAAGACCCAGGATGACTCCATGGCTATCGGCCCTTCAGTCGATGATGTCCAACCCGTCAGCAGCTGTCCAGCAGATGGCCCGGTTTGCAACATTACGCTGTTGCTCACTACCGGTGCAAGACACCCTTACAAATTGGACGAAAAGTACCTGACGAAGAGGAATGTCAATGTCCCTGGATTGACCGAGGCTGGAAAGAAGGACCCTTTTACTATCAGTGTCTATACCTTGAAGGAACTCATCCTCAGGGAGTGGCGTGAAGAATGGGATGCCAAGCCTGCGAGCCCCAGCAGTATACGTTTGATTCATTTCGGAAAGCTGCTGGATGATAAGGACCAACTGAAACGTAGGTTTTTCCCTGGCAGCGACATTTTGCTTGATCGTTCTAACATGATTCTAGAATACCACTTCAGTGCAGAGGCGGCCAACGTTGTGCACATGACTGTCCGGCCAGCCGATATCGTTGAGGAAGAAGAACCTAAGGGAGGCAATAAGTCAACCTCTGGCGGCGGCCGCAACCGAGAAGGTGGCGGCGGATGCTGTGTCATCTTATGATCGAGCGGTCCCAAGATCCGGGCCTTTTTTCTTCTGCGATCATCACTCCTTTCCTTCTACACCTTCCCCGCCGAACAACAGCCATTCCTTTCTAGTAGGGAGAATGACATGCATGGAAGAAGAGCAGGCGAGAAAGGGCTTTATCGGGTCGACCTGGCTTGAGAGCCTTGCATGGTACGGCACACGATACAAAGAGGTAGGGGCCTTGCCGGGGTCATGGTTTCGACAATGCATGCAATTCCAGAAGTGCCCAGAATGGATGGGCTGGTCGGCCTGGTGAGGCCTTCGGTTACGGTGTTGCTTTGGGCCTTGTTTTTTCTCATGTCTCGTGGGTCTCTCCCTGGAGGCCACCCCGACATCTATCGAGCGTATTACAAAGAGCGAAAACAATAAGGGGACATTAGGAGTACAGCGGCGTATCATAGCTTTGTGTATTTGTTCTGGTTGATTCTTTCTCCACGCCTCGTCTATGGGTGTTGTCCATAGGATAGTAGAACGCATTCTGTTCGAAACCTTTCCCGTTGAACCTGGACGATTCGATGAATCCCTTCTATGGCCTTGACATCTCCATGGCCGCGCCGTCCAAAAGCCATGACGCATGTCGTAGTAATACAATTCCAATCCTGGTCCTTCTGTCCCATTCCCCGGTTCCAGGAGCCCAGGTGCTCTCTCGGTATTTCTACCCCTCCCTCAAATCTTCTGCTCCCCCCTCAGATCTTAAGCTTCCTCTCCATCTCGTCGTGCATACCAACGATGCCCACGCTCTCCTCACCCGAGTACACGTCCTCCCACGTGACGCTCGAGTCCTTGCCGCGGAGGATCTCCTCGTGAACGGAGGCCTTTTGCCCACCGAGGGCAAGGGGCCGCCACTCGCCGTTTTGGGTAATCTTGAGCTCCATCTGGCGACGGATGGGCTCCGCGAGGCCGAACGTTCGGCGGAGCGTCTCCATGCGCATGCTTTCCTGGGTGGCTTCCCAGTTCTTGAGACGGGACTCGAGCGGGTGGGCGGAGGCGGCGAGGTTGTCTTTGGCGTCGTAGGCGGATTGGCCTACGCCGGCGCGGAGGGTGTCATGGACTCCGGGCGCCGAGGGGGCGTTGGCGCCTGCGGCGAAGGTTGTGGCTTGGTTTGCGGCGGGGACGATTCGCATCTGTGAGGAGTGGTGATTGTTAGCTTCTGGGGAGGGAGTATTCTGCATCGGGGAAAGGTGGATTGGAGGTTAGAGGTGACATACCGACATCTTGACTGTTCAGTTCGGGATGGACTGTGGGTTGGGGAAGAGGGAAGTTGTTTGGGATCGTTTGATAGATATGGGAGCTGGACGAGGGTGACGATTATGGGAGCTTGCGCTGCGGTGATGTGCCTGGAGCTCTACGGCTCCCCAGTCGTGCCGGGCAAGTCCCGCCATTACCTCAGCGAGAAGGCCGCACGTGACTTCCAGGCTGAAAAGCAGGCGCGGCAGCACCAACCTCCACTATAGCTTACCTGATCCCTGTCGGTCTTTTCTTTCCCCTCCCCGGGGCCCGGGTCCATATATCGGGTGGGGCGATGACGGCCGAGCTTTCGAGACCGAGATCGCAGCTGGTTTTACGTACCCAAAAAGTCCGGGGAAAGCTGCCCCGGATTTTTCTTTTTGGGAGGAGAAGGAAGGAGTCACAATGTGAAGTCATCCTACCACGCAAACGACGCGATAACGAAGGGAACGGTGGTCAATTGGCGTTGAGGATACTTCAACCCCCTCGCTCATTCTCTTACATTGAAGTAAGGACACACACACACACACACAATCACAATGCGGATACCGAATCGTTCCCCCCGATCCTAAGGATTGCCAACGGCTCCTTCTACCGGCGGCACCCCAACACGCACACAACGCACCCGAACCCGCCCCTCTTCACCGACCTGAACCTCGAGCTGCCCTCCTCCACCGCCACCAGCGAAAACAAGAGCCACTGGTGCATCGTCGGCCCCTCGCTCTCGGGCAAGACGACGCTGCTACAGGTCCTCCGCGGCCAGCACCTCGCGATCCCGCCCACGACGCGAACGTATCCTTACCTCTCCACCGAGAACGTCCCGCCGCGGCTGCGGAGTGCGAATAGGGCGATTCAGTACGTCGGCTTCGACGGCGACGGTGGGTTGGGCGGCGGGCATACCACGAGCGCGTACCTCGCCGCGCGGTACGAGTCGAGGAGGGAGAATACAGATTTTTCGCTGCGGAATTATTTACTCGGCAACACGGAGCTGAATCCGCTGGATACCCTCCCCGGAGAAGAGAACCTGATGCCATGGGAGCTCATGGAGAGGGTTGTCAAGGATCTGAGGCTCGAGCCGCTGCTGGATTTACCCGTCGCGTTCCTGAGTAACGGGCAGGGACGGCGCGCGCGCATCGCGAGGGCGCTGTTGGCGACGCCGGAGGTGCTGTTGCTGGATGAGCCGTTTATGGGGCTTGATCCGCCGACGGTGGCCGGGTTGAGTCCCGTGTTGGAGGGGATCGCGGAGCGGGCGAGTCCGAGGCTGGTGTTGAGTGCTAGGCCGCAGGATCCGGTGCCGGAGTGGATTACGCATTTGGTGTATCTGCGCGGGGATTGTCAGGTTGGGTCGATGGGGCCGAAGGAGGAGGTGTTGGAGGGGTTGAGGACGTATGTTAGGGGGGTGTGGAAGGGTGGGTTGAAGGAGGATGAGAAGTTGCCTGTGCATTCGCTTGTGGAGATGGGGAGGGTGTTGACGGCGAGGGGGGTTGAGGGGGATGGGCTCTTGTCGGCGAAGGAGAAGGATTTGCACGCTGTTGAGTCTGGTTCTCCTGCCGAGGCGTTATCGACTACGGGGGAGGCGGCTGTGGGTGAGCCGTTGATTGAGATGGATGGATGTCAGGTGCGGTACGGAAGCAAGATTGCGCTGGGCAACTGGTCTCAGGATACGCCGTCCGGGCCCAAGGACGGGTTGATCTGGACTGTCCGCAGAGGAGAGCGATGGGGCGTGTTCGGTCCGAACGGGTCGGGCAAGACGACCGTCGTGTCTCTCTTGTGCTCCGATCACCCGCAGACGTACTCTCTCCCCATCAAGCTGTTTGGCCGAAGCAGAATCCCCGAGCCCGGGTCTGGGCAGCGACCTCTTACGTTTTGGGACATACAGTCACGGATTGGACACTCGAGTCCCGAAGTTCATCAGCATATGCCCCGCGGCCTGACTGTTCGGCAGGTGTTGGAGAATGCGTGGGCGGATACGTTCAAGGGCATTCCTGTTCTCGACGGAGAGACACGGGGAAAGGTCGAGGCGACGTTGCAGTGGTTCGCGCCGGAGCTGAATCCGGGATACCAAAAGGCCTCCTCTTCTGTCACGGGTGATGGCGAGGGTGATGGCGAGGGTGACCTCTCTTGGTCAGATAACTACCTCTTTGGCGGCCTCTCCTTCAGCGCCCAGCGCATCGCCTTACTTCTGCGCGCGGTGATCAAGAATGCCGACGTGGTGGTACTTGATGAGGCCTTCAGTGGTATGGATGATGCTGTTAGGGACAAGTGTATGCTTTTCCTCGCCAGAGGAGAAGAGAAGGCGTACAGCGGGGAGAAGATCGTAGACAGCGAGCTTGCCAAGGCGGGCCGGGTGCGGGTGAAGGGTTTGAGTGAGGAGCAGTCGTTGATCTGTATCAGTCACATCAAGGAGGAGGTGCCGGATTGCGTGCGGGAGTGGATCTGTTTGCCCGAGGCTAATGAGGGGTTGCCGGCGCGGTTTGGGCGGTTTGATGGGCCATTGAGGACGGATGAGAAGCGGTGGAGGGCTCTTTGGGGGGTGTGAAAAGAATACTGTGTACGGATAGATGGGAGAGTAAGGTTTTTGGTGGATATAGAAGTAGGTGATTGTTTACCCCAGAGGTGAGCTGCACATCATCATATTGTGCCCATGGGTACGGACACATGGGAGAGTTGACACATTTGGCGGAGTGATGAGGTGCATATGGTGCAAGGTACACACCTCAGGTGAGTGACGAAACTGTTTGGTTCCCACCTACCTCGAGGTATCCATAGGTTAGGTACCACGGTACTCCGTACCTGAGGTAATCAATCCCTTTCGGGCGACGGGCTCAGGAACGGTCAGCGGGCCCCGGGGGCGCTAAGAAGCCGCTAACCGCTACAAGGTGCCACGAACAGGCTCAGCCCCCATGTGCTGTACCTCACTGACCCCCCTTTCGCAGCCGGGACACCACACGAATCCCATGTACCCATGGCCCGTTGCCCCGTCAACGCGATCAAAGTCCCCGATCCGCTCTGTTGCCCCTCGACACACTCGCGGATGCGCTGGGAGCAAAGACTGAGGTTGGAGACTGAGGTGAGAAAGAGAAAGGCGCAGGTTGCAGAGTGATTGCCCATCCACGTTTTTTCCTGTGCCTCCCCAACCCCCCCCCCCCCCAACACTTGACCCTCCTTCCCGCAGCTTGCCCAGATGCTTTACCTCCCTTGCTGCTGCTGCTGCTGCTGCTCTCTCGCACATTGCTCCCTTCTCATCTCTCAAGATCCCACTTTGCCAAAAAGTTAGTCTCTAGCACCATCATCACCAACCTTGTCGTCTGGAGTTCCCATTGAGAATTTCCAACGGCGCTACCCTTTGTCGAGTTTCGACACCTACATATATCCTAGACGTCCATTCCAGTCATCGATACACTAGGAGTTAAACCAACGCCACGAAGCCGACCTGAGCTACGTCAATCCCTCGCGCACACAATCTCATCGTGGCGCCGGCCCGTTGCAGACAAAGAACACACACTCCCACGATACCCGGCCCTCGAACAACAATACAGTCCAACATTCCTCTAACCGTTTCGTCCCGGTAACCGGCGGCGCAAACAACATCTCATCATGGACCCAAATACCCCCTCGCGACCGCCCGACTACAGCCTCCCACCCTACGACGACCGCGACGACGACACCCCCACGGGACGCTCCAACAATCCCGCCGCCATTCGACTACTGACTTCAGTGGAGGAGCCCATCATGGACAGAGCACCGTACGTAACACCCATTGCGCCCCAGCAGTCGACGTCGACATCGACTCCCGTCAGCGGCGCCAAGGGCGCATCGCGACCCTTTCATTATGCTTCTACTACTACTCCTGTTTCTGCGTCCTCCATTCCTCGCCTTCGACAGGTTCACAAGACACCTGAGTCGTCGCCCAGCCTCTTCCCGCGCCCTCTGTCACTGCGCAGGAAGAAGTCGGACGCTGCAGACCCGGTGATCTCTACGCCAGACCACCTCGACGCATTGAGGCAGCAAGAGGAAGGTCACCCAACATCGCCCTTGTCTCCGGCACCCATCTACACACCGCGCTCAAGTGGCGTGAGCGTTGGAGACATTGCGGAAGCGCAGCGCAACTCTCGCATACCGGTGCGGTCTTCTACTGTAAAGTTGCAGAAGAGAACCAGACCTAGCTCTGTCAGAGAATCGCAAATCCGGGACAGTCTCCCCACCATACCAGAGGGCCCTTCACTGCGCAAGAGTCAATTGCACCAGTCCGCTAGCTGCCCCGTCCCTCCGTTGTCAGATGACTCTACCAATAGCACAAGCACAAGCTCACATGAAGACACCAATAGGCCCCGATCCAGCCGACGATCCTATGCGTCCTCCATCTTGTCCGATCGCTCCGCGTCCATCCGAGACCCTCCCAGCATGCCGCCGCCCGACTCGACCTACGTTCCCTTCCAAGGCCGCGACTACGCCCGCGAGTACGAGCGCACCTATGAGCAGGAGTATCAGGACGACTACCCATACGAATACCAGTCAGGACGTCAATCACCGACAAGGACCTACAGCCCTTCCCGCCTCTCGTCGGATTTCACAAGGCCCCCGGCCTCCGGAATCTACGAGCCCTCAGACCTCAATGGCAGCCCCAGACCGGGAACTCCGTCCTCAAGATATGGCGGGAGCCCCCGACGACCACTTCCGCCTGCGCCGCTGTTCTCGACTGGTGCGAATCGTAACTCTACTGCTTTTGCCGACGACGCCACAGTTTCAATCCCCCTCCACGACAACGACGACGTGTTTGGCCCTGAGACCGATATCAGTGAGAGCCAGCCGATGAGAGAATCGTACCTGTCTCATGACCAAGTTACGCTCAGCGAGGAGGACACAGAGACCGACATCAATGAGAAGGTGGAGCATTACGGCCCGGCTCCGGATGGAATGCAAGAGCGCCGAGGTGTCCGCGCGCCACAGATGTCAAGAAAGGAGGTCCAGCTTATCAACGGAGAGCTGGTCTTGGAGTGCAAGATCCCCACGATTCTTTACAGTTTCCTGCCCCGTCGCGACGAGGTCGAGTTCACCCACATGAGATACACAGCTGTCACCTGCGACCCCGATGACTTCGTCGAACGCGGATATAAGCTCCGCCAGTCCATTGGCAAGACCGCTCGTGAGACGGAGCTGTTCATCTGCGTCACCATGTACAACGAGGACGAGTTCGGCTTCACGAGAACCATGTACGCCGTCATGAAGAATATCTCCCACTTTTGCGCCCGTTCGAAATCGCGCACGTGGGGTGACAATGGTTGGCAAAAGATTGTCGTCTGCATCGTTTCAGACGGCAGAGAAAAGATTCACCCTCGCACGCTTGACGCATTAGCGGCAATGGGTGTCTACCAGCACGGCATCGCCAAGAACTACGTCAACCAGAAGGCAGTGCAGGCTCACGTCTACGAGTACACGACACAAGTCTCGCTCGACTCTGATCTCAAGTTCAAGGGTGCCGAGAAGGGCATTGTTCCTTGCCAGTTGATCTTCTGTCTGAAGGAAAAGAACCAGAGGAAGCTCAACTCGCATCGCTGGTTTTTCAACGCTTTCGGCAAGGCCCTGAACCCCAACGTGTGCATCTTGCTTGACGTTGGAACCAGACCCGGCGGCACATCTCTGTACCACCTCTGGAAGGCTTTTGACAACGACTCCAACGTTGCCGGTGCCTGTGGAGAGATCAAGGCCATGAAGGGCAAGTTCGGAGTGAACCTCCTGAACCCACTGGTTGCCTCCCAGAACTTTGAGTACAAGATGTCGAACATCCTCGACAAGCCTCTTGAATCCATCTTTGGCTACATTACCGTCTTGCCAGGTGCGCTTAGTGCCTACCGATACCACGCTCTGCAGAATGACGAGACGGGCCATGGCCCTCTCAGTCAGTACTTCAAGGGAGAGACACTGCACGGTCAGCATGCAGACGTGTTCACGGCAAACATGTACCTGGCTGAGGATCGTATCCTCTGCTGGGAGCTTGTCGCCAAGCGCGGCGAGAGCTGGGTCTTGAAGTACGTGAAGGGATGTCACGGTGAAACCGATGTGCCAGGTAAGAGACATCCTCCCATCAAAGCTTACAACCACTAACCAGGCCCATAGATACTGTTCCTGAGTTCATCTCGCAGCGACGTCGTTGGCTGAACGGTGCTTTCTTCGCAGCCGTCTACTCGCTCGTTCACTTCAAGCAGATCTGGTACACCGACCACACCATCACCCGCAAGATCCTCCTCCACATCGAATTCGTCTACCAGTTCCTCCAGCTCATCTTCACCTACTTCTCCCTGGCAAACTTCTACCTGACCTTCTACTTCGTGGCAGGCGGTCTAGGCGATCCCCTGGTAGATCCCTTCGGTCACAACATCGGTCAATACATCTTCACGGTCCTGCGATACACTTGTGTCTTGCTCATCTGCGCGCAATTCATCCTTTCGCTGGGTAATCGGCCACAGGGAGCAAAGAAATTGTACCTCTTCAGTATCGTCGTGTACTCTATCATCATGATATACACGACGTTTGCAACCTTCTACATCGTCATCCGTCAGCTGAAGGAGAAGGACAATCCCGAGATCCACATGGGCGAAAACGTCTTCACCAACTTTATCGTCTCGATTCTTTCGACTGTCGGCTTGTACTTCGTCATGTCTTTCCTATACCTGGATCCCTGGCACTTGTTCACCAGCGCGGCTCAGTACTTCATGCTTTTGCCGGCCTACATTTGCACTCTGCAAGTGTACGCCTTCTGCAACACGCACGACGTCACCTGGGGTACTAAGGGAGATAATGTTATGAAGACTGATCTGGGTGGCGCTATCGGAAAGGGCAACAGCGTCGAGCTTGAGATGCCATCTGAGCAACTCGACATCGACTCTGGCTACGACGAGGCGCTCCGCAACCTCCGCGATCGCGTTGAGGTGCTCCCTTCGGCCATCTCTGAGGCGCAGCTGCAGGAGGACTACTATAAGAGCGTACGTACCTACATGGTGCTCTCCTGGCTCATCTGCAACGCCATTCTCGCCATGGCTGTGTCTGAGGCGTATAGCGAACGCGGCATTGGTGAAAACTACTACCTTGCCTTCATTCTCTGGTCCGTGGCGATTCTGGCTCTCTTCCGCGCCATCGGCTCTACGACGTTTGCCGTTCTCAACGTCGTCAGCATGATTGTTGACGGCCAGGTGCGCATGAGTCTCAAGGTGCCCAAGTGGATGGGTGGGTTCGGCGAAAAGGTCAGCGAGAAGATGAGCAGCGTGTCGAGTAGCGTGGGAAGCAGTGTCGGCGGAAGCAAGCTCAGCAGTGTGTTCAAGCGCTGATCCGCATTCAATCGCTCTCGGTGCCCTTTGACGGCGCTTGCTTCTTGCACTCTCGCTCTGCTACATAGACACACAGCGTTGGCTTCCTCCACGAGATGATGGGTATGACTTGCAGCTTTTTTGAGGCGTTTTATGGGTCGTTGTTTTGTTTGCATTCCCCTTCATCTCCTATTGCGAAAAAGTTGCATGGAGGTAAGTGTGGGAATCGTTTACTGTTTTATTGTTCTTCAGAGATATCATATGGGTTTTGGTGGTTTTTTGCGTCCTGACGAGACGAAACGAGATGAGAGCTGATGGGATTGGGAAACGTTTTTTGCTGTAATGAATGAAAGGTGGAATGTTGTGTACGTATTGGATCCCAAAGTCTGGGGATCAGGAACATGAGGCGGTGGCCGAGATGTCGACGCAGGATATCTTGGGACGCGAAAGGACGACATGCTGGCCATTTTGGCTTCGACAGCATGAGGTTTTCCAGCATGAAGAAATGGGAATGGAAAGATTGAAAGAGTCATGTGTAGATAGATGAGAATAGCACGAACAAAAATGAAGGAAAAGATGTCTCAAGGAGGGGGAAGTCGCCCTTCTTGGATGGACACTGATTCTTCTTTTCATGACACTCAATTTTGCTTCCGTTGGGTTTCTTGCCCGTTGGTGAATGTTAGGTTGATGAAGTTTTGCCCCTGTATGACCAATTTAGACAGACATCATGCTGAATCTATAGCCTGGTGAGCCATCAGCGGCATCAGATCGTCGACGAACACTTCCACTGGCCCGCTTACATCTAGGGTCAATACCACCGCCGTTATTTCACCATCGACAAGCATTCTCGAGCAGGTCCCGAAGGACGCTTACACCCGTCAACTTCATCCTTGTCTCGTCGACGCGCTTGGGATTGCGGAGGCAACACTCCTCCAGGACCGGCTGATTGCAGTACACACTCATCTAGTGGAGCACCACCATAGGGGATCCCCGTCCCAAGCCGAGGTGTTCTTCGAAGAAGAGAATATCGTCTTGACTGTCGTCAGCTAGGTAAGTCCGCATGGGGATTCCTGCTTTCTTCTCGCGCGAGGTTTGCTGGTTTTTGGAGGATGGGTGCCCTCCCGGAGTTGGCGCCGCAGGTCGTGGTGTTTGGTGGCCCGGGAGGATACATGTATGCATACTGTTATAGGATCGATGAGGAGGTGGCTGGCTAGGAGGTAGGTTGTTGCGGCGGGAGCACTGAAGGGACTTGGTGAGTCTAAGGTCTCTGAGTTTGACTGTGCCTGGGAAGCCGTCTAGGATGACCATGTTGCCGCCGTCGGTAGGAGGTGCATAGGGGGGAGTTGATATGGTATCTGCGGTATGATTGGTATCTGTGGTATGATGCAAGAATGAGTGGCCGGGTTGGTGTGACATCGTCAAGCGGGACGCTTGAGAGGTGAGGTGAGATGGATCATGTGTGGTCGATAGCAGACGCAAGGAGGTGCTGTGTTGAGTGTTTGAATGCTAATGATACCGAGGCGGAGCACAGCGTGATTCATCTAGTTGGTGCTTGAGGCTAAATCCGCCTTCGAGCTTGGCTGAAGTCGATTGATGGCATCGTCGATCAGGGAATAGGGGACTACGGCACCTCTAGAGTGAGGAGTCTTCTACTACGTAATTTACCCCCAGTTGTTCAAGGTAGCCACGACATTTCTTGATAGTCTTGTCAACTACCTACCCTAGGGTACTAATTAACTCAATCCAAATTCCTATAGAGTTAACTACGCCTTGCCGCGACGATCTAAGCTAACTTTTGAGTAAGGACCTGGACCCGAGGTCCCAAATAGCAACTTAAATTATAAATACGTGACTTTTCACCGCAGTACGCCTTATCTCTAAGTCCTATTCATCTTTGAGAAAATAGCAGCAGCGACATACGAATATATCATATATAATGCGATATCCGGGGTAACAGAAAATAGGGTATTCTGTCTCGGCATTTACATCTCGTCTACATTCCTCCTCCCACGGCTCGTCTCGTCCAGACCTCTAGACCTCCAGGCTCGTCTCCACCCGTCCAACTTCCGCCTCGAAGCGATTCTAGGTACTGCGCGTTCAAATATGAAGGGAAGGCAACGACCGTTTGAGGGCTGCTGCCTGTCACACATATCACATGAAACCTGTCCGCATTTGTGGGATGTGACATGCCAGGGGCCATCGACGAAGTGAGTACTGCTTGGCGTAAGGTGTGCCTCATGGAAATGCGGATGTGTCTCGAACTCTAATGTGTGATATGAATTGAGGCTGAGACCAGGAGACTAGCTTGGAGATTGCGAGAATGGGAAACTTCGACCGGATCTCGGGCTTCGTTCATTTCAATTCCTAGTCACACAGATTATGCTTGTTTGCGATGAATCATGATGATGATGATGCTTCATTTACTCAAGTACGTGTTTTGAAACCATTGGCTCAACACATTGTCCAAGAATGAGCTCGGGACACTGATTTGACCCAGCATTCTGAAAGCACTCATTCCGTTCCCAACTCCATGATTGAGGTGGGCGTTACACGAGCGTCCCCTTTCCCCGCCTTCCAAGTCTCTCCCGTCGGCTGCCTGGTAGGGCAGGTTAGACATTCGGATGCAGTCAAATGCATTTTTTCACACCGCTTGATCTTGACCTTCGAAGCTGCAGCTATTGCGTACTTCAACACGGGAGCTGAACGGTTGAAATCTGATCGGAAGCTGGAGCTGGAGTTATGTGGCTGGCTGAAGGCTGCCCATGCACGTTGCGGGCCTACCCGAGAGGGCGAGTCTGAGACAGTCACTATGGTGGCGTCCTGAACTTGAGAGATCAACGGCAGACCACTTAACACAACGTGATATCGGTACCTATTGGTAGAGGATCGCGAGCCCAGAGGTCACAGATCATCGCTCTTTGACATAAAAGCTTGCCTGTGCTCTCCCCCATAGTCTCGACGAATATCTCTTCTCACATCACCACGACTACCTCGTTCCTTCTATCCTATTCAAAGAAAAAAGTCTATCTAGCCACGCCGGTATCAAAACTGCGTCAATCAACATTATGTCTTCCGACGGAACCCAAGGCCCTGTCATCATCGAAGGCATCAAAGCCGGTCACGAAGGCAGTGAGGCTCCATCCAGGTCATGCTTTGCCTTAAGATACTGACGATCTCAGGTTGAACCACCCATGCGATTGGAGCTGCGTGACATGATCAAAGATCACCCGGATCAGTGGACTCTGTATCTTCTAGCACTGGAGCGGTTTCAGGCGGTCCCCGAAGACCAGCCTCTTTCTTATTTCCAGATTGCTGGTGAGTTAGACCCCTTTCCACTTGCGGCGGGCCCCCAAGTTCAACTTCACTTTTCACAGGCATCCACGGAAGGCCAGCCATGAAGTGGCCAGACCAAAAGTGGAATCGCGCCGAAGGACTCGATCTAGGACGGGGATACGGCGGATACTGTACACACAGTTCAATTTTGTTCCTCACGTGGCATCGTCCCTATCTCGCTTTGTTTGAGGCAAGTACACAGCTGCACAACGTTCGAAACCAATGCTAAAGCTGAGAACATAGAACGAGCTTTACAAGCATGTCGATTACATCGCCAAGGAGTTTGAGAAGGATGTGAATACATCAAGGCCGCCAGAACCTTCCGAATGCCATACTGGGATTGGGCTCGACCTGAGCTTCCCTTGTTTCCGGATGAAGCTCTGTCCAGAAGGGAGCATGTTGTGGAGAGACCCGAGAGCCAGAAGGGAGACACGGACAAGTTTCCTGGCAAGATCAACCCACTTGCCTCATACAAGTTTGGGGAGTACTCTCAGGCCCGGAGAGACGACCCCATCTTCAAAGGAATCATCAAAGAAATTGAATTCATGGATATCTCCACAAGACTCAGGCTTACCCCTCTAGCCTGGCGTTGACGCGAAATCTGCAAAAACCGTGCGGACCTTCGGCAACATCAACGATAAAAAGGCCAGGGACGCAGCCATCGATCAATTTACTGCACCAAAACTAGGAGTCAAGGGCATGAACGTTTCTGAGCGAATCCTATTTCTTCTCCAGGGTTACAAGGGCTTTGGAGCTGTGTCAAACAACAGCGAGTTTGGCAATGGAACTACCGAGATTCCCTTCAACGATTGGGGTAGCATCGAGGATGTTCACAATGCTGTCCACGGCTATATTGGAGGGGGGTACATGGGTCGGCCGCCCTTGTCTGCTTTTGACCCCATCTTCTGGCTTCACCACACCAACATTGATCGGCTCTTCGCTATTTGGCAAGCATGCAACCCTGGGAAGTATGTCATACCGAAGGACTCTACAGAGCCCACTGTCGTTCGGGCGGCAGGGTCAGAAGAGACAGTGGACTCACCCTTGACTCCGTTTGCACAGTCAGTGGCTGCAGATGGCCAGCAAAAGTTTTGGACATCAGCCGGAGTGGTAGATACCAAAACCTTTGGCTACATCTACCCAGAGACTCAAAGCGTGTTCAACTCCAGGAAGCGTATTCTTAACGAGGTAGATCGTCTCTACTTGAAGCGGGCCTCCTTTGCCAACATTCTCCGAAGTCAACCAGGCGACGTCGAGACGTTGAAACAACTCCAGCAACGCGCAAAGACTCATCTGAAGTCCGAAGGCACTGCAGCCCCGGAGCTCCCAGCGGGCCGTGATATCCAGAAGCTGGCCGTCGGAGGCAAATATCTCGAATGGCTCGTCAACATCAGGGCTGAAAAAGCTGAGCTGAACGGCAACTACATTGTCAACATCTTCCTCGGCGACCCTGATAGCAACACACTTCCTCTCCTGTACGTGAAAGATCATGCTCATGTCGGATCATTCGCCACATTCGGCCAGGACGAAAACAGCTCCTGTGATAACTGCAAAAAAGGGCGCGAGGAGAAGCTGAAGATTACCGGTCAAATCCCCCTTACTATCGCCCTGGTTGAGCGGTACTTGGCTGGCCAAGTCGACAGTCTCAAACCTGAGCACGTTAAGGCATAGCTCAAGGACAACATCCGATGGAAGATCACACTTCCTACTGAAGAGTTGAAGTCGCCTGAAGACACAAAGAATCTCCTCATCTGCGTTGTATCCAACGAGGTCACTTTCAAGGCCGATAATTCAGAGGTTCCAGAGTATTCAGACGTGGTCACTTCTTACCCGGAAATCACCAACGACATTCCTGAATCTTTTGGTACTGGGTACGATGGGAACAACTTCTAGATGATTTAAGAGCGAGTGTTGTCAGTGAAGAAGAACTGTTTCGGATTGGTCAACGATGGTTTTGTCTGAAAAGGTTTTCGGATGACAACAGGTTCTACAAAAGGTCATGCAAGTATACCAGCAGTCTGATTGTGCAATTTCAGAGCCTCTGCAGTTGATACCTTGTGATGGTCCTCGTGGAATCCGGCTGGCGTCGGTGACATGTACCTCTCGATCGATGCGATATTTAATGGCGAGTCGGCAGACTTTTCTCGCCTTTTGTCGTACTCATCTATTTATAGAGACCTTGTGTCATTCGTCTTGTTCTGTGCTCTTGGCAGGAGTTTTATCATGTGATCTACTAATGCTTAGAGGTACTGATTTCTCTCTACTCAGACCATGGCACTTTCCTTCACCCTGCAGCAAATAGTAAGTTTGATTGATGGCACCGGGATGTGGGCTGTAAAGACTCTGGAGCGATAATAATCGGTCTTGGACTACTCCTTTCGGTAGATTAAAGGACAGACAATTCCGCGTAAAGATCAAGCGTAAACCAACTCACATGTCACCCACTGTTCTCCGTCTTGCGTTCCCATAGGTCACAGACTTTCCCTTCCGCGTTCTAGCTTGCCGTAAACCTTGATACGGGGGCACTCGTCGCCTGTCTCGTAGACTGTAAATGACGATCGGATTAGTATTCCTCGGCCATATCAAGCAAAGAAGCTTGTCCGCTGAAATCTGTGACTGGCCGAAAGGTAGCTCGGACTAGCCCCACTAGAAGCATCGGCCCAAATCCCGGCCGTAGATCGGAGACGCCCCCACAACGGCCTCCGAGACACAACGCTAGAACGGTGCTCCCGTTCTTTACTCCTGCGGCAACATCCGCCACCAAAGGAAGAATCGGCTAGAATTTGAAGAAAGCTGGAGAAAGCAATTACACTCGGCGGCCGGTGAATGGAGAGAGACAATTCATCATCACTTCCCACAACCCGTTGGCCGAATCGGTCCCGTGATGAGAGTTAGCTGTGTGTCGGCACACACTGAGCAGATATTAAGCTAGATTCGTGGGTATGACCTAGCCCCCCTTCCAAGAAACCCCAGAAGCTTTGTGGGGTTGTACCGAAGAAAAGTTTACTGTTGTGGCTTGCGGTCGCTTTTCACTTGGCGACTTCAAATCTTTTTTTATCAACTTTGGTCAGGGGTCACGGAGTTATGGAACCTTCATACACATGTTTATGCTCATTGCTGGGATGACACTGACGAGAAACATTCAGGTGGTGTTGGCTGTTGACATAGACTTTACTCATGCTACTACGAGTGTCTTGCGGTACTCATAGCACCCCTTTTGATTTGCCCGTAGACTTCATTCATGGGTTCAAGGTGTCGAATTGTCCCCTATTCCATAGAACATAGTGGAAAGGGGAACTGCAACAAGGAAGTGGGTACCGAGACACTGCCTTGACGAACACGTTCTCGGTGTCTGGCACCCATGCCGGGAGACTAATGTCTTTCGTGAAATGTCAAGCCGCCTTCGATCTGGCCTCATCGCCCCAGCACGTTTTCCACCAAGTCTTGTAGAAGACGCGTCACTTATCAGACTACACTGCATTCAAAGATTGTTCAGGACCAGTGTGACGCGGCATACCGGTGGTCAGGATATCAAGCATCATTGGACGAACCAGCAAACAACCCGTCAACCCCCTAAGCGTCGGGAGTTGGATCCCCACCCGAACAAGGTCCGTCCGGTCCATCAGCCCTACCATCATCTCTCCCACTCACGCTAGACGTGGCTGACGTAAACGGAACCTATCGAAGTAGTTCTCCATGGTCGAACTGGGGTCGATGCGAGAATACGGCTCACACGTCTATACACTGCGCCCCGGCGCTATGAGGCGTACAGACGGACCACGTGTGGAGCCGCGTCTACTATGGCAACGCCGTCGCCGAGGACTCGGGAATCGCAGAGTCGGGATAAGTTTTCAAGCTTGTTATAAAGATGTCTGCCCGGGCACGATGTTTCTGGTGTTTTGGAAGACATCACCACCAACATTCGCTCTCTCTTCTCTCCTTCACTCACTTGCCTTTCCGGCACACCGACTTGAACTTCAAATCCTCCTGATATGTCTAAGTACTCCAAGGCGGCTCTCCGCGCTTTGGCGGCCAGAGCCAGCACATCTTCCCTAGCAGATGTGTGCACCGTCGAGAACGTGCAGAAGGCTCTGCCGGCCAACGGCACTCTTCTCGGCATCGACTTGATTCCCTCCACCATCACTGCCAGCCCGGTCTACAATGCCACCAGCGACGGCGGCATGGCGGGCGGTAGCACCACCTCCGTCACATACTGCAACGTCACCGTAGCCTATACTCATACCGGCAAGGGCGATACCGTCAACCTCAAGTACGCCTTCCCGGGCCCCGACGTCTTCAAGAACCGCTTCTATGTTGCCGGTGGCGGCGGCTTCTCTCTGTCCACCGACTACACTGGCGGTATCTCCTACGGCGCCGCCGGAGGTGCCACCGATGCCGGCTACGATGCCTTCAACAACAGCTATGACGAGGTCGTCCTCTACGGAAACGGCTCCATCAACTGGGATGCCACCCACATGTTTGGATACCAGGCCCTGGGCGAGATGACCCAGGTCGGCAAGGCGATCACCAAGGGATTCTACAGCATTGGTGCCGACGACAAGGTCTACACCTACTACGAAGGCTGCTCTGACGGTGGCCGCGAGGGTATGAGTCAGGTTCAGCGCTGGGGCGAGGAGTACGACGGTGTCATTGCCGGTGCCCCGACCTTCCGCTTCGCCCAGCAGCAGGTCCTCCACGTCTACTCGTCTGCCGTCGAGCACACCCAGGACTACTACCCGCCTCCCTGCGAGCTGGCCAAGATTGTCAACTCCACCATTGCCGCCTGCGACGGCCTCGACGGCCGTGTCGACGGCGTCATCTCCCGCACTGACCTCTGCAAGCTCCAGTTCGACCTCAAGTCCACCATTGGCGAGTCCTACTACTGTGCCGCCAAGACCAGCAGCTCGCTCGGCTTCGGCTTCAACAAGAGACAGGCTCAGGGCAGCACCACCAGCTACCAGCCCGAGCAGAACGGCACCGTTGCTGAGGAGGCTGTTGCCGTCGCCCAGGCCATCTACGACGGCGTTTTCAACTCCAAGAACGAGCGCGCCTACCTCTCTTGGCAAATCGGCTCTGAGCTCGGCGACGCTGCCACGGTCTGGAACAACGAGACGGAGGCCTGGGAGCTCAGCATCCCCTCCACCGGCGGCGAGTACGTCACCAAGTTCGTCCAGCTCCTCGACCTCGACAACCTCTCCGACATGAACAACATCACCTACAACACCCTCGTCGAGTGGATGAACACCGGCATGATCCGCTACCTCGACAGCCTTCAGACCACCCTCCCCGACCTGAACCCCTTCCAGTCCTCGGGCGGCAAGCTCCTCCACTACCACGGCGAGTCTGACTCCAGCATTCCCGCCGCCTCCTCCGTCCACTACTGGCAGTCCGTCCGCTCCGTCATGTACCCGGAGGCCAAGGATGAGGAGGCCATCAAGTCCCTCGAGGACTGGTACCAGTTCTACCTGGTTCCCGGTGCCGGCCACTGCGGCACCAACAGCCTTCAGCCCGGACCCTACCCCCAGAACAACATGAACATCATGATTGACTGGGTCGAGAACGGCAACAAGCCCAGCCGTCTCAACGCCACCGTCTCCTCGTCCACCAACGTCAACGCTGGCGAGACCCAGATGCTTTGCCAGTGGCCTACCCGTCCCGTCTGGCGCGGTAACAGCTCCGACTTTGACTGCGTCAACGACGCCAAGTCGATTGACAGCTGGACTTACACCTTCCCTGCTTTCAAGCTCCCTGTATATTAAGTGCTTATGATGGCTTCTTCACAGTTGGGCTGTTGTTTCGTCGTCTGAAGATCGAGAGTGTAGAGAGTGTCGGAAAAGCGCGGGATTGAAGTGTGTTTCATTATACATCGCTCTGGGTCATGCCACGTTGAGGCCCAAAAAGAGACTGTACATAGCTTAGTTTTCATTTCAGTACATACACCTTTTAAAAGAACTTTAGCACTTGAGATCAAGTCCATGATCAGGCCCGCAAATGTGACGGGAAACCTATCAAATCGCTGTGATCTTGTCGTCGCTCGTCTCTCTCTCGACTTTTGCAGCAGCCGAGTCGTTTTCCTTGGCGTCCAAATCGTTTTTGGCTTGCCCTCCAACCGCGGACTCCTCGCCAACTCCGGAATGGCTACTCGTCTCCTCGTCAGTGGATCCAGTATCGTCTTTCTTGTCTCTTTTCAGGTAGTAGTGCATGATCCAGGTGAACACAATCAACGCGACTGCGCAGCCCAGGCAGAACGAGAAGCCCTTCCTGTACCTCGGCGACTCCACCGTAGGGAACGTGAGTAAAGGCGTCCACGCCGTCGAGCTCTGCGACAGCAAGTTGATGAGGACCAGCGTAAAGCTCCGTTCCTCGGGGCTGTCTCGCAGCAGGTTATTAACCCATCCGTGGAACACCGAAGATAGAGCATTGGACCAATACATGGTTGCGAATCCGAACCAGAGACCGCCTTCAGGAACAGTCCATATCGTCAGAAAGATAAGACCGATGGCGTTGAGGACCGAACAGATTGTGATTGACCAGGCTGGACCAAGGAACATGTCCGAAGCGAAGCATGCGATGAGCGTGTACGCGATGCCCAGCGCGGGGGAGATCGTGCCCAACTCATTGATACGCGCCGCGCTGTACCGCCCAAGACTTTTGATCCAGAGCAAGTAGGAGCCCGTATTCTTGTGGATGCCCGCATTCCAGAAGAGGACGTCGGTCGTGATGACGAGCCAGAAGCGGAAGCCGAGGAGGGTGCGCTTGATGTGGCCAAACTTCATCTTGCCGTGGAGGACGTGACCGTGTTTCTCAAGACGGTCGCGGGCGGTCTCAATGTCCTTGTCGTTGACGAACCACCTGTTGGGTTGGTCGATGGTGCCGGGGATGACGAAAAACCCGAAAATGCCGACTGGGATGGTAATGAGGGCGCAGATGATGTACATCCATCGCCAGCCCTCCATACCTGCGGCGACTTGTTAGCGACGAATACACCACCTAAGGATGCTAGCGAGGTTTGAAGGCGGATTGACATACCGTGGACTCCTTCGAGTGAGCTTGATGCGCCAGCTTGGATGAGTCCGGCTGTTAATGTGCCGGCAGCGAGACCGGTATAGAAGATACCACCGCGACGAGCAATCTCGTGGCCTCGATACCAAGAGCCTAAGTAGATTATCAGTGAGGAGCCCTGGTAACATTCAAGTCTTCCAAGCGTACCGAATACGTAATGCATTGCTGGAAAGAATGCTGCTTCAAACCAACCCACCATGAACCTGTAGGCAGCCAACTCTGCGTAAGAGTGAACGCGACACTGCAGGAGCGTGAAAACGCCCCAGAGAACATCGCAAATTGGGATGAGATACTGGATTGGGACATAGGTCATGATGAATCTTGAGTGCCTGTCAGCAATGCGAACGGGGTTTTTGAGATTCCGGGTTCATACAAGAACGGAATCTGGCCTAAGACCGATCCAAGAGTGAACAGCGTCTGGAGTTGAACAAGCTCGTTTCCGTAAAAACCGAGGTCCTCCTTCATGCCGGCAACGTAAGCGTTGTTTAAATTGGATTGGTCAACATATTTGACCCAGTAGCCTTTGAGAAAGGGTGTTAGCCTCATAGTCATGAGATAATGCGGGGGGATACATCATACCGAGTACCGAATAAGGTACCAAGAGAAGATCAATCTTCGTGATCAAGCGTCTTTCCTCCTTTGTGTCGTCTGGTGAGAACCATTTCCACTCCCACCACTTGTCTCTTGGGACCGACTCTTTCAGAGCGGATGACATCGTTGCAGATTTCTTTGGGTCACTCTACCAGAGACCGCCAGGATGAGAACGATTAGATTCGAGGTGGTTCAAGTCATTTTTGCTCTGACGAAGCAGACTCGGCGGACTGATATTGAAAGACAGACATGTACGGTTCGGGAGCCCTTATCCCAGCTGTATCCCACCCGGAAGTTGCCCGCCATTGCGTAATTCATACAGAACCCATGAGCAGCGTCAGGCTCAGTACGTCGATGAATGGTCGCAGTGAATCTCGCCGATGCGGCCAAAAGTGGGCTGGTAGTATCGTCGAATTGTAGGATAAGAGAATATCTGAAGTGCCAAGAAGAAGGGATTTTGCGATATCGGTAAAGGGCTTCATCGACCTGGTACATAAGTGTTTAGATTGGCTGGCCATCCTGCAAGTTGGCTGAGGAAAGCCAGGCGAGGCAATGGTGTGCTGCAACCCCACAATGGTGATAGACAACCTTGCTTTGACGTCTTTTCGGGTTGTGTTCTCATTCGATGAGTAGACCGTTGCAAATAGATGGCTATGTTCCCTGCAGCCCAAAAAGTCTGGATCTTGTGTCGAAGAAAGTTGGTCATTCGATGATGATGGTAGAGTAGTAGTCTCCCCGGGGGTCAGATCAATTAGGTATATTCTTCAACAGCTCTCATGAACACGACGCTTTCTACCGCAACTCAGACTCAACGCGCAAAGATCGGGTCACGCAGACTGGCGGAACAGTGACAACTTCGGTAGCGTTCATCTTGCCACCTCTGAAGGCATACGTAAAAGTCCACCCAGACCCGGCACCACCGTGCTCACCCTTGTTGTTGACAACCACAATACCGCTCGACACGGCCGGGTACTTCTTTACCATGCGAACTACTGCATCTCTCGCCGCCTCCTGCGGGCTCATCCCCCTTCGCATGCTCTCCACAGCCTGATAACAGGGCAAGAAACGCATCATAATGTCGCCGTCGCCAGTCGCGCCGCATGCCCCGACATCGCCGTCGACGTACGAACCGGACCCCGTGATCGGGCCGTCGCCCACGCGACCGGGAACCTTGAACGAGGCTCCGTTGGTTGAGGTACCTGCCGCCATGATCCCGTTCGCGTCTAGAGCCATCATGGAGATGGTATCGTGTGACGCCTGCGCCGAATTCGGCGCAATGAGATCAAAGTAGCCGGACGAGCTAGAGTCGAGCTCAACGGGCGTATACGGCCCACACGCGGCCTTAGGATCCGGCGTGACGTTCTGCCTGTAATTCGACTGGCAGTTCCCGCTCCGCCACTCGGCACACCGCGCCGCGGAGGCCTCAGTGGACAAGCTCTCGGCGACGAAGCCGTTCTCAATGGCGAATTCCGTCGCGAGGTCGCCAGCGAGCATAGTGTGCGAGGTATACTCAAGTACGTGGCGAGCGACGCCAATGGCATTCTTGACGCGGCGCAGGGCGGCGACGGAGCCGGACTTCATGGTGACGCCGTCCATGATCATGGCATCGAGGGTGGTCTCGCAGTTCTCGCCGGGGGAACCGCCGAAGCCGACGCTGCCGTCACACTGGTTCGCCTCGCAGGTTGCACAGCCGATCTCGACTGCGTCGAGGGCCGAGGTGCCGGGCTCAACGAGCGCTTGGTACGCCGCGTCGGTGGCCGCTGTGAAGGGGCCGCCCCAGGTGTTGATGACCATGGGGAAACCCGGCGATGCTTGGCCGAGGACGCGGTGCCCAGTGAGGAGGGAGAGGAGGAGTGGGGCGAGGAGGAGTGGGGCGAGGAGGCGGGGGCGGAGGTCCGGCATTGTGGGCGGGTTTCGGAGGTGATGCCGAGCCAGTGAATGGAGGTTCAAGAGGGAAAGGAGGCTCTCAATAGCTTAGTTTCATGAGCTTGGCGGCTATTTGCCAGAATGAGTGACGATGGCGCAAGTGAGGTGAGATGAGACGAGACTGGTTGACCGGTTTGCGGAGGGAGTCTTTGATTAAGAAGCACGGTCGCTCAATCCGCCGCGCCGGTGTTGGTGTTGTTTACCCCGCGCGATAGGCTGATCTGCGCCGATAAACAGGGGTCCAGGGGGCATTTGAACGTTGGGTCCGAGCCGGATAGAGGTTGAATTGCAATTAATACCACGTTACTTTTGGGTTGCCAAGCAATAGCCAATGTTGCGTTATCAACCTTCCTTTCTGAGCATCATGACGAGGAGGTTCGTGATGCCAAGGAAGGATGTTGGGTCTAATACTGACCGATGGTCAAGCTAAAGCCTAGAGCATGATCTCTGTCTTAAGAAGAGTGAATCGCGCTGACGAAAATTCCGACGACGTTCTTCTAGGAATCGCGGTAATGGAATGAGAGAGACGGGTAATGGTCGAGAGTGTTTGTTTTGACATTGTCTAGGAGTTGGTAGAATTGGATTAAAAGTTTGAGCTTGTAAACATTGCTCATAGCATTTCTGCGCAGAAGTCCTTGACCGCATTCACGACACTGTTAATATGTTCCTCTCCATGAGTAAGGTTCAGCGCAAGGAACCCACGACGTCCAACATAAATCCTCGTGCTGAGAAGGTAAAAGAAGAAGAGGTCCTGCAGCTTGCTTGCCGACGGGCCCTGGAAGTGCAAGCCAATGGCACTTCCATAGCCTGTGAGCTTGACAATAGACGCATCCTTGGACCCAAACACTTCACGCAGCTCGTCGCGAAGCCTGTTTCCCAGCTCATTATTTCTCTGAAGAGCCTCCCTCGACAAAAGCTTGGTGGCAGCGACGCCCGCAGTCATGGAAAAAACGTTGTTGTTCCACGTTCCCGAATGGAAGAGACTCCGCGGCCCCTGCGGATCATACAGATCCATGATGTCCTTGCGGCCGCCGAACGCGCCGAACGAGAAGCCGCCGCCAAAGTGCTTGCCAATGGTGGTCATATCCGGTGTGATGCCGTAAATCTCTTGCAGGCCACCGTAGTTGAGTCGCGAGGTGATGACCTCGTCAAAGATGAGGATGGCGCCGATGCGCGTGGCTTCATCTCGGAGGAACTGGAGGAACTCTTTCGATCCTTCAATCATGCCAGCGGCGCCTTGCATGGGCTCGACGATGATGATGCCAATGTCGTCGGTGATTTGCGACCGGGTGTACTCAATGTCGTTGTATCGACCGTACGCGAAATCATGGGGGAGAATCAGCGGGTTGTTGGGCGTGAAAGCTAAAGTGCCGCCATGATAACCGTCTTCAAACACCAAGACCTGAGCGTGAGGCACGATTTAGTAAATAATCTACTGCTCAAAGGACTGTGACGGCTGACCTTCTTTCTTCCGATGAAATGCAACGCCGTGCCAATCGCCATGGTGTTCGCTTCGGTTCCCGAGTTACAAAACCTAATAGCATCGACGCTTTGGAATCTCTCGACGAGCAGAGCCGCCAATTCACCCTCCTTAGGACTTGGCCCACCCAGGGTGAATCCCGACTTGGTAACGCTATTGATCGCAGCGATGATGTTTGGGTGCGAGTGGCCAAACATGCCGGCGCAGTACTCGGACACGAAGTCGAGGTACTCGACGCCATCTACGGATGCCAGGTGACAGTCGTGGCCTCCCGAGAATGCCAATGGAAAAGGCAGGTAATGCAGAACAGATCTAGTCGTCCCTCCAGGTAGCGATCCCGAGGCTGTCTTGTTGACTTGGAGCGATCCTTGGTTCTCTGCGACATACTTGTCGACGTACGCGTTCAACTGCTGCTCGATCTTCATCGCAGGCTGAGGCTGAGTTGCCTCCCCATTTTGTTCAAGTTCCACCATGATTGCTCGGTTGCGGGGTCCACAGAGATACTACACGTCTTGCTGAAGATTCTTTGCTGGTGAAACAAAAGTAGACAGGAGCACTCGTATGTATCGTTAACCAATTGATCTGTTAAATACCAGCGGACTTTGCCGCGGAACCTGGTCCGATCCGAACGCTTCTGCCACTGTTGTGTGTTCTTCGTGGGCTGTAGATAAGTTGAACCCCGCTCGGGTATGCGACATCGGGATGCCGAATCATGTTCGGAAATTTTGAGCCAGCCGATTTCTCGGGAAAGATGCGCTAGCGGTTCATACCCGAGAATGGAACACTGGATCCAAGCAATGGAAAATCTCAGACCTCATACGGTCAATCCAGATGTTCGAACTGTCAAGTTCCTTTCCCGAAAGCGAAATCGTTCGATATAGCTGGGTGGGATGTAAGCCGACGGGCTGCTTGGTAGCATGTGTTGGGTGTCAGGTTGTCTGCGGTTCATCGAGTGTTGGAGAGAAGCCCAGGAGCCAATGGTTTTACACGATTTCGCCCCGGACCCATGTGTCAAACACTTCCATTTCGCCAAGACTCGGCAATCAATTTCCTTGTTGTACATCAAAGAACGTCGACTCCATCCTTGGATTGGAATAGAGAGTTAGATCTCTAATACTGCTTGTGAGTGTAATTCTCTGTAGTTCTATCCTGTTTTTCTTTTGACCAAATCATGCACGCTCAATGCTACAGACTTATGATAATGCATCGACCGGTAGGCGTCACAGACGCGGCCTCACCCAGCCACTATGTGTGACGACTAATGCAACGCAGAGACCTTGGGGCCTCATGCCTTCTCGTTGTTCGAGCCCTTCTCCCTCATCCTCGCCGCCCTCCAAGTCTGTCCCCAGTACCAGTGTATCACCGCCAGCGGCCCAACAGCAACCGTGACAAGGGCCAGGCCCAAGAAAGCGGCGCCGGGTCCCGTGGTAGCAACAAAGTTGTCTACCAGCGCTACGCCGATAGCTCCCAGTCCGCACCTGACCAAGTTGTTTATCGCGGTGGCACTAGCACCCTTTCTGGGACACAGGTCGGTGACGAGGGTCTGGTTGAGGGCAAAGACGGCGTTACTGGTGGCAGCGATGAAGAATTGGAGGACGAGTGGGACTGCGATCCAGCCTGATCGGGAGGTGACGGAGGGGAAGTTGAGGGATAGGCCGTAGCCGCCAGTGGAAGCGACGAAGATGAGGACGATCCATGGAAGACGACGGAGGCGAGCGCGCTCTATGGGGAATTCGGCGGGCATGTTCTTTCCTGAGAGCTTTTCTGTTCTTGTTATGTTATGAGATGTCTTGTATTCCTCTTCCGCCTCGAGATAGTCTTTTGTCATTAGCTTGCCCACGATTGCGGACCCAACAATAGTTCCAAGTCCTGTCCTACATGTTAGCGAGACTCCTTGAAGAGGTAAGGTGAAAGTGTGAAGATGTGGAGGATGCGTACCATTAGGTAGAAATGCGAGACCGGTTTGCAGGTCACTAAGTCCAAACAACTCCTTGAACAGGATGGTGGTACTTGACGTGACCATAGTCCATATGGTATAGACCACGCCACCAAACACCAAGTTGATTAAGATGTCCTTCTGAATCAACAGCTGCAACGGTTCGATAAAGATCATCAATGTCACCTTCTTCCGCGGGATGGGTTCATCCGGGTCTTCCAGGTAGTCTGGCTCCTTGCCAAGGTACCATACGATCGGCTTGTAAATGCCCCCCAAACGAAGCGAGCCGTTCCCGGCAATGCTCCGCATGGTTTCAGGCAGCCAAAACACAATCACCAAGGTGACTATAGAAGAAAGGATCAGGAGAAAGACAAAGATGGACCGGAACCCGAGGAAGTTGGCGAGCAGGCCGCCGAGCACAGGCCCGACTGCTATGCTGAAGTTTCGGACTACGAGGTGTTAGCTCCGAGCTCACCAGGAGATAAAACCGAGCCACCGAGCAAAACACCGTAATGCTAGTGAAACAGCGATAGGGCCCATAGTGACTTACTCGCCTGGTAGAAACTAATAAAGGCTCCCCGTTCGGCCGGGGGTGAAATGTCCTGGATTACGCCGTTTCCTGTTGCACTGGTCAGAAAGAAGGAATTACGACGACTTTCATGTTTTCTTGGCTACATTTAGAGGCCCAAGGGAGAGGAAAGGTTGTATTTTCCCGTGTGTAACTTACCAATGCTCACGGTGGAGGCACTTCCGGCGGCTTGCAAGCCCCTGAAGATCAGAAGAACTGTGAAATTGGGAGAGAAGCTGAGTCCGATGTTGGCAATGATGTACACGGCGAACGAGGCGATGTAGGTTGGCCTTCTGCCCAGAGCATCCGAGATCGAGCCCCAAATCAGCGGGGAGATGCCCTGGATGATCAAGTAGGATGTGATGGTCAGAGAAACCATCTGCGAGCTGACATTGAGATCCTATGAAATTTTGTGAATTAGAGAGTTGCCGAAGACTCCGAGAAGATGAACAGCACTTACCCGTGCGATCGTATCGAGAGCTGGGAAATAGATGTTGGAAGAAAGACCAGAGAACAGTCCAGCAGCTCCGATGATGACGATAACGACCCATTTCTGCTTCTTCGTGAAAACGTGGTAAGGCGGTTCTGGCTCCAGCTCCTGGACGGCTGTTCCCTCATCGCCGCTGCTGTTATCGTCGAACGGGTTCTGAGCTTCACGCGGAGGAGAAAGCCGTTCTACTGAGTTTTGATCCGTAAACGGGTCGCGCAACTCAGTGCCGTGGGGATCATTATCGCTCTCCGTGATGGAAGGCGACGAGTTGCTGCTGCGTGAGCTGGCAACGCTGAGGCTTCTGCTGAGAGATCTCGAGCGGCCTTTGACGGACAACCTCGTTGGCGAAATGTACTCGTCGTGGTCTCGGTCTTGAGAGAGTTCAGTGTCGCTTGTGAGAAGATGCAGGCCGCCCATGGCTGTGGCGGAGATCCGTTTGGCTATGCTGGGTCTCGCAGGTTGAGACTCCAAGATCTCACTGCTGGGGCGTTCCATGGCGGTGAGAATTTGGCCGTTGTTGCTTGAACGCCTTTGACTGAGATGTCAAAACGAAGGTCTTGTCGTTCTCTTTTTGGTCTGAAGAAAGATAGACGATTTCCAAGAGGAACCACTCTTGGTGATATTTGACAGATACTCTCTCCACGGGAGACCCGATTATCCACAAACCGAGCACAGCTCACTCTCAGAATAACACTATCTGAGGCCAAGACAATTTGCGGAGTTCATTTTCAGACTAACGCCGGCTCTTGCACCAGAATTCCTCGACATCAGGAGGATGGGGCCACGACCGCCTTGGGGTTCAAAGGCAACCAGTTGCCGACGTCACGTCAAGACACACCATCCCACATAGCCCGGCAGATACTGCCAAAAACAAGTTTACTGAACTGGCACAAGGTTTATTGAGCCTCGAGAGTTCTTGATCGATCAAGGGTGATTTGCGACTAGGCCACCTCCCGGGGCGAAGGGGCCGCAAAAGATTAGAGCTGACTCTGGACCACTTCTCTGTGAACCAATTGGGTTATACGCAAACCGCGCTCGCTACGGGATGTGACTGGTCCGTTGTCCAGTAAGCGTGAAACTTGTTCCAGGATGTTGCGCCGAGCCTAAAACGCCTGCCGGGCTGATAGGTTTTGCGGCGGCAGAAAGTCTCAGACGAAGATGGAAAGAGAAGGAGAAGAGAGAAAGCAAATACAATCAATGCCAAGAATAGAAGATCCCTGCGACAGCTTGTGCACGACTTGTCAACGGCAACAACAACAACAACAGGCCGATATCTACGACAGGCGACCCCCTCCGGATCCCACTCTCCCACGCATGCCTACGAGATCTGCCACAGTCCCCTCATGACGCTCAAGCCCTCCCTTGATCGGTCCACCACGTGCATCCAGCTAAGCAACTGAAAGACCGGCTACTTTACCGTTGCCAAGCCCTTTCAAGAGAAGTCCCGTCGTCTCGTCTCAGAAACATGGCACGTCAGCCTCAGAATCTTGGATAGGTATCCCACGGGGTCCACCGAACCCATAGCTCTGGTATTGACAGTTCATCCGTGTAAGTGAACGCCTTCCTCGCTCTGGTCTAAAATGACTGAACACCCAAAAGCTGACATCCTCTTCGCAGCGAACAACCGCACATACTTACAGCTACCTAAGCGGAACAAGATGGTTGGTCTTTCGATGAACCGTAGGAGAAATTCTCCTCCCAACCTTCGGCTCGACATTCCTCAAGAACAACACCAAGAACGAGCCGTCAAGTCGCCAGGACCTCTGACGCCGAACAGACCTCTCATAGGCTCTGACATACCTATACTCCCAGCTCCTCAGCAAACCAGCTTAATAACGTTTACTCATGCTCCTTTGCCATCCAATGGTCCTGCGGATACGCTCCCTCAGATTCCAACGACCACTCAGCCTGCTGTAGTACCCTCATCAAGCGCACCACCAAGGGTAATTACACCTCCATCGACACCAATCTCTAGCGCACCTCCAAAGTCACCAACCCTTCGCCCAAGCGTGTCGGTATCAAGAACTACAGTGTTCATCACAACAACGAGACCTCAATCCTCGGTTCTCCCGAGCCCTACAAATACAGTATTCGTCACCGCTGCGCCCCAGACGATAACAGTAACTGCGCCATCTATCCCAATCCCATCGAACGACCTCAACGGCGATAGTGGAAGCAAGCCTCAACCTCAACCCCAGCCATCAGCCATTGGGTCAACTCAAGGTGTATCTTTCACCAGTGGATCTGGCGTGGCCGTGCTTGGGGTGCTTGGAGGCATAGGTAAGAGAGACACGGAGTTGGTACCTGATTGTTTTCTATGAGCTAATCCGATAAAAACAGCCGCGACATCCATCCTGGCAATGGCCGTATTGATATTCTGGCGCAAAAGGAAGAATCGCAACAGCATGGGCTCGGGAGGGGTATGGCAGCTTTGATTCTTCCCGATTGCTGTTTTCTCTGCTAACCTAACCTTGTGATAGTTATTTACAGGAAAGTCACAATAGGTTAGACAGTCCACCAAGGCAAAAAAGAGTGGCGCGTAAGATCAGGTGGTGTGACGTGGCCGAGCTGGCCTCTATTTTCTTTTTCTTGGGTCACTGTGTGTTGGATCTCTGAGCAGTCGGCAGAAAAGATGGATCTGGAAGGCGGTATGGGCACTTACAAACGGCCCTTTCACTTATATACCACTTCTGGGAGATCGTGGGCTCTGCCCACAATCTCCTCCTTCCACCTCCAGACGCAGCAATAATAGACCATTATTGACACTTCGTTCCAACCGTACGGTTGCCCTGCTGACGTGTATACCAACACTGTGGGAAATTTGGGATCATAGACAAGGCGGCCTTTAGCATACTACAGCTCTGCCTCCCCAAAGACTATCGTTCAGGAACGAGGGGGTTAGATTTGGGCAGCAAATTTCTAGTGTTACAGGATAATAAAAATTTGAAAAGTTCTCTGATACATCGTCTATTCTCAAACCCCCCCTCTACCAGCAACTAAAGTAACAGTCTCCACCATAGTCACCAAACCCTTGTCAAGCTTCGGCCGCCTTGAGCTTCTCCTTAACTCCAAGGGAAAACACAACGAGAATGTGCTCAAGGGTCAGTGGGTAAACCTTTTACTTTGCAACGCTTACAGCGGTTCTGGGCGGATCATTACATGCAGCAGTGCCCAACGTCTTGACAAACATACAATATCGTGGTCCAGCGGAAGTGCAACAGACTCTCACGTGGTACCATCCTCAGCAAGGCATCAATACCCTTCATGGACAACAGGCTTTAAGTAGGGAATGCCGGTGGCACTTGTAAGAGACACCCCCACAGTTACACGTGTCGGCGGCTTGGTGCTGTGTATCCGTAGATCCATTTCGTCAAGGGAGGCAGGCGGCAGCAGCATTGCAGCAAGAGTCGCAGCTACATTGCTAGTGGAAACGGAATTGGAAGCTTGTCTGTTGAGCTGTGTCGTATTCTAGATTGCTGAGAGAGTCGGCGGCACGTGGGGGTACAATTCGTGAAGCATGTTCACTTTCGATTTTGTGGTACCCCCTTTTTTCTACGGATAGCCGATCTGCAGTTCCGCTTTATTAGACTTAGAGCGTACCCTATCAGTGAAACGATTAAACAAAACCTTGTTTCATCTACCCGTATTCGTGGTTCACAATTTCAATGTCGCATCTTGCGGCTGTGTTATGTGAATAATCTCTGACAACTACACTAAGTGTCTGACTTGTCAGCAAACGCCGGGCTTATCGGGTTCAACGTCAATAAGCTCGTTGCACTAGAACCTTGTGGGTCTTAATGCCACATAGCGTTGATAGTCGCCGTTACCTTCTAATCAGGAGCTTCAGATGGCAGAGCCGCAGTGGTGATCTACATCTCGGAGTTCGGAGGGTCTAGCCGTCTGTCTCGGTCACCGATTGAGAAAACAGGACTCCACTTGCGTCACATAACTAGTGTTGATGCCGATTGCAATGGAACAGTAAGTGGGGGTATATCGTAACTATGATGCAGAGTTCAACAACACACCGCACCTATGAGGCTGTTTTGCAGGAGGGGTTCGGTGTCAGGCCCACTCGAGTTATGCTGTCTGAGTCGGCCTACGTCAACCCGGTTTGCACTAGTGTCTGCAACATGCAATGCAGTGACGTTTCCGGAAGGTGCGGTTCGAGGAAAAAGGAAGGGGACGAAAATCACTGCGTGGTGCCATAAGTAGAACCAAGAAGGCAGGGTAAAGTCACCACGTGCAACAAGTCATTATCAACTTTTGACATAACCTTCAAGCCACATCGATTCGAACAAGAGCACTATCTTCGGGTTTCCCTACAAACCTCAACAGGTTTCTCTGACGACGGCGATATCGTGCTGCTAAGCTCGCCAGTCGCTGAATCCCTCAGGATGTTTGGTGTTTCCACGTGCCGTATGTTGTAATTGTTCTTCGCCCCATGATTCTTGGACTGTATCTTGCAAGCTAACAGATCGAAACTGCAACCGTCTAGGTAAGCCAAAGAACTAGATCCAAGTTGCAAAAAAGGATCGAAAGACTCACTAGAGAATGACAGGGAAGATACACTCCAACGTGTACACGAATCGATCGATTTTGCCTGGGCGTCGTAGCAGGCGTATTCAAGAGAGACGGGTGGAAGGTGTAGGTGATGGACCTCGTCACCCCGATCAGCGCCAGAGAAGACACGCGTATCTCTGTGCTGCGCATCAAGTGACCCCATAAGCTGATGTTCAGCGCAGCCCGCAACGACCTCTTCTTCGTCGACGCAAATTTCCGGAGCAAGTAGAAGGCGCTCAGACATTCCAGAAGAGCCAACAGCACAAAGTAGCAGACGTGGGCAAAGTCGACAATCTTGGACGCGGTGTTATTGGTATCGTCGTAGATGCCCTTAACTCGAGCTATCAAGATCATGCCACGAAGGGCAGTGATGCCGGCAATCAAGACCCAAAAGGTCGTCAGGTAGATCGTCCGACTGCGGCCCGACAACATGTGAGTCAGCATAGCATACGAGTAGAATGAGATGCCGGCTTCTTGGACCTGAACTCGGCGTTAATCATGGAATTCGCTGCCAAGGGGCCCCCTCTAGTGGATGTCGTACTAGTCAGAAAGTATCGGCGAACCCAGATGCGAGCGCCTTATCCAATGGGGAACTATCCGTGTAGAAGATTTGAATACATAGTCCGTTGGCGATGGCACAGGCCATGCTTGTGATGATCGGGACCACCGCGATGCTTGAGAATTTCGTGATGCTAATGACGATGAAGCCAAGGAACACATTTGAGATGCCGATGGTGCTCAGAATAGCCCAGAATTGCTTAAAGTAAAGCTCAGCCGCCATCTTGACTCATCGTATTGCTGAGTGCTGCTGTGGACGATGGTACAGCCAGGTGCAAAGGCTGTGGGGTCGTTTGGGAAACCGTTGCTATGAAGCGTGAAAAGGAGATCAAATCGGGCCGGAGAGTGTGGACCCAGACCCTGATATTGGCTTGACTATATTTCCCGGTCAAAGGTACGAGTGACATACAACTAGGCATTCACTCGGTTTGCACTTCGCATTCAGGGTCGCACAGTCGGATCGTATCGACGTTAGCCTCAAGGACCGCGGCACATTTCGCTAGACAGACAAGCAAGACAGGGTTTCTTCCGTGGTGATGGATTTAGTCCCCAGCCCATCATACCAGCTGCTGGCAGCGTTGCCCAATCACGGGTTCGCCCTTCCGTATTGTCTTGCGTGAAGTCGCACAAGTCCATTCCGGGGCTCTGGGGGCCGACGTAGGCTAAGACGCGGAGGGGGCATTTCCAAGTCTTCAAGCGTCTTCATGGATAGGACGCCACAGAGCGATCGCACTATTATTTCCCGATCGCCGGTATCGAGTGGCTTCATCCCTTGCAGATGCGGCACTGCTAGTTCGCCCAGCCCTACTAGCAGTGGCCCATTCAAAGCGAATAGACAAAAGCCACCCGCTGGTGCCGGTACCGTAATCAAAGAAATGGTTGCTGAGGCGGGTTGGTCTTGGGATATTTGGGTTGACAGGATCTACAGTCTACAACAAAACATCAGATAATTACATGTTCAGAAGCAGACTTGGCAATGCAAAGAAGGAGTCATGGGAGTCAAGTGGTCTCGCTCTTCAGCGGATCCCGAGCGCCCCGCACATCTCACAACCCCGGTCTCTTGCCAGGGAAAGCTTGTGCCACCCACTCAGCCCCAGAAGTTAAAATCAAAGCCGTTACATCTACCAGGCGACCAGAGCCTCGGAATCGATGATTCCATCCTGTATGCGGTTGCGCTCATCAGGTAGTGGTCTAGATTTGTCTGTCCGTCTTCGTTTGCAGTTCTATCTGGTCTGACACACTGATCACCTCTGTAACACAAGCTGCAAGCGGGCGTCCTTGAATCGAACATCGGCCACCTGTAACTTGACTCCAGGCCAGCCGCCGTGAGAACCAGGTTCGGGGCGAGATCTCATATTAAGAGGGATTACTTTCAGTACTATTGTCCTTGACGTCGCAGTTCACTCAAACGATCTTCGACGCTATACTCAAGTTTGGCATACATATATACACATACCTGTATGTCTCTAAATTGGTTCAAGTAGGTAAGGCCTTCCAACCACACAGCTTTTGCTAGGCTTGCTTGGGAAGGCACCCACCCCGTCAGCCACGCCACCAGCCACATCAGTCGTGGACAGACGGGCATCCGGAGCCGTAGACGGCCTACAACGGCAATAGCTTCAAAGACCGAGCCGCCTAAGGTTGCGCAGCCGTACCTTTTTGGAGTGAAAGCTGGAAAACTCGGCTAATGATTATAATCTGTGGATGCACAAGGCCCAGAAGTCCATCGGTAACATGAATGGTGGGCTGTCGGGCCGCCATGAGACAACTTGGTACGCCTCTGCCAACGTCAATCTGCAAGATCTCTTCAGACAGCACAATTTTTCAGACAAAGACGTGTTGAAGAAAGGCTTCGGTGATCGTTAAACGTAAATACATGTTCCTATCTGCAGGTCACTAGACTACACTAGGCTATCTCAAAGCACGAAGGCTAGGGATGGTCTCATTTCCTCATAATCGACATTGCTTTTTCCGCGGTTCATTCTACCGATCTAAAGACGACTCGGTACGCTACCGGACTGCTTCTTCAGATCGAAGCGGTCCAAGTTCATTACCTTGTCCCAAGTGGTCACGAAGTCCTTGACGAACTTCTGTCCAGCATCAGCCTGGGCGTAGATCTCCGAAACAGCGCGGAGCTCAGCGTGAGAACCAAAGACAAGGTCGACACGGCTGGCAGTGTACTTCTTGGAGCCCGACTTTCGGTCGAAGCCCTCATAGACATCCTGGTTGTTGGTGGCCTTCCACTCGTTGCCCATGTCGAGCAAGTTGACGAAGAAGTCGTTGGTCAAGGCACCGGGGCGGTTGGTGAAGACACCGGTTGATGAGCCATCGAAGTTGGTGTTCAGCACACGCAGACCACCGACGAGAACAGTGAGCTCGGGGGCGGTGAGCGTAAGAAGGTGTGCTCTGTCAACAAGGTAGTGCTCCGTCTTCGCACGGTTGCCTGACTTGCCGTAGTTGCGGAAGCCATCGGCGTAGGGCTGCAAGTAATCGACAGACTCAACGTCGGTCTGCTCCTGGGTGGCATCGCCACGACCAGGGGTGAAGGGCACGGTGATGTCATACCCTGCGTTCTTGGCTGCCTGTTCGACACCAGCAGCACCAGCGAGGACGATGAGGTCGGCCAACGAAATCTTCTTGCCGGAGCCGTTGAACTTCTGCTGCACACCCTCGAGGGCCTTGAGAACCTCGGCGAGCTGCTTGGGGTTGTTGACCTCCCAGTCCTTCTGAGGTGCCAAGCGAATACGGGCGCCGTTGGCACCGCCGCGCTTGTCGCTTCCACGGAAGGTAGAAGCGGAAGCCCAGGCGGTGGAGATGAGCTTGGAGGCATCAATACCAGTGGCGAGGACCTCCTTCTTGAGGGCAGTAACGTCCTGCTCGCTGACGAGGGGCGAGCTGGGAGCGGGGATAGGGTCCTGCCAGATGAAGTCCTCGGTAGGGACCTCAGGTCCGACATAGCGGGAGCGCGGGCCCATGTCACGGTGGGTGAGCTTGAACCAGGCCTTGGCGAAAGCGTCGGCGAACTGATCCGGGTTCTCGAGGAAGCGTCTCGAGATCTTCTCATACTCGGGGTCGAAGCGCAACGACAAGTCGGTTGTCAACATGGTGGGAAGCTGCTTCTTGCTGGAGTCGAAGGCATGGGGAATGATGGCCTCGGCATTCTTTGCCACCCACTGGTTGGCACCAGCGGGACTCTTGGTAAGCTCCCAGTCGAACTGGAACAGGTACTCGAAGTACTTGTTGCTCCACTTGGTAGGGGTAGCAGTCCAAGTGACCTCCAGACCACTGGTGATGGTATCGGCGCCCTTGCCAGTACCGTGCTTGTTGGCCCAGCCCAAGCCCTGTGCTTCGAGACCGGAGGCCTCGGGCTCGGCACCAACGTTGCTGTCGGGGGCAGCACCGTGGGTCTTGCCGAAGGTGTGGCCGCCAGCAATGAGAGCGACCGTCTCCTCGTCGTTCATAGCCATGCGTCCAAAGGTGACGCGAATATCTCTGGCGGCAGCGACCGGGTCGGGGTTGCCATCGGGACCCTCAGGGTTCACGTAAATGAGACCCATGTGGGCAGCACCAAGTGGTGACTCAAGATCGCGGGTGTGAATGTCTGACTTGCTCTTGGTATCCTGGGAGCCATCGAGGACACCCTGGTCGGCCTTGCCTGCGTGACCGTGGGAGTAGCGGACGTCGTTGCCGAGCCATGTGTTTTCGCCACCCCAGTAGACGGACTCATCCGCCTCCCAGGTATCGGGACGTCCGCCAGAGTAACCAGCAGTCTGAAAGCCCATTGACTCGAGAGCGACGTTGCCGGCCAAGATCATAAGATCAGCCCAGGAGATCTTGTTGCCGTACTTTTGCTTGATGGGCCACAGCAAGCGGCGGGCCTTGTCAAGACTGACATTGTCGGGCCAACTGTTGAGAGGGGCGAAACGTTGCTGACCCTGTGAGCATCGATAGTTAGCATCTCATTTGGCAAAATCCTCTGAATTTCCCAAAGTAACTCACCTCACCACCGCCGCCGCGTCCGTCATGAACACGGTAGGTGCCGGCGCTGTGCCATGCCATACGAATGAAGAGACCTCCGTAGTGGCCAAAGTCGGCAGGCCACCAATCCTGAGAGTCGGTCATCAGAGCCGTCAGGTCCTTCTTGACGCCGTCGTAGTCGAGGGTCTTGAAAGCGGAGACATAGTCAAAGTCACCACCCAATGGGTTGGTGACAGGAGTATGCTGACGAAGAATGTTGAGCTTGAGGGAATCGGGCCACCAGTCGCGGTTCTTGGTGCCGCCACCTCCGGTGTTCATGGTCCGAATAAAGGGGCACTTTTCCTCGGCCATGGTGTCTGATTCTGCGATTTAGTTGTTTGTGGTGTGTTTCGATATGTTGCCTAGTAGAAGGGATATTGATGTTTCTATGGTCAACAGTCAATCGTCGGATCGTATAGAAGGAGAGAAGGCAAAAAAGAAAAGAGTCCGCTAACAGGAAGACACGGTAAGGGGGAAGGAGGCGACCCCGCGTTTTATGCCACGGCCCCCCGCCCTCCCCTCACTCATTGCATGACCAATGGGCCGAATCTTGTTGGCGGTTGAGGGGTGCGTGGTCAAGGGCCGAGTACATAGTAAGAACCACTGTGCACTTCCACCTCTTTCCTATTAATGCTGCACTAACGTGTGACAGCAGGAACTATGCCGTAGTCATGTAGGTGTGGGTGGGGGTTCTCTGGATTTGGGCGGAAGGCGTTCAGGGTAGCTCGGGGCGGAATGACAAATGATGGGAGGCGACGGCTATGTTTTCTCAAGGGTCCTTTGGTCTTTGATTGTTCGAGAACGCCCAACGAACGGCTAGTCGTTGTCTCGTTGTCTCATTGCCCCCGCCAGTTGGTCACGAAAAAAATCTAGGCCTTGCAGCGCGATACCGGCTCGGAGATTCAAGGTGTGCTCGAGGGGCGGGCGGGTTGGCCAAGGTGAGGAGCCGAGGGAAGTTATCGCGGCGTTAGGGAACGGGTAGAGCAGGCTCTTGTTACTATGACGCGGACATTCAGATGTTCGTCGAGTGCCCCTAGCAAAGGTCGGAGGGATTGCCACATTGGTGCGTTAGCTTCACAGTTTGTAAAAGATGCAACAATACCGTGAGCTTGCGTGACCAGCATGGAACAGTAGCTTGGGCCGATTCAAAATGCCGTGCGGGGAGGATCCATCGACCCATTCGACAGCTGCCGCTGGTCTCTGAGCCGGGGAAGAGGCAGTAGGTGCTCAGTACTGCAAAGAGCATGTAGGAGAGCAGAGATGGATGTGGGAGAGTTTGGACTGTCTTAGCTGCAGGTCAAGGTGTATGGAGTGCGGGAGTGTGAGGGAGGACCCTTGCGTCCAATTGAAACGGAGGTGATAAGCAGCAAGTAGCCATGCCGTCATGTGAAGTGGATGCGGTACATCGTACTTTGAGGTGAGGAGCGTTAGACAGTGACATCGGAACCCAGCGGAATTGCACGTTCGCTGTTGTGTTCCGTTCGCTCCGACCCGGCTGTGCTCCATCGCTTTACCCCGTTTTGCTCCATTTATCCCCCATTTATGCGACCAAGCGGGGCTCTGTGGTCGAGGAAGTAACTTCCATTGCGCCTGTTCTCTGTTCTTTCCCGCAGACTGCAGTTGTGTTTGACTCCTTCCATGAGGAGAATTGAATTGGACGTCTCCTGGTTGGCCGAGACAACCCCGCAAATCGCCTTTTCCTCAGCTGTTTTTGCTGCCCTTTGGAAGCTCCTTCCTTCCCGTTCCCCTCCACAGATGCTACGCGGTACGTGCATTTACGCGCCTTAACCAACTTCGCTTTACATAAGCATGCAAGGAAAGTATGGACCTCGGTACTCCGTACCTACCTACCACCAGCTATATTCACCCAGCTGCAGGCAAAACGGCCAGGCGAGCAGCTTCTTATGAAGTCCACGACGTCACCCCCACCCCACTTTGTGCTGCCTCCCAGCGCGAAAAGTCGCGGAATAGTCGAGACCATCGGCTGGGCACTCACGCACTGTGAGTATCAACGCTAAGTGGAAGAGGAAGTAGACCAAACCGCCGGACAGCACCTCAAAGGAAACCGCGTAGGGTTGTTGGAGTGACGATCATGGCTAAAATCGCCGGTTTTCGGACCTTCTTTACACTTAATTGATGGTGTACAGAGCGCAAGGCCAAGGCTTTGTGTCCAGGGTAACGATATCCCAGTAACACAACCACCACCGTCCATTGGCCGCCGTTCCCCGGTATCAAACTGGCAAACGTGAAGATATCTTTTCTTCCGATTTCCATGGTCCAGGGTCATGTTATGTCTATGTTCGCCAACCAGAAACACGTCCACCTCACGCTGCATCGGACTCGGGTGACCTGGGACCTTAAACTCTCGTTGCCCTGAAGCCGTCGCCAGCCAATGTCGAGCCCAAGCTTCTTCTTTCCCCCACAATCTTGGCAATTCCGTGATTCGAGCGAAACATCACCGACCCAGTGTCTCCATGCCCACCGCCGGTGAGCGGGCCCATCTCACACGTGTCGGCCCCGGTTTTCATCAATGGTTGATCTCATCGACTTGCTTTGAAATAAAAGAGCGGTTCTCGAATTCTCTAGCTCCACAGCATGTGACTAACTCCCTAAGCTGATAATGAGAATCGCCAAGGGTTCCCAATTGAATTCCACGGTAGGTTTGTACATTTACGACGACACTTGGCATCTTTGGACCCCTGCGAATATGAGCGATGTCGGCGTCGTTGTATTAATAATTCGTCAGCATGCATGTGAGTCAAAGAGACAAGTTCTTCATCGTCGAGAAGGCTTGCATGTGTCATCCTCAACTACAGAGCTGGAGCCTGCTGGAGCCTGGAGGCAAACCAGATCATTCGGAGCCGATGGCTCGTAGCTCGGATGAAGCTAGTATCAGAAACTGTGATTAGAGCCGAAAGCTAACCCAAATTCAGTCGAACTTAGCTTGATGTTGCCCTGGCAGAGGACTTGAGGGCAGTGGCGTAGTCGTTGCATAAGGTATGTAAGGTAATGCTTTATTGGTCTCGACGTTGAGAGACAAAAACACAGTAAGTCCTGTGGACATGACATGAATTGATTTGGACCTCACAGATGCTTACACGTAAGAGGGATCGACACAGGTTGGCGGATATGTTGAACATTCCAGTTCCCTGGAAAGATCTTCAGTTCTTCAAATTTCCACGATGTCTCAGACGAACAATTCGAGTGGGCCTACGTAAGATGTCGAGTTTCACTTTGCAAGACACAACCATATGTTTGGTACCTCACTGTAGTCCTAGACTTCGAATGACAAACATTTGCCCTTCCATATTGTAAGAATACATAGTTTCCCTCAACTCCTCCGTACACCATCTTGAACCAGAGGCTTCATCGTCGAAAAAGCGTATCTCGCAATCTTCCAACCCCCATCCTCTTTCTTCATGATGAAAAGCTCCTGGTTCGCATGCTCCTCGGACGCCTGTGTCGCCAGCATCGTCTTGGTGCCCTCAGCGGTCGTCCTCGCGAATGCCCAATCCGGAGACATGATGACAATCTCCTCTATTGAAAATGTGATGACGAGCTGAACCGTCGAGAAGATGCGCGTGTAGGATTCGCGAAGTGCGGCTGTGCCCACGGTGGCTGTGAAGTGAGGCGGCATGATGACGCCGTCAGACGTGTAGAGGTTGACGACGTCCTCGACGTTGCGGCTCTTTAGAGCTGCTCCGTACTCGTGGAGGACTGCGGTGATGGCTTCAGCTTCTGGGGGAGACACTTTGTGGTGGAGTTAGCAACAACTTGAAATGGTATTAGAGCTTTTTAGACCACCTACTAATTGCGGATAAGATGTGAGTGATTTTCAGAATATTCTCGATAGTCCATACGCTTTGCCGGTTTCCTTTTCTTTAGCATTTGTGATGATACTTATACTACATCAAATCTACGGTGTAAGTGGAGGAGCTTATCTTGGACGAAAGTGGGAGTTTGGTGTCAAGAGTGGGGGTGGGCCACGATATGCCACCATTTTTGTAACGTGAAGATATCCTTCTTCATTCCGGTTGCCAAAGCCGCGCAAGTGGAATATGAATAAATCTCAATTGTGCCCAGAAGCTAATTTTGCATTAGAAATTTAAATCCTAGCAATGCCTGGGCACTTTCGCGTTATCGCCGATGGCTTCGAGGCATATTGAAAGGTGATCGTATGAAGGCATGTTCATTGAGGGCCAGCTTTTCCAAGCACGGTCAATTCGGAATGCAGGAAACCTCAAGCTATTCAAGTTATCATTGTAAAGTTCAATCACAGAAGCCCTTTTCGGTGTCTCTAAAAAGGAGACGGATTGTCCACGGTACTCTTATCCGGTCGAACGAGAAGGTCACAGCCGGGTGCTTCTAACGTGTCTGACAGAGGTTTAGATAGCCGTTCCTTGCACCTCGGTCGCCTTGATGGCTTCTTTAGGCTCTGCTATTGCGCCCACTCTACTGAACTTTCACGTGGCACCTCAGCTGACCATCTTGGACGTCTCTCTACCTAACCAGGTACCGGGAGTTCATGCTATAAATATGGGTAGTGCCTGTGAAGTTGTAGTCTGATTCTTGGCACAACTATTCCTGGGGATTTACCGGCTCCCGCCCCCTTCAGAGCAACAAAATAATCTACACAAAAGCTTGATAGTGAAAAGCGTCGTCCATGGATCCCGCTCTACACTCTACAGCAAAATGGTGCATCGGTATTGGGTTCCTTGTTTTATGTCTCAAAAGTATTGCATCGAGCGAGGAACAGTCCTCTGGGGGAACGGCCGCAACATCCTCTAAGTCGACATGCTCAGAATGGAAATCCTCTGATTCAACATGCTCAGGGTCAGAGTCGATATGCTCTAAGCCGAAAGCGCACAATCGACATGTTCTGAATAATCACCCACACCATATGCAAACTTACCCAATGGCATCACATGAACGTCCTTACTGGGAGTCCAACTTTGACAGAAACCATTGGCAAAGCCCGATCATCCGGCTGCCTGATGAGCTGCTGGTACGCATCTTGGAGGCTCTCGAGATAGCCGATCTTTACATGATCCGCCAAGCATCATTCACCTTTTGGCGTATCTATCTGGGAAAGGAATTCGAGAAGTTCCATCGTACAGAAGCGAGACTCTGGTCACGCAGATCAGAGAGTTTCGAGAATGACGAAGCGACCGTTGTACGAGCCAAACTGAACGCCTTTTGTACCGAATGTGCGACGAGGAGACTTTCGCCCACCTACAGGGAGGAAGCGTACCACTACACTAGGTGGGGAGACACGTATTGCTCGCGCTGCAAGATATCCTACAGGAAATTGGTCTTCTCTGCCCAGCAGCGCAAAAAGGACCCAGAAATTCGTCAATGCGTTGCGCACGACGCATTCATCCGGCTTTGTCCTCATCTGACGGTGCCAGTCTCTTGGGCCTGGGACAAGATCACGCATTCGGAGCATACCGGCGCAGAAAGAGTTCGGGCAGACAGATCTGTTTTCAGCGTATTCCTTGAGTCTAAAAGTTGCCATCAGTGCAAAGAAATAATAGGCACCCAAGATGCCCTGCATCACAGAAGAGATTTTCGGTGGATTCCCAAGCCTCCGACAATATCTTCTGCTCTCACTTGGGCCGACATGGAATCACTTTCCAAATGCTCAGGGCCCTCGATCCCCAGTAATGTGGCTGTTTAGGTGGGGACAGCCGAGTTGGACGTCTTGTTCCCTGCGACAAGGCCCGATGGGGGACTCGGGACTGCAGAAGGGCACGAGTTCGAGAAAGTGATGCAGAGCCTTTGCCACATAGCGAACACAGAGTAGTATGTGAGGTGTGCTTGAGTTGGTACCAATGGAAAAGAGCCGGCCGCCAGATATTTCTGTCCCGCCTTTCTTCCGATTACATCCGGAAGACCGATAAGATATCAGGGTCAAGACCATTGACTACGTTGCTGGATCCTGAGTCGTACAACCCTAACACGGATCACGAAACCAAGCATCTCTTTTGGTGCAAAAATGCGAACTGTAGAAATAGTACAGACTGGGTTGCATACACCAAAGCATTCTAACAATACACTACATGTACCTTGTCCTCTGATCCTCTATCAAGTGCTACGGTCTGCTGTCGTAACTCAAGTTGACCCGGCGTCATCGAACGTCGCTACTGTCCATGGCCTAACATGTTTTCAGTCAGTAAGTATCACATGAAATGTATGGAAGAGGCATTCGCACCTTGAAAACGACGTGTAGTTGAAATGATTGATGGTAGAAACTTAATCATAAATCGCGGGCATGCTCCGCTGACATTGTCTTGTGCCCGCTGGACGGCACGGCAGCTCCGCCATTCCCTTCCCGGCGAGCACTTTCTTTTGTTTGCACCAATTTTCTTTCAGGGGGACTCTTTTTATTTCATCTACACAAAAGCCGCCCGCTGAGGACTCTCTACAATGGAAACAATCGTCTTAACATACTTCGGTACCATGAGGAATGTTAGACTCCCTCTCATAGCTGGCATGGGTCAATTCTAGAGCTTCTTTTGACAGCATATCTACTATTTAGGTATGGCACGCAGTCCCTTGTCCAAGACCTTTAACTCGTCTCAAGGTATTATGATGGGGTTTTTCTTATGAGATACAGCTTCAAAGTTCAAGCTCTACGTTCTTGAATAGTGCCTTCGGCATCAAAAAGGCTAATCAAGTTTTCTTTACCTATTGTCAGGCCCATCCCAGTACACTCGTTACAACGATTGTCACACTATGCCTATGAGACAATATGGTCTTACACAAGCATGACTAAGTTTGCCAAGGATATGCCAGTATAAAGGGTCTTCCACTCACTATATAGATAGTCGGGATATTCCCATAGCCACTCGTTCTTCATACTCATCAATACATCCCGTTGACCCCCTACCTGATAATCGCTGCCCAACACCTATAAACATACGAAGCTTGCTCTCGCTCTAATCCGCATAAAAAGCAACAGACAATGTACAAGGCAGATGAGAACAATCAGAATGATGTTACGAACAGAAATCGGAAGGCCTTCTTGAGGTACCTAGTCGGTACCACAAGTCCACCTGTATCTGATCTGGCGGGCACAATACTACATGGGACCGTCTTGGCCAAACAGTTCTGGGCTGAGACTTACCTTCAATCTACAGACTCTCCTATCAGCCAACTGAATTGACTCACAGATGACGCTGCCACCCAGCCCAGATAAAAGTAAGCCTCGGGCGTAATCCATCCGCAACGAAAGCCAAAACCGAGACTTAAGAGTATGTCGCTGGTTCTTCCGCAGCTTCCGGCGCCAGGCAGCGACAGACGGAAACGGGTCGATTGGTTTTCGGGCACGACACAGCCTGCACCGGGAAAATCTCCACGCTGGGGGACTGTATACGCGAGAGGGACTTTGGTTCACCACCTTGGGCCTCTTTTAGAGATCGCCACACAGTCAGTATAAGGGAATGACTTTAGGGTTCAGGTGCACCATCCCAACGTCCGATGTCAGCATTCTATCTGCGGTTCAGATGACCTGGGAGTCAATGAATGGCCAGACATAAGCGTATATCTAGTCAATTGTAAGTATAAGGAGCATCACGTACTTGTAGAATCTCCACCTGGGGCGCAAACATGTTGTTCTTGCTCTTCTCTATATTCGCTTTGATGGCCGCAGCGATCGTCATCCCCGGGCCTCCCGGCCCCTACCCCGTTGCCTTGCGAGTGGAGGCCTTCGAAGACGCAGCACGATGGGACCCCCGCGCCCCTCAAAACCAGCCTGAGAAGCGCAAGGTCATGGTCTCCGTCCACGTCCCTCTAAAGAAGGAAGCCAACTGTTCCGTCGAAATAGTTCCCTACGTGCCGCCTACCACTGCAGTCGCCCTCGGCCAGGGGGCGGCGACCTTGTTTGGTCTGCCAGACACTATCTTCTCAGGGATGGAGCTTGAGTTCTGCACTGTCGACACGGCTTGAGGCGGGCCCGAGAAGAGTGAAAAGTACCCTCTGGTCCTCTTCTCACACGGAAGAGCTAGCTCGAGACTTGCGCATGGCGTGCTGGCGCGTTCTCTTGCTAGTTATGGGTACATCGTCGTCACTCTGGATCATACGTATGATGCCGCGATTGTCGAGTTCTCAGATGGCAGCGTTAGATTTGCGGAGAACGCAACGGACAACGATTTGGCTTACGTCGAGAGCCTTCTTGAGGTGAGTTTGCCCGGAGATAAACCAGTTATGTTGAATCGAAGATTCTAAACATCGCGACCCCACAGAGTCGTCAGAAAGATGTCTCCTTCATAATCGACCAGCTTCTAGACCCTTCAGTAGCTACACCACTACTTGCCGGAACGCAAGCATCTATCAACTCAGAGAATATTTTCATCGCCGGTCACTCGTTCGGCGGCGCTACAGTAGCTTCATCACTCTACGTCGATGACCGCATCCTTGGCGGTCTCAACTTTGATGGCCTGATGGTCGGTCCGGTCCAGACCGAAGGCACCGACAAGCCCCTAGTGCTGGCCAGCACGCCGGCGACATTTGACTATATTTCCGGCTGGAATGAGACTTGGACTAGCTTGCGCGGTCCGTCGTTGATGTTGATCGTCAACGGAACAACTCACATGTCTTTCTTTGACGCTCCACAACTCCCGGCTGTCAAGGCTTTGCCTGCAGAGTATTCTGATCTCATCAAGCAGGTTCTGGGCACCATTGATGGCGATGTGTTGGCCAAGATTGAGATTGAGCTCTTGCGAAGAACACTGGACTTTGTCTTGGAGGGCAAGAGAGAGGCATTGTGCGATATTGAGAGCGTAGGCCCTGGTGTTGGCCAGCTGAGAGTCAAGAACTTGACGTGTTCTTGAATCAGAACTGATGGGATAGATAATCACCACTCTGTTATTTTATAATCTTTACTCAATCCAAGAAAAACGTTCTCTACTCGCGTGGACTTTAACAACCCAAGTATGCAGCACGGTACACTTTGGACTTCATCATCGGGGTTAAGTTAAGGTAGGTCGCTATAACAATTGGCTATTTTTGAAGCTCCAATCTCTGAAAATGTTATGTATTTCATGCATACAATATATTTGTGTTGTAAGTTTAGGTCGGCGGTAATGACTGTTGCGAAAAGAAATAATCCTCGTGCCATAAGAGAAGCCGCCCCCTTGACCACTTGACTCAGCTTCCAAGCCCCATGAAGCTCGTGATGATCGGCAAATGAACACCCCTCACCTCATTATAAGTAGCCTGATGGCTATCTCCCTAGGTTTCCCGAGGTAAACTTTCAAGAAAGTACCCGGAGAAGCATCTGGTTTGAGTAGTGAGAGTGGGAGTGATGGTGGAAGAAAGAGAAACTGAGGATGAGACGGCCTATTTCTGCTGAAATTCATTGCTCAAGGGTTCCAAAGGAAAGATCTTGAAGAGGTTAGCAAGATTTCAAAAATACCGCGAAGATGTCTGGTACTTGCCTAGCATTCTTGTGTCTGCTGTGTGCTAGTATGTAAAGATCGTGAAGAGCCTCCTCAATCCAGGCCTCTAAACTTTAGGTTCGTCATGGTACTCTCATCTCAGGTTCGCTCGTGTGACGTCCCTTGGGAAAGCCACGATCAAGCCCCAACAGATGTGGCATCCTTCTCTAGCTCAACGTTGCACAAATCCTTCGGAAGGTCCAGATGAGGGTACCATACAAAAGGAAACGGTGTCGTCTCTCCTGTCCTTTGGTACCCACAGCGCTCATACCACGCAATCAACTTCTCGCGAGAAGAAAGGGCGTTCAAACCAAACTTCTTGATGTCGTAATGCTGCCGCGCGTATTCCTCAGCAGAACCAAGAGCCTGGCGCCCGACGCCGCTGCGCTGCAGCTGGGGGTTCACGGAAAGCAGGACAATGCGGGCCATGTGGGCTTCAGGCTTGAAGACAACTTGAACTGAGGCAGCGAATACGCCGTGGGGATCAAAGCCCATGAGGACCTCTGCGTCGGGGTCGTTGATGTTCCTTAGAGCATTATCGGTTGAGTAGTCGAATGATCTGCCGAGTTCCATATCGGCTGTCCAGTCTGCGCGGCTGTCTTCGGCGCGAAAGGCAGCTTCTACGAGCTGGGCGACTTGGGGTGCGTCATCTACGGTGGCGATGCGGAATTGGAGAGGTGTGTTGTTCTCGTTATTCTTGTTGTTGGCCATGTTTGAATGTGTGCGGGGTTTGGATCTGGAAGTCAGAAGTGGGCGAGTGGCTCGATGTAGAAATTTTGATGACGAAGACGAGTATTCCTAGGTAGCACACGGCGACTCTTTATAAATAAAACAGGGTGAAGGTGCTGCTAGACGAATTGCTACATCTGGAAGGTGAACTTAAGGGCGTTTGTTGTGACAAACTAAAGACATAGGGCGGATTCCTTCATGTTGTGTAGCGGGAAGGGCGTCTGCGATCCAATAGCAAGGGCGTGGTGGTATTTCTGCCTAAAGTTGCGAACCAAAAATGCCGCGGATGGACGGCAAAGTAAGCAACTTCAGAATTAGAGATGTCGTTTGCCAATTGGTATGCACGAAACTCAAACCACTGTACCCAAGAATACCCTCATCGTCAACTCGAGGAAGCAATTTACTTGCATGTTAAAGTTGGTTAGCTTTGAAGTTGGTGCAACTCCCAAAATGCCATAGGTTGATGTTATCTAACGAGTGACTCGAGTTGGTGATGCAGCCACTCGTCTCGCTTTAGGGGAGACTTCAAATCTGAATACGACTGAAGGTTGTCCTTAGGTGGCAGAAAAAATTGCACGATTAAGGTAACTGCTTCGACGCATTCAAGCTCTGATGCCATGGAAGAATTGCTATAAAACAGTCGAAACTCTCAGCTTTAGCGATAGCAGTATATATGCTATCTTTGTATTTACATTATGTCTCAACCCAATCGCTTGAGGTATGTACTGGAGGTATCCTGAATCTAATTTGCGTATGCTGGATCATGTTTTCATGTACTTGCGTGAATGCCTCCCTCCTCTTCGTCAAAATAACTCGCTTGAAAAGACTATACACCAACCGTCGCGATGCTTAAATAAGGCCTGCAACGGCCAGCAAGGCAAAGACCGAGGCGCCGAGTGATACCACATCCCACGTCAGAGCCCCGGCAGCGTTCTGAGATGTCGGAGTAGGAGAGGACGCAGATGCAGCATCAGCAGATGTCGGAGCCGCTGTGCTTGATCCTCCTCCAGCCGATGATGCTGCGGTCGGCGTCGCACTCGTTGATGATACCGCCGATGAGCTCGAGCTCGCTGGTGCTGACGAGGTCGACGTCGCACTGGTCTTCGAGGACGATGACGACGTCGTCGTGTCTGCCTTGCCAACCATCTCCTGCACCCACTTGCCTGCATCGCTGGAGTACACGTCAAAGTAGCTGAGGTGGTTCGCAGTGGTGTCTCCGCCGGCGCAAATCGGATCGGATTCGACGCAGTACGAGCGCATCACGCTGGAAAAGGCCCGCATGCCGGCAAGCTGATTCTCCGGCCGAGGGAAGAGCCCGTTGTCCGGAGCACCCGAGAGATAGTTGTACGGCTGGCTGGCCGTATGTCTTGTATCGCCAAAGATGAGAACAGCAGCGACTGAAGAAGGTCCAATGTTAGCAAGCCCCTCGCGGTCTCGAGTTCCGACACATGCAGACTTACGTTTGTTGCCGGGCGCCGTTGTGGCATCTAACCCAGCATTCGCCTTCTGCTGACAGCCCTGGAAGAACGTGCCTCCTCCACCACCCAAAACATCACCAACAACATGACCGCCCTGGGAATACCCGCTCACAACGAGCTTCGCGTCCGGACAGCGCTTGTTGTACGCCGTGATCTGCGCCGTGCCGTTCGCGGCGCCCTCTTCAATGGACTGGCAATAGGGCGCCTCGAGCGGGTTATAGAACTGAATGTCCTCGTAGTCGCAGCTGTCGAGCCCGTCGCAGATGGCGGTGACGAGCTTGCCCTGGCGTCCGGGGTAGGGCTCGTTATTCCCGCGCGCGAGAAAGATGTGTACGCTCTGGCAGTTTGCGTCGCCCGTGGCCTGACGCGGGTTGAGGACTGCGGTACCCGAGGTCAATGGCAGCGCGGAGAGGAGGGCGAGAGCCGCTGAGAAGGTTGAGACCATCGTGAGCTTGATCGATGGGCTTGCAGCGGTCCGTTTCGTTCTTGGTGAGAGAAGAGCGAAGAGAATCGAAAGTCAACAGGCGAGGTGTGAGCACGCGACATCGGCTACCCAGCTGGTTTAAGAAGTCCGTCTCACTCAATGGGCTCCTAACCCTTGCTGTTAAGGCTGGAGAAAAATGGGATACCCCCAAGCCGGCGAGCCGGTGGGTGGCATTCCGGAGGCCGTCCATTACGGGCAAATACGAGTCAACGATAAGCCCTGATCCACCGAGAGCCAGGGATCCCAGATGTCGCAGCCCCGGTCTATCTGCCATAGCAACGTCATGTTCTCCTCTGTCTCCTCCATGTTAGCGCTGTCAAACAAGGCCTGGCAGTTTCTGACAGGCGAGAGGAGCAGCTGAGAACACCTCCTGATCGCCCGGCAAGTGGGTATCGTCGGGCTCCGGCCGCGACGAAGTGACGAAAACAATGTTGAAGTTGTGATTTTTACTCTTTCAGAATCACAGAGAGTAGTTCATGAAATGACTCGCTGAAGTGGTTCTCTTTAGGTGATGGTTTGCAAGGAACAACCACGACCGAGGTCTGGCATTGGACGAGTTTCTTTAGTTAACGGCGACTAAAATAGACTGGCGGAAGTGTCGGATTGAGTGTGGCTGGTTTGTCTCGCGGTGAACATGGATCAACGAAGCTCGGAGCCCGCATCGAGGGCTACGGGAATCCCGACGCGGCACTTAAGCTCGTGGGCCGCCATCAATCGGCGAGCAGAAGTTGCCTCTTTGATCAAGGTTTGGCCAATGTTGAATCGCTGGTATCAATCGATGCTATGTTGACAGATGAGTGCGAATGAGATGCAGTCCAGGCCTCTTGACTGATATGAAATACTGCGATTGCTACATTCGTCAAGCCTCAGTATTGTCTCACAGTAAAGGTGTCACAAAAGAGCTATAGCAGTGGATATCTCAGGGGTAGAGATAAGGGGTAGACAGGGGTATGGGCATACAAAAGAGGCTCCCTCGAGGGCTTCCCTTTTCCCCTTTTCCATAGTTGATTAGACCACAGTTGAGATCCCGATTTCCATGAGCTACTCTATATGCTGATTCGTGACAAAAGGGATGCCGAGTGGGATGAGAACGTTGCAAATGAGTTGCTTCGTGTTGCTTCAGTTACGAAAGACACTTCTTCGCAGAAACAGTCCAACTTTGACCATTGCGACAGCGGCTTTGGCTTGGAGGTTCTAATAGCTGTTTTGCTGATGTTCACAGATCCCAAATGAATGTACTTGTACTTCACGATGCACTCGCTCTGAGACCCTCTTGTCAGACTCGCATCAGCTCCATTGCTGTGCCCACTGCCTAGACGTGAAATCAAGCGTTGCATTGCCTTGCATTGCCGGGACGTTGCACCGTCGATCCCGTTCTCACAAGGCAGAATGGCACTGACCAAAGTCTTGGCAACGGTGAGCTGAAATCGCATCATCAAAAACGATTGCAACAATTCATACATCGTTAAGGGAACCTTGAACTCAGTCCCAATGCCCCATTGCCCGCAATGCTTTGATTACATGGTCGCAAACAACATCTTGGCATTGAAGAGTTGTGGATGGTTTTCTCGGGATGCGATAAAGATTGGGTTTAGAGTGCCCGATATGCCATTGCGACATTCCTCATCCTCCATCTCGACCGCTTCAGGGGTACCCGCAAAGTTGCGCCATCATGCCATTCAAGCAGCATCGCACAAGACGAGAACGAGACGGTGGCGGCGCCACGACGATGACTTAAGGTGCGGTTCGTCCCGCGAATTCTAGTCTGAATTTGGTTTCTCGGACTTTGTCGCCATCTGTGAAAGGACAGGACAACCCGCCAGCCACCACGATGAAGTTCTTGGCTACGACAACCATCCTCGCATCCTGGGCGACTCTTGGCGTTCGCGCCGCCGTCCAGGAGAGGCAGACCACGAAACCTCTCGTCGACTCCGCCAGCTTCCAAGATCAGATCACCAAGGAGAAGTATGCTCTAGGCTCACTTTCCCTCTTCACAAAAGACTCTGTTGCTAACATGGACATAGCCTGCAAGCCAACTTGGTCCAACTGAGCGACATCGCAACAGCAAACGGCGGCAACCGCGCCTTCGGACTCCCGGGCTACGCCGCCTCGGTCGACTACATCTTCAACCGCATCTCCAGCGCCGCCGGCGCCAAAGTCTGGAAACAGGACTTCTCCGCCCCCTACAGCACCGAGCTCCGCGCAACCTCACCGTCAACGGCGAGAAGCTGACCATCTACGGTCTCTACGGGTCCCCGGACACGCCCGCCGAGGGCATCACCGCGCAGCTCGTCGCAGGACCCAATGGTACCGCTGCCTGCGAGCCTGCTTCGTACGCGGACCTCGACGTCGACGGCAAGATTGTGATTGTGACGGAGTCACTGTGTCCTGGGTACCGGGATGGGTTCCACGCTGGGGTGATGAAGCCTGCTGCTGCGGCGGGTGCTACTGCCGTGATTGTGATTAACGATTTTGCGCTCAATCTTACTGCTGGAAACCTTGGTCCGGCTGATGATGGGACGTATGTTCCTACTGGCTTCGTCAACCAGTACATTGGCGATCCGCTCAAGGCTCGGTTGGCGGCTGGGGAGGTGCTGACGGCTTTGTTCTGGGAGGCTGAGGTTATCGATAGCCGGGTCACGCAGAATGTGTTTGCTGAGACGGAGGGCGGTGACGGGAACAACGTGTTTGTCGTAAGGCGTGTCCCCTCTGGATAGTATCAGCCAGACTTCTGACAAGTTTCTAGCTCGGCGCCCATCTGGACAGTGTTGCATGGGGACCAGGTATCAACGACAACGGTAAGAGAACCCCCTTTCACGAAGCTTGTCGAAGAATTTCTAAATACTCACATTTATCAGGCTCCGGAACCTCCCTCCTTCTCGAGCTCTTCCTCGCCCTCACTAAGTACGCCACCAACAACAAAATCCGCTTCGCGTGGTGGGGCGCCGAAGAGAAGGGCCTCATCGGATCCCGCTACTACGTCAAAAACCTCGCCACGCAAGAGCGTGACAACATCCTGGCCTACCTCAACTTTGACATGGTCGCCAAGGGATACTACGGCGTCTTTGACGGCGATGGCGCGTCCTATGGCGTTCCCGCACCGCCTGGCTCCGATGTCATCCAGGAACTCTTCACCGCCGACTTTGTCGCCAAGGGCATCAATGTGACTGCCGCGAGATTCACGAACGGCAGTGACTATGCCTCCTGGCAGGTTTTGGGCAAGCCTATCGGTGGTCTTCACACGGGAACGGGGTCTGCGCAGGATCCCTGCTATCACCAGGAGTGCGACAACATCAACAACCCGGACCTGGACCAGCTCACAGTTAACGCAAAGGCAAGTTATTCGAGGTTATCTGCGAGATATATTGGAGTACTTGATTACTGACTCCCATGGATAGACTACTGCCCATGTTCTGTCTGCCTTGGCACTCGACGGAACCAACCTGATCAAGAAGCTAAGCGCTCGCGTGCTTCCCGCCCGCGCAGTTGCAGCCGACCGAGTCATCGCGACTGTAGAGGAATCTGAGGACGAACATCACCATTGTTAATTTGGTATGGTAGAGATAGTATGCCATAAAAATCCCAACACCCTTAATGAAGACGGTCAACCGAAAGCGAATCGGTGATGTTCTATTTTGATGCCTGTTCTCGAATATTCTACTACGGTCGACGTCCTCCCACGGTCTACGCCTCTTCGGTGGCGAGTCAGATTCCTGCCAACGAGATTACGAGGCTATTTGTATGTATTACAGAGGCCACTGAAGAATGAGAGACTGAGTTCTGGTGAATCTATCTACCCTTGGATTCCGCCGGCTCTTCGAGCCCCTCTCAGGGGGGGGGAGGTCGGCCCTATAAAAAGGGACTGCCGCCAACAAGCTTTAAGTTTCTTTCTGTAACAGCGTAGCAGGAATCGCAAAGAGGCTCCTATGAACGAACCCGATTTAGCGTGATTTCCGACTCGATTGATTTAGGGTTACGTACCGATGTCGATAGGCCCCGTGGGGTTCTGACTTTCCCTAGGAGAGTCGAGGGTTCGCGACTATCTAGGAGTCCAACGAAGAGGGCCACCTTTGCTCCTCGTCGAGATAGTATACAGCAGTGAATAGAATACCCCTGACGGCGGGAGACAACTTGAGACAAACTGAGGCTCGCTTATGATCCTAACACCTGCTGCCTCTCGATACGCTGCTTTCGAGATGTGTGTAGATGGCTAACCCACAGAGGAGGAAATGGCATCAACTGGTATCGTTGCGGGAATGTTTAGGCCCATCATCTGCCGTCTGCGGCTGTTATTATATACCATCTGAAAGACCTGATAACCCGCGTGATCGATCGCAGTTGGCCGTTGCAGATACATCAGGCAAATCGTCTGCCAGAAGCCAGTTTCCAGAAGCCGTCGACAAGTCCCCAGGAGCCTGCGCCGTCTTCCTCTTCTTCATCCATCCCCACCGCCTCCGTCTTCTTCATCTCCGCAACCGCAAGCTTGAGTCCATATCCGAGATCACTCTGCATCTTCCTATGCTCCCGCACCATCTCCTCCCTCATCCGCTCCTCAAGCTCATCCAGCTCCTTCCTTCGCGCTTCAATCTCGTCAAACTTGGCCTGGTACACATCCACCAGCACACCCCTCTTCCGCTCCGAAATCGCCAGTGCCATCTCCATCTCCTCCTTCAACAAGCCCAGCTTGACCAGACACTCATCCTGCCGCAGCAGCCTCGCGAGGCTCTCGGCATCGATTAGGTACACCTTTACGTCCGCGGCACAGAGCACCTGCCGATGAACGGCCTTGTGCCGAATATTTCTGATCGATTCGAAGAAGGTGTGCCAGCCAGTGTGCGGTAGGGGCACCTTTTCACCCTCGAATTGGCTGAACAACTCGTTGTTGAAGATCCATACCCATCTCTGGAGTTCGACACACTCGGGCGAGTCCCATTGTCCTGATTCTAGAATCTCGGGGTGCTCCTGCTTCGCGAACTCGAAGCAGGCCTCCTCCAGAAGCTCTTGGGTTCTTGTCATAAGAGCGTGCTGAGCTTCGTATGATAGGAAGGCGGTGCGGAGCCTGGGTAACTTTGTGGTCTTTTCAGGTGGCTGTTCTGCTGTTGCTGTTGCTGCAGCCGTGGGCTCGCCGACGACGGTGCTGCTGCTCGCCGTGGTGATGCTGTCCACCGCATCGCCCGTCTCCCCTATAGCCAGACTATCGTGAGACTCTGCACTTATCATGTTCTCCCCTTCCTCTGGTACTGTACCTGCAACAGCAGATTGCTGCCGGGCCATCTCATCCGCCTGCATCCCATCTGTAAGTGCCCTGAACTTCTCCTTCCAATTGATCTCCGGCTTCTCCGACGTAATCACTGTTGTAGCTCCTTGGGATAGTCGAGGAAACCGCTGCTCAGCCTTCCATCTGCTTTCGAAAATCCTCTTCTCAAGGAGCTGCTGGCAAGTGCTGAAGACGACTGGACGGGTGTATTGTGACATCAGAGCGTCGATCTCCAGGCATCTGCAAACGTGGATTCTGTGTTTGATGGCTCTTGGGTGACGGATCTCGGCGTGCTGATTGGAGAAGACAGGCTGCATAGTCAGGTAGACCTCTTCTTCCATCGTTGAAGCCATGCTGGAGAAATCTTCTTGTCGTATATAAGCAGGATGCTGTGTGTGCCTAGGCTGGTTTTGGAGGGCTAGAAGTTCGTTGAAGTGGATGGTGTGATGGAATGGAAGGGCTCCTGGGTCGCATCTCTCATTGAAAAAATTTCTGTTGACGGATACATCAGAAAAAGGGTTGATTGAAAGGGTTGATGGGGTTGGTAGGGCAGGCGGGAAAGACTAGATCCAAGATTAGTTATAACTTCACAAGAGAGGACCATAGGTAAGGCTGCGGACTGGATAGGATGCACAAAGGCGATCCCACGGCAACCTCAGGCCGACCCAGACGCAAACCCAGATACCACGCGTTTCCAGTGAAGGGGGATGAAGAACTTACAGAAGTCATAGACACCTGTTCCATCGCAGTGATTCCTACTTGGCCACAAGATGCGTAGACCAGGATTCTGGCTGAGCGTGGTAGATTACCATGGAAGGTTACGGAGAAAGGTCAAAGACCTATGCTTATCGCAATGTTAAGCCCATAACTTCGGATAGACAGTTCTTGAAATTGGATAAAGACTCGCTATTCGTAATAGCTTATTGGGCTCCCTTTTGACATCACAAGGGATTCATAGGAATGACGGGATGATGTCTCCGGCTTCCTTTGAGTCTGGCTTCTCCTTCTTCACTGGAACCCGCCGCTGAGGCCTCGCGTTCGCTCTCCGATTCTTCAGTCTAGTAAATAGATCATCGTCGTCGTCATCATCCTCTTCATCGTTCGTAGGTGGTGTGTTTGTAGCCGCTCTGGTGGATGAGATCGGTTTCGAAGCCGCTGTTCCCAAGGGCCCGCGAGCATTTGAAGACGCTTTCGTATCGGGCAGTCGTGTGCTGTTCGGCTGCATCGTTCGTTGCTGATGACTGGGTCGGCGGCTCTGGACCTTTGCAATGGTTTTCGATGGACAAGCCGGTCTTTTGTGGTCGATATTTCTCCTGGCCGGGCCTTCAACGGGTCCCCCAAGGTCATCACTCTCGTCTTCGGTCGTATCCTCATCCACCGGCGTACTCCTCTTCGCCGGCGCCGCTGGCCTCTTGTTCTGAGAAGACCTCACCACACCCCCAAACAACCCCGAAGCCGACGTCCTCATCCCCGAATCCGCTCTCGTCAGCGCCATCAATGGCACCTCCTTCTTCTTGGGACTGTGCATGAGCCCCTGCAGCGACGTGCCCCGCCACGGCACGTTTGTCTCATCCCCAGTGTCCTCGTCGTCCCTGCCGGCATCCCTCTTTGCGCGGCGCAGCGCCTCGCGCTGCTTCTTCTTACGGAGTAGCTCTTCCTGGCGTTTGCGCGCGAGCTCGGTGAGAGACCCGACGACGGGGCGTGAAATGGTCTTGATGGTTTCTGCGTTTTGGGTACGTGTTTGGGCTTTGAGGCGCTGATATTCTGCAGCGTGGAGGTGTGCTGTGAAGTGACCTGCGATTGTGACGAGTTCGTCCTCGACCATGCGGTATTTATCGTCATTTTCAAGACCTTCTATCATGAAGCTGTACGATTATTAGCGCTGCAAAAATGGGGTGAGAAAGAAATATTTACGTTTCTGGAAGAGGTTCTGGCGGTGGTGAAGTTGACGGGCTTCTGTCTATGAGAGTTCCAAGTTAGTGAGAGAGAGAGAGAGAGAGAGAGAGAGATGATGCGAGTAGACGCGCCTCATACCTCCAAGGAAACCGTTTGAGCGGGCCGGCTTATGATTCGAGTGATCCAACGGTGATGCAGCGACCGTCGTTGCTCGAGATGGAGCCCGATTTGGTGTTGTGGTTCTCCGAGGTGTCGACGCAGTCTGCTTCTTCGGGCTCGCTGTCCGTTCCAGTGCCTTTCGGTCCCAGGGGAGTTGTCGCGTCATGGTTGGGATGGTGTGTGAAAAATTCCGATGAGGCTGTAGACAGAAAATTTACATAGCCTGGAGTTTTCGAGCCGATGTTGTTGAAGTAAGTTGAGATTGAATGAAATACTGGCCACGGCTGCCTGTGATTTGCAAGCCAATGAGGTCGCTGTGGTTGATGAGGCCCGTCGCGCCTTCCACTGGCGGATGTGCACGAGCCCCGACAATTATGCAAAACCTGCATAACCATCTCCGAACGTGCGCTCCGCTTTTACATAAGAACAAGGTGCGTTATTACTGAGGTAATCACCATCAAACGAGCAAAAAGCGTTGCAGGAAAGACATTTTGATAGAAAAGAAAAGTACCCGATCCGGGATATGACTATTTTAAACGCTATGAGTATGCCCCATTTTCTCTATCATCCGTAACCCAGTCCAGACAAAATACACTCAACGACAATGAATCCTTCAACCCAGGTTGAATTCACTGGCCGCATTCATCACGGCCCTCATCTTCATCTTCATCTTCCTCTCCATCTCGCTCGGCTCAGCACCAGTATCGATGTCCTCCATCGCATTGCCGCCCGATGGCCTGCTGTCTCCTCTTCTCTTGCCAGCGTTCTTCTGCTTCATGACCGCCTTCTTGCTGTCGTGGCCGCCACGTCCAATACCCGACGGCGCCTCGCGCAGGCCGTACGCCTTTGCCATATGACCCAGGTGCACCTCGTTGATGTCAAAGTAGACACGCTCGTCCTTGATGTGAGTTGCGTACGCCCTGATGTGCGAGCGGAAGGCCTTGCGCGCCTCGTCCAGGAGTTTTGTTGCCGATTCGAGGAGAAGACGCTGCTCGAGGTGAAGCTGCAGGTTCTCTGCACGGTTGCTGAAGCCCCTGTCTGTCGCGGGCTGGGGCTTGGTGTCCGTCTCGACGGGGAAGTCCATGCCTGTTGTGAAGCCCTTGTGGAGGATGGTGTCGTAGAGCTCGGGCTTGGGAGGGGAAGCGTTCTTGGATTTGAGGAGGTCGATGTAGCCTTCTTCGCAGCCAGGCATGAGGAAGAGAATTGCCTTACCGGGCTTACCGGCACGCGCTGTACGACCGATACGATGGACGTGGTCGTCTGCGCTGAAGGCGGGGTCGTATTCGACTACGAGCTCGACGGAGGGCACATCGAGACCACGGGACGCAATATCGGTAGTAAGCAGGACTGTCGGGTCTTCACATTTGCTGTAAGACGCCAACGTAGCTGTACGGACCGGTTGAGGGAGGGAACCGTGCAATTTGTGAAGGACGATGTTTGTGTTCGCCGCTGATGTGATGTAAGCGGAAGGCGCGACGGTATTTGCGGTTGATGACGTTGCGTTGTCGGTTGTGTTTTCCTTCTTCGGCGGTTGGCGAAGAAGATCGAAATGATAGTCGACCGAATCGGCGCAGGAAAAGAAGACGATGGCCTTCATCACTGATCCCTTTCGTGAAAATGTTGACTTCAGCAGTGCTATGAGCGTAACCAGCCGCAACTTGGCCGGTACGATCAAGTAGTTTTGCTTCAGTTGTGCAGGCGCCTCGAACTTGATCTCCTCTCCCTCAACATGGTCCTCTCCGGATGTGGTAATGTGAACAGCATCCTCCAGACTGATCTCGCCAAGCTTCTGAACGTTCATCTTCATGGTGGCCGAGCAAAGAACTGTTACGCGACGTTGCGGGAGGTTGGCGAGCGAGACACCGTTGGCTGTTTTGTCTGCCAAGGGGTTCTCACGGATCCTGTTGACAATGGTGCGCAGTTCCGCCTCGAAACCCATTTCCATCAAGCGATCGCCTTCGTCAAGAACCAACCATCTCACGGTGCCGACATCGAGGGTCTTGGTGTGCTCGAGGTGATCGCTCAAACGACCAGGTGTTGCGATGAGGATATTGACACCTTTCCGCAGACGGCTCTTCTCGGAGTGCTTGCTCTCACCACCAATCACTGTTGTGCTGACCAGGTACGGCGGGAGAACCTTTGCAAGAACAAGCTCAATCTGTCTGCAAAGTTCACGGGTAGGCGCCATGACGATGGCGAACAAGCCCGAGTCTCTCTTGATCTGACCCTCCACCGACAGAATTCGCTGGATGATGGGCAGCAGATACGCCAAAGTCTTACCGGAACCAGTCTGTGCTTGTACAAAGGCATCGCTGTCATCATTGATGAGTTGAGGAAGGACCTTGGCTTGAATAGCCGTCGGTGCCTTGAGCTGAATCTTGCCGGACAGCGTCAATGCCAATCGTCTTGAGATACCGAGGGCGTGGAAGCTGGCAGCTTCATCGGAAAGTGGCGCGTTTGAAGGCTCGGCCACCTTCTCCTCAACCTTCTCAGCACCGGGCTCATCAAAGATGGTCTTTGGCGTGGGGTTGTAAGAGAAAAGTTTCGATGAGATTTGGCCGTCCCTCAGCTTGTTCGAGATGCTGCCGGGCAGCAGTTTTCCAGTCCGGTAGGCCGTCGCATGAGGATGTTCTGGCCGCGCTCGCTTTGCCGGGCGCTCAAAAGAGTCGTCATCATCGCCAGGGCGGTCTGTCCTCTGAGGCTTCTTGGATCCAGGCGTGTATCTTTGCGGTAGCGGGGCATCATCTTTGGCTGTTGATGAAGCATCTTTTTCAGTGTCTTTATTCGCAATCCGGTTGGCCTTGTTCCTGTCGCGCCAGCGACCACCCTGAATCTTGACATGAGGCTTGGCAGGGCCGCTGCCCATGTCAAAATTGAGAATCATGCCATCGTCCGCCATTTTGTCGATGAGATTTGCCGTTGGTCGCAAGACTGAGGCTCTGGGTTACTGAGACTCGGTGGAAATTTTCAAGCAAGCAAAAGTCTTATCGCTGTCGGCGTTTAGATAAGCCCCACTCGGTCCCTCATGCAAGGGTGCTCGGGCCACCGCTGGAATACCTTCCAGGTTGGTGAAGCTCCGTTTTTCATCAGCACGGGGACATCTTCTGTAAGCCAACAGGCGATGTCACAACAAGTACTCAGTGAAAGAGGGAATTTGGCAAAACGCAAGTCTCAGTCGGAGACCTCAATGGTTTCTCTCGAAAGTCGGTTTTAACAGTGAGAAGAAGAAGAAGAAGAAGAAGAAGAAGAAGAAGAAGGCAGGTTGGCAGGTTGGCAGGTCCCGGTTCCTTTGCCGAGGACGACTTCTCGGTGGTCGTGGAAAGTTGACAGCTGCTGAGGTACCTGTCTCACGAGATTCTGCCCTTATCCTGGATTTTGGCGTCACTTCATCGATGCTTTCCGAGCCCCCACTTCGCATCAATGCAGAGGTCCTTAGATCCTTTGCTTGTCTTCGGTGTCTGTATATTTTCCCCTGTAGTTTGGTGTAGCGATGGGCAGAAGTGCCGTCTTGAGGTATGAATTTGGAGCTTCGGCCTTGCACTTTCCGTCAGGAAACCGACCCGATGAGTAAACCTGACAGAATATCGCTAAGTAATTCGACACGATGCTTCCAACTCCCGAACTGTGCCCTCTATCAAAGTATCGAAACTACGTTACGCTGATGGCAGTTAGATATATACAGGATTTCCCCTTGCCCGAGAAGGATCACACTACTGTCCTACCTTTCCTTGAGCGCTGAATTTTCCTGCCCTTCTTCTTTCTCCCTATGTTCGTCTGGATTACTGAAGTTCAATAGACAGGTGCATTTTGGCCGACTTTGCGACTGAATTCGGGACATCACGTATCTTGCGGCAAACTGGTAACTTGGACTATGTGCTTGAGACGGCGGCAGCACCGAAATTCGTGGAAAACTTAGGAAGAGGGCAAACTGAGAAAGATGCTCATCCAAAATCCACGGAATTTCACTTCTCCTAGCCTTCATTCACATGTTATCATACAATATCAAGCGCACTCACAAGCCCAGGGGCAAGCTCTCGAATGATGGGAGACACGGCGGCACAGCTTCAGAAAGGCACAAGAAAAGTCGACATCGGATACAAAGCTTCTACCATGATCGGCAAACTTCGCAATGGCCCTTGCGTATATTGAGGGGGTCAAGATTCACTGTGTGAGATCTGGCTCTAGCTATTGGATAGAAGCATTCAACGACACATTTGGATTGGACTTTCATGTCGGAGGCCCTCCACACCACATGCAACCTGACAACCAAACACACATCAGCAAATCAACAAAAGAACGCCTAGGCTTGCTTTTCCCACTGGTGTTATCATGCAACTCCCGCGGCCCCTCACCTATATTATCTTGTACTTTCTTCAAGAACTCACTCATCGATTACTTACCTGACCTCGGTCATGCACTCAATCCTCACCCGCCTCGCGGGTAGAGCATTCCCTCTGGATCTCGAGTTGGCTCAATCCGAGTCCATCGAACTACACAAAATACTAGAGGGAAGTTTCATGGTATCTCGCTTGTGGCATTTATCTGTTATAAACTGATGGGTTTCCTGGAAACCACACCCCAGCCTCCCATGCTGTGCTACGAGATCGACGACGAGTCGCTCCGTCTGGTCCTCCAGATGCAGTTGGAGGACTTGGAGAACATCAAGGAGAGTGGCAAGGGCAAGTGCCGAGTGGATCAGGTCTCTGATCTCGACTTGGCTGTCGATGCATACCATGCGGAGCTGGAGTCGCAAGCTGTACTCGCGGCGGATAGGTGTATATGCAAGAGCATGGCCAAAGCAAACCGATCCGATAGCCTCCTCATTATGATTCTCACGAAGCAGGAGAACCAGGCCACTCGCGACAGAGCGGCGGCTATTCGGCTAAGCGAGGGAGCCGCACTCGGCGACGATGTATCTCCAACGAATCCTCCCACCCTGTCAGAGGAGTCTTGCACAAATGAGGAAGATGAGATGTTTGTACGAAAACTCGAGTCCCTCTACGTCTCTGTTGACTATGGCGAGGACGACGACGAAGACGATGACGAAGAGCCAGAGTCTTCATTGTGGGCGGCCTCTAGGAAACAAAGCGATGCGGCAGCCATCAAATCAACCAGGCGGGAGAAGAAGACGACATGCGACAGTTGTTCGAATACCTACACCCTCAGCGCAGTCGCCCAGCTGCCATGCAAACACAACTACTGCCGCGACTGTCTGAGGACCCTCTTCGAGCTCTCCCTCACAGACGAGTCGCTTTTTCCGCCGAGATGCTGCAAATTGCCTATCCCTGTAGACCGAGGCAACGCCAGGGCCCTGCTGTCCTCGAAACTGGTGGGGGAGTTCCGGGCAAAGGAGATCGAGTTTTCGACGCCCAACAGGACGTACTGCCACAGACCGACCTGTTCCAGGTTCATCCCCATGGAGTTCATCAGAGCCGACGTTGGAACATGTCCGCAATGCCGCCACCAGACGTGCACCATGTGCAAGGGCGCCGAGCACGGGAACCAGGATTGCGCACAAGATACGTTGACACAGGCTCTTCTCGAGGTCGCCGCCGCCAACGGATGGCAGCGCTGCTTCTCGTGCCGCCGAATCGTGGAGCTCGATCACGGATGCTATCACATGAGTGAGTCTCTCATACTGCCCCCGATATAACAATGAGGATGGAGAATAGCTGAACAACAAAAATAGCCTGCCCCTGTGGATCCCAATTCTGCTACCTCTGTGGTCTGCAGTGGAAGACATGCACTTGTGAGCAGTGGAACGAGGAGCGACTCATCGCCCGCGCTAACGTGATTATGAACCGCGAGGCTGGCGCCATGCATTTGAACGCCGCGGCTAGAGCTCAGCGTGTCGAGCAAGAGGCGCTCAACCTCGTTCAGAACCACCAGTGCGCCCATAGCAGGTGGAGGAGCCGCAGTGGCGGTTTTCGGTGCGAGGAGTGCCATGACCGCCTGCCGTCCTTCATCTACGAATGCACCCAGTGTCACATCCACGCGTGTCGTAGGTGTCGACACAATCGATTGTGAAGTGCGATGTAGAAAAAAGAGTGGATTTGAGATTTTCCCAGAAAACTCTTGAAGGAACCCTCCCCCCTCTTGACATGATTTGGTTCAGGAGAAGAAGAGCTTCAAAGCTCAAACTAAGGTGGACAAAAAATGAGAGATCATGTGTATCCAGAGCCAATACAGACTCGCAAAAACGTAGATCGCCGAAATTGCAAAAGATGATGCGGCCAGTGTGGATTGAACACACGACCTTCAGATTAAGTGATTGAAGTTGACTTCAGTCTGACGCTCTCCCAACTGAGCTATGTCCGCCGCATTTGATTGATAATCGTTCGTGTGTCTCGGCGGCGTAAGAAGCGCACGAGCCCCCGGCGCACTCCAGCAGCTCTCCGTCGGTGCCGATCTCACGCGTCCGGTTATCGTGAGAGGTCCTTCGCGATCGCGCCGAGTCCTTTTTTATCGCGCTCCGAGGTAGTTAGGGACGAAGTTGCGCCCCAGGGTCCTTCTCAGCGCGGGTCTTGCAACCCTCCACCCTCTGGGGGCGACTTTGAGTTAGTAACGCCATAGGTTGCGATTGCCATATCCTCGCCCCGGCAAAGGTGAGCCTCCAGGTTTGATCTCACAATTCAAATCTGCCGTGGTATTTTTGGAGCGAGGTTGCGCCATGGAGATTATCTACAGCGGAGCTTCGGAAGCACATCGTCAGTTGAAAGTAAGATCAGGCGTTACCGTAGAGTTCAAGCAATGTACTTATTTGTGTATTGACCATCTCCTCGAACTTTCACATACGCTAGCTAATATCATACTCTTTTCTATGTTGTAGGCTCCTTGTTCGCTTTTTGTTTTCTTATCTTGAAGACTCGACCATCACAGACAGACACCCTTCAAGCCAACCACCCATCATACGTACTCAACTCCTCCCGCCTCACGCCCTCCATCTCCCCCTTCACACCCAACAACCGCACCCTCGCCCCCTTCTCCTTCCCCCACCCCTCCAAGAACTCCTCAACTCTCTTCTGCGTAGCCTCGTCACCCCTCATAATCAAAGCCACCGCATCGAACCCGCCCGCACCAGGCACGACCCCGCCCAACACGCCCTCGACACCCCCAAGCGCATCAAGCAGCTCCGTCTGCGACTCAGGCTCAATCGGAACACCGCTGCCCTTGCCCATAGCCCGAATCAACCCCCTCACATCCTCCACCGCACCGCCAACCTTGTCCGTCTCCCCATTCTTCAGCGCCGCCGCGAGAGCCTCATTCTTCCCCTGCAACTCATCCCACAACTGCTTACTCCCCTCGGCATCGGCCTTCCTCCACTCAAGCACCTTCTTCACCATACTCACCGTCTGACTCCCACAATCAACATCACACATACGAAGGCACACGCCCTCCGGCAACCCCGTCCCAGCCTTATCAACCTCAACATCCCACGCAAGCAACTCATCCACCTTCCTCACCAACGCCTCCGAGAACCCAGGGGACCCCGCGCCGCCGAGATCGGAGAGCAGAGAAGGCGAGAAGCGACGATACCGACAGCTCCCAAACACGGCCGCCGCAACATCGAACCCGGACCCGACTTTGCCCTGCGCAGCGCAGTGCGCCGCCTGCGCGAGGTTGTGGAGCGTGTGCTTCCCCGCCTCGGAGGTGATGTCGAAGAGCGAGGTGGGCAGGTGGTGCGTCAGCAGCGCGGCCGTCAGGGAGGTGACGAGCGCGGCGGAGGAGCCGAGCCCTGTCTTGTGCGCTTCGCCGATGGAGTGGGGGTACCGCGCGAAGCGGGCTCCCTTCTTTGCTGCGGGGACGGCGGTGCCGGAGACGGCCGAGTCCGGGTCGTTGGCTGCTGCGGAGGGGAGGGAGTAGTAGTCGTTGTCGGCGAGGATGATGAGGCGGGTGGAGGTGAGGGAGTGGCTTGGGCGCTGCTTGTTGATGCGGGCGATGTAGGTGAGGGCGTAGCTTAGGGTCGTTTCGACGAATGTGTTTGGGCTGATTTTGGAGCCGCTGGGAGAAGGTTAGTGATGAGATGAATGAGAGTGAGGTTGAGGGTGAGTGAGGGTGAGTAAGGCAATGAGATCTTGAGTGAGTATGCTTGCGAGACGTGAGGATGATGCTGGCCATAAGTGCAAAGATTGTGAGGCTCATTTGAAAGAGCGTTGTGTAGCAAAGCACAGCGGCCTTTCACCCAACTCAACACTCATCTGCCGCGCGATATCTCAGAAAATTGCCCCTCATCAACCACATCCCACCAAGCCCCGCACCAAACGCTTGAAGAACTTTGAGACACAATTCCCCTCAACACAGCCGGCGCGCCAACTCATGACCACCAACACAGCACACGGCAAAGAAACAAGTAGATACTGGGGAATTCTGATGGGGGAGACTGGTGGACGAAAAAGGTCACTTACACCTGCAGCTGCGTAACCGTAATCCCCCCATCCTCCGGCGCGAGATGGAACCCGTACCGCCACACAGCATCGACAAACTGCGGGCTCTCGACGACAATCTCGGTCAGGTGCACGCCCGGAATGGTGTGGATCTCGGCCGCCACGACGTTGATGCGGGCGCTGAGCCCAAAGACGAGGCCCGTGTAGGCCCGGTCCAGGACCAGGTAGCCGCCCGCCAGGAGGACCTTGCCGGGCGCCGAGACGGCTGTCGTCGTGGGGTTCGCGGTCACCGAGGAAGCCGTCATTGTCGGAGTTTTTTTTTTGGCCGCTTGTGTGTATATATGTCTTTCGGGGTTGAGTCCGGGTTTGTAGGGAGGATGTGGTAAGAGAGTGTATGTGAGATTGAGGTCTCAAATTGCAGGCCGAGGCAAAAAATATCTACGACTGTGAAACCTCGCCAATTGAAACTAAGCAGTTATGCAGCTCGTGGTAAACCAAGTTTGAGCGCGCTTGTAAATGCGGTACGGCTGTAAGATGAGGCACAGTGAGGGGTGGGTTGTGTGATGACGCAGGCGTGATGAAGGTGAGGTAGCTTGGTGGTTGAAAGTTTGGGATGCGAAGTCGCATCGTGGGAGAAGAACGGCTGTACAGTGCTAGTGGCACGTGCGAATTCGTTGATGCACCGACGTTGCACTGTAAATATCTTAGGTTCCGTCCCAACGAGGAGCTTCACATTGTCGCCAAAGCTGGCACACTCGAAACGGTAACCTGAGCTCCAGCTTCAGCGGTCAGACTCCCCAAACTTGTGACGACATGCCTACTGTAGATAAGAGTCCAAGTATAAGTTTGGAGAACCATCACGAACCATCATGAAGCGAGGTTACCTACCACACATTGAATCCAGTCCATCACTGTCAACTTCACACAAGGCAGGCCAAATTGTTTGAACAGTCGGCAAATCTTATTTTTTGGATGCTGCCGGTAATATACATACAGCAGGATCACATGCCCTCATGACATGTCGTCGTAAACCGACCGCCCCAGTACCCTATCCGTCCATTCATGATCCTCTATGCTGCGTTGGGCTTCTATCCGGCGCCCTCTTTTCTATACTATGCTTGAGTGGGGTTGTGTCTATAGTTTGGGCCATTGGCCGTCATCGCTCGCTTTCCGATAAAAAGCCCCGTGAACGGGTGCTCAGTCGCCGTGACCCTTTTGCTTCCGACAAACGCCGTACCCTCCCAGTATCCCGATTATGGGGGTATGAATTCGACTTCCGGTTCAAACTCCAAATTCCAAATCCAGTTGACAGAATGAAATGCTTTCGGCGCACTGCCGTAAAACAGACTGGCCGCCGATCCTGGCCAGACACCCTCAGTCCACCTACTTCAAAACACAACGGGGTATCAAGCAACGCGGTAGATGAGGGCAGTTACAAAGGAAATGTGTTCATCGGAGGAACGCGCAGAGCAGCTGCTCAATGCGCATTCCGATGATTTGACGCACAGGATAGACGAGACAGGTGTGGGAGCAAGCTCAGTTGTGTGCAAAAGCTTCCTCGCCACCGCCACCGCCAAGAAGCTCCAGCACCTTGTTAACAACGGCGCTGGGGTAGCCACGGCAGAGCATCTCTCCAACAACACCCTTGGCCTTCTCGCGTTCCTCGACAGCGAGGTAAGCACGAGTCATGGCCTCGTATGTGCTGGGCTCACGCTTCTCATGACCGACAGAGTCGTAGATGGCTTGGGCTTTCTCAATCTGCTTCTCAGCGGCCCAGCCGTGGATCAGCGTGTTGGCGATGTAAGGAGTCATCTCAACACCTCGTCGGCGCATCTGGCCAAGGATAGCCTCGGTGTCAGCGACCTTGTGGTTGGCAACCATGGCCTCGAACAGTGCTTGGAAGAGGCTGGCGTTGGCAGTAACAGCTCGGTCAGCCATGACAGAGTCGAAGACCTTGCGGGCACCCTCCACGTCGTGGAGGTTGCAGCCACGGGCGTGGATGAGAGCAGCAAAGTGGACGGCTTCAGGCTTCTGACCGGAGGTGCGGATGGCCTCGAGGACCTTCTCAGCAGCAGCCATATCAACAGGCTCGAGGGTAGCGTGGGTGTCAACAAGAAGCTTGTAAGTATGAGCAGTGGGGGCGATTCCCTTGACCATCATGCGATCGTAGTAGGCAAGAACCTTCGCCTTATCGCGCTTGGTGGTCAGGAAGAACTGCATCATGCTGTTGTACGGAGCAGGACGGGCCTTGTAGTTGGGCATGGCCTCCATCTCATCGAAGAGCTCTTCCGCAAACTTCTCGTCACTGACACGGCAGAGAGCGTTGACAATGGTACCGTAGGTGACCGAAGTAGGCTTGATTCCCAGAGCGCGCATCTCAGCGAAGTAGAACAGGCAGTCGTCGATACGACGAGCCTTGCCCAACTTGCCAATCAAAGCATTGTAGAGGAAAGAGCTGGGCTCGACGCCCTCGGCCTTGGCACGGTGGAAGATCTTCACAGCCTCGGAAGCCTCGTCGAAAGTTTTGGCAGATTCTTTGAGGGTGGTGATGTACAGACCAAAGGTGTTGGCGGAGGGGGCGGCTCCCATGGCGAGCAGCTCCTGGTGGTACTGCTCAGCCATCTGGCGGTGACCAATGGTGAGGCAGGCGCCAACCATGGCATCCAGGATGGAAGACCAGCCGTAGCGAACAACAGCGTACTGGGGCAGCAGGGGAACATCAGTGCGAGCCATGGCGAGAATGTCGTTGCAGAGCTCCATCTTGCCCTCGCGGGAAGCAGCGGAGATCAGCTTGGCGTAGGTGATGTAGCGAGGGTGACGGCCGGCACGACGCATGTTGCGGAAGCGACCAAGAGCATCGTGAAGTCTGGGACCCTTGCGACCGTGAGAACCCTCGAGCTCATCAGAGATCAATGAAGATCCCTTGAAGTCGGTGTTGTGCGCGTATGGGTCGAAAGAATCCTCAAAGCTAGAGACAGTGGCTGATGTGGTGAAGGGAGAGGCGGAAAGGTTCTGGGAAGACAGCTCGCGAGGGTCGGTGATGCCACGGCTGCTCATGAACTGGTGAACAAAGTCAACACCCTCCTCGATCTCGTCGGCAGACTCCGGGTTGGCGGCACGAATGCGCTGGAACATGAGCTCCGACTCGGCCAGACCCTCGGCAACTTGACCAGATCCAATCATCGCAATGGCGTACATTGCAGTGGGCTCGATGAGCGCCGGGGTGACCGGGGTCTCAGGAGCACACAGAACGTGCCAGTAGCGAGCTGCGGAGGCAACATCGCCTTGGCGAACGCTCAAAGCAAGGAGGGCCATGGCAGGGGTGGCAATCTGGTGGAAATTAATGGGCAGGTTGGCAAAAGCAGCAACGGCGGTGTGCTTGTCGCCGTGGTCGGCAGCGCGAGTAGCAAGGCTGCTCATGGGATCCGCCCTGACCTCAGCCTCAACAACTTGGGCCCAGCGAAGGGCCTCGTTGAAAATGCCGCGGTCAGTGAAAGCCTTGACCATGCCAGAGCTGACAATTGCATCCTTGATGTCGCCTGCGCGGACACCGTACTCCTTAATGATCTTCTCGTAGAACTTCATCGCACCATCAACCTTGTCGGAGATGATGTAGGCGTGAATGACAGCAGCGTACACTTCAGCGTCCAACCGGTCGTTCAGGGTAGGCTCGCCGTTATCGTTAGCAACTGCGAGGTCTTTGTACTCGTTGTAGCACTCGACAGCGCTAACGAGGTCGCCAGAAGTCGCGAAAGCGTTGATCATGCTGGGGAACATGGCGGCGAAGGGGGTGACGCGGTTCAACTCCATGTGCTCGTACAAGCGAAGCATGTCGGTAACACGCCCGGCTTGAGCACAAGCAGAGATGAGCTGGTGGTATGACTCAGCCGAGTAAGACGCTCTCTGAGTGAGAACCGACTTCTCAAACATGTCCATGGCAAGATCGAGCCTGTCATCCTCGGAAAGAATGGCATGCTCGAGCTCGTGAGAAGCAAACATGAACTTGCCGGGCTCGTCCATGCCACCGAAACGCACTAGCTTGTCGTGGAGAGTCTTCTTCAAAGAGGCAACCTCGAGGGATCGGGCAGCAAGGAGACCAACAAGGATGTTGTAGGTATCGCTGTCCGGCACGATCTTACGGCGGAGCATGTCAGCGTAGACATCCAGGGCCTTGGTGACCATCTCATTCTTGGCGGTGGGCAGGTGGATCGCGGCAACCAACAAGGCATTGTAGGCGCTCGCGATGGGCTGCACGCCAGCGACGAGCATGGCCTCGAAGACGGCCGGAATCTCAGCGTAGCGGCCATCTTCAGAGAGCTTGTGAAGGTGGTCGGCGTAGACCTGAGATTGAGGGTCGAAAGGGGGCGTGGCCGTTCGTGCTACGCTGACGGGAGTCCGTGATCTGTCGATTGCTGGGGACTGGTACGAGCGAGCTGCGGAGCCATTGTGGGATGCAGATCGAATAGAGTGCTCAGAAGCCTCTTCCAAAGCTTCCAGACGATTCCTGAATTCGATTTCTTTCTCGAGTGCTTCGTCAATCTGTGCCAAAGCGGCCTGTGCCTCTAATGGAATTGGCGATGTTTCTCCATCTTGAGCGGCGGCGTGCTCCTCGGCATCGTGGATCTTTGACTCGCCAACAAGAATGGAAGCTGGTGAAGGCTTCCACTCAATCTGGCGCTGGAACTGGAACTGAGTCCATTCCTTGTCGAGATCCTCTTCGGAGGCCTGCTGCTCCTGCAGCGCCTCGAAGTAGGCGTCTAAGCTTCCATGCTTAAGCTTCTCGTCGAGCTTCTCGTGGTGGTGCTGGGGGAGACCAGCACTTGTCCGCTCGGCGGTGTGGAAAGCGGACTGAAGCTGGAGAGACTGAAGGCGACCGAAGCGGTTGGTGTTCCGGCGCGCAAATGAAGGTCGGTTTTGTGTGTTGAGGATGGGATGTGTGGCAGCTACGACGGACTGGGCGTAACCGTGGGTGAATGACTTTGCGAATCCTTGACGGATGAAATTCTGGTAGAGGGAGGAGTAGATGGTGGGCATTTAGAAGACGCGGCGGAGGGGGAAATTCTGTATGGCAAGGGATGTTTAGTTTGCGATTTCCTTTGGACTTGATGCTGCATAAACGGTGATCGACAAGATTTGCGCTGTGCTTTCCGTGTGTTCAGATGACACATGGGTTTTTTTTCCCTCTGTTTCTTGGAGGAAGCTGCGCGCAGTTGGGGATGTTTTGACAAAGCCAAAAAAAAAAAAAAAAAAAAAAAGCCGGGCGAACGGGGATAACGGCATTGTCGACTCAGACAGCCGCCGGGGTCATTGAGTGGTGACGACTTACATAGGGAAATGTGAAGAGTCCGTTGCAGGTTCATTTGACAGCACTGTAGCCGCCAAATAAACGCGCGATCTGATTAAAAAAAAAAAAAAAAAAAAAAGGGTTATTGGATTGGGTATTGAGAAGCAAGAAGAGAGAGGGAAGCAAGATGATGACGGGAGGGGGCCTGAGGTAGAAGTATTAGTCTGAGGCGCCGATAGATTTGGTGACTACCCGTACGGATACTGCCACTGCGTACCAAATGTCTAGGTATGGTGGCCGCAAGGTGAGAAAAAAAAAGAGGTGCAGGGTATACCGATCGGTAGGGAGGTGGGAGTGGGAAATGGGCCTGGGAATGGAAAATGGGAGAGAACGGGAGCGCGTTTGAGATCGGATGGAGAGTCGATGAGGCGTACTACAGCCGATGCAAGTCACTTTTTCGTGATTTACAGTGTGAAAGTTGCGGCTGTCATTGTGGTAGGTACTTTGATGCCTCTGCCACCTCAGCTGGAGCTAATACGGATCGTCCACCGGCCACGGCTCTCGATTCCCTCCTTCGCCCGTCACGGCTGTCTCTTTCAGACTCTGGAAGGAATGGAGAATGGAACAGAAGGGGGGCCAGCTACGGGCACGCTAGACAAGGGCGAGTGGCAGGCCAGGGGAAAGGAAGCAAGGCGAAGGCGAGGGACTTTGCATTGAGTCTCACTGGCAGTCAGTCAGTCTGGCATTGAGGGAACCTGGAGGAGAGACAGACGAGACTCGAGAGAACTTGGAAAAACACACACAAGAATATGCGCAAAAGACTGGGGAACTTGTTCGCGTGGATTCGGAGCTCTCGCATGGACTGTGCCGGCCTCGTCCAGTCATGTTGCGCGCTGGCGGGAGAGGTGCGGGTACGTGACGGCCAAGGGTGGATTCGGGAACTTTAATTACTAAGGCCGTTGTGTCCGTCCGGGCGAGTAGCTCCTTCCAGCTTTCCAAGGGCTCCAATGTTCTTTCGGTGACTTGTTGCTGCCATTTTCTATGGGTGGATACATTGTGGCTACTTCTTGATATTAATGACTCAGGCAGCAAACCCCGAACTGTTTGCGACCTCTGAGTGGCTGGCCACGCTCTCTAGCCTCGTTTTGCTGTGGCTCACTCCCTTGTTCGTACTTGGGTATCCGGACCAAGCATTGAAAAAGCAATGCTGGGTGATTGGAATGGGCCCTGACACTGACAGTACATCTACGGAGCTACCTATGATCTGGCACTCTAGCTACGACGTCGAGACAGAGACTGAGAAAGGGGATAGACAGAAAGGAAGGTGGCCTCAACGTCCAATTCTTCCCGAGATCTGCCTCTTCCTTCCATTGACCTGTGCCTTGGAAGTTGACAGGTGACGACGTGTAAAAATACGGAATGAGATGAAGTCGGAGACGGGACGGATACGTATAGTATACGCTCCGGGGCCGACTAAGCGTGTCATAGGTGTTCGTACGGATACTGGAGGTGTCGAAGGCGCAAAAGATACTTAGCTGTCGCGAGTTTGAAAAGCCCGTTCGGTCACAAGTTCATTCTGGGCCCCTCACCTCCCTCGGCTTTCCAAAATGGTTCCCGCAGCGAGATGACGACTCTGACCTGCCGCCTGAGGACGCGAGATTGATTGATCATCGCTGCGCATCAAAAGAGGCCCAGCTATATTCGTACTAAGAAACGGTCTAAAGCTGCGCTGGAGCGTCAACTTGTCCAACGCCCGAACGCACACGACTACCAAAAACACGGGGAAATTTGGGGCTTGCATCCCAGGGGCAGGCCAAAGGGGGCCTCCCAGGGCTCACGAGTCCAGGCGATCGCCAAATCAGGCCGATGACTCTTTGATGTCTTCCACCCAATGGCCCCCCTTCTGCGAGAAGAAACCGGCACCAGTACACTGGATTGCGTGGGGCCGCTTCAAGGCTGGAGACGTTTTGAACTTTTTGACAGAAATGCATGTGGTCCATCTCCAATGTTTCCCTGGGGCTGTCCAATTGACATGAGTTTGTCCGGATGGAAGGTACGGGATACCTGCTCCTCCCCTGGCTGAGCCAAGTTGGAAGGTCGTGGACGCGAATAGATGGTGCACGGGCTATGGCCAATCAGAGGCGGTGTAATGCTGGGAGAAGCCGGAAGGCGCGGGATGGTCGGGGAGCCCTTCCTGCCTCCACTTGGGAGCCACTCAGGGAAGGACAAAGTGCTCAGTTCCGTCCTGTCGGGAAGCTGCCTCCAGCTCCGCCTTTCCATTCCGTTCCCACCCATTGCTGTGTTTCGCCCGCCACTGGCTGCACAACTCTGCACCGTCCACACTTGCCCCCCCCTGCTCCGGTACTTCCCCGCCGGTAGCGTCTGCTAGTCGTACCCATTGGTGATTCACCACCAAATTCCCATCCTCGCACGCATTTTTTTCAACACCAAATCCATTATCCAGGGGCCATGATAGCTGAGGCGGACCCTTTGCTCAGCTCCCATCGTCTCCTATTTTCTATATCGATGATCGTGGCTGGAGTTATCACTCAATGGTAAGACTGCCACAGCTGGCCAGCTACAACCTCTGGATAGCAGGAACCTCTTACCTGTGATCAGACATTGCCAACAACGCTCCCCCAGCCACAACCGTTGACTTCAGGTGAAGTGAGGGTTGGCACCAAGCTATGGATCGCCGCCGCCAGCAACACGAGCGGAAGAAGAAACAACATACTACGGAGTACGAGCCAGCATCAAATTTCGACCCTTTTTTCGCATTTCCAAATTCCCCTCCTTGCAACCCCTGGTTTGACTCCTTTTCTGAGAGTCTGAGACCCAGCCTGCTACGGATACGTAGTTTTCTATCCCATGCCTGCCCGTCGCCCATCCCTTGCATCCGCGGACGAATGGCGGCGCGCCCAAACTGACAATGTAATCTGCCCCTCCAAGTCCCCGTGGACCCTTTGCTTCAAGGGCCACTTACCGCATTTCTTTGAATCTCGAACACGGCCCGGAGATGGCGATAAGATCTTCATTGCCAATTGTCTCGTCAACTGGCAGCGGGAGCCATATTGGGCCAAAAAGTCAAACTGGCCTAGCGGTGTGAAAGCTCATCGGATTCCCTGTCGTTACTATGGCAGACGTTGTCAATGTCGTGCCCTAACAGACGCGACGCGTCGAGACAATCGAGAAACCGAGAAATCGAGATGCCCCGGGAACCCCTCCTCCGCAATTGGCGAGGCACGCACACACAACCGGCAGCATTTTCCAGGCATCTATCCGTAGCAGACAGCCTGTTAACCGTGGTCAAGCACCTAAATTTCCCGCAACCCGTGGGGGCGCCTCATAACCTTTCACATCACGAGGCCATTCCTCCACGAAAAAGAGCCGCCATCAATTCTGCGGCACGGCGCAGAGCCACAGTCTCACAGATCCTAAAACAGGATCTCGGTCAGGCACAAGCTTCCCGCCAGACATGGATGACCATGGATGATGTGCGCCGCAAAGCGCAGGTACTCGCCGTTGGAACCCTTTAGGCTCCGAAGGCTCACGAACGCAGGCACGTCAGACTCGGAGGAACGGGCTTCTGGTTGAGCCGGCTTACCTCCGCCACTGCGGACTGAACGAGAGGTTATCCCCGTGCCTCCATCATGTCCTCTGTTTGCCGACCGCCGCCGACGGGTTAGAGATACAGTAGCGGCGCTACCCTCCCGCTGGTCCTGTTCCCGTTTGTGCCCTGGTCACGTCTGATGCCGTCACCACGGTTCGACCAGGGGATTTGCGGCTTATTCATCACCCGCCCCTAATGCGCTGCAACCTGCGCCCGTCCGGGGATTTCACCTCCGCCTGTCACCGAGATGTGTCGGCTCGGGACCTCGGTGTGGGCTGTGGAGGATCGACGCCCGTACCCAGTCCAGCGGACTCCAGCCCAAGTCTTGACATGGTGACATGTCGACTTCACGCTTTCCCACGTGGGGCGCAGCGTGCAAATTTCATAACGTGCGAGCGGTGCCGTGCAGAACTAGCATCAGGGAAGACGCATTGCGCTATTCATTACGCAGCATCCCGACTTGGATCGTCTTTCGTTTGCAGTTTGCACATGTCTGTTTGCCACAGGTCCACTGTGGACTTAACAAAGTGGCTCCGAGATGGAAAGCCGATCATCTCGGACTACGGATACGCGTGGTGTTGCACGATGCATCAGGGATCATGCAAGGCTGAGCTTGCTGCATTGAACGACACACGCGACCCCCCTGGGCTACTGACAGGTGACAAACGCAATCACAAACTACACACCATATTGAGTATCTGCAGAGTTGCAATTCCCTTGCTGACATGGGAAATGAAGTTGCAAGTCTGTCCTCTGCACCTATTCCCGCCGCTTACAACGACCAAACGCTCCAGGGCATGACTCCACGTAACAATCTCGAACCATCTGTCATTTCCCACTATAAAGGCATCTGACTTAAATCTAGGAATGGTGGTCTGTATATCGCGTAAGAGTACACCATCATCTCGCGGCTTGCTAGTAGAGTGAAGTAAAAGTAGACCTTCTATGACGAGGTTCTTCTGCGTGAGATGCTTCGGACTATCTAGTCAAGTGATGCGAGCAGAGCTTCACTGAAATATCACAAATAACACCGTATAATTATGCCCTTGTTGTATAATCGGTCACATCAGAAGACGCGGTGCTATCATCGTGCTCCGTAAGTGGTGTTCTCTTGCATGCTGATAGCTATTCGAGAACATTAGATGCTGACATGGGAGCAAGTTCCTTCACAATGGTAGTATTTCCAGATCAACTTTTTAGATTGGTGGAGAGGATAGGTCAAGTCTATGAAGAGTCGACAGACTGGCTATGTCAGCTTTGAACTTTTTTCTGCCATTAGTTTTGTGCATAATGGTAATCTTGGTATTGCAGTGTTTTAGGTATATCGTAATTACTGTGTAGTCTTTTTTGTGAAAGCCGGATCTCATTCATACCGATGCTCAAAAACCAATGGATTTCGTAGAAACAACATGCACAAAACATCATTCCTTTTTCGGGCGCAAGAAAAAGGGTTGTCAATGTCAAGTTTCGACATTCCGCGTAGAAGCAGACTTAGTTGGCTCAGTAAGTAGGGAAATACAACGAGTTCTTATTGTCAACTCATGCAGTCTCGAGGGTTTCGATGAAAAAAAATTAAAAATTGAAAAAAAAAAAAAAGGCTAAGGGAGGATATTGATCATCACTACGGCACATCACGATGGCAACCTAGTCTCGGAAAAGTCCGAAGTGAAGGTGAAGTGGAGGTTTTCCGTTTCTTTCGGAGGAGGATGGCCATCCTTGGCATCTACAGTCTAGTTATTGCGAGGGTCGATGGTTGACTTTCATAAATCAAGGTTTTAGGAAACAATACGGTTGATTATACACATCAAGGTACAAGTCCTGGGGAGAAGAAGGGTGGCGTCGATGGGGGTGTGCCTTCCTCGACCAAACGCTCGAAGACAAGAAGGATGCGAAATAAAGATGAGAGTTGAGTGCCTCTTAACAGAAGATGAAGGCATCCTCGTTATCTATCACCCAGTATTGCAAAGGTCCAGTCACCATAGAGTCTATGGTGACTTCCACATATCTAGGTGCGGGGGAAAGAATGCGGCGGCAATCATAACTTCAAGGGAAGCAAAGGAGTTTTGGGTGGATGATGGTGGTGATGAAGGAGATTTGCCTTCCTCGATGCAAAACTCGGAAAACAGCAGCCTCAAGGCTTCGAAGCAAAGGTGTAGGGGAGGTTGTCGTTTAGGAAGATAGTGGCATCCTTGATATCCAAACCCCGACATGGTGTAGGTAGGTAGGTCGATTGCGGATTTCATACAGCAATATTCTGGGAAAAGAACGCGACATTCCTGAGTACATGAAATGTACGAGTCCTGGGAAAAGGGGTGATGATGATGGTGATGGAATAACCTGGATCGGTCCAACACCCTACGAGCAATGGCATCAAGAATTCGAAGTAAGCATGAAGTAGAGTTCACTTGATCACCATGGCACCACAAAGACTGGACAAGTGGAGCAGATGTTTGTTTGTTATGATTAATTTTTATCTGATTCATCGTCGGACTTTGAGTCTCGACCTCTTCTTCCGCTCCCCTAGTCTGATCCCTCGGCATGTAGCCTCCCTCGCGTACCTAGTGGTATCGTTCCTTTCAAGTAAAAGCATTCTCTCTCTCTCTCTCAAATGTGCGCATGACTTGAAGTCATCGCCACGAGTATTCCCATCCATAAACGCCATCGCTTGCTTAGAATGTTCATCCCAGGTATCATAGTACCATGCAGTCGCTAGTAATCATAAAAGAAAACGCTCAAAAGATCTTCCTCCACACCAGCCTGGGTGTTCCGGTTGCAGCTCCATTAGGTCCAGCTCTCATTAGAATAGTTGTAGTAGTGTGCTGTAGTGATGTTGTAGTTGTTGTGTGTTGGTTGACAAAGGAGATTGAGGGTTGAGATGTAGTTGTGTGAGACTTGCTGGAGACCCATTTATCTGTAGGAGCTGCCGACGGTGGAGATGGAGGCGCTGGACATGACCGGCTGGATGGAGAAGAGAGGGCGGGCGGGGAAGTCGGAGTCGAAGTCGGCGATGCCGATGCGGCTGGCGACTGCTTGTTCCTTGAGCATGGCAATTCTAGAGGAAACTTGTTAGTATATTGACCATTGAATGTGCAGTGAGCGGACTGTAGACTTACTCATCTGCGCTGATGCCGGCGAGGTCGAGGTCGCATTTTTGGAAGTTGAAGGGAGCAGAGATCTCGGAGCCGCGCTGCTTGACCTCCTTTCTGTTGCGGCGGATCACCTTGTTGAGGAAGACCTTGAAGCCGTCGTTGGAGTGCATGGCTGAATCGTTTTGCATTGTGGTGGTGGTTGTGGTTGAGGATGTTGGGTGCGGATGTGGTGGTATTATATGCTGATGTTGTGTGTAACTCCAGCGCCGCGGTCGTGTACACAGGGGATAAGACGTGTTGTTTGTTTGTTGATGGTGATCGAAGGGATGATTCTTCAAGTTGTTGATGTTCGAGATTTCCGAAGATGCGGGAAGATGAGTGGTGATATATCCAAAGTGATTCCCCCTTGTCTCGTGGATCTGGTTCCCGCTAATCTTGCGGTGTTCCTGAAATTCTTTGCTTTTTCTTCCAGCTCTCTGGTTCCTTGGTGTTCTTGTTGGTGGAGGTTAGGCTCAGCCTTAGAATCTGATGGTCAAGGGTATAGATTGGTTGGTTTATTGGATCGTTGTTTAATTTGATCTTGTTGTTGATTTGAATGCTGGTGGAAGAAGCAACGGGAGCAGAGGGTGGGAAGCGAGCAGAATCATATATCTATTCCCAGATCGGTGGACTCAACCATGGTGTGTGGTGTGTGACGAGCGAAAAGAAGCAAGGAGTGAGTGAGTGAGTGAGGAGGAGGGTGAGGGTGTGCCGCGCTAGCATGTTGAAGACGTGCGTAAGGCACGTACGTCCCCGGGAACGATCGCACGCCCCCTCCTCCGATGAATCCATCAGCTCCACTCCCCCCTCCCTCTCTCTCACACCTCCAGGCTCTTAGCCATACACCCCGTCCCCGTCCCCGTCCGCCTCTCTGTCCTTCGCCGTGGACTTTCGGGAAGTGACTCCCTTGGGTGTGCCAGTCATCTCATCAATGCCCAAAAGCATCCGAGGGAGGGAGGATAGAACAAAGTCGGGGAGCGGAAAGGGTGGAGGAGGGAGGGGGTGTGAGTGGTTGTGCGTACGGCCAAGACTTAGAGTGAGGAGAGATGTGGGATGAAACTGCCGTGTGCAGAATCGCACTCCCAGGAACAACCATACTGGCACGACTTGACCGCCTACAAACGCAACGCATGCCATCGTAAAGTCGACCAAAGAAAAGCGTCCGTCCGTCGGCCGACGGACGCCACGGACGCCACGGACGCGGAACATGGTTAGGCGGGAGAGGCTAAGTGCGATGGTCCGCAAGGATGTGGAGGAGAGGGAGTGAGGCAGGGGATTTCGTGAGTGGGTGTGTATCCATTGCAACGGACGTAGAGGCGATGGGAACTACAAGCTACTGCCTACCGATAACGACGATGACTGACACTACTGCCTTGCTACAGATTTATTTCGCTTGCTGGGTTAAATGCGACTTCTTTGGGAATGGTTGATGATGGAATTGAGAAGAAGAGGCACGATGGGGCTCATCGTTTTGGGCTGAGCATCGACGTTGTTGCAATATCGGTTGTTTTGAAAAGAGGTATCTTACGTGGGCTGACTGTACCGCAGCAAAATGAAATGTCAAACGGCATCAGGTGATTAGGCAACAAAGTTTCCAATTCATTTTTGTGTCCACGTTGATGAAGAATACTTGTCACTGCCTACCTACTCCCTGGTGAAACAAAACGACGAAAACGAGCTGCTGCAAAAAGTACCAGGCAGAATAGAAAAAAGTTTCGACTCCGTGTTTGGATCGAGCATTGGATCAGGGACGCCGGGAAATTCCCCAAATCACGAGACGGACAGGGGAACAGGGGGAAGATCATCATCATCGCCGCGTGCGCGTGGGGGAGGAGACTCTCCAGTTGCTCACAGACGGCCGGCCGTACGCTGATCGCCGAACGGCAGCCCCTGGTTGGAATGGAATCCCCTGCGACCCTTGCAAGTTGCGGAGCCCTGCGCTGGGCAGTGAAGTGAGCCGCGAGCGTGTGTGTGTGTGTGTGAGAGTGGGAGTGAGAGTGAGAGTGAGAGTGAGAGTGAGAGTTCGGACTGACTGAGAGGGCTGAGTGTGCAAGTGAGTTGACTGCCCGCCCTCCCATCGAATCTGAAACTCGACACTCACTCACTCACTCACTCACTCACTCATACGGCACACCGCTACTTTTCCGTCCGTTGTGTTGTATAATAAGAAAACGAGAATTTGTTTCAAGATTGGGAGGATGGGTGTGTAGTCATGGGGTGGTGGTGTGTTGCTTCGTAACGCTGCTGCGCAATACGCGCGCAACGACGTTCATGCCTTTTTGGCCCTACGGATCTTACGTGCGGTGCTGCGGTGCCGAGTGATGCGCAGTCGGCCGGTTCGGGGCTGGTGAGTGGACAGAGAGGATGTCATCGCGGACTCTGGAATTAGACACATTACACACAGACAGGCACTACTACTTTACTCCCGCACGGTTGGACTGGTTCTTTGATGTGACGATATTCTACCAACGGGCGACTGGTGCTCTTACCAAAAGGCCGTTTGCTTGGACGGCTTTGATATGCAGGCACCATGCAGGTCCCGCCGACTCATCGCGCCGCCTCCGCGGGATTCCAGATCGAGACGGCCTGTAATCTGTCATCGCTCCTCCATGTGGGAACCCAATTCTCTCGGCCGATGGGGGTAAAGGCACATCGCCGTCTACTCTACTCCCCAGTCGCCGCCGAAGCAGGCCCCGTGATGTGCTCCGGCCGTGCCCGCGTGTTTCCCCCTCATTGTTTCTCACTTTACCTAGACGCAGACCCTTGTCCCACTGCTGCATTTGAGATTTTGTGTAATTAGGTAAGGAAAGAAAGGAAAAGCGACCCCGAAACTGCCCTGGTCTTCCCCCGCCGCGCGCGCGCAGTGTGTGTGTGTGTGTGTGTGTGTGTGTGACGCCCGCCTGTCGCCAACCCAGACGGCCGGAGTCCGGGGGCCGGTGGGAGGCCGGCGAATGTGTGTCCACTGCTAGCAGCCCAACCCAAGCTACCTTACAGTGGGGGTGTAGCCGTGTAAGTTGCAGGCATATTCTGCTGTTGCGCACGTAAAAAGCCGACTGCAGATTTAAAGTTGTATTGGGTTTGGGCGTGGCATCACCATGGGGCATGGGTACGAAGAGGTAAGGCAGGGGCATGGATTAGGAAACTTTAAGGCCTGGGCAGATAGGGAGGACAAGGACGAGAGTGTTACAGCAGAAGCCCGCGTGATGCCGAGCGCTACCTGCACTACGGATACACACCTTCTTCGCTGGGCAAAGTAGAGTTTGTCATCGGAGCTTTCCCCTTCATCTTCAGGCGACAGCGGACAGGGCTGGCGCGACGAGACGATAGGGCTCTCACTCGGTTTTACGAGCTGCCTTGTCTGGGAGGGTCGTATTACTCCGTTCATGTCCGTCGCTATCGGGATCGCGATCGTGGGTTGAGGTTACCAGGTCCCTCTCGCGATGATCGTTTGGCATGAGGCATGAAGCATGAGCTTGGTATTAACGAGGGGGCCCAATGTGGACAGTGGTAGTACGACAACGGTTTCCCTAGTAAAAATCTGAATCCGTACGTCCGAGTCTGTATACGGCGGCATCATCGTACGCTAGACACTAGACACTCGACACTCGACACTCGACACTCGGGTTTGACCTTCAGACACGCGATCGACGAGACATTTGTACCGGATTCCAGGTTCGGAAACATATCATCGTGTGTTACGAGTATCGAGCCGGCCGAGTTCGAGGTTTGAGTCTCGAGTAGCATTCCTCTCCGTTCGTGCCGTGGGAAGCGTGGCCTTCACGCATTCCAATCTCAATCCATCTCATCCGGCCATTCCAGCGTAGCATCAGCCCTGCTACTCCACGTACTCCCAAGTGCTCCCATCAAAACTGCTGTCCATTCTTTACCGCTCTTTTCTTCAGCAGAGTTTCCAATGAGGCTGGTTTACATTCCAGCACCTGACCTCTCCTCCAATCCGTACTAATTACCTACTCAATTACCATCCCTGCTCCGATTACGAGCAGCTGGAATGCGATGCGGAACCCCTGCGACAATGGTCAAACCCGTGCCCTTTGGGGCTGAACAAAAAATCTTTCCATTTGCAGGAATGCAATCAAGGACCCCCTGACACTTTGGGCATTCCTTGGGTCTTCGTGCAGCCCTTTTTCACTTTTTGTGACTCTTGGGTTCTTGATGCATTAGCAGCATTTCTCTAGGCATCATCATCATCTTCTTCACCAATGATACCAAGACTCTTGGCTTCTATTAATGGACCATGTGCTGTACACGTAACAGCACAGGAGGGGGGTGAGGTGCATTTTTGTCGTAGATTCGTAGTCGTAGTCGTAGTCGTGAGCCTCCACAGCCTCAACGCCAAGGCCTAGAACGGACTCACGTTTCGTTTGGACACATGAGAGAGAGAGAGAGAGAGAGAGCCACAGTTCGAGCATTGGAAACATCTCCCAGCCTCAACCGTTTTAGAGATGCTGACACAGCAAGCAACAACAGCGTGGAAACGGGCGCTGGGCTCAGAGAAAGTTGTCAGCGTGTCAGAGTGAGAGAAGCACAGAGCACTCAGCCAACAGTGTATCCGTAGCAAGACGTGTGTGAGATGTTTTAGTGCACAGAGCAGATACTGAACAAGTTTTGGGCTTGTCGTGGCGTCTGTTTCCCCCTCTCAATTCTCTCTCTGCCGCGCCACATCCGCGTTTGCCAGCGTGCCCTGGCAGCGCCTTCACAGTAACAGGAGCCGAACCTGCATGGAACTAACGCCCAACTTTGCCAAGTTCGGGTCCCATGGGCCGTGGGCCCCCAAAAGACGCTCTACCCTGAAGAGTTTAGCAAACGAAAAAGATGGACGCTTTTGGACATGCCTGTGACGGCTTGCCGGCTTGCAGCAGGCGTACGCCCACCAAGAAGCGGTGGACGAGGGGAAGGGGGAGGGGGAGAATTGGGGCTGTCGGACTGGCTGCACAGCGTCGGACTCAAGGGATGGGGTTAAATTGGTTGGCGGTAGATCCTCATCACCAAACGTCAATCACGGGTTGGTTCGAATGCAGAAAGTGCTGGTAGGTGCGTGCTCATGTTGCTGGCAGCCTTCTGCACACGGAAAACACGGATGAGATACGGATACATCACCACAACTGCAGGTATACGAACGAGTTACACGAGCGGGATCGTCAGGACACCACCGGCTTACAAGCTGAATTCAGAGGCGTGAGGGCGTGGCAGTAATGGAGATAGGTGCAGGGCCAAGCAGACGCAACCACTTACTCTGTACTTTATCAATTTCTCACGCGTCTCACTGGTTCCGAGCTGGCGGATTGTGAACCCCGGTGATGGTGACACCTAGATGATGATGATGATGATGATGATGATGATGATGATGATGATGGCGGTGAACCGATGATGCAGATGATTTGATGCTGACGATTCCTTATTCCGATACTGCAGTACCTACTCCGTATCCGTACGCACGAATATTGATTCCCAATGATTTGGAACGTATGCTTGTTCCCTGCCTTTGCAGCTTACAGGGCCCCTTGGCTGCAGACTCTCATCTCGCCCAGCAATCTGCAATAGGCAGATCATGGCGGGAAAAGGATTGTAATGCTTGCTTTGCCTTCGCTTGCCCCTGCAGGTTCGCCATGTGCGGCGTGCCTGGTCAACCGAAAAACCCTCTTGAGAGTCTTGACCGGTAATAACCCAGCCCGTCTCAGCATGTTTGTTTGTTCTTCCCTCCCCCTTCAATATCGGGATTGGACATACCTAATCCCTTTCAGCCCCAAAATCTGCCAAATCGTGAAATGATGTGCCATTTGCCAATTTAACCCAGCAAATAGACTCGATCCAATAAAAGCCCCTCTAGGGCCAGTGCTGACAGGGCCATCTTCTTCCCGATCGGGGGAGGCTTTTCAGCACGTATCAACCCCTGGTCAGATCCAATGGGGCCCTGCCAGGCTTGCCAGCTGGACCTCTCGCGCGTCCCAGGGCAAGGGTTTGGCAGCTTGCCTCGTCGACGCCGTGTCCGCCAGCCTTGGAGGGATCTGTGATCTGCTGCAGAGAAAAAAAATCCCCTCCCATCACACCCCCCCCGGTGGCTGCCAAACCATTTCCATTGGATCGAACCCGACTGTTCGTTAGCGTCCGCAAGCTCCAGTATGCCACAGCGGGACTTGCCGGGACTTGAAGAGGGGATCAAGAGGGGGGATCAGAGATGGAGGACGCGGCAGAGGCAGAAGACGGCGTCACGGAAGCACCGCTTTCCAGATCAAGTGCCTCCCACAGCAGCTGAGTTACGGCCGAAGGGAGAGCGGGGATCCGTGAAGAAGTGGTGGAGAGGGGTGTGTGTCTTTCTTCAACCTGTGATCTGATGAGCTAGTTTGGATGCGGATAGTAGCAAGAGTTGATGGATAGGATAGGTAGATGGATGGGTTAGTAAGCTGGTAGCGTTGGGGCAGATTGTGAGAGAGAGGAACATTTAGCCCAGCTTACCTAATAGACCTTCAAGACTCAACGGTCGACGGATGTGCGGTCCTTGAAGCCATCGTTAGCTTGACTGATGACTGACAGAGCCTCGTGAGCCTCCCTGACAGCGAATGCCACCATCAAACTGACCGATGGGGAGTGGTGCAAGGCACAAGAGTTGCACGCTACGAATAGCGGCTGCCCCCAAACTAGAGAACCCCACCCTTCCCGCTCAGCACTGGCCTCCGGTGGCTTAACTAAGCGTCCCGTCCAGCGCCGTCCTCCTTCGCACCTTCTCCAGATCAGCGCTTCCTTCCACCACACGTCCCTCACCCCGAAGTGACCGGCTCCGGACGGCCCCACTACTGACCGAGGGAAGTCATTGGCCAATTCGGTCTTGAGAGTGGAGACACACACACACCCGTCGAGCATCTTGACATCTTGCCCGATGCATCGATATCGACAACACCAACACCACGGACGGATCACCGACCCAAGATAGCCTCGTCCAAGTAGCCCCAACATGGCTGAACGCGGCAGTTGCTCTTGGCTTTGATGACTTGCCAAGGCCTTTCTTTCTTCAAGCCCCTCCAAGAGCCCAATTAACCCCCATCGGCAGTTTCTTCCTCATCGTGCGGCTCTCATAAGTCTGGTGTAGCGTACGATGCACTCTCAAACTTGGCAAACACAGCATCAAAACCATCGTATATTCCGTTTGCGGTAAGTTTCAAGACTCCAACGTCGGGGCGAAGCACGAAAGCAGGGTAAATTCTCAACTCCTTCTCTTGTCTCCTCACTATTCCCATCCGCCCATCCCGCTCTGTAGCACCGTACCTTGTGCCACTGCGTCCGTACGGAGGAAAGCATCAAGGAAACGACTGAAACCCTCCGAGGTATCCTCAGCACCACCATTGCCTACGAACGAACACGCCCTCCCCCCTTTCCACCTTTTGCCTCCCCAGCGGCCGACGATGTCTCCATCCTTGTTCTCATTTTCGACCGCATTCGAGTAAGTCGACGGTTTTTTATTGCGGCGTACCGTAGAAGAGAAGGAAGAAAAAAAAGTCGTCGTGTTCCCACTGAAACGATTACAGTATGCCTCATGCGGTACTCTTTTGTTTCGTTTCATGTCCGCAATGAGACAGATTCCGAAAGGGTTCCAACAAAACCAATCACTCACACAATGAAGACGAATCCTTGAAAATCCTCGAGATGTTCTCGGCCGTCGCTACGCAAGCTTTCCATTGTTTAAACTCGAGAGACATCCCTCGCGTGCGCGGCCGCCTGCCCGCACGCTCTTTCTAATCGTTCATGTTTGCTTCCAGAATTCGGAGAGTCCATAACGTGAAAGGGTCTCGTATACTGTCCGCAATCGAGACAGTACAGGACTCAAGAGATGGACCAGCATTGTCAAGCTTTCCTGCAGAATACGTCTCGCACGAGTCGGAAGAAACCTCCATATGACCCTTTCTTTCGCCTCCGAAATCTTGCCTCCTTCAAACATGTTGTAAGACGCTTCCGGGCGCCGTACTTTCACACACCACACATGTCACAATTTTTGACTCCAACGTTGAAGAAAAAAGACTAGATCTAAACAAGAGTCTGTCACTTTTTTTCTGAATGCGATGAGACGACGGACGAAGGAAAGCTTCACGAGGCTTTCGGGAGATCTTGCACTCGAGGTTTCCAGGTTTCAAGGGTCTTGCATGGTGTTTCGATGCTTAGCTGTCTTGGCTGTGGATTTTCACTTTTTCTCCTGCTCTTTAAACTTTTAACAGTCGTGTGCGTGTCTGCCGTACCCAACAGAACATTACTCATACTCCATACTCTCCCACGACTTACTTAGAAGCATAGAGTTTATAACATTACAAACAAGCCTAACCCCGTAAGAAGTCGTTCGTCTCATGAGGATACAGCACGGGTGGGAAACCCCGGTTGCGATAACGAGACAAATGCTTTCCTCGCGCCTTTTCCGTGTTGAGCTTGAGCTTATTTCTCTATGTGTGCGTTGTATCCGCCATGCAAGGGAGGGGAGAGAAATGATGACACGTCCCCATCCTCGGACTGCTGCACACGCCTCCTCCACGCCTCTCACGTCCAGACAGAAAACACAGAAAACGTAGAAAACGAAGGGAGTGAGCAGCGTGTGTAGATGCCAAAAGCGGATACACAATCGGGGCATGCAAACGCACGAACGCATCTGCATCGTAACAGCGGCATCGCAAACTGACCACTCACAGCCTAGGTCTCGGAATTCGCCATGCTCCATGCCACGCTGCCACGCTGAAATGATCTACCACCCTTACCTGGCCGTCTTCAACACTCGCATGCTCCGAGCGCGGCCGTGGGATTACAGTGGGATCACGGAGCCGGCGTCGGGAATGGACACAGATGCAGAGGAGAACAAGAACACGAGGGAAAAGGGGGGGGGGGGGGTTAGCGTACCAGCTCATCAGGGACGTAAGGGTTAGACAGTAGACAGAGCGATCGTGCGTGGGAACACACAGATCACCCACTACCGTGCACCAAACGGCATGATTTCCAATCCAACGTGATGAACCATCTGAGCGTACCAACGCCGTTGACGTGAGTGACACTGACACTTGACGCTGTCGGCGGGTTGGGTTGATCATGCGCTTGGTGCCTGCTTTTTGCTTTCATACGAGTTTGACAAGTAGTCACATCACATGGCAGGTTGTCTAGTTGCGTCCGCTCCTTGGCTGGGTACTGGCTGACTGAGGTGAGGTGAGGGTTGAAAAAAAATAGAGGTATCTTTGATTTTTCCAAGCGTTAAAAATATCGTGATCGTGCAACTCCACTTTCCATCGTGCATCCTCCCCGATGCTCTGGCTCAGCCCAACCGTGACACAGACATCCGGCCGCCCACTGCTTCACACAAGCTTGTCAAGTCTTGTCAAGTCTCGGAGACTACCCAATACTAGTGTCCACAAGAGAAGCGGCTGCCTGTGCGCTGAAGAAACGCCGTCCCTGACGTACGCCGTCCCTGACGTGGGCTCGAGTCTAGCAGAAAGCCTGGGACCCAGGACTGAGGTTTCCTGGCAGAGACAGTCATGACTAGGTAGAGCCTCCTCGATCTAGGCAACATATCCCGCCGCGATCTCTTCTCTCCACCAAGCAAAACACCATCCCGACAGCATCACCAACACACCCTCCTCCTCACCCAAGCTTCCCACATGACACCGAGAAGCCGGTAGGAGCGGGCATAGATGGGCTCACGCGAAGGAGGACTGCTATGATACTACCACTTATTTGGGGTAGTCCTTCAAGTGGTAGCTCTTGAGCTTGACAAACTGATCGTAGCCGAAGCGGCTTAGGGTCTGCCCCTTGCCGGAGTTCTTCCAACCCGTCCACGCTAGGTCCTAGAAGAGTTGTCAGTACCGAAGTTTCTGGGGGGAAGGATGATGGCGGTGGCTTGATGACGAAGATGGCTTGCAGGCTGGTGGGAAAGAAAAAAAAACGACTTGCAAGTTGATAGAGTTTGCAAAGCCGGCAGGCAGATAAAACAACAAAAGAGAAGAACAAGTTAACGTGCGGCTACCCGCCCCGAGTCGGATCTTTCTAACCACTTTGCCAACTCTAGCGTTCGGGGCGGGGGGAGCATCGGGCTAGGCAAGAGGGAAGTGTGGGGACCGGAGACAAACAACCACGGAAGATAGTGATCGGAGCGGGCAGAATATAGATCGGACGATCGCCAAGGCAAGAAATGGCATGTTGTGTTGTAGGGTACTCACTGGGCTGGGGTAATCGCATCGGTTAACGAAGACGGTTCCTGCTTCGACCTGGTCCGCGAGCTCGTAGCCGCGGTCCGTGTCCTTGGTCCAGATGCTGGCAGTGAGGCCGAACTCGCTGTTGTTCATGAGCTTGACAGCCTCCTCGTCACTCTTGACCCGCTGGACGGGAATCACCGGTCCAAACGTCTCTTCCGTCATCACCGTCATCGAGTGGTCCACACCCGTGAGGAGCGTAGGCTTGACAAAGTTGCCCTTGGGCGGGGGGTTGCTGAAGGACTCGTTCTCGGGGGTTGCGTCAGTGGCGCCCTTGGAGAGGGCGTCCTTGATGTGCGACTCGATGGCTTCCTGGGAACGCTTCGAGATGACGGGGCCAATGTGCGTACCCTTATCAAAGGGGTCTCCGAGCACGTAACCCTTGAGAACCTTTTGGACGGCCTCGACAAAGGCATCGTGAATCTTGTCGTCAACGTACACCCTCTCGACGGAGCAGCAGCTCTGTCCCGAGTTGAAGACAGCGCCGTCGACAATCTCGGCCGCAGCCCAGTCGATGTCCACATCGCTGCGGATGTAGGCCGGGTCCTTTCCTCCCAACTCCAAACCGACGTTGACAACACGGTCTGACGCAGCCTGCTGCACAGCCAGACCACCGGCCACAGAGCCGGTGAAGGCTACGAGCTTCACCTTGGGGTTACGCACGATGGACTCGATCATGACGGGAGAACCACAGTGGAAGTACTGCAGCACGCCAGCCGGGAGACCGGCCTCCTCAAACACCTTGGCCACGCGCTCCACAATGGTCGGAGTCTGCGGTGAGGGCTTCAAGATGACGGTGTTGCCAGACAACAACGCGGGAATGAGCGAGTTGACCAGAATGAGGTAAGGGTACTGGGGAGTGTGATGTTAGCAAAGGAGACAGGGGTATCGCGGTGGTGGCTCAGCAGTTCGCGTTGTCTCACAGCAATGGAACATTCACCACCATGCTGCGGACACAACGTAATGGGTGGAGCCACGCAAGTAGGAGACAAAAACCCACATTCCAGGCAAAGAGAACAAGAACCGGGCCAACGGGAACCTTGCGAATGAAGCGCTTGAATCCCTTCTCAGCCTCGCCGTCGGTGTCCGTGAGAACGTCATCGACAATCTTGAGGAGGTACTCGCCGCGCTTCACCGCCGTGGCGATTTCGACGCCGGTGTAGGCGCAGGGGCGGCCCATCTGGACGGTAAGCTCTTGAGCCAAGTCATCCTTTTGCTCGAGAAGGAGGCTCAGGGCCTTCTTGACGATGGTCTTGCGGTCGGCCAGCGAGGTCTTGCTCCATGACTCGAAAGCCTTGGTGGCGGTGTTGGGAAGCTCATCTAAGTCGGACTGGGAGACGCCATTCCGGGTGAGGATGGCCTCGTTGGTGGTGGGGGAAATGGTCTTGAGGACTTCGACAGACATATTGGATGATTCTCTTCTTCACGGGGTATCAAAGGGTTCAAATTGAAGAAAAGTATGAATGAGAAAAGAGAATCAGTTCCGGTTGATGATGATCAGGAGGCAATTCGCAGCATAGATATCCCCCTTCATGAATCGTGAGCTCACTGAGGGGCAGGTGGAGGGGCAATGACATGGAGGGGCAACCGCCGCACCTGTGACCTGCCGGACCGCGCTTGTGGGGAACGCGGTAAGATAAGAAGATGATGTAATCAATCTGTACCACCCCCGATAAGATATTGGCGATAAGGCCCGCTCTTGTTTTTTTGCAGAACCGCGCGCAGTGGCTGGGATCGCGGACTTTCACATTGAGGATCTTGTACAACGACAGTTGCATTACCGCCGACAACGAGGCTGCCGACAAGGCTGTAGCAGGGGAATTAGATCTTGCTGTTGCTATCATTTTCAATACTTTTGAGGACCCATAAGCCATTGTATAACAGCCCACCATGGCCCCCGAAAAACGAAACAAGTTCCTCGACGCAGACGAGAGTGACGACGAACTCGATCAGAGCTACGACTCCGAAGCCGAGGAGCTGCGCAAGGGAGGCCGCAGCGCCAAGAGGCGCAAATTCGACAGCGAAGACGAGGACGACTTTAGCGACGAAGAGCAGAACGTCACAAAGGACGCAGAAGACGCAGAGAGCGACGGTGAAGGCGCCGACGAAGAAGATGATGCGGAAGCCTCAACCTCGACCAACAAGAAAAAGTCCTCATCAACCTCGACAAAGCTAGACCTCCCAGACGTCTCCAAGCCCCTCACGAAAAAGAACCTCGTCGCGACGGAAGAGGCCATCAAGAAATCCGGCGTGGTCTACATCTCGCGCATCCCGCCCTTCATGAAGCCCCAGAAGCTGCGCTCCCTCCTCGAGCCCTACGGCAAGGTCAACCGCATCTTCCTCGCGCCCGAGGACCCGACCGCCCACACGCGCCGCGTCAAGGCCGGCGGCAACAAGAAGAAGTTGTACACCGAGGGCTGGGTCGAGTTCATGCGCAAAAAGGACGCCAAGGCCGTCTGCGAGCTGCTCAACGCGCGGACCATTGGCGGCAAGAAAGGCTCGTACTACCATGACGACATCTGGACGCTAAAGTACCTCAAGGGGTTCAAGTGGCGCCACCTGACGGAGCAGATCACGGCCGAGAACATGGAGCGGACGAGTAGGATGCGGGCTGAGATTAGCAAGGCGAGCAAGGAGAACAAGGAGTTTGTGCGCAATGTGGAGAGGGCCCGGGTGCTGGACGGCATTGCTGCGACGAGGGAGAAGCGCGGCAAGGCGGCTACGGCGACGGAAGCGGGGGCTTCTTCTGCCGGCGGTGCTCCGACGGCGGCGGCGGACGAGAAGCTGGACAAGAGGCGGACGGTGTTTAAGCAGATACCCCTGGCGGATAGGAAAAGCGAGGCTGGCTCGGCTGCGAAGCCGGCAGGTGATGTTGCGAGGGTGCTTGGAAAGATCTTTTGATGAAGAGGGTGGGGTGTGCGCTTATTGTTCGGCGTTCGACGTTATCGCCGTTTATCTTACTGGTAATAGGGAGCATAATGAGACTTCAAAATCATAAGATGAAAAATGAGAGCCCTATGGACCGGCAACCTCGGGATGTTGCGGTGTGTGGTTGCAAGTGTACGCGGAGGTGGGCATCGATGGCCGACTGCCGGACTACGAATGCGAGAGCTACTGGGTCACCATCTTGTACGGCTGAGGTGGGCGGTCTGTCTGGCATCTTGGCATGAAAAAGAGACGATGCAATGACGTCCTCTAGGGCTACTGTACAGACGAAGCTATGCGTAGTTGGATACCGCGGCGGTATTCAGGCGGGATGATGCGTGTCGTCTGTACTCGCCGGCATGAAGACCCTTTTGAACTGTGAAGTATGTTGCTGCATAACGGAGCGAATGCGAATGCTTCGTCTACACCACTCTCGGCTCCGCGACGAGCTACACACTTGGCGAGCTCCTGACTTGGCGGTTTGCTCACTTGGCATGAAAGATATGATGAAATGGTATCTTCAAAACTCAGACGAAGAAGCTGCTCGAAATAACGTGATTACAATAGCCAGCGCTAACATGGGCATTTTGGTATTAGCGCAACGCCCAACTTGAGGCTCAACAAACCGCGCAAAAGCACAGAATGGAGCGCGGTACTGCAACAGGTCAGTCTCGGAAACACCTTCCATTGGTTTCTTGCAACATGTAATCGTTGTGTAAAGATCCTTGTCAGCCGCGGCTGTGATCTTGATTACCTCAACAACAGTCCCTCAGCCTCGGCCTCACGGTAAACTAACTTGGGTCCACCAAGCTCACCACCAAGCAACCCAGGCGAACTTACAAACTCGACGAAACTAACACTAAGCTTAGGCATATTCCATGATCAAGAACATTCTCCTTGAAGGCATTCGTATTCCTACTCACACGAAACCGTAGTCATCGCCAACACAGCAGCGCCGCGCCAACTTTGACCGGCGACCAAGAAAACAAAGTATCCGTCTACAGCATCTCGATCAGATGGCAGCAACCCCGATCTCCAAAAGCCTCAAACGCAAAAGGGCAACACCTGTTGCGCGCGTCCACGCGGGCAGGCCTCCACTCTCACCTGTGCCGCCCGCCGAGCCCCCCCGGCCAAATGGAGTAAACCGAAGCTGCCGTCGCCCGCCGCCGTGGGAGAGCTTCCCGTCCGTCGGAGTCCGCCTTGACCTATGAGCGGACAAGGTAGAAACAAACGTTGAGCAACAACGCACACCCTACCACCATCATGGGAAACCTCAGGAAACTGTAAGTCCGTGCGTATGGCGCCGACAGTCAGGTCCCCGTCGGCATCCCGCTCCCTCCCTCCCCCCGCCGTCTCATCGATTGTCGCCAGTCAGTTGTGGTCGGGAAGCGTGGAGGTGGAGGCTTACCTCATGATGGATGGGGTTTGTGAAGAAGAGCCTCAACTGGGAGCGGACACATCTACGGTCTGAGTGGTCAAAGTCTGGGGAAAGAGAGGTGCCGACAGCTCTCTTACTCCCGTTTAACCGGCGGCGCCTGTAGGCTGTCTGGGGCTCGGGTCCGGGGTCGGGGGACCTGAGGAAGGGTAAGGCTGAGTCTAACCAGTCTGCCAGTCCATGGAGACTCTGGGGAAGCCTGAGGGTAGGAGGAGGACGGGCCACGTCGGTCTCGTTGACTTGAAACAACGACGCCGTCTCTGGTCCCAGGCAGAGGGCGTGGCTCCTAGAGTCGGCGGCGGCCGGGTCGCGGTCCATCGGGTGTCCAGTGCTGGATGTAGGCAAGTAGGGGAGGCTGCCCGTCTCTCGAACGAACACAGGGAGAACAGGCCATGGGCTCATTTGTTGATGGGCTGACGGGATCATGAGGCTCATGACTAAGGTAAGGGGTCTGGGGGGTGCCGACTCTGTGGTGCGACTTGCTGTGCTTAAGCCCGCTGGAGTCGGCGATTAGAAACAGTCAGGTCGGCAGTCCCAGACAGTCGGCACCCTCTTTGGTAAACTGAGGGAGAAGGCACGGACTTTGGACTGTTGATGGAAAGGTCGAAGTGCTCTTGGGTAGGTAATCGTGGTGGTACGGGATGGTGGCATGTAGGGTAGGGTGTGAATGGTATAAGTCGGGAGCCCCTGCCAAGGGCCGTGCGACGACTTTGCTGCCGGACGCACGTACGACGTTGTCCATCAATAGAGTGCAGGGCACGGGACGTAGAGAGGCAGTACGAGCAGTAGGAAGAGTGCATGAAGAGAGCTCGGACAAGTCGAAATGGCACATCGCCGACAGCTCTGAGACTGGATCCCTGCTTAACGGCGATGGATCGTGAGATGCGGCGGTTGAAAGGCAGAGAAGTGTAGAGAAACGCAACAAGACAAGGCGGACGCATGAGCCATGTGGTGATCTAGTAGTGTAGTCTTTTTTTTTTCTCCTAACGACAAACGCAAACGCCTTTTCACTTGCGTCGCAGTCTCAGTCAAAGGTATCTGATGATGCATACACGCCTTGCCACCCCATCCTTGAAACCATCCCATCCATTTTTGAGAGAGAGAGAGATACCCTTCCTCTCTTCTTCTTTTTGCCTAAGAAACCAAACGTGTCCACGTACCATCTCGTAGGGAAACAACTTTCCTCCCCGCAGACGGCCACTTAACCTTAACGCTGCCTCGGGGCCAACAATCGTCGGGGATCTCAAGGAGACACGTCCCAACTCAGTCCCGTCCATAGAGCACACGCCCCTCCCCTCCTCCACTCTCGGAAGACGGACAGTCAACGCTTAATCCTGGATCTGGAGTTCGTCCATATCGTCGAGCAGTTCATCCATGTCCACTCTCGGCGCGCCCTCATCACCCTCGGTCTCGGCGATGCTCATGGCGTCCGGATCGACCTTCTGCGGCTGTTGTGACTTGTACAGCGCCATCGTCGCGCGCAGCTCGTCGTCCTCCTCGACGTCGCGCAGGAATTGCTCGTAGTCCTCGTTCATGCGGTCCTGGTCAGCCTGCTTGGGCAACAGCTCGCCCTCGTCCTTGCCCATGCGCTTGAGCTTCCAGTTGCGGTTCTTGTGCTTTCTTCTGTTGGGGTAGTGCTTCTTGACCAGGATGACGTCGGGTATCGTCGAGCCGTAGGCGTGCGACTCTTCAATGGCGTCAAACTCCTCGTTGTTGAAGTTGGTGCCCGTGAGCATGTAGCCCATGACCGAGTCACCGGCGTGAAGCAGGCCACCCAAGTGTGTTCTCGCAAAGTAGGTCTTGTCGTTTGAGCCCAGGTCGGAGGCGCGGGCTACTTGCACCTCTGCGAGATGCCACTTGCCCTTTGTGATGCCCGTCGGCTCGATGTCCATGACGATAAACTCAACAAGCGACTTGACGTCGGCAAGGGAGCGGAATGGTGCGCGCCAGTATATGGGAGCACTGACATCTGCGGTCTGGAGGGTGTTGGGGTCGAAGAGGTATACTGCGGTTCCGATCTTGTGGCAAATAACGAGGGGAGAAATGTTGCCGGATGCCCTCGCCAGCTTGATGGGCATAGCTACAAGATCGTCACGGCAAATGGGGATGATTTCAACTGAAAAAGTGAACTTGAAGGATTTTGTCGATGTGTGGATATCTTGCGAAATAAGCTCCTGCGACTTCTTGGACGTGCAAGGCACAACGGAGTGGAGGAAATCGCAAAACTTTTCGGCCTGATTCCTCGCCGAGAAGAAGAAGTCGATTCCGTCCTTTGCTTCCTTAATGTTGAGGGTATCTCTGTGCGCGCCGTGCTTCATGATCAACTGCTCGAGGTAGAGGAACGTCCTCTTGTGCAGGACCTTTTGCCGGACCTGGACGGAGGCGCGCCACACGTTGGCCGTGTACGACTTTGCGCAGTCGGGACATTGCTGGTATGCGACGATGTAGATGGCCTCAAAGGCCTGCTGAAGAAGGACGCCGCTCTGGACCTCGTCCTGGATCGTAATCTTGACCTTGACTCGTCTCGAATGGGGTTCCGTCCACACAAAGGAGGCGTCGATGATGCGTATCTTGTTCAGGCCCTTGAGCTTCTTGAGGCAGAGGGCGAGGAGTTCGCGGGACTCGGGCGCGGCGACGATCCAACTGCTGGGCGGCAGCAGCCAGCGCTCGCAATCTCTGCAGAAGTTGAGGGTGGCTTCGCGCTGGACGCCCTGGGAGATGTCGACGGTCAACTTGATGCAGTCGAAGCAGAGCGCGTTGGCGGCGGTGGTTCCGTCGATGGGAGCGCCGCAGTTGCAGCAGAGAATCGTGGCGTTGGTACTCATATTTTCGTCTCTTTTGCCCTCACTGCCTAATTCCTTGTCGATGTAGGGGAGGGAAATGTTCTAGGAAAATGAGGCGACAAGGGGCTCTCTTGGGCAGTTTGGGCTCGATATATCGCGGGGTTGTTCGTCGAGGGGGAAAAGAAAAAAAAAATCATGAACCCGGCCGATAAGGCGAGCGCGGGGCTTATCAATAAAGTCACATGATAATGACGCCGCTGGTGGCGGGGTTTCGCCCAGGTTCGAGTCATATTAGTAATCACAACTTACACCATGAACTTGTACCTTCCATTCCTCTAATTGTTTCTCTGCCTGTTTATTATCACCGGCGTCTTCCATTGCCCTGATAGAGAGGGAGTTTATAGGGAGAAAACGGCTGTCTTTTCTCAACAGCTACAACTTGATGCAAGGACAGTTGCCCGGACACAAGGTTAAAATGGGAATACCCCTAATCCTGAAGTGCAGCGGTACCGCGTTGCTGTAGCTATTGCCCTCGACACTGCGTGCTGGCCGTATCTCACCTGGAAAAAGTCGAAAGTCCGTCTCTTGGTAAGAAAATCTAAACTTTTGAGTCATACATACGCCCCTGTCTATATGCAGCTTCTGTGACTCATCGTCGGCTCAATAGCTCAATTACTAGTTCAGTTGTTCCTCCCAAGAGTCCAAGACGGGTGTGAGTGGGGACATGTATCATAGAAATGGTCGAGAGGCTTTCTCAACATGACAGTTTACTATATGTTTACGTATGAAGAATGAGAAGGACGTAGAGAGGAATGGGAAAGCCCGGCCATGGTATATCGGAGTCCACGGAAGAACCTGCGGCTATTCTGGCCCAAGCTGGCTGGGACGGCATGACTGAAACGTAGAGGTTGTGGTTAGAGCGAAGCTGTACGATCAAGAGTGACGTGTAAGCACCAAAGACAGTCGAAGTAGGGGCCTAAGGGAGATGTGTTCTTGGCCGATTAGATATGCGAAGACCCTCAGACCAAGGAGGACGGACTTCATTCAGATTTCTTTGAGTTAGGCAGGCTCTATAATTCCAACAAATCGGCACAGACTATCAAGGTTGTCGAGTCAGACAAGATTCTCGCCTACCGTCGTATAGATAGCCCGGCAAGGGGAACAGAAGGAAGAGAACAGGAAGAGCAGCGTGGCAGCAGAAGTGTTGGTCGGATTTGTCGGACTTAGCCGAAGCTTCGCTTGTTCTTGGCTTTGCTGATACTCTCGGGATCGTACATGTTGGACCGTCCTTTGTAGTACTGCAAAGCCTTATATCGGAACCATTCTCTAGATCCCTGGCACTGCGCCTCCAAAAGTAGCCGTTACTGGCAAATCCTGGCGGGCTAGACTACAGGGACGAATAAGCAGCCAGTGAGTATGGAATTACGGGACCAAAGTTAGGCCTGTAGGAGTTCTGCTAGTCCCCGTCCTCGTCTTGAAGGATGAATAGCGGCAAGAGCCACTGAATCAGTCATATCATTGACATATTCGATACGAATCGTGGAAACTCAATCCCACAAACTCCACTGTCTGTGGCCGCGAACTGCAAAGTTGTAGGGACGGACTGCTATTTAAGTCGCTCAGGAATCCAAGATTGTAGCTGGAATCTTTGGTATGCATTGAACACATCAGTAGAATATGAATTTGAGAGGAAGTATGGGGGACATCCTCCTCAACCCACAAGATCTCTGCATTACAAAGAATCTATTCTTCTTTTTCTCTCAAGGGTATACCTACACAAGGTCTCAGATCATGAACTCATAAAAATCGCTTCTTTACTCCTTACCGTTCGTCTCCCCCTCAGCCTTCTCCGCCTCCTTCCCATTAGTCCCATTCGTCCCGTTGCCATTCCTCTCAACAAACGGACCAACGGCCTCCCGCGCAACCATCAGATCCTGAGCCAGCGCGCCGAGGTGGAGCACATCAGCCGACATGGCAATCAAACTCATCCTCTTGGCCGCCTCCCGAATCTTCTCAGGGCTACCGTACGGCGGCGCGCAGAAAGCGAAGCCAGCATACGGCTTGTCGTGCTTATCAATCGTATCAAAGAACAACTTTGAAATCTCAAGCCACTCGGGCTCGTCGGCGCCGATCCCGCCCATCTTGGCCTCGAGGTTCATGCTGACGCGGCAGTCGAGCGTGCCGAACCAGACGACGTCAATGTCGGGGCACTCGGTGAGGATGGCGTCGAGGTTGCGCACGCCCTCGGCGGACTCGATCTGGATCATGACGGCCGCCTGGTCGTTGACGCACTTGTGGATGTCGCGGTTGGGGTCGTAGGCGGTATCGGTGAGGAAGGGGATGAGGCGGAAGGGGGGCGCGGAGCGGGTGCCCCGCTGCTTGGTGCCGTACTTGGCCGCGGACAGGACGTGCTTGGCCTCTTCTACCGTCTCGACCTGGGGGACGACGATGCTGGCGCCGCAGTCGAGGGCGTAGCCGATGGCGGCGTGATCGTGGCCGGGAACACTGTGGGATCCTTGTCAGCGCTAGTTTCACCGTTGTTAATGTTTGTTGGGGAATTCTTACCGAACCCAGGGGATGGTTCGTCCCTGGCTCATGAAGATAGCTTCGTGGACCATCTGTTGCCGTTGGTTAGCGAGGTTAGGCACTGCTAGTTGCCGTTCTGCCCTATGACTTACCGACGTCATGGTCTCGACGTTACAGGAAGTGTGCTCCCAGTCAATCCAGACTGCATCGTATCCCATGGGGGCAAGGAAGCGTGTGATGGGAAGAGCACTGAGACCAGAGTAGTAGCACATCAGTGGGGGGATCTTCTTCTCATGGGCATCGCGAATCGCCTGGCGAGCCTTGTGCGGTTGGAATAGGGAGGGTGCCGCGTAGGCATTCATGCCCAGCGTGGGAACGTTCTTGTATTCCTGGCCGATAACTGACATCTTGGCTAGTCTGTCCGCTCGGAAAATGGGTGGTAGTATAGATGTATAGAGTATCTGAGGTATCCAAGTAATGGAAGGGATATTGATGGGCTCAAACGTCGAAGAAGAGAGCGGCTATGCCTCTCTTTTATATCATGTTGGATTCATCGAACGTCACATTGCATGCTGCCGACTTGTGGGCCTTCAGGGACCACCAAAGCTCACCGGGGGCTCGCAGTTGGTTTCTCTCCGGTAAGTGACAACGTGGAGCTGGACTATCGGCTTGTCTCTGGGATCCGGCATTGAGACTACGTGACGTTCCAGAGGAGGTTCTAGCTATTGACTCTCTTTGGCCTTGTTTGACGAGAGGAGTTTCTACAGCACGATGGATGCAACGACGGGTGGGTACCCTACTCTCACGTCAGAATTTGTCGGCAAAAGACAGTACTGGGTCGTTATGCCCAAGCATAATACTTTGCAAAGGTCCCAAGGTCCAAAGTTCCACGAGGTACCCTAACCGTAAACGTTCTTTCGTACATCAGTCCAATGGCTTATTGGGTATGTTGGTGCTAAGTATGGGGTTAAACAACGGCGATATGGGCGAGCTCCCTAGACGCGGGGAAGGCAATAAGTGGTGCATCAACCAGGCGGTCATTGTTTGAGGGACGTCAATTGCTACTTCTCGGACACGGGCCGAATTGATCGGGTCCTATCAGCCGGCTGAGCTGGCGTAAGCTTCCACAAGCCTCCAATGACCATTGAAAGGGATATCATGTTTTGGCACCGCGCTAGACGTTGTCCATCGCAGTAGGTCTTACTGGAGGATCATTTGCGACGCGGACCAGGGAGGGGTTTGTATTCCTCTTCAGGAAGGACCCTCAGAAAATGTCCCACATTGAAATTTTGCCGTCTTTGCTCCCAGCCGCCAGCCAGTGAGCATTCTGAGCCTGCTGGATGCGCCTGTCCTTGACGCTGAGCTGTTGTTGTCCTGGACGAGAGATGAGATCGTGGGGAAGCTGATTGGGATCGCCGGACGCGCCTCGGGTCTCATCAGTCCGAGCTGTCGCGCTGACACTGGCCAAGGCAATCGCGTAACATCCCACCTGATGCCACTTGAGAGCAGCTACCTCCTTGAGGGTCTTGGGGGAATACACACGAATCATGGAATCCCAGCCAGCGGTAGAAAAGACGCGTCCGTCGTCCCGAATGCGCAAACTTTGTTGGCCCGAATGTTTGGTATTCAGAATCTTCAACGGTTGCTGGATGATTCCCCCTTCAACATCGGAGTTAGGTCCCGGATTAGGGCCCGGAATAGGGTGTTTGGCGATTGTTGCATCTGCACCGGAAGTAAGAAAGTAGCCTTGCTCCGCGACGACGTCGAGGGAGAGGATGGGCTGGTTGTGGGCTTGAGACAAGTAGGTAGTATTCCAAGTCCCACTGTTGAGCTGCACGACCGTTGCTGACCCATTCTCGTATGCGGCGACGAGGGTCAAACGACCATTGGTGGAGGGCTGTGTAGACGCAGATCCATCAACGTACAGCAGGGCTAGGGCCATGACCATGCCATTCTTCTCTGTTGACTTAATTGTGTGAAGTCGCTTCTTGGATGGTAATTCGTAGATGTCAACCTATCACGGATGCACGGGTTAGGTTGCCGGTCTCATGCAGCAAGCCCGGGCTTAAAGGCGGAGATAATTGGCGGGGGTGGTGAACTGACCGACTCCGACGCCAAAGTATTTGGAACTGCCAGCAATAAGCTCGAGGACTCGGACACGTCGCCGGGCAGCGGAGCACATGATGCGAATGAACAGAAATTCATGGTGTTGACGTCGATGAGATGCAAAAGCCAAGGTCGTGGCCTTGGCTCTGGTGTCTCATCGAGAGGTAGCTTCTTGCTGAGATTGGACTCATCCTTGAGGCCTAACTGCCAGACAGCAAGCTTGTGATCCCGGCCGTGGCTGAGTAGATGGTGAGAGAGGACCAGCGATGCAGTGGTAAAGTGAGGCTCACGTTATTATCCTGTCGTCTCCCCAACCCTTTATCCCCAGAATTGCGTTCTCATGTGGCCTCCACACTGCCGTCGGGCGCATAATGGTGAGGTCCCAGAGGACGACGAAGCCCTCCGCATCTCCGCTGGCTAAACGATCATTGCCGCGAACGAAATTTAAAGCGTGCACTTGGGCTTTGTGGCCTCGAAGGATGGATTTTGGATGCGGCGTCGATTCCGCCATGTTCAAGATTGTCAGTTATTGAGGAAGATGATAATGGAAGCTTGGTGAATTGGAGGTAGGTGGAGGAAAAGTCAAGGACAGTGTCGACGGCCTCGATAAACACAGTGCACTTCTGCGGAAGGAAGGGCCCGGCCCTCCTTCACTGCTTTTCCTGGCTTACTAAACACTGCGGAGGGCAGCCACTGTTGCCTGCCGGACATGCAACTCACAGTGTCAGGACAGTGCTACCTTGTGTCTGACTGGAGTGCAGTATTTTCTCTGATTAGGAATCTGACAAGTTTCAAAGATGGCATTTTGGATTACCGAGATTAGGGGTATCGAGTACAATAGCGGTGACAAGGTATCTCACGTCAGACATGTGACACATCAGGTACTCCGAACCGCCCGTTTGCGTGAGGTGTCGCACTTTGATTCGAAGACAAACCAATTATCTGCTCCCAATAGTCCGGATCCCGCGGCGGCGGACATTGACGTGACTGGTGAGATCAATACCTGATCAGAATGAGAGAACCTATATGAGGTGAGATATCTTGGCAATTCCCAAAGAGCCTGTGACGTGGAAAATTGTAGAATGAACGTCTTCATTTTCATCAAACGTCAAAGCAAGCATGTAAAGACCCATCTAATACCGTGCGGTTGGGTCGTCTGTTTAAAGTTACCTTTATCCACCACGAGCTGGGATTATCATGACTCTTGTAAGGCGGAGGAGATGGGGAGGCCCGTGAACCCCATGTATCCGTGTAAGTCAGAGGCTCGGGGCCCAGTACACGAATCGATTTATGTCGTTTCTCTTGAACGCACATACCTTGAGTCGTATCCCCTTGGCGCGGTATGAAGATTGCCCACCACGGAATGGTGGGAGGCGGACGGTGCGGCCCAGTCGACCGAAGGGTCCGGACCGCATCGGAAGACATATTTACGAGCGGAGGAAGGTGAGTCGCCCGCTCGGTCCACGTCAGCCTAGAAGGGAGGGTCTCTTGTGTTTTGCCGTGATGTCTAAATCCTGTCGGGTCGGAGCACGCAACGTAGAGTTGTGTAATGTAAGGTAGGTATAGGCAAGACACAGTAAGGTACGGATGGCATGGGTTGCCTCGCGTGCTTGTGTACCAACCAGTGCGTAAGATTCCCAACAGCGCGGGTTGGAAACCCTGCTTGGTCAGACGGGAACGTCCAGAGCCAGGTCAGCGGATTTATCTACCTTACCTCAAGGTAGTTTGGATGGCACAAAACCCTGGTGTTCCGCCTATCTTATCATCCCGCCAGGTGAAGGCTCGGTGTACCGAGGTGTGTGGCAGGTGTACCTATACAAAGTACCAGGTCGTGTGTGCTGCTTTCCTGCCCTGGTTGATATGTGTGTGCGGGCGTGGGGGAATCTCATTGGATCAGTGGCCCGTCCCTGCCGCGAAGTCATCTTCCGTCCGTGCCCGAGCAGATTTACGGTACCTGCTCCTTCCATTCCAGATTCTACGTGTGTCCATCGCGCCATCCCGGACTTCTGGGTGTCGGTACGTATCGTATCGGAACGGAACTTGAGTACGCCATCGGTGCTTACCTCATTTGTATTTGGTAATTGGTCCTTTCCTGCAGCCCTCGTAAATCTGACAGACGGCAATCTCTCCGACACGTGCAACAGCAACATTGGCACGCAATTATTGCTGACGCCCCTCTTCCGCCTTACAACCACCCAAGCCACCCCCAAGCGTCAACTTGGCATCATCCTCAACAGACTTGTCGGTCCAGTTCGCTTGAGGATCGGCACATCCGTCTTGCGTTACACATACCGTCTGCTTCAAGTCTTCTCTGTTCCTCCGGCTCCCGAGACCTCTTTCCCATGAATCTCAGTCAGTATCGACACAAGAAAACCCTTCCTCCGGGTTCTCGGAGGACGTGATGATCGGTCGATGGCCCCAAGTCGGCAAAGTTGCCCCGAACCTACCTTAGCGCGTAGAGAATCTAACCGTGACGGAAGGCCTTTTGTGCTATCATGCGTGCTATGGGCGCTGGGCGATTCGTGTCGCAAGCGGCATTCTCGAATTAGCACTGAACATCATCTCGGCCTAGCAGTCACGGCGGATGAATCATTCTGCATCGGGCATACCGTTCAAGAGCCTATTCATTAAGAACTAGGTACCAGGTTGTTCGCCCATACCTACTTCCTCTCCACTCCGCACTCATAGGCAATGCTTGTCCGACCAAGCTTATTGAGCAGTCGTTTCTTTTTTTTCTTGCTCTCTTTTCTTTCTCTTCCGTCCCTATTGTTCGTCGCCTCAACATTCTCGAATACTGGATCACCGGACGAGTCACCGGCAGGCGAACCATCAGGGACACGGTTGCTTTACAAATCAACATGGGAAACATTGGTCCGAGAAGTAGGGACGGGCGCAGGTTTTGATGATGTGGCGGCGCTCAGTGGGCAACAAGCGCAGCCTTATCCGTCTGCAGCGTCCAACGAGATGCCTGTGAAACTCGAGCTATTCCCAACTGGCTTGTACCAGGTGTTCGCAAGTGCGTTTCTAGGGGCTCGGATCGACCCCAAAGAACAATACATTGCCTACCTAGACACCTAGACTGAAGACTCTGACTCCTCCGCCAGGCTAACGCTCACCCAAACTCCGCAGATATGTCGTTATGTCCATTACTTCCACCGAGTCGGCTGAACCGGTACTGCACGCTGCGTAAATGCAGCCCCATCAGCAGAGACAGGGGGCGGCTGATGTACCGTAAGCGATGCAACTTCGGAGAGCCTATCTTCGTCTCTAATCTGCCCAAGGCAGGGAGCCTCAGAGGAACGAGAGACCCCCAATACCTACTAGCCCCCAAGGGATGTTGCGGACTTTCGGAACATTCCAGATCTACGAAACCAAGTGAAGTCTGAGATGAGATACTCGACTGGCCAGTGCAAGAAGAGGGATGCATCACGAATCACAACCACACGCGCGGCACGCATGCGGAGATTGGGCGACGTTCGTTCTGTCGTTACCAAGCAGCAACGCCAACGTCGTGCAAAGGTTCTTCCATCTTGGGTCATTTTCCTTTTTGGGCTCGGTGCTAAAGTGTTTGTAGTAGGGCTTACCAATGACGCCCTTACATCACGCTTCGAGTCTTTTACTCGTACCACCGTAACGTCCCAGCCTAACGCATCCTTCTCGGACATGAACACACCACCAGCATGTTGGGACGATCCGTTGCCCGTTATGCTACCGCGACATAGCACAGCATGTTAGTCTTGCACCATACACAATGAGCCATCACATCAAATGTCTCCGTTCAGGAGTCCCCCCCTTGTCAGCTTGTCACCGCGCCCAGGCGTCTACCGCACTTCGGAGTGGACCAATGGCACACTTGCGGGTTGTCTCTCTCCCTCCGAGCGGCGGGCTACCGGCGTCAACGCTTCCCAAACTCCGACCCGCATCGCTTCTATTCATGTTGTCTGATCAGATACATAAGGGAGCCGGGCCTCCCCCGGTCTTGCACTCTCGTCTATTTTGTGGCACGCACTTTAAAGACATTCAGTCTCGATCTAATCATCCTAGGTCCCAAGCCTTACTCGGATTCGAGAAACCGCAAGCCGTAACAGGCACATCAAACTCCAAGTCTTATCGCCAGAGTACAGTACTCGAGCTACTTGCTTGAAAACACTGCAGCCATGACTTCGACCACCAGTACCCTAGTAACACCGCGAGAGAAGACCGGAGAGACGGATCGGGAAAACACCCCTACACCATCAATGCTTGAGGAGGAGGCAGTAGAGAAGAAGGAGGAAGCCGGCGCCGCAACCGACGAGGAGGCCGGTTCATCACAACCAACGGAGCCCAAAGAGCCCGAATACCCCACCGGCATCCGGCTCACCTTCATCGTCGTCGCTCTCGTTCTCAGCATCTTCTTGGTTGCTCTCGATATGACCATTGTCGCAACCGCCATTCCCAAAATCACGGACGAATTTCGCGGTCTGGACCAGGTCGCCTGGTATGGTGCCGCTTTCTTCATGTGTGTTGCCGCTTTCCAGTCAACATGTAAGTCATCAAAGTTCCCCTGAACGCACTCCCTGCAACAAGAACACCACTAACACTATCGTGAACAGGGGGCAAGGCATACAAGTATTTCCCGCTCAAGACCTCATTTCTGCTGTCAATCTTCATTTTCGAGGTCGGTAGTCTCATTTGCGGTGTCGCTCCCAACTCCATCGCCCTCATCGTCGGCCGTGCCATCGCCGGTGTAGGCGCCGCAGGCATCGGCTCTGGCGCCTACACCATCATCGGCTTCTCCGCCCCGCCCGACAAGCGACCCACCTTCACCGGCATCATCGGTGCCTCGTACGGCATTGCCTCCGTCATTGGGCCTCTGATCGGCGGAGCCTTCACCGACCACGTCAGCTGGCGCTGGTGCTTCTACATCAATCTCCCCATCGGGGGTCTCTCCGCCGCCATCATCCTCTTCTACTTCCACACCCCGCCCCAGGCCGTTCCCGTCAAGGCGAGCATGCGCGAGAAGTTCCTCCAGATGGACCTCATCGGCACCGCCCTCATCATGGGCGCGACGATCTCCTTCCTGCTCGCCCTGCAGTGGGGAGGCCACCAACACCCCTGGAACTCATCCACCGTCATCGGCCTCTTTGTCGGTTTCGGCCTCATGATCGTCGCCTTCATCGTCCTCGAGTGGTACCAGGGCGAGCGCGCCATGATCGCGCCCCGGCTCATTAGCGACCGCACCGTCTATATCTCTTCTGCCTACGCCTTCTTCTTCGCCGGCGCCTACTTCGTTCTGGTGTACTACCTGCCAATCTACTTCCAGTCCGTTGACAACGCGTCCCCCACCCAGTCCGGTGTCCGAAACCTGCCGCTCATCATCGCCGTCACGATCGCCACCGTTGCCTCGGGTATCTCCATCTCCGCCACGGGCTTGTACACCCCGATCCTTGTTGTCGGCGCTGCTCTCGCTACCGTCGGGGCCGGCCTCCTTTACACCCTCGACATCGGCACCGGAAGCGACAAGTGGATCGGGTACCAGGTCATCGCCGGTCTCGCATGGGGCGCCGCCTTCCAAGTTCCCATCATTGCCGTCCAGGGCACAGTCAGCGAGAGTGATCTCGCATCCTCCACCGCCATTCTTCTCTGTAAGTTCCCTTAACCTCCTTCCACTGCTTCTGCTCTGCAAAGTTCATCTCACTAACACCAAATCTCACAGTCTTCCAAACCGTCGGTGGAGCCTTCTACGTCGCCGCAGCCCAATCAGGCTTCCTCATCACCATCCTCAAGAAAGTCGCCGAAAACGTGCCCAGCGTGGACCCCAACCTCGTCGCCCTCACCGGCGCAACCCAGATCCGCACCGCCTTCCCCGCCGACGCCGTCCCGGGCGTTATCCAGGCCTACATGGACGGCCTCAAGGTCGCCTTTGCCCTGGCCACCGCCGGCGCCGGTATCTCGTTCCTCATTTCTCTGGGATCGAGGTGGAGCAAGCTCAACACCAAGAACCTCGCCGGTGCCGCCTAGATCGCCGAAGTCATTGTCGTTCTATCACGCGAAAGAAGTGGATTCAAAACGTCCTCGGCTTGTGGAATTCCGGTGCGACTATAACTCGCTTTTCATTTTGTCTTTCCCTAGATACCATGTTCGACTGTGCAGGAAAGTCTTATAGAATCTAATAACAGGCAGACAGGCCATGGCGTTTGGATTGCATTTGGGCGTAGAAGGAGGATTCTTGGTCTATCTACAAGGGTGCTTAATCTAGGGCAACTCAACTCTCATGTCTTACGAAGATAATGTCAGATTTTCATTTCATTGTTAGGGGACGTAATTTGCCGAAATGAAGCCTTATTAATAGATGAATCGCTGTTCTAAGTTTGTTGATGCTCCATGACCGTGATTCCGCTCGACGCTGACTCATGTTCCGTGCTGATAAAGGCTGGAGACTGGAGACTGAATAACCGAGCCCTTTCCCCCCTGATGACGCACCTATCCGGGACAAGCTGCATATCTTTTGGCAGCAACCCAATGGTCGCGCGTCTGGATGGCTGGGACGTCTTGAAGAGTGGAAGACAAGGGACACATACTCTCAAGGAAAGGGCCCTCATGCACGTCTTCTGGTGGAGCAGCAAGAAGTCGGGAATCGCAGGGAGAGAGCTGGGATACGGAAGGAATAAGTACCAGGTATAGCAGTTAGTCGATATGGAACCCACAACCGACATAGTCTCTCTCACGGTTGCATCTACGTTGTGTGAGGTAAGGGTTGGACGTATCAGTGAGATAGACATGCACGGCGGCAATAGTAAGGTAAGACGAGATCGATGAAGCGAAGAGGGGAATTGCGAATGTACCTTATTCGGGCATGCCAATATTAGATCTTCTTGCCCCTCGCCCGGATCGGTTCTTTCCTCAGATTGCATGAGTTGATCTTTCCGGTTCCATTCCAGTACACCCCATTACCTCGTCACGCAAACAACTCCTGAGTCTTTCGCCTCGTCTCCCCAGCAGACGAGTCTGTAGGTAACTGCTCAACCCTATACTCGGAATCTTTCTGTATCCCCCTCACCGGCCGTAGCTCCGTCTCGCTGTTCTGCGCCGAAGAGCCACGGCCGTCGCTCTCCCCTTCTAGCCGTACCGCGCCCTTCTGCCACTTCCTCGACCGCAGCGACATGCCACCGGAGCCCCCTATCGTGGGACCCACGTACTTCGCCGTCGTCTTCCTCGTCGCGTTCCTGTTCTTGCTAAGCAGGAAGCGGAAGGCAGGAAGCGTGGCGACGATGACGCTGACGGACGACTCGATGTGGCTCCACATGCTCAGGAGCACCGGCCCGTTGGCCACCGTCGTTGGGTCCTTTGCTGCGTCGCCTGTGGCTTTTGTCACCTGTGCGAGCCGCGCTATGGCAAAGGCTACGATGATGCCGCCGAGGGAGAAGAGGATGGCTAGTCCGAATTTGTGAGACGGGGAGGTGCTGAGCTTGCGTAAGAGGTTGAGAGGTAGGATCATGACTGTTCACATTGTGTAAGTCACATGGACCGCCTGCAGCCACGAATGCGATACTTACTGAAAATATCTGCCGCAATATCTGCGCTGGTCGCGAACTTGATAGAAGCATCTGCTCGTACCAGGTCTTCGGGCGCACTGCACCCAGCTGGTTCTGCAGCGTCAGTCATTCGTTCCATGATTCAAGGCCCGGAAATACGTACTCGCACTCCAGTACTTCGTCAACGGTGTGCATGTTAAAAAGTTCGAAAACATGCAAGCTAGGTACAGCACCAAGACGGCACCGAAGCACACCCACCAGGCGCGAATGTATTTGGGCAGTCCGGTAACGAGCCTCCGTACGAAGAAGAGAATGGAGAATTTTGCTACCAATCACGCAAGCACGGTCAGCCTAGTTCATCACTGTCTCCGTTTCCGCCAACGGAAGAGGGAGAGACATACCCGCCCACAGTGTCGTCCAGAACAGCAGCATCTGACAGAACATCAACTTGAGAGATGCAATCGTCCTGCCAATGAACTCCTCGGGCGCAAGAGGCAACGGCGCCAGAGGGTCCTTAGCAGCCGCCTTGGTATACTCGCCGGCGAGGTAGAAATGCGGCAGCATGCAGGTGATGACTGCAGTTAAAGCCGTCAGAGTGACTAGTCCCGCGATGATGAAGTAGTCGTCGGCAAAGAGGCGCCGCTGGAGGATCCATTGGAAGCTGCCTCGAAAGACAGTCATCCCAAAGGCGGCTCCCCACATGACCCAGATGAGTATCTGTCGGACAAGAGATCGTGTTAGCTAACGACCAATGGAGCAACAAAGGGTAGCATGGCCAGTGCGACGGTTACGACCGAGGCACGGATCAGAGATCGACAGACGGAGACGTTACCCCGGCCGTGCCGGACTCCGAGTAAGCGGGGGCGGGGCGGGGCGGGGCGGCACGGGCGGGTCGGTTGGCAGCTTACCATCATCTCAGTGTAGCCGAGCACCGGAGTCGCCATATTGCGAGTCGTTCGTCTTCCGGACGAGGTCGATTTGCGTCTCGGGATCGATTGTTGGTTTGCGCAGAAGTTCGACAGTGGCACAGCAGCTGGACATTATAAAAAGTGGCCACACGGGGGGCATTAAAAGAACGCATTCACATTTGTTTTTTTCTTCTTCTTTTTGACTTTTGTGTTCGCCTCCCCCCGAACCGACCTGCTGGATCAGGGGCGCCAGGCCGAGACGCATCCTGCCCATGCGAGTTGACAGAAGGCTGGAAGGGATTCTCATCACTCAACCTGCGGGTATACCGGCTGAATTTGCGCCATTCAAGCAGGGCAATATCGTTTTTGCTCTTTTTCCGCTCGTGTCGACGGACATGCTAGCCCAAGTCGGGATCCGGACGACGTGGGGTTGGAACAAGGGTATTTGGGTGTCGACGGGGGGGGGGCTCGCCACCAACGGCAGCACCCTCATCTCGCGTCTGCGAGGATGCTACCAACCTGCCAATGAGAGAGTCGTCAAACAAGGACACTACTGCAACTCGATGGCAGACCTCAACCAACCTGCATGATCCCATCCATCCTTCGCTAACGATATTCTGCAGGTTCATGGGATCCCCTTGGGGGGGGGGGAATTCCTCCCAATTTTAATATACTTCCCATCCGCTACGAAACTGGGTTCGAAACCCGGAATCCCGCGATAGAAGAATGCTTGACTTTCCTCCTGCATCCAGACCTCCTTTCACGTTTCGTCGTGGTTCGTCGCTTCTCTGACTCTCCTGCCAAGCTACCTTAGTCAACAACCATGGTTCGCGCCTCATCCCTCGTCGCCAGCCTGCTGGCTGTTGTCGCAGATACCCTCGCCGTTGCGGCTGAGGATATCACCGGCGCCGCCACCACTTCAGCCGTTGTAGCCAGCCTTCCAGGTTCAGAGAAGATCGCCTGTGGGTTGTTCAGTTCCCGTTACCCTAAGCAGACCTTCTACTCCGGTTCCGATGGCTACACGTACGAGACGCAGACGCAATACTGGTCGGCAACGGAGTACAACACGCCAGCTTGCGTCTTTGTCCCGCAGAACGCCCAGCAGGTGTCCTTCGCCGTTACGATACTGACTCTGAGCTTGACCAAGTTCGCCGTCCGCAGCGGTGGCCATATGCCAGTTGTGGGATACAATAGCATTGGATCCTCCGGCATCCTTCTGTCAACGACCAACCTGACCACTCTGGCCCTTTCCAATGACAAGTCGACTGTATCTGTTGGCGCTGGTTACAGGTGGAGAGACGTCTACTCCTACCTCGCACCTTTCGGTCTAGCAGTCGTTGGAGGCCGCATCGGCGGTGTTGGCGTCCCCGGTCTGCTTCTTGGGGGCGGAATCTCCTTCTACTCGAACCAGTACGGCTTCGCCGCCGACAACGTCGTCCGGTACCAGGCTGTGCTCTCCAGCGGCTTAGTTGTAGAGGCCACTGCTACCAATGCGTACTCGGACCTCTTCTGGGCTCTGAAGGGCGGCGGCAACTCCTTTGCCATTGTCACCCGTTTCGATCTCAAGACGTTTGTGTCTCCCAAGGTGTGGGTCGGCATCTCGCAGTACGCGCAGACAGACAGCGCAAAGTACCTCGACGCCGTCTACAACTTTGGAAAGTATGGTTCCGCGGACGGTAAAGCGGCCATCATTCCCACCATCCTCACCTATCCTTCTTACAACATCACCGCGTACGCGGCTGCGCGGTTCTACGACTCCGAGACCGCGCCTGCGACGGCGTTCGAGAACTTCACATCTCCCGCCCTGACGCCTGTGGCCGATTCCTATGCTCTGCAGCCTCTCGCCGAGTATGTGAGTGCCGTTGACGCGCTCCAACCGACCGGTCTTCGACAAGAGTGAGTCGTTCTCCTTATCACCTCGAACTATTATCTTGCTTGCCATACTAACCCTCCCCGAGATTCCGCGTCATGTCTCTGCTAGTCAACCGCGACGCAGTAGACTACGTCCACGATACCTTTCTCGCAGCCACCAGCGCCAACCTCACCAGCATCGTCGGCCTCTCAGCCTCCATCACCTTCCAGCCCATCACCAAGGAATTCATCCAGCAGGGCGTCGCCAAGAGCGGCAACCCCCAGGGCGTGGACCCGTCCAAGGCGCCGTACTTTTGGGTCGTCGAGAACCTGACGTGGCAGGACGCCAAGGACGACGCCGCGGCAAAGGCCTTTGCCGACAGTGTCACGGCGGAGATTGAGGCTGGGTTGGTGGCCAAGGGCGTCGCGGGCGGGTATCTGTACCTGAACGATGCGGGTCAAGGGCAGAAGATCTTTCAGAGTTACCCGGCGGCGAACCTGGCGAAGCTCAAGGCTATTCGTGCCAAGTATGACCCGCTGAGGATTTACACGAACCTCTTGGTCGGGGGGTGGAAGGTTCTTGATGCTTGAGCCTTGTTTGATTATCGCGGTCGCTGTCTCTCTCTACTAATCAGCAAAGAATAATGTTTATAATAATGTGTATTCAATTTCACCATGATAATTGACCTGTAAACCTGATGTATCTGTATGTATGATCTGACAAGCTTCTGTGAGTGGGTACAATGAGAGGGATTGCCGGACGATCTGTATGCTTTGCAGCAATACTATCATCACGTACAGTCGCCTCCTTTCCCTTTATCGATATGGGATCTGTAGTAAAAATCAGCAGAAACATTGCAGTCCAGCCAAGTCATCAGCAAAACAATAAAACACCTATTTCTGAAAAACAATGTTCAACTTTTGTAGGTATTCCAATGTCGCTATAAAATGCAAATGCGCCCCTCGCCTTTCCACCCCAGGGCCTCCCTTCCCGGGGCGCTCATAGGGGCAATCTATGAGCTCCCCGTAACCTTGACACTACCATCCTCCATACCAAAGTACGCAGCCACCGGCTTCTGCGCCAACCCAGCCTTACCAGCAGCAGCAGCCTCGACGCCGTTAAGGCCGTGGAAGATGCCAATCTCGACGATACCGGGAATCATGAGCAGCTCCTTGGCCAGCGCAGAGACCTCCCACGCGCCGCTGGCATTACGGGCGCTGCCGTCGGATACCTCCGAAGACAGGAGAAGCTGAGGGAAGGGCGCGTCAATGAGCCACATGCCGTTGTCGGTGACGACCTCGCCGGCCTTGCCGGGGGCGCCGGGCCGGACGGCGGGCTTGACGGCGCCAAGAGCGGTGAGTCTGTCCAGCACGTCGGGGGCCGACATGGGGAGGACTTCGATGGGGATTGCTTTCCAGTTTGTGAGTAGTCTCGAGGAGAGCTTGCGGTAGTCTAGGGGTTATTTTGTCAGCCCACTCCTCATTCAAAAAAAAAAAAAAAAAAAAAAAGGAGCTCTTTTTCCATAGCAAAACTCACCTGCGACAACGACAAACTTCTTTGCAGCAATAGCAACCAACTTCTCCTGGAACAAACACGCGCCGCCGCCCTTGATACAGTTCAACTCGGCATCCACCTCATCGGCACCATCAAACGCGACGTCAATGGCGACGAGCTTGCCGTCCGGGCCAATCGGCCTATCGTCGAGGTTACACAGCCGCAGACCCGCGGCGCGGATGAGGCCCTTTGACTGGCTCCCCGTCGGGAAAAAGGTCATTTCGCCGTAGAAGGCGGGACCCTTTGCGGCGATGGCGTCGACGACGTAGACGACTGTGCTGCCGGAGCCGATGCCGACGTAGCGGGCTCCTGGGGTGAGGTGCTCGTCTACAGCGCGGTAGGCGGCTGCCTTTTTGGCTTGTTCGACGAGGGAGGGGGCGGACATTGTGGTTGTGGTGGTTGTGAGGGTGCGGCGGGTGGAGGTTGAGGGTGAGGTTGATGGCGGGGTGGTTTTGGGTGTGGGTGTTGAGCGGGATTGAACGAGGGGATGAGATTTGGTGGTGAGGTGTGAGAAGGGGCGTGAGGTAGATGAGAAGGAGAAGAATTGGATGGATGAGACTCTTGATCTTAGAAGTCTACTACTACTTGTACTGATACTAGTCAGGGACATGGAAGGCGAGAAGGAGGCGGGACGTGTTCCGTCGGGATGAGGTGGTGGTGTTATAGTGGGATGAGCCATAAAGTTGCGTCTCTTGCGGCTGTCCGGGCTTACTCAGGAACCTGAATCGTGGAGTGGATTCCGCGCCCCGGCTGGCGCTGGCGGCGGCTGGTGCCGGATGGAGGTATCACGGATTCTTTCTTGAGATGGACTTGGACAAAGAGATATTCGCGGCTGACAGGGGATGACTGCGTTCGGTTGGCACGGCTTGTTTCCGAAACATCTGTAGCCGTTGTATTATCTGGCAATTGAGTGATGTCCTCCACGATCATCAAGCCAAGAGCCGGAAAAAGGGTGTCAAGTTCCTCGGTGAACCTCGGTGAGACCCCTCTCCTTCACCGAGCGCAGGGCAAGACAATCAGATGTCAATGCACCGCAGGATTTCAGGAACCACTTCTTTTTTTCGCTCATCTCCACAGAATGACGTACCCAAAGGTTATTTCCAGGGACGTCAACTCTTCTCCACCGCGCAGCACCGACTCAATGCCCGCCGTTATCGTCTCAGAGGTCAGAATCGGATCCGCCGAATCAGACCGAGACGGTAAGACCTCGGAGGAGGGCCAGTGAGTGCTCCGGGAGTCCCACCGGCGTGCGTGCCGGTGGATACTTCCGGTGGGGAAGGGGGGGGGGGGGGGGGAAGTCTGTACCTTCATAGGAGATCAGGAGGATCCTTTCAAGGAACTACCTCGCGGTCCTCGCGGGTAGTGAAAAGGGTTTTATGCTGAACGACGTCATCTTGCTCAAGAATGGAGACTGTTCATTGTTTTAACTTCTGATGAGATGTGAATGGGTCCTGATGTGCCTCTGCCGTTCTAGAAGTTAGAACTCGAATTCGGTGAATCAGACGTGAATGATTACAGAGCTCCGGAGCTCGTGACTGATCAAGAACATACACAGTTTGTCCTTGCTATCGATAAGATCACAAGTCAACGATAGCCAATGCAGACTGCACCATAAGGTGTCTTCAACACGTAGCCATCTCTCTTGCAACCTTTCCTAGAACAACTGAGCGACTCGCCTTAGAGCTGATACGCAGATCTTTTGGGTCAAAGAGTGGTTGTCCAGGATCTGGTAAAGTCCTCGGCTGTGCCTTGACAGTAAGGAGCATCCATATGGTTGAAGATAGTGCGATGAACCACCTTGAGAAGCACTCCTTGCCGTGTTGAGGACCACGTGAACACGATTTTATGTCTCGGCACTTGCCTTAATAAACCGAACATACCAGTGACCACAGCCGACGTTACCCAAGTGTAATGTAAGGTGCCCTGCGAGACCAAGCGCTTCCAGGACAACATTTATACTTTTCCGTCTTGCCAATAGACAAGTTTTCTGATAGCGTCAGCGAGACTTCGCAGATAAGGGTCAAAGGCCTATGCCATTTTAGCTTCAGTATTGCTCAGGTCTCAGTATCATGCTGACGTGCATCCAGTGTATGACTATATACTTGCCGAACTAGGCCGTTATGTTTAGCATGGCACCTGTCATGGGTGATGCTTGATTGCTATAGCCGGAAAACGTATACGTGGCGATCAAAATGTTAGGAAACATGGCCTCACTCGGCAAGTGAACTGAGAAGGAGTAGTGCTCGAAGGAGGAAAAGGTGTTCACGTTGCCACGTTACTGCATTGGACCGCTTTTCAAAAGGAATGATAAGTACTTTGGGTCTTCAACTAGTCATCTTCCTCGCGCTTCCGATACTCCTCAACCGAAGCCCCCGCATCGAAGTGAAGGGGATAATACTCATCCACAACCTCAATCAGCCCATCATCCTCATTAATCGTGAGATCCAACCTTCCCTGATAGCGAAAAGTCTTTCCGCTAGCCTTGAAATGGCTAGTTAAGTCGTTCGCGTACTTGCCGGTCCCGACGAAGGCAAATGTCACATGGACTTTGTCATCCTTTTTCAGCTCCGGCCAGACGAGCTCGACGTGCATCTCGAAGTTAGGCTTCGCATGCTTCCACATGCCGACGTGATCCGCTATGCCGGCGTGCCCTTTACGCTGAACACGAAAGGCGTGATCATTGTAGATGACTGATTTCGAGTGAAGGTCGATCCACTGCTGAGGAGGTCCGTTGGAATCGGATAGTGGGAAGACGCCGGCCCAGATGGCGGCGAGATGGTCAGGGCTTGGGAGGGTTTCTGGTACTCATCAGTAACTCCATAGCTACGATTATGGATCAAATGACAGCAAGAGGGGAAAAAGGTGCGGCTCTCTCAAGACTGATGCAACAAACTTACTCATCATAGCTAAAGTCTGGATAAGAGCTTCTGTAGTAACGTTACCGGGACAAGGGGATGGTTATTGAGAGGGAAAGGGGGGAGGTAGATGGTTATTTAACCTCGGGCATGCTTAAATATGTAGTGGATTGGAAGAGTAGTCCGGTAGTCAACGGCAAGCACTGCAAAGGTGAGGCCGAGAGGCCTTGCCGTTGGAACTTACTGGTCAAGGAAGCTGGTATTGGCATCATGATGCTTGAAAACGATGAAGTCTAGGTGTACCTCGCCAATCAACATGCAGTTCAGATTCTCCAAAGCACGTAAGATATAAGGCTCGCCATGCTACAGCGATCTGATGTGCCTCGGCTGGTATCCACAACGTATATGTCGCGCCTCGCGGCCTCCGGTGGACGGTGAGCCGGGACCGCTCCCGGGAGCTAGGGAACAAGCTCCAGCCATTGCCTTTCTCTAGGATTTCGGAAGTTTCCGCCGGTGAAGAACCGAATCCTGATGACATGTCTCCTACTTAGATCCCGGCAACAAGCCTTTGGTATGATGGCGACCCGGTTCATGCAGGTGCAGTCAAGGCATCAAACCTTATTCTGAGAACAGAAGCACAGTGTATCCACCTGCGGTAACACAGTATTGGTGTGGCTATCAAGAATACTTTAATCAAGACAGTTAAATTGGTCTGTAGCGTGCTCTCAACTAAGACGGCTGAGTCACCTGGGATTGAGCTATAAGTTCACTCTGATTCTTTGATCGAAGAAGTGGCTCATCGACCTTCTGACGACACAAACGTAATGGCGGGTGTATATGGGTCTATTTGTTCGACTACTCTGACAGAAGATATGTCGACTTGAAAACACAAAGACGACTCAAGACACATATGATGCGGTTTGGAACGAAAGAGAACGGCATTGTGGAAAAACCGTTATCACGTGTTGAGAATCAAAGGGGAAGAAAGAACAAGGGGGGAAGAGAGAATAATGGACCGATCGAGGGCAACTGTCGATCTTATGCACCGGAATAGACTGCGGACTTCATGGCCTAACCGGGGCCTCTGGCCCTCTAGAGTTCAGAACGCTTCGACCGTATGAATCACTACTTGTATTCGAAGATAACGACGTGAAGATGTGCTAGGCTCAGGCAGGCTGACCTATCTAACCTTAGTCAACTCGTGCAAAAATGACTATCGACCTGCTTCCTTTCTTCTAAGAGGGTAACTTAGGTCCCCTTGCCGTCGTTCCTGTCTCCAGCACAGCGGCTTCCGTCTAGGTCAGCGGGCCAGATAAAGCTGTGTGCGCAGTGATTCAGCGATTAGGTAAAAATGAACACTCTAATAAAGTTAGAGTCCGGGTTGACTGAGGGGCGCGCTGTTCGATTCCGGGCAGGGACTTGAGGTCTAAGGTCAGTCAGTGCCCCTCCTCCTTCCATTCGTCCCTTTTCTGTTTACTCTTACTATTTGTATGAGTGACTTCTTATCTGCCATGAAACTCAGCTACTCATATATTGGATTGGGTATCTTTTATTGAAAATATATATGATCTGTCGTTTACAGATCTTCCGGCCTGTAGTCGACTTTCTTGTAGAGGGTGAAACATAAATGTCAATGACCAGGGTTGGGTCAGTACCTGATCGCTTCCTTTCACCAGTGCAACGAATCTACAAATTGAGCCTGTACCAAATTATACCCTCTAGGTGGCTGTATGCGACCTATTTTGTTGACAACACCCACCTAAACCAGAATGTATCCGGCCTACAGATGGTGATGCTCCTATCCGCGATTCTAGCGAATTCGATCCGGCGTCACGATTTTAAAAAGGAGAGAACCTCAAAGAGCCTATCGAAGGTAGTAAGAGACTGTTGGGCGCCGTTGATGTGGCGCCTTCGTTTCAGATAATGCGAAGTTCCTATCTGCAAAAGTGCAGACCCAACATATCTAGCCGCAGTGCCGAGTCAAAGTCCGGAAGTCACATGCAGCATACTCTTCCTACAACTATCTTCTACTCTTTCTTTATCCATACTCCATGGTAAATTTCCTCGTCAACTACGTGAGGTAGGAGAATGAATAGTTGTGCAAACAGAGACCATTGTCGAAGAGGAAAGTGGGGGTGTTTTGCAACACCATGAGCAAGGGTGACTCTGCCACGGAAAGAACGCTGTTCGAAACGTGCCGGCAGTACCGGCGTCATTGATACCTCCCCAGTATCCGTCAATCGCGCAGTCTTTTGGTTGCAGAAGATGATTGGCTCAGGTCCAACATGGCCGGACCAGTCCCTTTCACTGAGCCTGTGGTTGACTGGACCGAAGAGCGACGGTCATTGGCCACTGGAGTTCCCGGGATTGAAACCGGCACATGATGTCCGCTTGGTACCTGGCTAGCGTTCGTTTGGTAAGTTAGAGTGTTAAACATTAGTTCCATCCCTGACGAGGATCCATGTGCTCATTGCTGTCAAACAAAATTGGCTTTGGCTTGAAGATTATTAATTCTACTTGATGGAAACACGAGGCCAATGCAGTCCCGCAACTACAATATCGACGTATCTGAGTATTGGTGGCAGACGACAAGTCAAGAATGAGTATGCATCAAGCTACCAGAGTCCAACTGACATGTAAGAATACACTAAAGAGCATTTCCATTCGGCCGAAGCTCTCGTTTCCACGTGCCCACCGTCCTGTCTCTTTCGGCAACTTCTTTCCGCATCCGTTGTTGCTGTTTCGATCCCCTTGTTCTTACCGACATAGAGGTGGCCTCTTCGTAGATATCAACGGAGTATATGGATTCAGTTCTTACGGGGTGTTCTTCATTGAGACAAACTCCTCTAAAGTTCATCCAAATGAACATGCGAATTTCGGTCCACAACCCGAAAACGGTCGTCAACCGGTTGGATTCACGACATTAAATGGCAGGTTTCCTAGCGTCAACCGTCAATGACACAGGGACCTTGACATTGAATGACACGTCGCATCGTTCTTCGAGTCATCTCGTCCCACCGGCTCCGGTCACTTACAAGACTAGTATCCCCTGGATAGTGAAAGAGGGGCGTTGTGGATTTACGCTCGAGAAGGACTTAAACTTTGCCGTTCCCCCGGGTTCACTCACGATTGAACGCTGCACAGCCAACGCCCACCGATTTACGACGTAACTCAATCTGGAGATCTACATCTAGATTGACTTCTTCATTTCAACGTCGTTGCATGGCGAGTCAAGGTGAGATCGACTAGTGCACTGAGCCGTGGATTACTGACTGTTGGAACAGCAAAGGCTGATAAGGAGTAATAGGCAGGTACCATGGGCTGGCTGGCACCTGCCCTGGGCGAAGTGGGACAACTGGCTTAGTCATCACGGCCGGATAAAGGTGGGGCAACCACCCAGGCCGTCACTACCTACTTCGACCGACTCCTGCCTACAATGTAAGATAGAACAACTAGAAGAACAAGCAATAGGATCACCAACAGACGAGTGATAATTGCTACCACTATTTGTCGTATACGACCCCGTGAACCAACACTGACTCAACCTGAAATTGACTTTTACCACTGCTGACTCTAACCAACTTCGATAGAAATATTCTTAGCCATCCAAGACAAGCGGCTGCGTCTCGAATCGCGTCAACCACGGGCCCCGTCGAGACCGTCCTGCTTGGCACCTGTTCCCATCACCAGGGTGGAATACAAGTGCTGCAATGAGCAGTACCTTGGCAGAGACGCAGATAAACAACGGCTCGGAGAAGACAAAGGTGAGACACGGCCGAATCAGCACCGAAAATGGGGAATCACATTGCAAAATGATGTTCGGAACCATGATCGTCGAACCCGTCCCCGAGAAAGCAGAATTACTGCCTCTCATGAAAACAGGCTCCAAAATATCGAGGTAAGCCTAATCAGGGTTTTTTCAGAGAAGAGGCCTCCACGATGGCCGATGATTCGCGGTCCAGCCACTCTCATCGTACCAGGTGGTCTGCACGGGGATGAGAGTCGGCGCGGATGGGGCAGACGCCGTAGCCGCCCTTGTCGTGATTGCATTGTTTATGGTAAGAATGATCCGTTTCGAAGGGGGGCCTAGATCAGCGACGAAAGTGACGTTGATGAGCCACGGCGATCATAACAAGGAAGGGCGAAGATCCAGTCGGGTAGGCAGAGGAGGAGGTGCCGCCAGACGTCTCGACTGATGCAGTGGTGGTGGCTGAGGGCGATTCTCATGAGCGAATCGCATTTCACGAACCGTGACAGGACCCCACTATTATCCGTTTAAAGACATTGACGGTTGACGGCCTGTCGTCTAGCCTTACGAGGACTAACGTTCAAGTGTCAGAAGAGACCAGGGGGGGTGAGAGGGGTCATGTTGGGTTACCGTGTTTATGACTTGGCGGTTTGGCGGGCAGGCTTGCGTTGTAATCGAGCTGTCATCTCGGAAACTGGAGAGCTTCAGAGGGTTATCCCAGAGACAAGCGAGTTGTCAAAACTTGCTGGATACCGATTGGCTACCCAGAAGCCATCTCGGAACTCTGCGCTTCCTGGACTTTAGAGTTCACGTTGACAGAATCGTAAGAGCCAATCGCAATCAACTTGAGAAGTCTGGGCGGAGAGGATCCAGATATAACAGCGGCTGAACCACCCAGCAAATAAACGCGGCATGACAGCATCCCCCAGCCAGGTGTCGACAAAATTAGGGATCAGATATCGATTAATGCTTTCTACTAAGTTCAGTCAGCGCTGATGAAAGACGGTGGCATCCCGTCCCGGGGGAACGAACACAACTCTTCTCATATAGGTTCGCACTACCTATATGTGTGCCCCTGGTCAACGCGGCTGTGCTCTTCGTGATCTCCAGGCGATCTGACGCTGTAACATGTCTTCCACAACGGCTGACTAGCGAATCGCATTCTCGCTGAAGCACACCTCTCCCTCCAGCCCCCGCTCATTTCCCCAACTGTTCGTGCCACGAGATCCTTGGCAAGAACACTCAGGAACGCTGTCTAACGCCGATGTCAAATGGCTGACAATTGAAACAGTCGGCCGCTTGTCCCTAAATTGGGGCAAGATCTGCTGAGGTTGTCAAAGTCTAACGCAATTGCCGACTAGGGGCCTTGCAAGTTGCACGCTTCTCACATTCCCATCTCATGATTCCACCGCCGTAAGGCCGCTAACGCTCTCGTCCGTCTTGGACGGAAGACTGCGCAAACAGCACCCGGCGTTTGGGGCCGCCGACGTTGCATCCCGAATCGAGCTATACTACCGTGTTTATATGACTTGCATGAGGTGTGCATTGGTGATTTGAGAATCTGGAGAATCTTGGATCGTGAGATACATAAACGTCGTCGTCGATCCAGTTCTCGCCAAGCTCGTTTCTTCCATCTTCCAAGCTCACATCAGGATACTTCACTTTGCGATAATATCAACCACTCACAACTAAATCCTTTCTACTTCAACAACAACAACAACAACAACCAACTCTTTGTCTGCAGGTATCAGGCGCCATGGATTCCTATCTCGAGGAGACATCTTACACCTTCTTCCTCAGTGTCGAGGGTAGCAGCCCGGTCTACACATTCGACTCTCAGTTCATTCCATTCCCCGCATCAGAGGGCACCGAGAACTTCTTTTATCCATACTCATTCCCGGCATACCAAACATCAATGCCTCTCATGAACGACGCTTCCCCACTCTCCTTGGACACCGACTATGCAACCATCAACACCCCATTCACCGCATCCTCTCCCCACTCAGACTTCTCACCCATCCCCAGTGAGCCCTTAGATTTCGCATCACCATCCAGCACCAGCAGCGGACCAGTCTCGCCACGATCGCCTCCAAAGGAGATGCAGCCTGAGAGCTGGGGCCCGGCAGATCTCCACCAGATGGGTTATCTCGACGTCGCCGGCAACTGGCGCTGCCGCTACTCGGGCTGCTGCTCCTCGCGGGTGTTCCTGCGCGCATGCGATCTCAGGAAGCATTTCCGGGGCCATGCAAAGTACTTTTTCTGCACCGAAAAGAGATGCCAGCAAGCGGGCGTCGGCTTTGCGACCCGCAAGGACTTTCAACGACACATGGGCTCTCACAAGCCTGCTGTGAGGTGCATGCACCCTGACTGCGATCGCATCTTCAGCCGGAAGGACAATATGGTTAGTTCACCCGTTTCTTTTTGGAATATCACTGAAACACAAGCTGATTTGGAACAATAGAGAGAGCACTATAAGAAGATTCATCAGCGTTTGAGGAACAACCTCTTCCCAAGGAGGTGCCGTCAAACCAAGAAGAGGGAATCGCAGCCTGCTTCGCCAGAGTCTAGCTGCTCTACTTGCTGCATGGAATGTTAAGTTCGATGATTTTCCGCAGATTTTGTTAAAAAAGCATTGGCAAATGGGGCTTAACTGCCTCTACCACTCGTTTTACGAATCATGAACCATGGGTTAAGCGTTGTGTTTCTACGGAGTGCTTGGGGAATAGCATGGGAGCTTCTGGATTCATCCTGAGATGAGAGCTTTTATAATAGATAGATTACTAGTATTTGATGCCTAATGCAGCCATTCATTACCTTCCAATTGCATTACTAGCTTTGCGGCACTGGATAAGAGTACAGAGCATGTGTGAACAGACTTTTTGTTAATGGGAAGCACTGGTAACGCTAATTCCACGACAAAGTTCCGAGAAAAGACTGGTGATAGTTGATCGTGGAACTTGATCGGAAGTCGAATTCCGAAACCTCCCTTTCTCTTTTCCGCACACAACGAGGTGAAAAGGCCATTTCTAACTTTGCAACAAACTCCGCGAGCGGACTCCGCCAGCGGACATGCAGTCAGCCATCACCTTGCTGTAATCCAACTGTTTCTGTCAATACCTCGGAACTGCTTTACTTCCTCATCGGTCGGCGCACCCCTCGGCTTCCGCACCGTCGATGCCAGACTTAATGCCACAGTTCGGCAGATCGTGGACGTGACCGAAGCTCACGCGTATTCAGGAGCCCTTTAATCAACGCTTACTGCTGTCTCGATATCATTCGCACCTATTTGGGCTGCTTGTCTTTAGACCTGCTGTGCACATCTTCGTGCCGTATGAGCCCTGTCGAAGAGCCTCATGATTGAAGAAAACTAGCTTCAAGATCTTGTTCTCGACACCTCTAGAGCAAATCCCAGTCTCGAATATATGTTCATACAAACTAAGTGTTCAAAGAAAGGAGGGCGTGGCCCTCATGTTCGGCGCCCGCGAGGTCCGTACTACCGAAAGAGACTCCGAATCAACAAAGTCTAGATGAGGTGCCATACCGCAAATTTGTAAGCGTATCGGACGAAAATTCCGAAGGGTCTCATCGTTGACATTGTGATACATTTGTAGATACTAAAGGTTCTCAAGTCCCTTACTTTACTCTCGTCAAGTTCCGCTTCCTGCCTAACCTTTTCCGACTGGAACCAATTCATTGCCCCAATCTAAATCATCATAGGCCAAGCCGCAGAAATCCAACCGTCACATTGATACTCACAATGCTCAAGACGGATACCACTATCATTGGAGTCGGCAACCTTGGTGCCGCGATGGTCAAAGTCTGGCTGAAAGCTGGACTCGCCGTCACCATGTGGAACCGAAACCCTCAACGGCCATCTCTCAACGAGCTCGTTGAGAAAGGTGCCGTTCTCGAGACAGACATTCGAGCAGCTACTCACAATAGCGGTGTGATTGTCCTGTGCGTCTCAACCTACGACAACATCATGGAGCTCCTCCTACCCGCCCTCCCTCTGGGCGAAGTGGGACGGTCAGTTTCGGTCATCAATGTTACAACAGGAACTCCCAAGGAAGCACGCGAAATGGAGTCATTCCTCAAGAAGAACGGCATCACTGCGTATTTGGACGGTGCTATCATGGTGACGCCAGCTCTGATGGGCACGGAACACTCTTCACTGTTCTTCAGCGGCGAAGACGACACTGAATTCCAGAAGATGTCTCGATATCTCGAGCCGCTGGGGCAAGCTCACTATATTTCCGAGGATTCCGGAGCAGCAAGCTTGTGGGATCTCGCTGCCCTGGCTGCCTGGTACGGATCCTTCACTGGAGGTATCGTTGCTCTGAACTTGCTCAAACGCCAGAAACCGGACAGGGGCAACGGGGAAGCCCCGACAACCAAGAAACCGATGGACAAGATTATCTTGCCGCTGCTTTCGACCTTTTTGTCCCATTTGTCGGAGGTTGCCCAAGCTCTGGACGACGAAGCATGGGAAAAGAACTTCGGAAACCCGGCTTCGATGCAGATCAAGGGGCTCGAAACCATTCTGAGAGGCGTTCGCGAGGAGAAGGTCAGCACTGAAGGACTCGAGCTGTTTCATCGCATGCTGAATAGGTGCCTAGAGGAGGTTGGCGATAATGCTGGATTGGCTAAGAAGGGAACGTATCTGCAACAATGATAGCATTCACTTGAACTTCGTCCGTTTGGCCAATGCTTTAAATCGCAAATTTGAGGAATACTGATATTGCAAGTGAAAGTGAATTCTCAACAAATTATTACTAGTAATACAAAAAGAATGGCAAATATGTTATTCTCCCCTTGTTATTCAACCCTCCGGGCAATCGGTTCATTCGCAATGCATCCATAGAGACCACAAGCAGCTCTTCGCCCTTATACCAGTCTAAGTGCATTTAACCAAGTATCCAATCAAGTTTGATCTTGATCAAACTTTGATGCTGGTTCCCACAACCTCCGGGAATGCATCATCACCGGTCTTAGTGAAGACAGACTTAACCCGCTTGTGTAACACCAAATCGGAGAAAGCCCCGACAATTCCAGCAATTACCTTTCCGATCCTGCCAAACTCCAGACTCCCAAGTTCGCTCCCCAACAATGAGCGTGCAGCCTCGGGCAAAGTAAGGTTCAGTGAAGAGATGAGGTTGGGGGAATCCGTAAACGCCCCGTGCGTGGTGTTGTTAACCGTCAGCAAAGCCTTTTGGCCTCGCAGAGCGGCGTAGAAGACGTCCCATGTCGGATCGTCAGCAGAGTGCTCTGGCCGGCCAACGAGAGTAAATGGACGATCGAGACCCGCATTGAGGACAGGGTCGAGAAGCTTGCCGTCCAAGTTGATGCCGCCCAGGATGCGGGAATCTTGAAGCATTGCGGCGGCCGCCGTCGCACCTCCCAAGGAGTGGCCAAACATAATGGTACGTTTGAGATTGACGCCATTGATGGGATTTTTTTGAAGTTGTGAGAGCACGAATGAGACATCGTCGGCTCGAACCTAGGGCTTTATCAGCCATACAACGGCAAGGGATTACCCAGGGGTACCACTAACCTGAGTGAGAGTTTCCAACTGCGTAGTGTTGTCGGTGTCGAGGTTCACTGCCTGATAAACAGTTCCATCAGGGAACTCAACAAAAGAAGGATCGTAAGAATGGTCGATGGTAACAACGGCAAAGCCATGGCTAGCCACCTCACGAGCCATAGCGCCGTAGAGGAGGCGCGGGTTGCCCCAGCCAGGAGAGAAAAGCACCAACGGCAAGTTGGAGCGGGCCTGCTTGCATGAACGAGGTCTAGACTGACAGAACTCCATCTCGAATGAAGAGAAGGTGCCGTTGGGTAGGCCAACAGCGACGCCCAGCTGATCGTATGCCTGGGCCACGAGGGGCGTCATGTATGGCACTCTTTTCAAACTCTCACAGGAGTTTTTGGCCTTGTCGACGGGTAGGAAAGTCGAAGTCATAAGTCGTCGTACATGCGTGTTGTTGACCGGGGCGTAAGGGTCGAGCCTGCTGTCGTCGGTCAGGGCTTCCACTGACATGGAAACCGCGTAAGGTCCAGTTGGGCCGTTGACGAGAATCGCCTGAGTCGCTGAGGCGAGAGCGCCTATGATCAACGCTGGGATCATGATGTCAAAGGTTGTAAGTTTGAATGGAGCAGAAATGCTTTGATGAGATGTTCGGTGTGAGAGATAGTGCTCGATTGAGTTGAAGGAGATGAAACAGAACGAGAAAGCAGCTGTGTCTTATACTCATCCATTGTGCCTTCGTCGTACCCATGATTACACACGAAGAACCTCTCGCGTGGTTGTTTCCCATTTCAGATAAGTGTAACTAGTCTGGGCGATGCGGATAGATAAAATAAGAGAGTAGCTGCGCCTCCCATAGCTTGAGTCGGGGCTTTGAAGATAATTTGAGGCCGTGATCCTCGTCTTCCCATTTCTTTCTGCCTAGACGTTGGCTGTTATACAATTGGCTATCCTACCCTGGTTTACTGGAGATTCTTAGCTAGCGTCGCTCAATTGCTTCCGCTTTGGGTTTGGTGACTTCGGGGTCATGATCCACCTCTCAGACTCAGCTCCTCGGCGATCTCAACATCTGACGCAGCTTGCGCGAACATTTCGCAAACATACACTCTGCGATGACTACTTTCACAGAAAGGTAGTGAGAACCAGAGTATCTGAGAAAATCCGAAGGCACAGGACTCTTACAAGTAGTCTGGCCAAATAACGATGCATCTTGGACCTTTCGACCGTCGCACCAGACGCTCTCGCTGCGCGCCGTGCGCTGCAAGCCACTCAAAGGTACGGCAACCCACCCTTGCCTTTATCATTGCTACGAGCAATTGGCTTTCTTCGAATTATGGTCTCTTAATCCTAACCGATCAAAGTGTTCCGGCTCAAACCCATGCACCCAATGCCAGAAACGCTGCATTGAATGTGTATTTCCGGCGGCGTCGGCTCCGAGTAAAGGAGCTGCAATCCGGTTGGCCAAGGGGAAGTTCTTCACAGCCAAGTCTTTCGCAAAGCTCATCACACAACGTCCTGTCTCGCCTCCCTCGGACAAGACCGCTACTTATCTCTTTTACTTTGATGTGTTCATACGCAAGAACAGCTTCACCGGTCGAGGGCCATCCTTTCTTCCAGATGTCCAACAATTAGTCAAGACTTCTGGCCAATCAATGCGAGCCCCATTCAACCATTTGTTGGACGCAATGTTGGCCTTAGGTGCTATGCAAGCAAATATGCTTGGCGCGTTGAACTGCGAAAATAGCTTGCGTTTCGCGCTTGAACACTATTTGCGGTCCATCACCTCTCTACGAGGAGCTGTATTGGACCATGCCTTGACACGGAAAGACAGCATTCTCTGGTCAACTTTTTTCTTAGGGTTGTTCGAGGTTCGTAAAACTCAACACTCCTACCCGAATACCCTTGTACCCTTGGCTTGTTGTCTTGCGATCAATAAAAACTGGAGCTGACATTGACACCAGCTGCTACAAGACGCCTCTGGGCAGAGGTGGCTACAGCACATGGTGCTCGGCACATCTCAGGCCCTCATTTCCAGCGGGCCGTCAGCATGTACTTCGGGAACAATGCGAAACTTCTTTATACAGGCTCGAACCTTCGAAGTCTGTAGGAGTATAATATTCAACCAGTCTAGCTTCCTGGCAGCACCAGAGTGGATGAAGCTGGCAGGCAATTTATCGGAAGAAGCAAACACGGAACGTCGTGTTTCTCTAGATGATCTCCTGAACCTGATTGTGTTATGCTCCAGACTCAGGGCACGGTATGTTCTACCACTTCACGTATCATGGTTGGACGTGCGTTGAAGAGAGAATGCTGATCTACTACTTCACTGCTTCAGTACTGGCCAGTTCATAAGAACTTACACCAGCTTATCTGGAGTTGAGGTCCTATCCATCGATGCGCTAGAGTTAGCCACAGAGGGCTTTTATCTCCGCGATGCACTTGAGAGGTGGAAGATCGATGCATCATCTTCACCTGTCCAACACGATGAGATGCTTCTCGCCACCAGCTACTACTCGGCAACAAGCATTTATCTCTCTGGAAACTACGACTACGACATACATCACTGGCAAGCGATGACCGTTGCAGTACCAGTGCTACGCCGAGATGAGATATCGAAGCATGTTGAAGACATCTTGCAGACAACCAGGGAAGCTCTTCGGTCCTCTACTCTATCGCCGCTCCTACACCTTTTTCCACTAAGAGTAGCAGGGGCAAGGTCTCGAGAAAATTCTCAACGGCAGGCCGTGACTGAATGTCTACTCGAAGTCAAGAAGCAATTTGCCGTTGCTAATGCGATGCTGGTCGAACTCGACGAATTGTGGTCTTTAACTCCCATTGAACTCGTCGATCTGCCACTTGTAGACAGTTGAATAATATTGTCGGAACGGCAAGGCTGATAAGGAGCAATGGGCAGGTATCGTGGGCTGGCTGGCGCCTGCCCTGGGCGAAGTGGGACAACCAGCTTAGTCATCACGGCCGGTTAAGGTGGGGCAACCACCCAGGCCGTCCCACCTACTTCGATCGGCCCCTGCCCACAATGTAAATAGGAACAAGAACAACAACAGCAATTATCACGGACATCGACGTGATTGTTGCCGAAGATACACCCTCATGAGGAAATGTACCACGCCTGTGATACCAACAAATATCAATATTCATCTTGATATGCAGGGTTAGGACTACAGTCTGTTACTTTTTTATTGTGATCTACTCGGGTTTCTTGTAGTTCGGCGAGACCTCCGCCATTTCTCTTTGGTGCTCCCCGTTTTCAATCATTTCTTTGATGACCTCGTCAGCAACCTTCATGGCATGGACACCCGCTGGTGCGCCACAGTAGACCGTTGCTTGAAGAATCGCCTCGCGAATTTCAAGCTCTGTCAGCCCGTTCCTAATCGCGCCTCGGGTATGAACTACGAACTCGGCCCAGCTCTTCAGAGCAATGAGCATGCCGATATCTGGTGTCAATGTCAGTTCAAAGTACGCCAGGGAGCTTTGCAGCTGCGCTCGAATCGACTTACTCAGGAGGCTTCGCTGCTTGCGCTCCAAGCCAGGACGCGACCAAACGTTTCCCCAGGCCCACCTACAATGATTGATATTTGATTAGAACCACCTCGAAGTTCTTGGATATTGCTCCTCTCACTCAGTAATTAGTTCCTGCTGAGCATAAGCGAATTCGCTTGAGCCATTGCGCATAGCAGTCTCGACGTAAGGCTCCCCTGCGACTTCGCGTCGATTCTTCAGGCCAGCTTCAAATAGCTCAGCGCGTAGTTTCTTGCTGTTCTCGGATGCCATTTTTTGCTTTTCGGGCTGGAAAAAACGTTGATCAAAAGTAGGTGTTCAAGCAGCAACAGTGCAACAAGTATAGAATGGAAACGTGACTGTAGTGAGTAATATGTCTTTGTTGGTATCCCTATCACAGGGAAGTTGGTTCGAACCGTAGGGTCCTGGGGGTGACGAAGTATCAATATCTCTGTATTGATTGATTCTGCGTAATGTGTAAAAGGGAGATTCCAACCGTAGGTTGGTTGGGTAGTCGCGGTCTAATTGTACCCCCTCGAGGTGGCCCATGCTCTTGCCCTTTATCCGCGGTCGAATTAGACCTCCAATCCGACAGTCTTCGTTTCACAAGGAACAACTCGCCATCCGCATTCGGCAGAGCCACGGAACCAATTGAGGGGTCACAACCGAGCTTAAGTCAATCAAGATGCCCGATGGCGCCGAATCGATCCGCAACCGGGGAATAAACGCGCACCCCGCACTACTCTGATAATCCGCATCGCATGTGAGGACTATTCCGTGTTATCCCGTCTCGTGCAGTTCAGAGTAGTACGATCTACAAATACATGCTATGCATCATGGCTACTGTTTTAATATGTCTATCATTCTCGGCTTGCTTCAATTATCAGAAAATCTAATCAAATAAACTCCAGTAGATCTTTCTTCGGTCTTTGCGCCAGCTTCCAATTCCCTTTATGTTCCTGTGCATCTTGTCCGTGACTTTCCTCGTAAATCCCGAAACTATGCGGTCTACTCTGTGCACGCTGTTTCTCGGCATCATCGACTGGGTTGTCAGGCTCGGGATACTTTCTGATGTGCTCGACCGCCCAGATCAGCTCGTCTGAAAGTACAGGCGGCGTCCGCCCCTTGCCCTTGAGCGTCGGAAGACCAGCGACACGGAACAGCCAGTTGAGCCACTCAAAAGTTTCACCAGTTTCCCAGGCAATGTCATGGAATTTTCTTCCCTCCTTCTTTACAAGCTCTTCCCTCTCCCTCTCCCAGCGCCCCTGTTCCTCAACAGGTGGCAATGCAACAGACTCTCTTCCAGAAAACACTCGTGCCAGTGCGATGGCCTGGTACTCGAAACTCCTAAACGTCAAGACTCTCGGCATACCAACGATACCCAATGTCTGGAAGTCCTGGAAGAAGGTGTGCCAAAATGTCTTGATCAGCTTTCCGTTCTTGTAGTCGTACAAAGCCCGTCCGCCGTTGGCTTCCGAATTCCAGAATGGGTACGATGGTTTGTAGCCCGTGCAGTAGATGATGTGATCGACATCATCGAGATATGAGTCGTCTTCAAAAATGACGCGTCCGTCGATGCGGAACTCCTTGATGATAGGCTTCCAGGCGATACCATTAGGCGGCTCTTCGCCATCCCAGCGGGACTTGGACCGCCGGGACTGATAAACCGGGGTACGAACTGTCTGTACCAACTCCTCCGCCACGTCATGGCCAGATGCGGAGTTGCCGATGGTGATGATTCTCTTTCCAGTATAGGACTGGGGGCTGCGGTAGGTTTTGGAATGTACGACTCGGCCAGGGAACTTCTCGATGTACTCGTCTAGGCCCTTGACGTGAGGCACCTACGAGCAAATCAGCTTCGTAATTCAAATAGTAAAAGTGCCATTTCATGAATATCAGTACTTACGTATGGTACTGAGTAATGGCCGTTGGCGAAAACGACGGCATCGAATACCTCCTGCCACCAAATATCGACGTTGCGAGCGGCATCGAACTTGCGCAGAGTCAACCTCCACTGCTCTGGTCTATCCTTGGCGGGAATCCTCGTCACGTCTTCGACTGTCGTATTTAGCACCAGAATGGAGTCAGTTTTGTGCAAAGAGAAATAATTCTCAATGCATTGTCGTGGAATCCAGTGCGGCGCAAAGGGCCCATAGGCGAACCTAGAATCCGAAAATGACATTGCAATGTCCGGGACATTGGTGCTTGGGGGTATCGTCAGAAGAATTTCCCCGGAATCATTAATAAATCTGGTTACCGTATGCTTACGTTAAAGAATGGTAAATGGGAGTCTGTGAGTAGCGTTCTCGCTGGCTGTGAGGCTTGACCTGAGGAAGCTCGCCCGGAATCTCCACTGCGGGATCAACTTCGGGCGGGAGAAGTCCGGGCTGGAGCGGAGGCAGCTCAGACGGGCTCGGGTCGTAGATCCTGGGTAACGAAGTCAGTCATGTAACATTGTAAATCGAAATGACTCCCTGGCATTACCATGTTCCTCCAGCAGACTCTCTTCTTTCGAACACCCGGATCTTTTCGAAGTAGTCTTCGGCCTTGAAAGCTGCAGCAGTAACAGCACCTAAGCGATATTAGAATTGTGTCAGTCACTAGAAGCTACCACCGATTCGTGGTGCAAGTAAACGTTCTCTCGGTGGCTTGCATTGATGCATCACGAGCGCACGGGTAGCCTGGGAGGTATTTACCTGCAGCGCCCGCGCCAATGATGGCAACAGACTTGATTTTCCGTCCACCGCCCATGATATCAGTGCGTCCCGAAATTTAGACCAACTAATCCAAGAAATGGCTAGATCCGTTAATACATCAGACAAAGCAGTCTTACAAGCAGTTTATCAGTGTACAAAAGTATTTAAGACACGACAAGAATCCAGAACCGAAAGAACGTCGCAATCGAGTCAGGTCATGTTCATTTGTCATCTATCACACGTTAAGAGGGGTTCTGGACGGAAACTGGGTTGATCGGATGCATTCGCCATCTGTCGCCATCCTCAGAAGCGATTTCACCATCGCTGCGTCACGTGAAGAATCGGAGGCCATCTTCGGCACCGCATAAAACAAGATAACAACATATGTAAGCTCTAAATTTTGTCTATCAAGGCCAACTTAAGTGCGCCCAGAGTTGCATTGTTGTTGAGTTTATGCAAAGCGGTTCTTTTAAGCTGTCGTAAAAACTGAGACCGAGATAGCCGAAGTTGCAGTGCGCCCCGACCCGGGTGCCGCATTGTTGATTGATTGAGTGCCCCGTCTCGCCGAATAAAAATGGATCCTCCGGAGCGAGCTACCGGTCTGCACGAGGAGATAGGTCGAGCTTGGATAGACTGAATATTGCCAAGATAAGTCCATGGAGATTTCTGTGACTTTCTGATTCTTCAATCCTTGCTTTGTAATTCCTTCACGACACCAACAGGCATAACATGAAGCATTAATACCCAAATATGATCGACTAGGTACCTATTCAGGGCTGTTGATCATGTATAGAAGTCTGGTGCTGCCTAGTCCTTATACAGATGGAAGCAAAAGCGCAAAGATCTTTCGTAACAGCTTTCTTATTACACATTTTCTAACTCCATTCAAGGCCATTGACTAATGCCTCACATTTCGACTTGGATCCTTGACTACTCAATATTTGTCACAAAAGAGGTATAGCAGTGGATATCTCAGGGGTAGAGATAAGGGGTAGACAGGGGTATGGGCATACAAAAGGGGCTCCCTCGTGGGCTTCCCTTTTCCCCTTTTCCATAGTTGATTAGACCACAGTTGAGATCCCGATTTCCATGAGCTACTCTATATGCTGATTCGTGACAATATTGAATCGATCGACGCCAACAGGATGGCGTACCCGCAGGGCTGCGGTCGCGGTTGTGTCCACACTACCTGACTCCGCTTGTTTCTATTAAATTGTTACGGCCAGCTAGTCGTAGTGAGGTATGTTTGCAGAAGTTGAGGCTGCGGAACTGGTAACAGTATTCGTAGTCGGGGATAGCTTCAGGGAAGCTATGTCTGTAAGTCGTAAGGTAAGGGAAGGCTGCGGTGATCAATCGTAGTCTTGTCAAGGTGATAGCTGAAAGCGGATGTTAATCCTGATACGAAGTTAATTGCTGAAGAGCTATGGAAAGTCTGTCCTAGAGTCCGGCTCGAGTCCATCCTATATACAAGTCTTGATTCTGAACATATCCTTTATCCGTATGTTTACCGTACGGATTCCGTATTCTGAATATACGGGGTCCGTACCTCAAAGTGATGATGATGATGATGTATTTAACGTCTGGTAACAAAAGGACGTGCCATTACTTGGCATGAGCGCTCATGGCCCCACCATGGTCGCTCATGTCTTATCTTATCATCACGTGACTTGTACCATAGTTCTTCCGTTCCTGGGGTTTCCCCAATGTTCCGTCCCGTCCTGCATATATGATGCGCCGTAGCCGCTAGGCGTCAGCGGGGCACGCCCTGGTCTCATGTTGGGTCGTAACATCATTTTTCTATTCCACTACTTATTTCAATATAAAAAGATTAAAGTGTCTTTTTTTATTAAATTCAACTAACTAGTTATATTTTAAATATATTATGAAGATAGTTACTGAAATCTTTCTAATTAGTTATTATTCAAAGAAATTAGGTAAATATGCAATTTAGTATGCGATAAGGAAATTGTTACGACCCAACATGCACGACCAAGTCCAGGGCCTGCCCCGCAGGACCACGGCGACTAGGGCACACCATAAGTGCACGAACTATGGGAACACATGCGTCACCCTACGGAACGGAAGAACTATGGAGCAAGTCACGTGATGATAAGATAAGGAAAGCCGTATGCCAAGAATACGGAGTCCGTCCCTTTGAGGTACGGTTTTCCGAAATTTGCCCGAGTCATTGAACAGGAACGTTAGGTGAAGACGGTAGCCTGTAATATAGTTTAGATTAGTATAGACCATGTCGGCATAGCGCCCGGCACGTCCTTTTGTTACCAGACGTTAAATACATCATCATCATCATCACTTTGAGGTACGGACCCCGTATATTCAGAATACGGAATCCGTACGGTAAACATACGGATAAAGGATATGTTCAGAATCAAGACTTGTATATAGGATGGACTCGAGCCGGACTCTAGGACAGACTTTCCATAGCTCTTCAGCAATTAACTTCGTATCAGGATTAACATCCGCTTTCAGCTATCACCTTGACAAGACTACGATTGATCACCGAAGCCTTACCTACCCTTACTGTTGGTATACACGTCAGCAGGGCAACCGTACGGTTGGAACGAAGTGTCAATAATGGTCTATTATTGCTGCGTCTTGAGGTGGAAGGAGGAGGTTGTGGGCAGAGCCCACGGCCTCTCAGAAGTGGTATGTAAGGGGTCGTTTGTAAGTGCCCATACCGCCTTCCAGATCCACCTTTTCTGCCGACTGCTCAGAGATCCAACACTTACGATTGACAGACATAGCTTCCCTGAAGCTATCCCCAACTACGATTACTGTTACCAGTTCCGCAGCCTCAACTTCTGCAAACTACTCCTACGACTAGCTGGCCGTAACAGAAATGCGCGGCTGACTGGTAAACCACGTTATGGAGAGTCTCCTTGTTCTGAAGTAATCGAAGCTGCTTTTCATTTCAGCGCGCAACTTCTGGACTTGTATGCACATGCCCACCTTTACCTTATTACTGGGCAAATTTGCACATCCAGTCGTTAGCATAAGTAAGTATCAAGACTTTCGATCCTCATTACATCCTACTTCCGAACGCCCGAAGTCTCTCTTAGGCCCAGGTACCCAAACCTCTGGGTAATGATATCCCGAGGTAGCCTAAGGAGGCGGCCCTGCCTTTCTTCAAGGCGCAGCCAGCGGTCAGGTTGCAGCGACACGAACTCATGTTTGAAAACCCCACGCACACTGTCGCTTATCGCAGCAAAGCCATCGGCTCGCTTGCTTTATCCGTCGAAAATACCCCAAAAAAGCCTTTCATGGGTGCAATATTTTGCCTCGTTGGTCCTGAATCGGGAGCCCCCGATGCAAGCGCAAGGATGCTCAGACAGGACCCAGGGGGGCGCAGCATTGGGAACCAACAAGGGCGCTTACAGCTCGATGCTGGAAGTGACAAAGACCATCCCGAAATTGTTATCAGAAAACGTTCCACCCAATTTCCCGTTGGTACTTAAACCTTTGAGAGGCCGGAGATACAATGATGTGGGCTCGTACAGCACTTCCTTACAGAGCCTGGCCCTACTAAACTATCTGAAAACTGATCAACTGGTTCGGATGTTGACTCGTCACCGCATAAGGCTTCTCAGCTGATCAGTCTGCTTCAATCCTCCAACAATGCAAAACTCTAAACCTCTCAAGATCACGAAGCGCAGGGCCGGGCCCATGAAAACAGCGCAGCCGAGCACGGCATCTTCTCCTTTGGCGCCGGCCATGAGCGGGTTAACACCTGATCAGCCACTTCGACGGGCCTCATTCAATGTTATCTCTGGAGATCAATCCGCAGGACATAGCTGGACTCCAGCTTCGGCTGAGCGTGATGAATCCGAGATGGACACCCCGTCGAAGAAAATCGTCCCCAGAATCAGGTCGACATCTGCAACGTCGTTGAAATCGGCAAAATCTCCCCGGTCTGAGAAATCCGACAGCCTTAGGCATACCTTTGGCGACCTTAGCGACATGACACAGGCTAGACCGTCTTTTCACATTTCTCACACCTCCCCAAAGCTACTCTCTGAAACTGTAAGACGGGAACAACGGCCTATCGTACGGGATCGGAGTGTCAGTGAGCCACCTTCAACGCAAGCGAAGAAACTCAACGGGCCCCAAATTGACCGCAAAATTGAGTTCATGATCAAGGCCGGCCCCAAGACAAAGTCTTCGGGCTCCCTTTATGTTTATGTCACCAAGACACACGAATGCAGCCGACACCTACTCAAATTCGGTATCACCAAATACCTCCCAGAAAAGCGTGGTAAAGGCATTCAATACCGGTGCAAACACCCAGAGTTTTTTGAACACGAAGAAGCGACGGCAACGGAGTTCTCCTGGAATAATATCGCCGAGAAGTTGGTCCATGCCGAGTTGGCCAACTTTCGTCGATTATGGACCTGCGGCTGCGGAACGAAGCACAGGGAATACTTTGACGTGAGCGATGAAATTGCCTTGGAGGTTTGGAGCAGATGGAGAGACTTTTGTGCACAGGAGCCGTGGGATTCTCAAGGCAGACTGTTGCCAATGTGGGAACACAGACTGCGGCATAGAGTTCGGTTCAACGATGCTAAACGAGATTTCGACCATGGCGAGCTCGCCAGGCACTGGCGAACGTGTGTATTGCCGAGTTCACTAGAACTTTGTGTCAACGACACTCGGGTTCTCTGGAATCATATCTACCCCAGTCGTTGGCTTTTTGCTGCTGTAGCAGAGGCACTCACGATGGTTTTCATCTGGCCGACTTCCTTCTGGACATCGATGTGGTGGAAGGTGGTTCTCATGCTGGCTGTGTTGGAGCTTTGTTGCCTCGATGGCATGTACATGAAGGAGTCTGTCTCCAGGCTGCTGAGCGGAAGTCTCCAACGCCTCAAGCTGTGGCAGTCATCGGGCTCGTTAGATCATCGACCAAACCTAGACGCCAAAGGGCCCTCGCCAGTCGTCTCTTCTGAACAGCACGTTCAAAATGAACTTCCGGAAGATCCCGATACGGAGATGATGGAGGACGCTCCCAATCCCGAGGACGACGATATGGTCAACGAAGAAGATATTGAGTTTGACTCTGACAGCAGCAGTGATGATGACGATGAAAACATGGACGAGGATGCCTCTCCTGGTGAAAGTCCCCAGACAACCTCTACCAAGTCAACACCGAGCGGAACCAAACCAAGACGAGTGGAATGAGGCGAAGACTTCTTTCCGGCCAATAGAAATAGTGTGCGAAACGCCATAGTAATTGACAGACTCATTCCTAGTACCTTGAATTCAAAGAATATTCCAACTAACTTAAGTCAGCGTTACGTTGAGTTATTGACTAATACTGATCCTTGAACGAACTGACAGTGTAACCAAATTTGAGTGTCTTGACTCGACTTGCTGCTGGACATTCCGATCATGTGACGTGATAGAGCACGATGCCGATACAAATGGCTATTGCAAGGGCCAAGAACTTTGAGTCTTACAATCAGATAAAACAGAAAGTTCTTCAACCATGTCACGATACGCCCCCAGGGCAATGGCATTCTTAGACACTAGGTTTTTTCCCAAATGTAATCAGAGGAAACTTGTTTGCCTCTGAGTTCATGTTAATCATCGAGTGCTAGATTGAGCCCGCCAAGTTGGCTAGCAAGCGTCCCGCTTATTGTTTTTGTACCTGTCTACTTCTTTTTCCCCAAAAGGGTAAAAGCCTAGCAGAGCAATTACGTAGGTGCTGCCAAGATTGCTGACAATCCCCATTAACACCCAGTCTTCCCAATGAGGTTCGAAGTTGTCCCTTGTAGTTCAAGACAAGCAGGGCTGAAAGCGACTTTAGGTCGGCATGTAAGCTCACTGCGCATGCAACGTAATTGCCTCGTTGCGACTTTGGACGTCCTCTGTGGGCTCACTCGGGCTCAGCTTTTCGTTGCCAAGGCGCCAGCTTCGACATGATGGAATAAGATATTGCGATGATGTCGTACAAAAACGAATCCGTAATTGCCGGCCAGCAATTACGCCTTATTTACCACAGATGATTTGACGAATCAAGCTTACCGGTCGACGGGTCAGCCACATAGCCTCGATCCTCGAAATTAAATCCCTGTCTTTTTGCTTGTTTTCACGAATTGATAGTCATTATCCGGGCAGTCAATACACTCTAGCCAATCTGATCCCCTCACCATCAACATCCTTCTCACACCTCATTGCACATATAAGACTGCAAGCTGGTGCCATAGATGAAATTCATATCTCTTGAATTATCACACATCACACCAAAATATTTCAACTCTCAGAATCGGTCATAATGAAATTGCAAAACACCCTGATCGGCCATCTCCTGCTGGGCTCAGCCAGCGCCCTGATAGTACCGACTGAAGCTCACCTCGCCCTCCGGAGAGACGACCACAATTCTTCGGCGCCATCAAACAAGTCATCCATCCAGTGGACAGAATGCGACTTGGATTTTGGGGACGCTGTCAACGCTGTGGTGGACGCTTTGCCGGAGAAGCTTCAGTGCGCCAAGCTTGAGGTTCCCCTGGATTACACTAGTCTGAGCTCCGGCGAGACCATCCAGCTCCAATTGATCAAGGCCAGCGCAAATAAAGAACCCCACATGGGGAGTATGCTATGGAACCCAGGCGGACCAGGCGGCTCCGGCGTCGAGTCGGTAGCCAAGTTGGGTCTCAAGTTGCGCAAGTAGGTTATGGTCGGCATCGTTGCTTCCATTATGCTAACTCAGTGATTATAGTATCGTCGGAGGCAACTATGATATCATTGGATTCGATCCTAGGTGAGCGAGCATCATGTCATATCATAACCCTATTTTCACCACGCACGTTTCTCACACGTTCTCAGAGGCACTGGTAAAACCATTCCATACATCTGCAACGTAACAGCGGCTCAGACTTCCGTCACCCGACGTGACTTTGAGACGCTACCAAAGGGTGATATCTGGAACAGCATCAAGACAACAGACTGGGAAAGCTACAAAGTCACAGCCGACGCCTGCTTCAGAGACAATGCCAAATACGGCCGCTTCGTCGGCACACCGTTCGTAGCCAGAGACATGATTTCGATCGCTGACGCCCTCGATCAAGGCCCCAAGGTAAACTACTGGGGCGTCTCCTACGGCACCGTTCTCGGACAAGTCTTCGCCTCCATGTTTCCCGACCGCGTAGGGCGTCTCGTCTTGGACAGCAATCTCATCGCGGACGACTATGCAGACACTACCTGGAAAACTGGCCAAAGAGACACAGAGCGCGCCCTGCACCACCTCTTTGACGAGTGCGTCGAGGCCGGTCCCGAAGCCTGCGTACTGGCCAATTTTACCGGCGCCGACACCACGGGGGACAGCCTAATGAAGGCACTCGAGACCCTGCTCGAGGAGCAGATCAACGACAAGAACGACACCGCCAACGCCTTAGACGACCTCGTGTCCCTCTTTAAAATGGGTCTGCTGACAGAACTCTACAAGCCGCTACAGTATCCTCAAGCCGTCTCGAGAGTCCACGCCGCCTTGACAGGGAACTGGACCGGTGCCCTCATCCCAGCAGCCAATGCACTATTGTCCGAATGGAACGAAGGCGGCACCTACGGCGTCTGGGGCATTGCTTGCGCGGACTCGTCCTTCCGTGCCGAGAACGTCGATGATTTTTATTCCATCTACCGAACCCATTGGGAGGGCAGCTCCTTCGGCGAAGCCAGTGCCAGGCTGCGCCTCCTCTGCTCCCGCTGGCGATTCGATGCCGCGGAGAAGATTGACCTCAACGCCTTGAGGAACGTCAGGACTAGCTTCCCGGCCCTCATCATCAATGGTCATTGGGACCCGGCCACCCCTGAGAATACGGCATGGGAGATTTCTGCGCGGTTCCGAAATAGTCGGGCTGTTATTCACTACGGTGTTGGTGTAAGTGCTCTCCAAAACACTAGCTGCGCAACATCGAAGCTAACCGCCATTTCCTTTAGCATGGATATACCAACCACCCCTCGAGCTGTGTGGACAATATCGTCCGTGAATATTTCCAGAATGGCAAGATGCCCGAGATTGGAACTACGTGCGAGCCTGACATGAGTGCTTTCGAATACGTCGCTTCCGAAGCAAAGAAGGCAGAGGAGAGTAAATAGTCGAGGAATAGTTCATCGTTGCGAGGTTTTTTGTTGTGCATTAAGAGCGGCTGTACATTTGCCGGTGCGCGCAGGGGAGCTCTCTCCTTGTTTTGTTATCAGGATTCAGGAATTCTCCTTTATCTATTCACTCAATCCCAGTTCACTTTCTTTTCTCAGTCAGATAGCATCATCGTATTTATTCATTACATCATAGTAACCATCCTTCCCATTCCAATTGCTCCAGTCAGCTATGAAATCGCGCAGTCTCACTTAAGAGTCTCCAAGTATCCCGCGTAATCCCACTTCTTGCCGTCCCTCCAAAAGCCCTCCACCACCGGTTCGTGTGGTGTCTTGCCGTCCACGGACACCTCGTTCAACCAACTCCAGTAGGTCGTCGCCTTCCATTCTTTCGTCTTCCAGTCATTGATGTCCCTCTCTGGCTGCTTGTTGAAGGCCGGCAACACATCCAGCAGACTTGCGTCGTGCGCGATGCAGACCATTACATTGTCCTTAATATCCAGCTCACGCATCTTTGCAACCGACTCGGTAGCCAGGTCAATGTCTGTATAGACGGGATGTTTACCCCCACGAGGTAGCTCATACCAGGGCGTGGTCGAAGCCAATTTCTCGTCCGACGCGTTGGGATGATGGGGGGTAAAGTGGGAGCATGGGCATACGGCCTTTGACGCCCAATCTCTACGCAATGCAATGGCCGAGGCGGGAATTCCATCCGGGAGCGGAGTATCCTCGGACGGCCGGAAGACGCCCGCGAAATGGCAAATATCACCGCCCAGGAAGACAAAGGTGGCTCCCTCCGGGGACGAAGACGGCGTGGTCCGGGCGAGACCGCATATGTGCTCTGGCTGGTGGCCCGGAGCCTCAAGCAGGTAGAAGGAACCATCGCCAAAGAAGTCTTGGGCTTTGAACTTGCCCACCATCAGGCCTTTGTCAAAGTTAGCCTCCTCAAGCGGCCGGCCTTCGAACTCTGCTGCCGCCTGTGGATCGTCTCTTCCCCCGGGTCTGCCTTTCGACGAGAAGTATCTAGGCCCCGTGACCAGCGTTGTTGATTTGGGAAAGACGGATACGTCTCCGCGGTGATCAAAGTGGGCGTGAGACCAGATGCAGTAAGTCAAACCCCCCACTTCCTGGCACCCCCCTGTTTCTGGCACCCACAAAAACGCGAAAATCCACCACAACCCAATGCCCACCCCCAACCTCCTTTTATCACAACATTTTCAATTCGCGTCCAAATGGGCTCATCTTTTGCACATACCTTCTTCTATATCTAATGCCTCAATATACCGAAGATCAGCTTCGTCAGGCTCTCGAGGACATCTCAAACGGCAAGAGTCAAAAGAGAGCCTCATTGGAGTATGGGATACCACGATCAACCCTCCAACTACGTCTCCAAGGTGGTCAGACTAGGAAAGTGGCTTTTGCTGACTGGCAGAGGCTGTCTCCTGACCAGGAGAGTAAGTTGGCACAATGGGTTCGCATTCAGGCTTCGCTGGGCCTCGCACCAACGCACCAACAGGTGAAGGAATTCGCAGAGCGAGTTCTGGCTGCTGCTGGGGATACCAAACCACTGGGAAAAGGCTGGATCTATGCCTTTGTGAGAAGGAACCCTATCATTAAGGTTCAGAGAAGTCGTTCTATCGATTCTAGACGCGTTAATGGGGCATCTACTGAGGTCATTAGGAACTGGTTTAAGTTCCTCGCTATCCCTGAGATCAAGGACATCAAACCAGCCAACAGATATAATATGGATGAGACTGGCATCCTCGAGGGTCAGGGAGCTAATGGGTTAGTGCTGGGTATGGCTGAGACGACGTCTGTTCGCAAGAAACAACCTGGGTCGAGGGCATGGGTCTCTATCATTGAGTGTATCTCAGCCTTGGGTAGGGCACTTCGTCCTCTTATCATTTTCAAGGGGAAGACAGTCCAACAGCAGTGGTTTCCATTACATCTCGTTCCATACGATGGGTGGGAGTTCACAGCAACAGATAATGGCTGGACTACAGACTTAACTGCCATTGAATGGTTAGAGAAGGTGTTCATCCCACAGACTATGCCTGAGGCTGAGGGGGAGGCTCGACTGCTGATTGTGGATGGGCATGGGAGTCATACGACGACAGACTTCATGTGGAATTGCTATATTAACAATATCCATTTACTGTTCTTACCACCACACTCCTCTCATGTCCTCCAGCCTCTTGACCAGTCTGTCTTCAGCCCTGTTAAGTCAGCCTATCGGAAGGAGCTCGGTTACTTGTCTCAATGGAACGACTCTACCATTATAGGTAAAAGGAACTTCCTGGACTGTTACCAGAAGGCTCGACTTGCTGGTCTATCAGTCTCGAACATCAGAAGTGGTTGGAAGTGGACTGGTCTACACCCTGTGGCGATGGTTAAGCCCCTGATGAACCCTATGGTACTACCTGAGCCTCCTGCTAAGCCCACCACACCCAAACCAACTAGTCAGGGCAGAAAGCGATGCCATAATGGTCAACAAACTACCCCTGTTGAGCCATGGGATTCTGCCTCCTCTGCAGTGGTCTGGTCGACACCCAGGAAGCTGGCAGAGCTCAGCGGTCAACTGCACTTATACACCCAACTCGACAATGATACCAGCACTCAACGGCTGCTATTCAGGAAGGTGAAAAAAGGCTTCACAGAGCAGGCCTGGCAACTGGCAGCTGCCCAGCAGCAACTAGCTCACCTGAGGGCTCAAGTTACCAACGCTGCAGTGAGGAAGAGGAAGACTGTTCAAATCGATCCCAACACGAAGTTCGCGAACATCAGGGATATCCATCGGGCTCAAATCGAAGCGGGTGAAAAGGAGGTTATCACGGCTGAATCCAGCGACTCTGAATGCCCTAGTGAGGCTGGCAGCTGTATTGTAGTGGGTGTGGTTGAGGATCAATAGTTAATAGTAATGAGGAGGTCGGGTTGTGATCCCATCGTTTTTGTGGTGCCAGAAACAGGGGGGTGCCAGGAAGTGGGGGGTTTGACTTAATCTATGAGGTCTGCTGTGAGAGAAAGCTCATAGGACTTGAGTTATAGGGGAAGGTTCTTGCCGATCGACTCTGGATCTACGCCTCCATCCGTCAAGACCTCATCAATGCCCTTTGGTACACTCATGCCAAAGATGACGCTATCCGGTCCCAGCACTCCTTGTTGGGCACCCTTGGGCAAGTTCCAATAGTCTTTCCGGACGCCGAGATCAAACATCGCCTTTTTGCCGAGTTTCTCATGTTCAAGGAGGAAAGCTAGCGAGCAAAAGTTGATGACTTCGTGCCCCTTGGCGACTGGCTGAACGAAGGACTCGGCCACGCCGACCATGGCAGTTGTCGTATCGACAAGCTTGACGCGCACCACGTTGTCTGATTCTGGGATGTTGGCCATCTCGTTGATGGATCGATGGGATCTGAGTATTGTGGTTTTACGTATCATGAGACGACTCTAGGAAGACAAAGAGGGGAGAGATGCTAGGGAAAGTTTCCGGAGCCGCATGGTGCCCCGACGTCATCGGTGATTATCAAATGAACGTGTCTTCTCCACTTCCCCGTGTTTTGCGTCCAATGTGGAAGCTTATTGCTCTGATAGAACACGGCGCGTTGGAGTTGCAGGAAATACTTACCCGAATGTGCCACAAACTAGCCATTGCAGTGTCGCATGCCACATGCAAGCCACAGCTGCGACTCCGTATAATACCAACGGTCCATGATGAAAAAGAGTCTCTTGGTGTGATTTGTACAAATGCCTAGTGGAGTCGAGAATCCCAAATACCAACCTCAAAACGCCTGCGCGCGTGCCAAATGCTCTAGTTTAGTAAGATATCGTACCCGTCTCCCATAATGCGAACTTCTTCGCTGCCGAGACCGTACTTCCGTCGTACCAGTTCAAAGATGATCAACCCAGCGCTTGTGCTGGGGACTTGGCGGATGGTGTTCCACCAGAACCCGCGCCATAGCCATTTCCTCACTCCCAATCCTTCCTTTGCGGCCTCTGCGCAGCATTCTGACCAGGTCTCTTTGTAAGCCCGATAGTAGGCTCTCGCCATCCTCCATCCGTCCCTTCGCTGTGATGGATCGGTTCCCTTGGTCTCCTTCAGTTTCGCTGCCTTGGCGTCCAATTCTTCGAGGCGATCCCAGTGCTCCACTTGCACGTGAGTCAAGGGATGAAGAACAACTTGTTGGGCAAAGGATGCGCTGAGTCCTCCCAGGAGCAAGAAGATAGGCTCTATGGCGTAGTGCGGTCGGATAATAAGAGGCTGCTTGTTCTCTTCCTCTGGGTTGCCATTCTTTACCGGCCGTTTTTGGGCCATGAAGTCGACAATGTGCTCTTCGAGTCCGCCATAGTACCATGAGACGAAACGGTAGTATCCTTGAGCCTTGACATATTCGAAAACGCTGAAGAACACAGCAGCACCGAAACTGTCCTTCATGAGAGACAGGCCCCATCCTGCAAAGATGCCACGCACACCAATCTCCCTCAGCTTCTCGGCACTAAAGGCCCACATGCTCCTGGGTTTCCCGCCCTCTGTTGGCATGAGGTCGCGGTGATCATACCGTGCCTGGATGGCGTCCAACGGTGCTGCGATGAAACTCTGGAGGCTTCCGGCGAGAAGTCCCGCGGTGAAAGTTTGCGTCGGGTGTGGTGGTGGGTAGACTGTCTTCGTCGCTCTACCGCTCTCTTCATGCAGGCTGCCAAGGATGGTGAGGTAGCTGGTGTATAGCACAGCTCCGACGCCAACATTTGCGATGAGCGGCGGCAAGACCTGGTTCGGGAGCACGCCCCAGCCATGCTGCTTCACCGCAGAAGTGAGCACACCTGGCGTCGTGCCCCGCAGGTAGAACCATGCCTGGTTCAGCGTCGCTTTCAGCTTGGTCGAGGGCTCTTTCGCAGCGGCCTGGGCAAGCAGCTCGATCTGGGCCTGGTGCACGCTGCGCGCGTAGGCGAGGTAGTCGACGCGGGTGCGGAAGAAGGCCTTGACGGGAGCGCGGAAGTAGAAGGCGATGGCCTGGGCGCTCAAGGCGCGCACGCCGGCGGCCGATGCTGCGGTTGCGGCGTTGCTGCGCGGGTTCTTGTCCGGAAGCTGTGCATCGGGCGGGAGGACGGGGAGGACGCCTGTAAACGGGTCGTATGTCGTTGTGCCGTCATCGAGACGTCGTGTCATTGTATACTGCTTTTCATCGTCCCCTACAGGTGAGATATCCAGTATGAGATTCAAGACGGCAGAACTTGGCATCGGTTGAGATCGGTTCGCAGATTCTCGATGTGATGACTAAGCGCATAACCCTGTTAAAGTGGGTACTTCATGCCGGATGTTCCCCCACCGGTGATCGTCTGCATGAGGTACCTAAGGTAACCACATGATGTCCAGCTTGAAGTCCCATGACAACTTTTGCAGTCTTGCATTGACTTTTCAAGAAAACGTTCTTATCAGTAAGTACAACGAGTCTTGTTTATATCTACACTCTTAAAGGTCCGGTGGGGGAAACATTTGGTTTCTTGGAGACTGTTAATTTCGTTGAATTAAAAGATGTATTCAACTAGTTACCTTATGTTGGGTGATAAGTATTTGAGGACAACGGCTGTTCTATCAAATTTGCATGTGCTATTAAGTGTTCTCAACATGTACCTCGTAAGTAGTTTGTTTATTTGTAGACAAAAAAGTCCAATAATTCCCTATTGATTTTGGGAAACAGCGTTCATCCACCGGCGACAGATGATTGAAAGGTTCCATAACCCTCGTATCTAGTAGCAACAGCAGTCGCATTTATTATCAGATGCCTGCTTGAAGGAGCATAAAAAAGGACTCAAGGAAGCTACTTTCGAAGGAGATGAACACGAACCAAATTCCAGCATGGCCATGTTGGTCGTTCTCGTCAATGCAATGCACTGTGTTAGTAAGTCGTTCTTGGAACTTGTCTGTTTGAGCGTGGAACCCGACCTGGCCACACCTCTGACCACACGCCCAGGTGTCATCGCCGTTGTAGTTGCCTTTCTGTGAATAGCTGTAATTTCTATTCGGCAATCAATGGAGATTTTCGATCAGCAAGTACACGTACTCCCCATTCCCTAGGAGATTCTTTGCAGATGACCCCGGCAATTTCAGCAGAAACTAGACTACCGAAAAGCAAGATGGCGATAGTGGTGAACTTCATCTTGGATCGGAATGATTAGTGTTAGAAGAGAAATATATCAATTGATGAGAACTACTGTCACAAGTTGGAGTGAGATTTCATGTTAATGGAAGAGAAGATAAAGATTGATAATAGGTTAATAGTCCGGCACCAATGACTTCCATTGCCTACTTATACCATTAATTTACATGCTGCCGCTCCAATCGTCTCACTTAAACCTAACGCCGATGCCACTTTCGACATCGCAATTTACTCTATTCCTCCTTGCCTAGTTGCCACACCCTACCTTCGTATGTGATAGTCACTATTCGTAACAGGTCCTTTTGGTGACCTTTCAAGCTCGCAAGTCAGGAGTCTTAACCCGGTCAGTGTTTTAAACGCAGAAACAGATGAAAATAACGAGGTTGAGAGGCCCTCTGATCGTTGAATAGCGTTGAGCATGATTCTAGGCTTTGATTCGTCGGAGGTTCTGTTGCACCGATGGCAATGTTTATGAGTTACGAGTAATATAGGCACGAACAAAAAATCCTCTTGGAACGTTTGTTCACTAAACATTATCCATGTTCATGTTGGGGGTAGTCTGTTAGTCACCCAGTGTTAATTTGACTTGAGTATGGAACAGGAAGTGTGTCCACATAGCCTCTGCAGATTCCCACCAGCACGAGCAACATGATTTTCTCCCCGAGAAGATGCGAACAGCCAGTTGCCAAGTACTTCAGGAAACTTCCAATGGTCAATTTACGAGATTGCCGGAATAGTATTCGGAAGAAAGAGATTATGAAGTAGGAAAGATCGATGTTGTGCAGTTCCCCGTGGATCAAAGTGGTCGAGGGCAGGTGCTCCCTGTATAGGGCGTCTGACTAATCCCACAGCGACCTCCTCATGTATTTTGCGCTAAGCCCGACTTCTGATGGCTGCCCGCCCCTGCTGCTGCCTACTTACCAAAAGCACAGCAACGACAACTCAACACCTCACCCGACCACTTAAGGTGTGGAAAGCCATCATTTCATGATCGATGTCCCGCATTTCAATGAGCTAGTCACTATTCATTTCGGTCAACATGGAACTCCCTAATGAGATCCTTGATCAGGTTCGTTGTTACCGTTCACAGTTGTGTGCAGTCCGCTAATTCTTCGCCTGCGATAGATACTCGATGGATTGGTGGTCTACCAGCCATTGGCAAGGGTCCGGGGCGTCTATTCTCTAGACGACTGGAACTTTTTTACGTCACACTCTGCGCGGCTCCCTGCCGATACACGCCACGATTCTGGCTTGTCGATGAAGTTCAACCGGGACGAATTGCCCCCCATCGAAGGCGGCTTTTGGAACTTGCGCTTGGTCTCGCGCCAATGGAATTCCTCCGTAATCAGAATGCTGCAGAAGCACCAATGGTGGAGTGTACCCTTTGATGATCGAAGTCGTCTTGCAAAACTTCTCCGAGTCTGTGACGGGGCCGATGGTGGTCCATGTAGTTGGATCAGAAATCTCAGCCTCAACGACCTCGATGGACTACGTACTTTTTCGCGGCTTTACTCGTACGACTTTGAGATGTAAGGAACTTGTCCCCGACCGGGTCTTGAGCACTCCTCGATTTTGCAGAACGCCAGCAAGCTTACTTTAGATTACTGCCTGTACAAGAACGAACGACTGACTCGAGACTGATGCAGGTTCGAAGGTCAGAATGTCGATGATGACTACATCATCTTAAACTCCTATGTCGACAAACTTAGGACAACAGATTGGTGGACCTCGGACCCGACACGCTCTAGACATGAGCTCCATTACGGGAAGAACAACGAACACGCGCTTCTTCGACGCTTTTTTGATACTGTCAAACGCATAGAGCGCTTCAGTGTTGATTTCCCTGCAGCCTACAGCAAACATGATCTCATGGCAAATTGTTACGACATGCAAGGCGTGGATGAGGTTTTGGCAACAGTTAAACACGGCCTGGCTAGTCCGGGATTCCAATATTTGGTGGATCTCAGCTTTGCGGTACCTTCGACGTGGCATATTGGACAATTGGCTGGTGCCCTGTCTCAGGATGCCCGGAATCGCCTTAGGAAGCTACGTTTGGTCATCGTTGACGAGACTGGACCGAGCGGAAGCGCACAATACACCAAGATAGAGGAGGAAAATAACGACGGGGATAGAACGACCATTTTGGGATCAGTTGCGCCGAGTAATGTGCAGGCAACCTATCCCAACAGAGAACATCAGGACGCACTCTGGGCCTTGGTGGCATCTTGCCCCAACCTTGAGGCACTTGGCATCGAGGCGACGCATTATCTCAACATGGACCTTCAGCAGTGGGGGAATTCCCAATTCGGTACCAAACATCTGTGCGACCTCTCGCTTCGCCGGATATGGACCAACATACCGTCACTTCTACAACTGTTGTCGGCTATCCCGCCATCGTCACAAGGTTCAGCGATCCGCCGAGTCAACTTTGACGACGTCAAGATCCATTGGGACGGGGGTAACTGGGAAGACGTATTTGCGCATCTGAGGAAAAACTGCCCTGATCTTGAGATCTTTCGCGCAGAGCAGCTCAGCTACTTTTCCAACCATCCGCGTTACGAGCACAACAACAGGCCATGGGAGAACTACAACTCTATATGGACAGACGACTACGATGGAGAAGCTAATGACAGGCTGTTCTTGGAAATGCTCAACATGAAGCTGATCAACAAGATTGGGTCAGTCGCGGACTATCCTGTTTCGATATACAATTACGATTTTGAGATGGAACTTCAAGAATCGCACTAGATACCCCGTAGGAAGACTATTATAAAGAGATTTCGAAGGCTCAAAGTATGTCCAACAGCATCGTTGAGCACCTCCTCTCAGACTGCATTCGATCTTTGGTCTAATTCAAAGTCTCGTGCATTCTGAACACCGCATTTCCCACCCACCAGAGAAGCGGCCAAATGCCTAAACGAGGTCAAATATTGCATGCATTCAGCCGTTTAAGAATAAGAAACCTGGGGAACTATCCTGATTTTAGGGACTTAGAGATTACTGGCTTGTATGAGAATACGAATCTTGATCATGGCACCGAAAGTTCGGCTTCGGCTCCCCTGATCGAATCATCGGCTTCGGCTTCGAGGCTCGCACCCACCCCGTGCCCAAGGAGGCGAGACATGCGGAATCAGACATGATAGAGGCGAGGCAGGAATCGGTGGTTTTGTCGGCGGCAGATAGCATACACAATCTCTTTGTGGCACATTGGACCGGTTACTAGCAGCCTGCAGAGAGCTGCCTAGAAATACTCCGAGTGATTTTCATTCTCGCCGGGGATGCACACCGATCTGTGCGAGATCGATCTCGGTGGCTCTCTGTACACAACCGAATAATCTGGAGGACCAAAATGGATGGAAACGTTCTGCGGGAGGTGAGGTTACACAAAAAGGCGAGGCGGTGGCACATGTATGACAGCATCTCGGCAGGTCCCCGTTGCCGGTATTAAATGCTCGAGATTACCTGCGCACAGGGCCAAGACCATGAACGATGAAAATTGCAATGATGTTCAATGATGAAGAGAACCGTAATAGAAGTGTTGCGAAGATCGGGCCAGGAGAGGTACCAGTGTTGGGTAATAGGTACCGATATGCAATACGCCGAGTGTGAGCCCGTACCACATCGGGTCGGCTCCGATATCCGGCACGGGAACGGGACCCCCGCTGGCCGGGATGGAAGGAACCCCCCACTCTGGGATCAAATCCTTCGGCCCACTGCAAAAACGCCGTTCTGGCAAGTCTGCAGCGGGAAAAGCAAGACACCCAGCTGGGGAAGTGGGCAATATCTCCTCTCTCCCCCTCCCCCCTTCGCTGGGGCGGTCTTCGCGCATGCTAACAAGGTAAGCTAAGCGGGCACATGTCGGCTTGAGTCCGCGCTGTACGCTTCTGCCGCCTTTGCATACCCGCTATTGCGTGATTGGACAATGAACAAATTTTGAGGCCCTTTGGTATGGCAATGGCGGAGGGAAGTTGGAGGGGAACTTGGGATAAGAGAGATCCTTAGTACGGCGCCCTTGATGTACATGGCAAGGTATCCGAGTGAGAGATGAGCGTGATGCGGATGGAAGGGGGTTCAAGCTGGGCTGGAAAGGCAGGCTGTAAGACTGTACGAGGGCCAACGCCGGCGCTGACAGTTGAAAAGAGTCACCAGGTCCGGCAAACTTGAGACTTGCCAGCGCGCAAAGGCCGGGGCCGTCACCGGCGGTAAGCGGTAGGCGGGAGCAATGCCGCGGCGCCATGTACTGCTAGAGTCCTTTCTGCATGCTGCTACCAACATTGTGATATTGTGAGGTTCCTTTGGGGGAACAAGGAAACGGCGGATCCCAAAAGTGAAAAAAGGTACAAAAGTACTCCGTACACCGATTTATTGAGTCAACGGCTTCCCGGGGCAAGGGTGAGCAAAAAAGGCGTGCTTTCCTCGCGCTCGCGTCCCATCCATCTCAATGCGGAATTTCTCTTTTCTGCCTTCCTTACCTTGGATTTGCCTTCTTCTCTTGCTCGGTCTCCAGTCTACTTCTCTCCTTCACCTCACTCATCCCATCTTTCTTGACTCGTGGCATCTGCTTGGTGTGTGTGTCACCCATGTCATCGATTTGTGTTTCCTGAACCGCAATCCTTTGAGGCTGAACAGCAATTGCCAGCAGCGAAGGACACCAAGGTCGTTGGCCTTGGCTCCCCCCCCTCCCCCACCCCCCCTGCGCGCGGTCCAGCTGCAATACTCCATCTCAAATCTCCAGAATCTAGATCTCTCGAGTAAGCTTTTTCAACCCTCGGCCCCATCATACCTCTCAAGAACCACGTCAGGACTGATTCATGAAGGCAGATCTCCCGCCCGGTCCCATCGTGAAATTTTTGAATGCCACCCCAGTCTACTCTTCCGTAAAACCCATTTCTCACAATGGCCCCCGGAAACCCAATCCGGCGTCGTCGTCGGCGGCAGCGTCAAACGGCCACCACTCCAGCGAGCGCACGCCTCTTCTACAGGTCGACGAGCCCACGACCCCTCTCCCCATCACCCCGCAAGACGAAAATGCCATCCCGCCAAACGAGTTCGACCTCTTACTCTCCAGGTCCATCCCCTCTACGGGCCCCTTCCTCGAGCCCGAGTCGACCGTGAACCCCCTCCTCCGAGGCCCCCGGCGCTACAGCACGGCCTCCAAACACCGCCGGCCCTCGCTCGCAAGCCGCTCCGACCGCGCCTCCGAGGCCGGAGACATCGCCGCCGTAGGTGACAATGACTACCTCGACAACGACGACGACGACGCCGTCTCCATCAGCAGCAGCGTCGCCTCGACTCCCTTTTTAAACGGCATCTCCCGCTCCCGCTTCTGGTTCATCTTCTCTGAGATCCTCCTCACCTACTTCATCGCCTGCTTCGACGGCACCATCATGGCCTCCTCCCATCCCGTCATCACGTCCTACTTCAAGGCCTCCAACAGCGCCTCGTGGCTCTCCACGGCGTTTCTGTTGACATCCTCGGCATTTCAGCCGATTTTGGGCAGGTTGTCGGACAGCGTGGGCCGGAAGCCGCCGTACGTCGCCACTATGGTCATATTTTGCCTCGCGACGGTGTGGTGCGCGCTCGCGCAGAGCATGACGAGCTTCATCCTCGCTCGCGCGGCGTGTGGAGTTGGCGCGGGCGGGATGATGACTCTGGGTAGTATCATTGTTAGCGATTTGGTTCCCATTGAGTTAGTATTTCCAACTCTGCAATATCCTTCTTGCGCGCTTTGTAGGATGGCACATGAATGTTCTACCTTGACACGCAATGGAAAGATCGAGTCACTGTGAGAAGGGGTTTGAAATGCTGACAGTGAGGCACAGGAACCGCGGCGCATACCAATCTTATATCAACATGATCTACGGCGTCGGCTCCGCCCTCGGCGCGGCCCTGGGCGGTGCCATGGCCGACCACCTCGGCTGGCGCTGGGAATTCGGCATCCAGGTCCCGCCTCTCATCATCTGCTGCATCATCGCCATGATCGCCGTCCCCAGCGACCTGGGCATGGCCGGCACTAAGCGGGAGAGCTTCATCGAGGCTCTCAAGGCTTTTGATTTCAAGGGCTCTATCCTCCTGACCACGGCCATCACCTTCTTCGTCCTCGGTCTTGTAAGTTTTGTCCTCCCCTTCCAGAATGACATGGGGGCATCTGCGTTGTACAGTAGTCCTGCCTGGTTCATTAAAGTTGTGAAACTAACGTCTTCTTTTTGCAATGTTGTAGAACCTCGGAGGAAACGTTCTGCCTTGTAAGTGGCTCCCAGATCGCCCATCAAGTGTTTATGTACGATTCGAAACGGCAAGCTAACAAGCATCTCAAGGGTCCCATCCTCTCGTAATCGCGTCTCTCGTCATCTTTGGCATCTGTTTCCCCGTCTTCCTCTACGTCCAATCCTACGCCAACCGCCCCATCATGCCTCTCTACCTCGTCCGCCACTCGCCCCGAATGAACCTCATCTTTTCAAACTTCTTCGCTGCTCTCCTCAGCAACGCAATCCTCTTCAACATGTAAGTCCTATTCACCCCATGATATGTACTTCCAAACCGCCCCGAAGAGAGAAAAATGTTCGCGCAAGAAGACTTCAAAATCTAACCATGCCCACAACCAGCCCCCTCTTCTTCCAAGCCGTCCTCCTCACAACAGCAACCTCGTCAGGCCTCAACCTCGTCCTCCCCTCCATCGTCTCCTCCATCGTCGGCACAGCAACAGGCTTTCTAATAACCTACACCCGCCGCCTCAAATGGCCCGCCCTCACCGGCGCAGTAGGCCTCCTCCTCGGCACAATCGCCCTCTCCACCATGCGCCGCGGCTGGCCCTCCTGGGTCTACCTCCTCTGCCTCGTCCCTTCCTCCATCGGCCAAGGGTTCCAGTTCCCGGGGACCTTCATGGCTGTTTTGGCCGCCAGCGAACAGCGCGAGCAGGCTGTTGTCACGAGTACCTTGATTCTCTGGCGCTCGCTGGGCATGGTGTTGGGCGTGGCGAGTAGTAGTCTCATTGTGCAGAATGCGCTTGTCGGGTACCTGGATGAGTATGTCCAGGGCCCGGACAAGGATGAGGTGATTCGCAAGGTGAGGGAGAGCGTCGAGTCGATTGTCAAGTTGCCGGCTGCGTACCGCGAGCAGGTCGTCATGAGTTACGAGGCGGCTTTGCGGACGACGTTCTTGTGTTGTACTGTGATTGCTTTTGTTTCGGTGGCTCTGCTCATCCCGATCAAGTTGCCCAGACTGGGTGCGAGAAAGACAAGCCGGTAAAGGGTCGGGGCTATCATACTGGTAATTAATAACTTGGGGGAAAAAGTTGTCGTCACATCATCATATATAGCATTTTGTTGCACGGGGTACTTTAGCATACTAACGGAAGCATTTTCGAGGTCCCACATCATACAAGCTTCAATTTTTGCCTTGAATCCAGGCTCTAAGCATTGCCTTGCCGTGCCGTTCTCATCGCCCGTTATAAATACACGCACATCCCGCCCACTTCCCTCCATTTAATAGTGTCCATTCATCCCATTAACCCTCAGCGCATCAAGTTCGTCCTTGGTCTTGCGGTACAACTCCTGCGCCTCGCGCTCCCTCCTGCTAACAAACCCGACTTCTTCCCGCAGAGCACCCAGACGCCGTTGGATCGCCACCTCCTCGGAGATGGCTAGCGTCTTGAACCCGCTGAGGGCGTTGTTGGCCTTGTCCAGAGCCTCGGCGGCCTCGCCAATCTTGTCCTTGAGCATCTTTTGGCGCTTCTGGTAGCCGCCCAGGTGCAGGCCCAGCTTCTTTTCGAGCTTGATGCCCTCTTCGGCTGTGCTGGAGATGGAATCTTGGATAGCCTGTGAATGCTGAGGTTAGTCAACTTGAAGTAGGAAACGGGGCTACTGGGTGGTGTCACTTACGTCGAAGGCGTGCTTCATGGCTGCCTCCTCCCCTTCTTCGTCGTCGCCATAGCATCCCAGACCTAGGAGCAAAGAGTTCTTGCTCCTGGCCTCAAATGATGTTTGGATTGCAGCTGGCGAAGGCGTCGGCTTCGTCTCCAACATAATCTGGAGGCGTGCCTCTGCAAGGTCATCGTCGCTGATAGCCTCCAAGCGCGGGGCGGTGCCACTGATCTTGGCGTTGGGTAAGGGATACTTGGCAGCATCGTTGGCGACCAGAGCAGCAGCCTCACGCGCAATGAGCGCCTCAGCAGCGTCCTGAAAAGCCTCGGCGTTCGAAAGCAGAGCCGAGACATCCACCTTGACCGGCCGTGGCAGCTGTCTCTGCATGACTTGTGTTCGTCTCCGCGCCTCCAGTGCTTCTTGTGCCGCCTTGATTTCGCGTTCCCGGCGATCCCTCTCTCCAGCGTCTTCCATCAACTGATCCTCGCTCAAAGCGACCTCCCTTTGGTCTTCGGGAAGTTCAAGCTCCCACTCGGTATCTTTGGGTTTGGGCAAAGATGCAAGACCCTGTTTCAATTGGCTACGCAGTGCCATTTCTCGCATCTTGACATCTCTCGGTGTCGCTGAGACGAGGGCCTGGCTTCCGTCGACGTTCAACGCAAAGCTGTCACGGGGCGTCCTCATCGGAGTCTGTCCAACGCGTGCAGGCGTTTGGCCAACGCTATCTGTGTGCATTGGTGTTGCCAGGGGGTTCGGTGTCGCAACCACTTGCTTGCGGGGGGCGACACCATCAAATCCAGTCGACTCGGTTCCTTCGTGTAGCGGAGTGTTCTCGCCACCGAGCAGTGAAGACTGGGTGTTCGTCAAGGCTCTGATATTCCGGATCTCGTTCGCGATGTGGTCTTCCTGGGCGGGAGCCCGAGGCGTTCGGATCGGGGCGTTGTTGTTCAGGGTCGAGTATTCGCTGACCAGGCCGCGGGTTGCATCGTTTTCGCTTTGGCGTGCCATCATGCTTGCCCTCTCACCCATCATACCCATCTTGACAATCTCCTCCAACTCGCCCTCGCTCACCTGAGGCGCTGGCAGATTCAGCGCTCTTCTCTTGCTGCTCTGCTCGGCCTCTCTGATCTTCTGCATCTGGCCCGCCTTCACGGCAGCCTGGAACGATGCCGAGGGCGCCTCCTTTTCCTTCTTCCTCCTCTTGTTTTCTCCATCGTCGTCGCCGTCGCCTTTGCGCTTGCTCGCAAGTTGTTGTTTTCTCGGGTCGAAAGCCTCTCGCTGGTGCTCGTTCCGGACCTGCTCTTCAGCGGTATCGTAGAATCCCGGGGCAGCCTTCTTCTCGAAAGGAATGTCGGCATTGTAGTCCATCTGGCCCTTCTTGCGCGTGACGACCTTGATGTTGATGCCGGCCGTTTTGAGCTCGCGTCGCTTCTGCAGCGCAGCCAAACGGCGCGACTCTTCCTGCTGGCGTTCTCTTGCCTTTCTCTTGGCCTTCTTTCCCTGTGTGTTGGCCAGACGCGCTCGGGCTTCACTCAGCATCTCCTTTTCATCCTCGTCGAGATCGATCGTGTCGGGTCGGGCGGGCTTGCTCTCCGGGTCTGGGTCGACCTCGCCGGGGCGCAATCGTCGAACATCGTCGGCGCTTGGCGCCGATGCCTCGCCGCCATCGATACCGGTGAGACCGAATTGACTAGCTTCTCTTGCTTCGGCTTCGTCGAGGAGCTTCTGGTATCGCTCGAGACACTGGTTGGCGGTTCGGCCGACGGCAGGTGCGATGGTGCGCCATTGTGTCGGCATAAGCTTAGCAAGGTGCAGAAGTTTTTCGTCCTCCTCTTTGCTCCATTCCGTTTTCTTGATGCTCGGGTCCAGCCATTCGTTCCATCTTGCCTTGCACTGCTTCGGGGTCTTGCGCGCTAGCAGTGACGAGACACGCGCCCACTGGTTCAGACCATATTTGGACACGGAGGCCTTGAGAATTTCATCCTCAATGTTGGTCCAAACACCTCCCTTGACGACACCCATGACGGTTAGGAGTACTGAAGAATTTCGGAGAGCAGGGCGGGTTGTGGTTGTCGAAAGTCCCCTTCGCGAGGGCGTTGCGCGAAAGAAATTGTGATGCGAGGCCAATCGTGAAGGATGGGTACACAAGGCTGAGAGCGGCTTGGCAAGTCTTAGTCAGCTTTGGACAGTGACGGTGATTGGTTCCACATGATGGGCCCAATGCAGCTCACCGAGGCACACCTTGATGTCCTCGGTATCCTCGGTGAAGCTGGAATCCCAAGAGAACTTGATTTCTAGCTCATGGTCCGAATTGAAAGCCTGACAGGGTCACCGATGCAAGCGCCTATCCGGCCAGAACATTGAAAGCCATGCTGATTAAACTCCTGACAAAATGCTTTGACCCAAAAGTATACGAATGTCCATTCTAGCAATCGCATTCCTGGACGGTCGGAAACACACCATTCTTGCATCTTTCTCATTCTAGATAACGGCGGCATTTTTACAAAACCCGCGGTTTCGAGCTGAAGGTCTAACATGGTATATGGTGCTGCCCTGCCCAAGCAACGTAGTGCGAGCATAGATCGAAGTCAATTACGACGACACAAGGTGAGGGTGCATGGATCTTGCCAGTGATTGGAGCCCCAACTCCGCTAACAGATTGATAAGAGCAGCCGCATTCATGAACTCTCAGCTTGTCACCCCCTCACTTTCCTCAATCTGCTGCCGAGGCATAGTAGCATCTACGCGTCCTGTTGGGTCGAAAGGGAGGGGGGTTTTCTTTTGTCTCTCTCTCGATGTAGCGTAATACTTACCAAGAGGCAATATTTTGGGGGATGAGTTGTTCGTGACGAGCTCTGAGCACTTGCTTTGCAATATGGCGTGGCGTTTGGGATCCACGCAGCCGAGCGGAGTTTACGCAAGGTGCCGACTCATGCTGTCTGTCCAACAAGCCGTTTCCTGGTATCAAGCACCGCGGAACACGGCAGCAGGCGATCCAAACAGCACCGAGCACATGGCGAGAAAGGCAATAGCAGCACGTTGTGGCTTGCGCAAAACACCGTCTGACAATTTAAGAGTGGTCGTCTCCAGGAGTCCAAACAAGACAGCGCACCCTCGCGGAAGCCCATGGGATATGCCGTCGGATGGCGGCAAACACATCCCCAAGTGGTAGATGGGATAATCTATCCAACAAGTGGTCCAAGTCGCTCTCGGATTGTCTTGAGAGGGGCCACCGAATCGGAAACCGGAATACGATAACGACAACGATAAGGCGAAACGTGCCGACCTGTCCAGCCCAGTTAATGAGAGGGGAAAGTTGGACGGAATTTACAGGATGCAGGGCAAACTTTCAGTGGAAGTAAGGGAAGAGCGTGGCGTCTTCCAGGACACTGGTTCCGCGGGACCGGTCCGCCAGTCGGTGCTGAAACATGCCGACCACCGAACCTTGTCGAGTCGTGTTGGACAGTGTGCTGCTGTGTTGCCATATTGGGCATCAAAGTTTGTGTTGGCGTCCAGATATGTTAATGAAAGGAGGAGAGGACGGGAATTCTGGATGGAGCATGCCTTTGTGCAACTACGTGGCACTGCGCGTGCGAGAGAGTTGATTCATTGTCTTTGATAAACCGGGATTCGGACATGTGAGGCCTGCTGAACTGCGACAACGATGACACTACGTACGACGACGAGTTGACAGATTGAAAGTCAACAACGTCTTTTAGCGAGCCGGTGGGCGTCGGTACCTACTCTGTTTCCGTACAGTCAGATAATTAGCCTGCGGAGTTGGCTCTGGTGATGTAACTTGGAGTAAAGTGCCCGCGCGGGAGTGGCTCAAGCTTAGAAATCACTTCGCAGGCTTGCGGAGTTGTCTACACTAACCTCCAAGTACCTAGGTACCGTATATCGAAGCAACGGCGGCCCTGACAGATCTGGGTTGTGGCTGAACTTCTGGAGGTGTGGCATCCCCCCACTCCCCCCCCTTATCGGCCATGGAAGCTGCGAAACTGCGTCATGGATAGGCCTGGCAGACGCCAACTCATGCGCCTTCTGTCCCACGAGATTGGTTCACTCACACAGGGTCACTCTTAAGTCCGGCAGGCACGCACCTATGATTGAAGCACCTATCCTAGGACCTACGGGATGGTTGCTCCTCAACCCGCGGCAGGGAGCGTCCTGTCGTCTTGTCTTGTCGTCACCCTTCTTCCTTCTCTCTCTCCCTCAGTCTTCGTACCTTGTATCTCTTTCCTACTCAATCTTTCCCCGATTCCCCGACCATGACTATGACCTCCCTGTTTTCTTCGCTTACTGTACGAGTTTCCGAGGATTTACAGGCAAATCACTGCCGTCTTCAGTTCCCTTCGCTGGGCTAATCCCACCCACACAATACACCCAATACAACTCACAAACTCTCAGACATGACCGCAATATGATGGACCTCTCTATCAGAATCCCCGAGTTCCCCGTGGGCCGTCAGTCCAACGCCCCCCCAAGCCTCAAGGGCCCCAACCGAAACGTGTTTAGGCCGTTACGGACGCCGGACGAAGCGTTGCGCTGCTCTCCCTCTTTCTCTAATCTTGTCAACGTCCCAACGCCGCTCCAATAGGAATCACTGGCGCCTCGAGATGCTATGACCTTCCGCTTTCTGAAGTGAACATTACGATCCATGTACGGGGGGGCGCTGTCCCCATTCCACGAGTCTACGACACATCCCATCCCATCCCATCCCATTCCCATCCTAGCACCTAGGCCCATCACACTTTGTTCCACACCCGTCGTCGAAGCCGCCCCCCCCCCCTGCTCAACTTCTGGGTGTGGTCACTGTGATTGTCTCTCGCGAGCCCGGGCCCTTGGCTCGATTTCATCAGCGTCCATCGCTGTCCCACACCCGCCTTATCTCTTGATGTGGGCAGCGGCCCCCGGTCCTCTACTACGTAGCTCGGATTTCTATTTCTTTTCCCATTCCCACTTCTCGTTTCACCGAGCAAAGCGCTTTCCCTTGCTCATGTATCCGTACCCCTCTGCCCTTCCAGCTCTGGTCCCTCTTCCGGCTTGACAGTTCTACTCTCGGAGAGGCGTCCAACTGCTGTGTACGTCGGAACACACGATCCTACAGGAATGGAATCGTGGCTGTGTCGCTCTGTCCATCTTACCGCGCTCGCCCCCAACGACACCGTCCAAGACAGAATATAGCTCCGACGCTCGACGATACAGCTCCTCCAAAGGCACAAATACTCGATACGAAACTTGGCGGCCTTTTATCTGTCAGGTACAAAGCTCGAAAACGCTTCGGGATTCTACTTGCGACAGTTGTGCCGTGTTCTGCACCAAGCACACTACACCACATACAAATTCGATACAGCGCACGAGCAACAACAACAACAACAACACAAAATAGCCAAAAATGTCGGCACCGAAAGACGACATCATAGTGACCCGAGTAGACCAGGATGTCCACGGGAAACCCATAAACGAGGCAACAGAGACCACGTCGCTTTTGAGCGCAGGCGCTCGCGACGGCGACAGCTCCTGCGAAGATACGTGGCCGGGCTATGCGGATTTTGAAGGCTTGCCGTGGTGGAGGACGCCCTCTGTAGGATTCTCTCTTTCTGGCTCCGGCTCGGGCCGCTCTGTGATCCCGAACAAACGTGCTGACTCTTTATGCGCCAGGTCTTCTGGCTTCTCATCCCGTATGCTCTGTTCACGCTGGCCTTTGGAGGCTCTCTAGTGCCCAAGTTGAACCTGTATGTCAAAATGATCTCGGGATGTCTATGCGGCCGATCGCAGTCGCTAATTCGTGTGTGACATAGAATCGTCGATCTGGTATGCCAAAGGCATTTCGCCGACGAGACGGCGCTGGATCCGGCCTTTGCATTCACTCCTGTGATACTCGGCGCGGATAATCCGCAATGCCTCATCCCCGAGGTTAAAAAGAGCGTGTCCATGTTCACCCTGGCCATCAACTTGACCACCGGCATTCTCTCCGCGATCACGGCCCCGAAGCTGGGCCAACTCTCAGATCGTTATGGCCGTCGGAAACTCCTGGCTTTGGCGTCCTGCGGCGGCGTCGTAGCCGAGATCATCGTCATCCTGTGTGCCAACTTCCCCTGGACATTCCACTACAACTGGCTGCTGCTCGGTGCTGTCGCCGACGGTCTCACCGGATCCTTCACGGCAGGCAGCGTCCTCATCAACTCGTACACCAGCGACTGCACCGCGCCATCTCAGCGCGGTGTGCGCATCGGATATCTGCATGCCTGCCTCTTCAGCGGTCTCGCCTTCGGCCCCCTCTTGACTGGCTACTTTGCCGCCTGGACAGGTAACCTGCTCTCCGTATTCTACGTCACCATGGGATGCCACATCTACTTCATCATATTTGTCGGCCTCATCGTTCCCGAGTCCCTCAGCGTGAAGCGCCAGCTCCGCGCCCGCCAAAAGCACGACCAAGAAAAGGAGGCAAAGGCCGGCGATGGAACCTGGTCCACGATCAAGGCGGCCAACCCCCTGGCTCCCCTCAGGATCCTCTGGCCCACAGGAACTGGCACCTCCTCGAGGCTGCGTCTCAACATCGTCGCGCTCTCCTTCACCGACATGATCCTCTTGGGGGCTGCCATGAGCGCCGGCACCGTCATCCTGCTCTACTCTGAGTCCCCCGAGACCTGGGGCTGGGGCACCCTGGAGAGCTCCCGCTACATCTCCGCCGTCTCCATGGTCCGCGTTGTCGCGCTGCTTGTCGTCCTCCCGCTCGTCAACTACGTCTTCCGCGTGCGGCCCGCAACCTACCGGAGGAGGGTATCGGGCGTCTCCATCGTCGAGACAAACAACGGCGCCGACAACGTCGACTGCTGGATCCTTCGCTTCGCTCTGCTATCGGACGTTACAGGCTCCCTTGGATACCTGTTTGCGAGAAGCGAGGCCGTATTCGTGCTCTCTGGCATGGTCACTGCTTTTGGCGGCCTCGGCAGTGCGACCATTCAAGCCGCCATCACCAAGCATGTGCCTGCGGACCAGGTCGGCCAGCTGCTCGGCGCCATTGGCGTCCTGCACGCCCTTTCGAGGGTGCTGGGCCCGATTGCCTTTAACACGCTTTACTACTCGACTGTCGGAGTCTTTGATCAGGCCATCTTCGTCCTCCTTGCAGCCCTGTTTGGCCTGGCTTTGTTTGCCAGCTTCATGGTGCGGCCCGGTGGTAAGTTGTTCAATCCCGCTCGTGTAGTACCTACGAGAAACCTCCTTGCTGACCGAGTACACAGTGTTCCTCGAGGAGACCTACGAGCCTGTACCTTCATCGGCGCCGCATCTGAGCTCCAACGCCAGCTCAGAGGCGCTGGAGGTGTTGACGGAGGAAGAGTTGATACCCAACAACTAAAGTGTGGGTGTGAACATGAGTTGGAGGGTTGTACGTTCTATGTAGTGTTTGTGTAATTTCACAAGAATAGCGAGAGGAGGATTGAGATACCTAGAACATAGACGTCAGCGCCATTGAGCGCTAGAGGGTTGTGGTTCCTCTGATTTAGAGCAGCGGAGACTTTGCCGCACGGGATACAAGAGTATCCGTCGATACCATCAATACACATTTCCTTGATTGTTCAGACGCCAGTTTATTGAGAGATTTACTCAAGATTTGTGTCTACTTCACATAGCTTTGGCTGGCCGCATTCGTCAACTCTGAAAGACTCTACTCTAAAAGAAGGCCTCTGTCCTCCCTTGGCCCCGGCACCTATTGACCATTAAACAGAGCCTCGTGTTTGAGGATGCCAGTACAACGGTAATCCGTCCCTTGCTTCGTGAAAACGGATTGACCTCGTAAACACGGAGTGAAAAGAGGCATCAATACCTACTTCTCGGTTGGAGGTTTTCTCCTCTCATTTGGTTCCCACTCACCACCAAATCGACAACTCAGATCAGACGTTTTTGCCGGCTAGGTGCTCAGTGGATGTTTGCACAATGGCAAGTACCCAAACCACGACTCCTAAACTGTTAACAAGTAAACTCATCGTCCTATCCAGATGTTCCCTCTCATCTACTTGCTTCTCCTCCAAGCCGCCTCTCTCACCCTCGGCGCTCCACAACGGGCCCTGTCACTCCCTCGACGGAAAGTGACTATCCTCGACGCCGACCTCAGCGGAGACGGCGAAGAGAGGCTCAGAGAGATTCTTGACCGGCCCTACAGCACGCGACACCGCGACGGCAGCGACAGTAACAAGCCCTTCAAGGACATTCGCTTCTCCGAGAGCGAGGGAAGAGCACGGTGGACGCGGGCTAATGTGATCAATGTAGAAGCATCACGATCGGGTGTCGAGAGACATGTCCTAGATGAGGCATCAGTTCAGAGACATGTAGTTGACGACGATGCTGGGGTTAGGATTGAGCACGGGGCCGATGGGATTGCCAGAAGAGTCTATGAGCAAGGCACGTTGGAGAACGCGGATGCCTACTCCAGTCCCACGAGAAGAGATGTTGAGGACGATCCCTGGAACCCGGTCCTCAGAGACGGAGGGAGCAGCGAAGACCCGTTTGCGAAGCCAAAGTTCCGCGAGGGACAGGGGGGGTTCGTCCAGTGCGCGGGCTGTTCTGATACCAGAGGTGGCTCCGAGGGGTGGAGGAGATCTATGCCCTTTGCTGAGCAAACAAACACCACTACCAACGAAACCCATCGCCAGCACCCAGCAGACCTCCTCGACGCCCTCGATCGCAGCAACGCAAGTCCCCTAGCATGGGATCTCCCCACTTCCCAAGCACTTACCTCCTCTCTGCAAAAGCGCGGAACAACAGACTGGACCTGCAACCGCATCGGCCAAAAGAACACCAAAGAAGCGCTAGCCATCATGTACGACGTCTTCAACAACGTCTTCGGCACCGAGCCGCTAGTGGGCAAAACGAACCAGTGTTATGTAGCAGAATGCCAGGACTGGTATTTTAGTTACTGCCAAATGTCAGTTGACGTCAAGGAAGAAAAGCCCGGCGCGCGGAAGAAGGTGGCGGATCGTGATCCGGGGAAAGGAGGGTCGTGTTATGCGGTTGCGGATGGGGAGGATTCGAATCGGTACCATCGGTACTTTTTCGGGCATGTTGGGGCGAATCCGATTCCGAATTATAATGGGGGGTTTAGTATTAGGAGGTGTAATTGAAAGGGCCAGATGAGGAAGGGGTTTGTTTCTATATGTAATTATTTGCTATTTACCTTACCTTATCTTGGGTACTTTGACCAGTTGCGGCCTTCTTCGGGCATTTTGATGGGTGGTCAGTCAACAAGTACATTCACGATTCACGGCTGACTTACGAAGAGAGTCAGGTAATAAAAGTTTCTTCGGTCAGATTTCTTGAATCCAAAATAAATACTCGTGATTTTGGACCAGTCTATACGCATGGAGACTGAACACAAGGCGCAACTAAAGCTGAAGCTGTCAGTAACAAAGTACCTTACCTGGTGTACTTTACACAACGATCAACCGGTATCGCCCGCACAGCACAGACCAGAAGCAGTAACTCAAGTCACCACATCGTAAACGAAAGGAATAGCAACGAATTGATTCCTTGCGTCCAGGCCGCCAAAAATCACTTAAAGGTTTGGTAGAAACGGCATTTGGTCCTACCTAGCTAGCTAGCTAGCTTCGTGTCTTTCCTACAATGTGCAAAAATGTAAACGTTCCGACACCGAGAGTCGAACTCGGATCTCTCCGGGACTTTCTATGAAAGCGGAGTATGCTAACCGCTACACCATGCCGGATTTGCATGCTCTTTGTCCGCTTGCGCGGATTTATCAAGCCCGCCTATCCGAGCGCCGCTCATCTCAACCCCCCTGTCTCTTTTGAGGAGCAGCAATTCGATGCGCAAACAAATTGCAAAGAGTCTTGACGTAGACCGAGGTACTTTATCTGGCGCAGTCATTTCATCGAGAGTTGGCTCTGAAGCTTCAAGGTAAGTAATGATCACATAGAGTGACAAATGCTTCCTTCCCGCGACCCTTTTTGGCAGTCTTCCCGGCACTCACGGGCTTGTGTTGTCCTCCGGAGAGTCCGTCGGGAGTTTCCTCCGTCACGACTCGCCGGTCGGTTCCACTTCACCGAATAGTGATTGCCGGCTAATTCCGAGATGCCGGAGACGGTCCTGATCGCAAGGAGACGCCACCTGAGAAACCTGATGATATTCACATCCTCTTCGAAAAGGAAGTGATTTGGACTAGTCCACAACGGCATGACGGCGGAGGGGGAACCTTGGAGTCTCAACCTGAACATCGCTTCGCATCATATCAAGACACCACCTCGCTTGCGAGATTCCATCAGTAGTCCGGAAGGTCTTGTCTGTTGAAATGGAAGGAAGAATCTGTCATATTATCTAGGCAAAGCCGTCAAGCGTAAAGTTTGCGCTTCGTCAGCTTAGACACACGACCCCCGTATTCCACGCAATTTCCAATTATGAGATCATGAGAATCATCGACCCCTTCAGAATCCCCGAACCTGACCTTAACGTCGGCTAAGAGCCTAGCCCTAGCCTCGTCTGAAAGCGCTCCACCGCCGACCGGCACCTCAAAGTTGGGGTTACCCCTCGTCAAAGTCGAGGTGTTCATTAGAAGCTTCGGGACCCAAATCTTCAGGTTCAGCGCAAAGTCCAAGATTGTTGTGAGCAGCAACACCAAAGTTGACGCGATCAAAACGGCCATCCACGCCTTATCATATCGGAGAACTTGTACGCGAACATATACATTGGCTTCCGACTTTGAGAAGACGTAGTTGTCGTAAGACAAGGCGTCTCCGCTTCCCGGAGACCACGTTGTTACGCCGTCGTAGTTCTCGGGATGACCCAGGAACAACGGCTCGTTCCCTATCATGGCCAGCCAGTAGGTGTTGAGAATCTGGCCCAGGCGAACGGAAAACAACTCTTTTCCTATCGTGTAGACCGGTGGAAGGTTACGAGCAGCCGTGGAGTTCAATCCCAGGTTCGGATCGACCAAGTACGATTGTAAAATGGTGGTCACACCCACTCCCCCGCTGCCGTTGTCCGTCAAAGTACTGAAACACTGGAAGAACCAGTTCCATAGGCTTTCTTCCTCTTTGGGACAGCTATCGAAGAAGGTTATGTTCGTCCTCCGACTTTCCCCGGGCGCCAGTGCTGTCAGTCGTATCGCTGTGGCCTCGCAATCCCAGCCCGAACACGAGACACGAACGCCGATGAATGACGTGGTCATGGAGCACTTTGCCATTGTATGGCCGCCTCCTGAATCCATAGAGTTGTAGTCCCAGTACAGCAACTCTCTGGCAGCAATGTCAGGCACAACGCAGCGTTCAGTAACCCGTGTCGAGTTGCGCATTCCTTGCGGATATGGAATAGTGGCAAGTTCGCCCCATTTGAATCTTTGGTTGCATCCACCATTCCTGCATCCTTGCCGCGGAATGTTGACTGCTTGAGAGACGTTCCCTGGGAAGTCGCGTAGCTCGGTACAGTCCAACTTCAAGTACGAGGTCTCTAGAGCAAAGCTGGACCTATGTCTTTGAGGGACATTGGCAACGGGGAGGCCAACAAGTGCAGCGTATACTACATCGTCCTTGGACTGATCCAAGAGAATCCACTCGTTGCTATCAAGCTGGGTATGATTCGAAAAGGACTCGATCATGGGGACCTTGACATTGCCCCATGTGTCTTTTTTGACCTTTTCACTGCATCTGTGGCTCCTAGAGATCCCAAGACCAATGCGTTGATGGGGATTTGCTGACCAGTGAGCCCTCCCGTCGCATATCTTGAGGGGAAAAGAACGTTGTTGTCTAGGTATGGGAGGGTCGTGATAGACGAGATTTCTTCGGCTCGCGGGGTTAGTACTCGAAGCGCTGCTTGTCCTCCGAGTGGTGATAGCGACCAAATGGTTATTATTGAGATACCCAAAATCCCAACCTTCTTTAGATCGACTATAGTCGTGATCGTGCCGGTTAACGTAGTTGATCCGAAGAAGCTGTCCAAGGTCCCCATATGCTCTCCTTCTTGTAATCTCCAATGGGTATAGCTCCTAACGGTCCTGCCAACAACGAAGGCAAATATTAAGGGTACAATCGTGGGGCCCTATGCACAGTATTAGACGCATATAGGCAGCACAGTATCTTACGCGCCGGGAAAATTCGCTTGCGAACTTCCACGTGGTTGGAAAGCTTTCAATGTCGCGACCATCATTCAGAAGCAAGGTCCCAATGTATGTTATGATAACGGTCACCATGAGCAAGCAAATCTCAAGCTTTTTTGGTGGCCACTGTAGGAGTTTCGACTCAGCCTTGCTTGAGTCCGGCGGAGCTTCGCGTCTGGTCTCTTCGGATGTGTTCGCCATCGCCTCGTAGGTCTAGAAATGTACGTAAATACTAATGTTGGCCGGTCAGATAGGAAACCTTTCCGCTGGCCATCAGAACTTGTGTGTACTTGATTATGTGCAGGAGATGAATGACGATAGCCCAAGCGGTCATTATAAACCTTCCCGTTGCAAGTAGTCGCAATACACCTCGTAGGGCGTTGGCTCATCAGGCTGGCAAGCACAGTAGGTGATAACTTGGACGTCGGCGTGGAGAGGGCGGCAGAACAAGTCTCTGGCTGACCACTGCAAAGCCAATTGAAATCCACCCTACCCAGAGCGGGCGAACTGACTTGCATGTTTCGCCGCTCGCTTGCAGATGGGCTCCCCAAATAGTATCTCGAGATGTCCGTTGGTGGCGAATACCCCAGCAGAATATGTGTCTTGCTGAGCGAGCCTTGGCGGAGCGTGGTGGCTCCCATCTTGCACATAATTGGGCGCCTGTTTTCCTGTTAGGTCGGCTTCTTGCGCAACAGCGCGGCGCAGGAAGAAGGACTGAGCCACGCTCGTTGGAATCGGTAGGCTGATATGATCCAATAGGCGTGGTAGGACATGGCGATGTAGGGCACGACAGCCAATGACTTTCCTGGTGCCGAAATAAACAGAACACACTTGCGTGTTGTGCACTTAAGGTGAAACTCCCCTTCAATAAGCCTGCTAGGAACTCGGCATCAAGTGGTATAATACAGTTTCATCGCAAAGTCGTCACGCCCTAATAGCATCAAGCATTCTCTTCAACCCACTCCTCAACTCTCTCAACCAGCTCACTCTTCTTGCCTGCTGTGCTCTGTCCCCTTGCCGCAAGAATCTCTTTCAAATCGGCTACTAGCATCTTGCTCACCGCACCGCTGGCCACAGACTCCTTGAGCTGTGCCGTTGTCATACCAGATCCGGAAACCTTTGCAGCCTTCGGTGCAGCCTTTGCTCTCTTGGCTGGCCTCTCGTCTTCATCGTCGGCCGCCTCACGCTTGATGGCCGCCTTTGCCAACGCAATCTTGGTCTCGTCCTGAAGGGTCTCGGCCCAATCGTCGAGGTAACCGCCAGCCCGCTTGCTGATGGCCTTGTATTTTGGTTCTGTGAGATCTTCTGCTTTTTCAGGGTACTCCTCCTCAAGGGCCAAGACCTGGAGGATCTTGTAGTGCCATTGCAGCGATGGGTTGGGGTATTTCTTGGGGTTGTACATGGCCTTCGGCAGCTGGAGCTGCTGGACGATGATGCGCATCTTGTCGATGAGCTCGTTGGAACTGACGACGAGGTTGCTTGGGGGCTCGGGGCCTTCGCGCAGGTCGTCAGCGAAGGGGAGCGGGTAGAGCCATAGACCGGCAGGTAAGTAGGGTGTTCCTGAGTCGTCTTCAGACTTCTCATGGGAAGGAATGACGGCAACGAGGATTGGGCTGGCATTGACGCGGGTAACAGCCCATGCGATGCCAATCTTTTGGCCTTTGAGCAGCTTTTGCCATAGAGCGCTAAAGACACGGGTGGAGCCAACGTAGTCCTCCTCTGACGGGAAGATAAATGTTGACTTCTTGATACTCGCCCAGAAGGGGAGCATAGACCGCGGCTTGAAGCCGATGATGCGGATGACAGGGGCGCCAAAGTCCTTGAGAGACTTCTGCTCCTCTGGTGCAAAGTGCACGTATTCGCCACCAAATTTGTAAGCCTTCTTGAACTCGACCTTTTCAACCGTCCGGGCACTATCCTCGGCGATTCGTGTCGTTTCGCCGTTGGCGAGCTGAGGTTTCTCACCGTCCAGCCAGATGTATGATGTTCTTGCTGGGGTCTGACGGTGGAGAATGTTGTATCCCTTGACCGATATTCTAAGTCCAGGGGCGATCTCGAAGGGGAGGTTGGAGAATAGGGAGCGCTTGGGGGTTTCTTTGGAGTTGATGTTTGATATTAATGAGTTGAGAAGACTGAGGCCATCGCCGGACTTTGAATTTCTGGTCTCGGAGAGATTGGCCTCTGCAACTAGGTCTCGATAGATGATGTCCTGTACGGTCAGCTTTGTGCCAAATCTAGTGATACGGCTCAGTACTTACATCGTAAAACTTGCCAAGGTCAAACTTCTTCTCGTCTCTGGTAATAGGGAAAAGCTCTATCACGACACCAAGATCGTACAAGTCTTTTGCACGAACAGCCGCGGCCGACTTGGCATCCTTGTTCTTGCCGTGAGGATTGTCGTTATCTGTAATGATGAACAGTCGTCTGCTGCCAAAGTTCGCCGCCTTAGTGGTGAAGATTTGGTTTGCGCAGAAAAAGACGTTGGCCATTTGCACTTCTTCCTCCGCCGGCACTAATACCTCATCCTCGTCTTCGGCCTCTTCTCCATCAGCACCAACCAGGGTCTTCAGTGCCTTGACATCCTCAGCAGCGGGGACATCGAGGTCTGTGAACAAGTAGCAGTGTGGGTAGCTCAGACCGGCCCTACCGCTTTCTTCTTGGAACTTGGACTTCTCCGTGCCGAAGAAGAGAATACCCATCATATCCTTGGGGTTGGAGATGATGCGCTGCTGCATGAGATGATAGGCGCATTTCAAAGCTGCCTCGACGGCGCTGTCCCTATCGGCCTTCTTGGAGTTTGTTGCGGGGGGATGCTGCAGCATTGATGAGCTTACGTCAATGGCGAGCAAAATGGCATCTTTCTGAGCCTTGAAGTCCTGCGAGAGGTCAGTTGTAAGTCATGATCCACAGTGCATAAGACTCACGGTCTCGTCAAGCTCCTCCTCGGCTTCATCCTCATCCTCCTCCTCTCTTTTGAAATGTCCGCGATCAGCCATCTTGAATGATTCACTATGATTATGTGACCAGAAGATGCTGTTTGGACTGCGTTGGCTGCGATGGGGGATGGATATAAGGTATCGAACACTCAGCAGGCGTCGCTCCAGGCAGCCAGCGCGACTGGGGCCTTCGCGCACCTGGGGAGCTCGCGCGCCAAGCTCGCAGGACACAGCGCGCGACCACGTGACCGTCATTTTTGGATTACGCAGCACCTTATTGGCCAATTCTGGGGTGGATTAGGGGAGTACCTAGGCAGCAGCTGTTTCGGGGCCAAACCAGGGGACTCGACAAGTATCAAGGTATCTTCTCGGTCTCGCAGGGGTCCTGCTCGGTGCTCGGTGGGCTGCTGTCCAGATCGGGATTTCCTTCGTCATCGAAGCCCGAATTCCTCAAAGTGTCGCCCAGCATCGACGCATCACCGGGGTTCGCGGATTGCCACAAGTGCGAGAATCTAGAGCCAGTTGAACAATAACCACCTTTTCTCTTCCGACTTCACTTTTTTTTTGTCAAGTATTCACACCCATCCATTGTCACGATCCAATGGCGCTTAAATACTCAACAGGACAGCTCTCGCGGAGCTTGTCCAAGGCGACAACATCAGCGCGCAATGCCTCCTCGCCACTCGTTAAGGCGCTGCCGAAGCAGTCGGCTACACAGCTTAGGTCAATGGCAACCGTGGTACCACCTGTGACACAAAACTCTGTTGGATCCAAGGGCCCAACGGCGATGGTATTCATGAACATGGGTGGTCCTTCAACAACGGACGAAGTGGGAGACTTCCTGAGCAGGCTTTTTGTAGGTGCTCCTCATCACTCAACATCTTCGACACAGAGCTAACGATGCGCAGGCAGATGGCGACTTGATTCCCCTCGGTCGTTTCCAGAACTACCTCGGTCCCCTGATTTCGAAGCGACGAACCCCCAAGATTCAGAAGCAATACGCCGATATTGGTGGCGGCTCACCTATCCGCAAGTGGTCCGAGTATCAAAACGCCGAGATGTGCAAGATCCTTGATGAGATCTCCCCCGAGACCGCACCGCACAAGCCGTATACGGCCTTCCGCTACGCCGATCCCCTGACGGAGGAGATGTACAACAAGTTGTTCGAGGATGGCTTTGGAAAGGGAAGAGGCGGAAGAGCGGTCGCATTCACACAATACCCCCAGTACTCGTGCTCAACGACAGGAAGCAGCATCAACGAGTTGTGGAAGTGGCGGCAACGGCTGGAAGGAAAGGCCGTCGGAGAGACCACGCCCGGCGACGGTACCATCTCATGGAGTGTGATTGATCGCTGGCCGGTACACCCAGGCCTGGTCGAGGCGTTTGCGCAGAACATTGAGGCGAAGCTGTTGGAATACCCCGAGGACAGACGCAAGGACGCGGTCCTGATCTTTTCCGCCCACAGCTTGCCCATGTCCGTGGTCAACAGAGGCGACCCGTACCCGGCCGAGGTTGCTGCGACCGTCTACGCTGTCATGCAGCGCCTCAAGTTCTCCAACCCCTACCGCCTCTGCTGGCAGTCTCAGGTTGGCCCGTCCGCCTGGCTGGGTCCCCAGACCTCTGACTCGGTCGAGAACTACGTCCATAAGGGCCAGAAGGACCTGGTGTTGATTCCTATTGCCTTCACATCGGACCACATCGAGACCCTGTTCGAATTGGACCTCGAGGTCATCGCTGACTCTGGAAGCCCGGAGACCGTCAAGAGAGTTGAGAGTTTGAACGGTAGCCCCGTCTTCATCAAGGCTCTCGCCGACATCGCCAAGGCGCATCTTAACAGTAATGTGGCTTGCTCGCCGCAGATGGAGCTGCGGTGCCCTGGTTGCAAGAGCGAGCGGTGCTTGGAGTCAAAGAAGTTCTTTGCGGCACAACAGTCAAAGCTTCTCCCGGTGCAGGGGAAGACCCTTGCTCAGTAGAAAACGAGCCGCATTTAATTACGCTATGTAATTTTGTATTATATCAGGAATCGGGGATCTGTTAGGGTCTAAAATGGCATTCGGGGAATGGCGAATTCAAAAGCACATCAACTCCCAAGTCTACTGTACCATTCATGCCCAAAGTGATTCGCCCGCAGCTTCATAAACAATTTGTGTTCAAATTAGAGATGTGTTGTGAGTGGAAATTGACCAACTGCGATGAAGCAAGGATTAGAAATGTTGAAGGGGACTTTGCCTGTGATGATGACGCCACTGTATTTCTTCACCTGTGCTAACAATTTCCAAACTTAGCTCCACCAACGATCGCCCGCAATCAATCTACTCTCGTTGAAGCTACAAATCGGCTTTATCGCCTTGCATAGTTGGCAATAGGCTATGTTCAAGTCACGGTCTTTGGCACAGAAGGTATTTCGAGCTCAGACCCTTGATACCCGACGAAACATGAGCTCTCAAGATAAGATTCATTTCGGGCCATTTGAGGTCACCAGCCAGGTTAGTTGCATTTCATTCCATTTCTCAGTCATTGAAACCCTGATACGAGAGCTATCGATCTCATGATAGCTTCGCGGCTTCTCATAATCATCTTGATCTGGAAACGTTCTACAGGTGTGACATAAGCACCGCTTTCTTTCATTCGACAAGAACTTGAACTCAGGCATCACGGCCACAGCCCCAGACTAATGCAAGACCAGGTCTTCTACAAGACAGCACACTCCTTCGCCCTGGTAAACCTCAAGCCCCTCCTCCCAGGCCACGTCCTCGTCTGCCCCCTCAAACCCCATAAACGCCTCACGGATCTCCAGCTCGTCGAGGTTACGGACCTCTTCACAACGACACAACTCATTCAGAAGATGCTCGCCCGTCGCTACTTTTCCAACACCACGTCCACGTCAGAACCAGCAGCGCCGGAGGCTGGATCGTTTAACATTGCGGTCCAGGACGGCGCCGACGCGGGGCAAACGGTGTCGCACGTCCACGTCCACATTATCCCCCGCGTCCCAGGCGAGACGGGCAAGGACGGGGAAGGGCCGAGGGATGAGATTTATGAACAGATGTCTGCTGAGGAAGGGAACGTTGGTGGCGCGTTGTGGGATGCGGAGTTGGGGGGGAGACCGGAGGCTGGAGGGAAGTTTGCGAGGATTGAGGATGCGATGAGGAAGGCGAGGGGGATGGAGGAGATGGTGGCGGAGGCGGATTCGTATCGAGAGTTGTTGAAGGATATGGGCTCTCTCAGCGAGAGCTAAAGTCCTTATTTATCATACAATATCACAATGAATTGAGCACTTCAAAAGGTCATATGCTACATGTTTCGCTCGGTCTGAGCTCAGCTCAACGCACTTCATGTGCGCCACTGTACCGCACGATGCCTAGCAAAACATACACATAAAAGTCTCAATTTTGGTGAGTTTAAGACTTGTCAGCATTGAATTGCAAAATACGCATCTTCTTCATAAGGTACTCTACCTAAGCATCTGGATGCAATTTATAAAGTCAGCCGAAGATACACGTCGTGGTACTCCCTCATAGTGAAAACAGTGCTTGAGTTGACTGGCTCTCAATTAGCACGGTACACCAAGGAGCTTGGAGCAAGTCCAGGGACCCCCCACCAAATCATTAACGCGTCCGGGATCCGTCGCGTCGAGTCGCGTCTTCCCTCTCAAGATTAATTGTCACTGTAGCGACACCAAACCACCAAACCATAACTTGAGGCACTCAGCGCAGCACTCAACTCCGTCGCAACGAATTAACGAGACAATTGATTCATTCGGGCTCAATTGAGCTTTCCTCCAAGATGCCGAGCGCATCATCACCAGTCACATTTCCCGCCAGTCCATCACCGCCCGCAACGAAACGCCCAAGGCCCGCGGCGGCTGACCCTTCGAAATCAAAGCCAAAAGTCAACAGCGGCTTCCTTCTCGACGACGATTCCGACTCCGACGACGAGAATGAGCATCAGCCTCCGCTAAAGAAGCAAATTCTCGATTTTAGCGCCCGCTCGCAGCGTTCAGCACCCATTACCGCCCGCCTAGACGATGATGTCCCCGAGCCGACAGCCCAAGCACCGGAAAAGAAGGTTGCTCGTGTTGAAGTTGCGCCTGCACGAAATGTCCCTCCCGCTGCCCGACCTCAGAGCCTTGCATCATCACTACTCCAGGACACGCCATCAATCTTCAAATCCTCGAGGACCTTCAAACTCACGACCTGTACCGGGGCAACTACCACCATCAAGCAACGAAAGCCGACAACTAACGCATCGTACGAAAGCATTATTGCGGCCCGGTCAAAGACAAAGGAGGGAAAGGCCAAGCGCGCTTACTATGGTATAGCTATCAACGAGCTCATCGACAAGGCAAAGAGCGAGGCCTCAGAACGACGACCAAAGAGAAAGGAAAACGATGTCCCTGTGCGGTCAGTCGAGCCGGCACACCCTGGCAAACCTCACAAGAAGACGCTTCTATGGACTGAAAAGTACAGAGCAAAGAATTTTCTGGATCTTTGCGGTGACGATGGTACGAATCGTATGGTCCTGCGCTGGCTGAAGCGCTGGGACCCCATCGTGTTTCCCGGCATTGCGAAGAAGGCACCGATCGTACGGAGGCCAGGCGCGAAGCAGGTTCAAGAGGAGGAAAAGCCGCACAAGAAGATTCTCATGCTGACAGGACCACCGGGTCTCGGAAAGACGACTCTGGCTCACGTCTGTGCGAGACAGGCGGGCTACGAGGTGATGGAGATCAACGCCAGCGACGACCGCAGCCGAGACGTCGTCAAGAACCGGATACGAACGTCCCTGGGGACCGAGAGTGTCAAGACTGTCGAGAACGTCAAGTCCAAGGATGGAGAGGTGCAGCAAAAGGTCGCCAAACCAGCTTGCGTTATTGTTGATGAGGTCGACGGTGTCGTGGGCGGCTCCGGCGCTTCAGGGGAGGGTGGTTTCGTCAAAGCTTTGATTGACCTCGTGCTCATCGATCAAAAGAACAGCGCGGGTGGAGCCAACGCCTCGTACTCCAAAAAGAAGAAAAAGGGAGATGACTTCCGCCTACTGCGCCCCCTAATTCTCATCTGCAACGATGTCTACCATCCCTCTCTCAGGCCTCTGCGGCAGTCAGGTATGGCGGAGATCATCCATGTTGGGAAGCCAGGTATCGATGCTGTTGTTACGCGCCTCAAGACTGTGTTCGATAAAGAGGGCATTCCCTGTGAAAAGGACGCGGCGCGCAAGGTCTGCGAGGCCGCCTGGGGCATGACGAGCGGCATCGATGCAAAGCGTGGCGCGGAGAGTGGAGCTGAAGGCGATCTTCGAGGGGTCATGGTTGTTGGCGAATGGGTAGCCGGGCGCTTCAAGGCTGCCGCCGGCTTCAATGAGCGCTTGACAAGGCAATGGCTGGACCAAAACGTCATGCACGACCTGACCGAAGGCGCTGGGGGGGCTAGAGGGCTCGGGAGAGGGAGTGCAAAGGACATTGTGTCGCGTGTCTTCCAAGAGGGTGGCGGGTTCCCGAAACAAGCCCTAGACACGTCACAAAACTTCAAGAACCAACACGAGCAGCCCAAGGCTCAGCTGGGCTTCGCGGAATATCACAAAAAGAACGCCATGGAGCGGTTACGGCACATGATTGACACCAGCGGAGAGGTCGAGCGTGTCATGACCGACGTGTTCCTGGAGTACCCAAATCGAGAATTTAACGACGACTCGTTCCTCTCGAAGCCGGACGCCGCATACGACTGGATGAACTTTCTCGACACCTGCTCTTCACGCACGTTTGGAAGTCAGGAGTGGGAGTTGGCTCCGTACCTGAGCCAGCCGATCCTGGCCTGCCACAGCTTGTTCGCCTCGTCCAAGCGACACCAAGTCACCAAAGGCTACGACAAGAAATGGGGTGCCACGGAGGAGGACGGCGAACCACCGGTACCGTTCTCGGGCCCCAGAGCCGACTATGCTGCCTTTGAAGCGCAGAAGCAGAACAAGGCCATGCTCCAGGCCATTCAGGCGCAGCTTACGCCCACGCTGGGGCGGTCGTTCCGAAGTGCTGAGGATATATCGACAGAGTTCATGCCGTATCTAGTCCGGATGGTGTCGCCGGACGTCAAGCCTGTCGTTATTGGCGGCAGCGGCATCAGTACAGCCAGCGTACGGAAAGAGACGGAGAAGATCATGGTTAAGCGGGCGGCGGAGATCATGGCGGAGGTTGGGATCGAGATGCAGAAGGGCAAGATCGAGACCGATTCGCTGGTGAATAGGGGGCCGCAATGGGTGTACCGCATGGAACCGTAAGTTGTTTCTCTTCCTGCCATTGCGTACAGGTGTGGAATCCCGCTAACAAAATCAAATAGTGACCTCGATGCCCTTGCGGTATACGAGACAGCAGGGAACCTAGTACTCTCCAGCCAAGCACCAACCCGATACGCCGTCCGACAAGTTCTTGACCAGGAACTGCAAAAGACCATTATCCTACGCGAAGCCGCGGCCCGCCAGGCGCGCTTCAAGATCGGCGGTCCGCTAGGTGGAGCAGAGGATACCCTTACGCAGCAGCAACAACAGGCGGATAAGGAGAACATCATCAAGGAGCAGGAGAGGATCCTCGCGTCTAGCGTGAAGAAGGACTTTTTCGGGCGCGTGATTCCTGCGCGGCCGCTGGGCGAGGTGGACGGTAATGCCAAGAGGAAGAAGGGGCATGACCACGAGGGTGGGAAGAGTGATAATAAGGTCTGGGTTACGTACCATGAGGGATTGAATAATGCTGTGAGGAAGCCGATTTCGTTGCTGGAGTTTATGAAGGGGTTGTAGGTGGCGGCAACGGCGGCGTTGTCTTTTTGGAGTAGATGTGGGATTGGGATGGATATAATTGAGTCCGATTCCTCTTACATGCAAGTTTTGGTTGTTTACGTGACGTTTGTTGGGAGTCTATCGCGCGTTTGAATCCCCTAGGGCTTCGTACTTCTACCGGGCATCGTCGTGTTCGATGTTTCTATCGTCTCCAGTATGCGTCGAGGTCAGGTTCTAAAGTCATGTATGCGATGCTCGGTATCTTTGACACCTCTAAGTTTGAGTAGAAATACGGAGCCATTGGTGATGAGCTTCATCGCACCTTTGTGAAGTCTTCATTCGGTGCTGATATCACAAGAGTCCAAACAAGTGAAGGAAAAGCTCATGTATCCGTAAGATATCTTTGCTGCTCGGGCTGGTGTACAAGACTTCGAGGATAGGCTCCAGTCAAATCGAACAATCTATACATCGTAAGGTAGTAGCTGCCAGGCAGGTACGGCCAAAAGCTAAGAGTATTCCGGTCCTGCCCACCTTGGTGCATCGGTATGTATATACCTAAGGTATATCTATATGCCCCCTCAACCCCATTCCTGTCACCAGCCAGGAGGCGCCCGTCTAGGTCGACGGGTCGGGTCAAACTGGCTGGATGGTGGAGTGGTTTATGGTCAATAATTAAAATCGCCAACCAGCCTACTTGACGACAGGCTTAGCGCATACGAGAGTACCCGAGTTCGAATCCCAGCATGAGCACCAAGAGATGTAGCTCCCACCGGGGGGTGAACTCTTTTTTTTTTTTCTTTTTTTACTTTGATATATCTATCTTAGCGAGCCGCGGCGCAGACTGTGGTTTCCTTCTCAGCACTTGTGAATCTGGGTCAATGCGAGAGCAACTAGTTGGAATAATCCGTCAGTCAAGATGACCGACTACATGATTATCATTACTACCAAAGTTGAATCGGTCATGAAGTTCAATCAATCATAATCTCTCCGCCATCCTGTTCTGCGGCCCGCTTCACTTGATTCTCAATCCTCAATCTCAACGATACAGCCCCTTAAACAGGCGGCCACTCCGGCCTACCCAAAGGACACAGGTCCGGTCCACCCTTGGCAGCCTTGATAATATCCGCAGCCTTTTCGGCAACGGCATACACAGCAGCCTGTATATGCGCCCCAGGAACCAGCGGCATGATACCCGCGTCGACGATGCGGAGGTTACACGTCCCATACACCATCAGCTCCGCGTCCACGACCCCGCCCAACTCCAGCGGCATCATGCTCGTCGTGCCGCTGGGATGATACTCTGTGCCGACAAGCGGCTTCAGCGCCGCCATGAGCTCCGTCTCGTCCGTCGAGTTGAGGCGTGGATCGCCGTCGACGACGGGCTGCAGGGGCGTCATTGCCTCCGTGCGCATTAGCTGCTGGACGAGTTGCAGGCCGAGACGGATGATTTTGCAGTCGAGCGGGTCGGCGCAGTACCGTGGGTCCACCAGAGGTCCGTCAAAGATTGAGGCGGAACGGGGGCGGACGGTGCCGCGGGATAGGGGCTTTTGGTTGGCGATGGACATTTGGCCCCAGGAGGCGGCGAGGAGCTCGTAGGCGCCGACGTCCGGGCGGGCTAGGTGGGCGAGTACGAGGCGCTTTTGGCGGGTGTAGCCGGATTGGACTGTTGGTGGGGTGTCGAGGGGAAGGAAGGTGAAGGAGGATTGGTTTGTTGAGTGTTGGAGGAGGGGTTTCCATTCGGAGGTGTGGTATTGGAGACTTGGGAAGGCGACTGTGTTGATGAGGGGGGCGGTCAGAGGGCCTGAGAATGTGTTAGTTGTAGTTGTGGAATATGGGGGTATTGGCGTACCAGTGTGATTTGTGATAAAGGTGTCGAGCGCGCTGTCGAAGGCGGCGCCGGTCAGGTCACGAGAAGTGAATATGGACGAGTTAGAGTCTGTTGTTCGAGTCAGGTATATGGTGTCTTGGAAGGGGATGAAAGGAGTAACGAGGCAACTTACAATCAAACCCAAATTGGGCCATGGGATGATCCTGAAAGTTGTTTCCGACACCGGGCAGCTCGATCTGCACATAGATATTCAAAGACTCCAAGACTTTCCGAGGACCAATGCCCGAAATCTGGAGAAGCGTGGGCGACTGGATCGCTCCAGCAGCCAGGATGACTTCCCTTTTGGTGGTGATAGTTCTGTTGATGCCAAGGGGCTCAGATGAGAACTACACACATTTAGTAACTAGGTCCCCCTGAATTCGAGACCCTAGGAGAACGGCTGTTGACTTACATCGACTCCAATGATTCGACGGCGGGTTCCCTCCTTGGCCAGCGAGCCAGGTAAGCCCACAATGAGACGCGTTACGGTCTGTCCGGTAACAACGTGCAGGTTTGAACGCGAGATAGCCGGGTCGAAGTAGCCTGTTCTCGCATCGGAGCGGGTCTGATTAGTGGGAGACATGCTGGACGGGACCATCATGGCTCCCGTCGGGTCGCCCGTGTTAAGGTCGCCCGAGAGATGTATGCCCATCTCTGACAGTCCGTGAATGACATGATCTACATAAAGTCAGAAAGTGGAAGCGGAAAGCTTTGCGAGGGAATACGTACCCGAGGAATTGTAGAAGTAATCAGGGTAGGCGACGTTGATGGGTCCTTCTGTGCCGTGAACCGACATATCTGGGTGGATGTTGAGGCGGTCCTGGATTTTTTGATCAACATTCGTAGTATACGTTTCAACCTGTAAGTTCCGTCAGCTTGGGCTTTTCCCAGCCGTTCACTGTCATTTCAATGTAAAGAATATCAAACTCACCTTCTTGAAGTAGGGAAGAAGGCCGTTCCAACCCCATCCTCGATTTCCCAACTCCTCCCAAGAATCAAAGTCCGCGGCCGAGCCTCTTGTCCAACACATGCCATTTGTGACGGAACCGCCTCCAATGACTCTGCCCTGGCTGATCCCACGCGTCTTGCCATCGAGGTACTTCTGAGGAGCCGTCGTGACGCTTTTGCCGTACGGCGAGGGCGGTGTGAGACCGATGTAGCCGGGCGCGATGACTCTGCTCTCACGGTTGTCGAGCTCGCCAGACTCGATCACGAGGACAGTCGCTGATATGTGATCAGCGATGTCGAACTGCGTGCGGATGATGAGGAAGAAAGACTCACTGTTGGTATCCTCGCTCAGGCGGTTAGCGACGACCAGCCCCGAAAGGCCACCGCCGACGACGACGTAGTCATACTCATCGAGGAGGAACTTGTCGATGGTCTCGTCGGTGATTTGTAGGGCGCTCGAAATGGGAAGCAGCACCCAGGATAAGAATACGAGCAACGCCAAAGTCGAATTCATCTTGGTTGAAGTCGAGAGGCGTTCCTCGGAATATTAAGAATAAAGTTGTTGTCGTCAGGGCTCAAAAACAAATGCCCTTCCAAGGTGTATGAACACTGAAAAAGAAGATGATGAAGTAGAAATTATTGACACTGATTCAGCGAAAAAGGTAAAGAGCTTTCTGATGAACGAGAGTGAGAAAGAGCTCTCCCAAGTGAACGTCTGGTTCTAACGAATGGACGCAAGGCTTAGTCGCCCGGCCTTGACGATGTACACTGACAATGGGAAAAGAGTGAAAGGAAGGAGTCACTGAGGACTCACCAGCGCATGACTGGGCACGAAAAGACTCGACTCTGTCAAGTATTATATCCATACCTCATTCCCAAAAAATCGTTTCTTCTGCCATTTTGATGAGGTTTCTCGAGTACTCCACGCAGATATCTGGAGCGCCTCAGTCCAGCAAGACAAAAAGTGGCATGAGATCGTATTGTAAGAGAAAGTTGCGGAGACCATCTCAACCCACGAGTTCATATTCTTGGCGTTCGCTTTATCCACAGCAATGTGTTCGAAAACACTAGAACGCACTGCAAATTGTTCTAGGCTGTACCCTGTAGCTCGCAAGTCCTTCTTCTTCGCACCACTTCAGAGCGAAGAGACTCATGGGAGACTGTTTTGCCGAGAGACTCAACTTTCTTATTCCAGGAACTGCCCCTCCCTCATCTGAAGTTGACTCAGCTCGCGCAAGTAAGCCGACGATCGTAGCAAGTCATCAACTTATACGGCGGGCAAACTATTAGGCAAACCGTCCCGATGGAGGTTTTAAGTGTGTCGAGGAAGTCTGATGTATCTGACTGATGTTTCCGCGGTGTCATGCGGAAGACTGTGACTGAAATGGCTTGCAGTCTCCAAATTCTTCGTCGATTCAAGCACAACAGTCGGGACTCGGGAAGCACAGTGGGTCGTTGTAAAAGCAAAAAGCGCCCCTCTAGTCTGGCCATCCCCTCGGGTGGTCTTATATCGATCTTCACGGAAGCCGGGGCCTGGCTTAGAGCTGAAAAAGATTGCTGCAGCACGGTCAGCTTGAAAATCAAGACAAGTTGGCGAAACTGCATGTCGAAATGATGAGCGAAGACAAACCTGTGAAAGGGAGTGTTGGCACTTATACACGTACTCCCCTCACGGCTTCAACGCTGGGACGATCCTTCTCTTCTCAATCAAAAAAAGATTGACTGGATGCCATTGTTAGGTCCATTAAATTCGAATCCGTAAGAGGTGTCTGGAAATTGTCACAACCGATGGTCCGAATGCGAGCTCCTGTCAAGGAACAAATGAAGAGGTTGACATCGGCCGTCGTATAAGCTTCTCGGTACCAGGCCGATCATTGTCGCAATGCGGAAATGTGGATCGTACTTTGCCTTGTCTGTAATCAGTAGGTCTTGTAGGAGTTCGAACTGCTTCCTGGAGGAAGTTTTGGAAATGTCAATCGAAAACTTGAAAGGAAACATGTGAGGAGGTTGATATGTGAGGAGGTTACACGGAAGGGGCAGCAGGACCCGTAGACGGCACGGACGGACAGTTCCTTCGCTATCAACCGAGGGACAGGTGGAGACCCACCTTTGGGCGTTTGGGCCAATCGCACGGCACATGAAGTAATGTCACCTCTCCTCCTTCCCATCGTCCTGTGACGCAAGAAATGTTTCCATCATTTCCACCTGGGATTGTCCCGTTCAAACTCGCAAGATGAATATTTTGAGACAAGCCTTCGCACGGAGACACGAGATCCTTTGCCAGAGTACGGCGGGCGCTCGCCGCTACCTCCACCTTGCGCCCCCGTTCCTCCTGGACGACTACACGCCCCGTTACATGGCCTTGTCCTCCATCGATGAATCCAAAAAGCGATCAAAGGCCTACGCCCATCTCTCCAAGTGCAATCTCTGTCCACGGCTCTGCGGTGTCAACCGTTTCGAGACGACTGGATTGTGTCTGATTGGCAATGATACCAACGTCAACGTGATTGCTCCGCACTTTGGTGAAGGTCTGGAGCAAACCTCTTTACCACATCCAACGTCTATCCCAGCTTCTCAGAGGCCATGCAGAAGGTTGACATACTGACCACGATCTAGAACCTTGCGTCCAGGGACACAATGGCAGTGGCGCTGTATTCTTCTCGGGTTGCAATCTGCGTTGCGTATTCTGCCAGAATCATGACATTGCACATCAGCGTAACGGCCAAGACTTGACGCCCGAGGAGCTGGGCGAATGGTACGTCAAGCTACAGCAAATTGGCCGCGTTCACAACATCAACCTAATCACCCCGGAACATGTCGTTCCTCAAGTTGTCCTCAGCATCCTGCATGCGAAGGAGCGCGGCTTGCGAGTGCCTATCATCTACAACACTTCCAGCTTTGATTCATTAGCTTCCTTGGAGCTACTTGACGGCCTGGTGGACATTTATCTACCTGATTTCAAGGTATGGGAGTCGGCGACATCCAAGCGGTTGCTCAAGGCAGACGACTATGCCGCCACGGCCCGCGAGAGCATAAAAGCAATGCAAAATCAGGTCGGTGACCTATGCTTTACCGGAGATGGCATCGCCAAGAGTGGCCTCCTAGTACGCCATCTTGTCATGCCCGGAAAGGAGCAAGAGGGACATCGGATAATGCAGTTCTTGGCAGAGGAAGTTTCCAGAGACTGTTTCGTCAACATTATGGAGCAGTACCACCCGGATGCGCACGTTGGCAAATCCAAAAGACGCAGCAAGAAGAGCATCGACCAGGACGACGAGGTCCGGTATAGCGAAATCAACCGAGCCGTATCGGGAGACGAGATATCCTCGGTCCGAAAGGCTGCGGAAGCGGCTGGTCTCTGGCGGTTCTGCGATCCTCCTCGGCACGAAGGCTTCAACATCTGAAAAGGAATCCCTTGCGTCGAAAGGAACGACGGTAGGTGCCCTTACGACAGGCTTGGAGGTTGCTCCTCAAAGGTGTGGGATGCCCCTGCACGGGTAGGACGGCCGCAGACGTATGGCGATCCAGACCTCTCTAGCAGGGGTGCTCGTCTGGATTATACCAACGGCACGACCGTTTTTTATGATGGCGGCAACGACTACGGCTATGTGAGTGACGTGGTTGTTTCGCTACCAATCGCATCAATGCTGGCATAGTGCCCTCTTTAATCGTTCGGTTCTCATATTAATGTTTAGATCCACAATTGCGTTTCAGTAGCTCTTAGGCCGTTCATTCGGCTCAGCTCTACGTCTGAGAACTATTGGGCTGACGAACCTACAGGTCAAATCGTCCATGATAATCTGCCAGCACAAGCAGATGGGTTTGTCTGTCATGCATACTTCAAGGGCAGGCCGTATCTACTGCGATCTCGGATATTGTTTGGAGGCACTGATCGCACCGAAGCTTCGACTACGCCACTTTGTTTGCTCTTGTCAAATGTCTCTTTCTCAGAAGTACCAGGCTAAATCGGGCTTTCTTTTGGCCACTGCATCTTTATTTCATCAAGTTTGATAAAGGCTCTCGGTCTCGCATATGGGGATGCCGCGGCGAGGGAGCCTCATACTTCTGCACCCTTCAAGCCGACCTTTGTCTCGAATTGGCCGTATTGGGACACAGTGGGAATCGACCCTAATTAGTGACAACCTATATCTGACCAGACAGAGCCAACGGTTCCTTCTCGAAAAGCAATCTTGTCGACACTAGTACAATTGTTTGTCACTGCTCCTCACTATGAATCAGTACGTCGAAGCTCCAGCTTTCGTTCCTTCCAAGATCAATATTCAAGATTCTATAACATCGTCCGATGACTCGGCCTCGACCAACGCTACAAGCCTACCGGACCGCAGAGGGCCAGGAATGCTTTATACACCAGCAGTACCATCACCACTCCGGCCTGCCTTGAGGCTAGGATGCCCGGATCCGAGAGCCAACATCAACACGCCCACCAATTTAAAATCAGCGTGGTCAGCTTTGACATCACCGAACTCTTTCGAGCAGCTATACACGGAAAAAGCTTACCTGACGGCTTCCTTGAGCAAACAGGACGAACGCGAGATCGAGCTCATGCGAAAGCTGTCGACCCTTCAGGAGAATGTTGACAGCGGCCTGCCGTCTGACGAGCGTCGCAAGGCACGAAAGAAGATAGCTTTGCTCAAGAGCAAGATTTCCGACGCCACGGCACAAAAGAAGGCCATTCTCCTGCGGCTCGGCGATATCTACGTGGAGCTCCAGAGCCGCGAGACGTGGATCCAGATACAGAACGAACTCTACGAGCGAAGATGCGCGTGGTGGGCCGTCAACTCACCCAGTGCTGCCGCTTACGCTACGACTCCCTCCGATGTGATATCGATGATACCGACGCCGCTTGATGCTGCCTCCCCAGTCTTCTTTCCCGCAGGTTGCCATCCGGTCTACAACACGTGGGACGTGGCAGCGCCCCGGTTTGAAGAGCATGGATATGAGGTATACGATACAGTGTCAGCTGAACCGTGGACCAAATATAATCAGTATTCTGATGATGTTCTCGTGGAGGACTTGGGAAATCATGGCTTACAATTTGTGTACGAAGGGAGGGCGGAAGAACCGCGGCAGGACGTCAACGACGTCCAAGACAATGAACCAAGCAGAGAGGTTCCACTTCTGACATCGGGTAGAAGAAGGAATAGTCTTCCATCGATGAAAAGCCTCTGGCCAGGGGTTTAGGGGTGGAGTAGACCAGGCGAAGAAGCAAACGAGCCAGTATCGTAGGTACATCAGGACTAAGTATGGCTGTAAGGCAGACAGGCGCATATAGACGAGCCCAGCATGTGCGTGCTCTTTTCGTTTCCACGTCTCATTCATGGTATTGGTAGACATATGGTATTCGCAGCAAAGCAGGGTAGGGAATCTCTTTTACTATAATCATCAGAAAAAAAAAAGGGCCGCCCCCGAACTCCTCAACGCGTTTCTTTTTGGACTTTTTGTTTATTCCTGCCCGGCCGTGAATACACCACAACCACCACCCATCCATCCCAGGCCCACTGATTCACCGCCCGCTGCCGCTGCCTCCATACCTTTCTTTATAGTAAACAAAATTGTTTGATATTGTCACCAAATATCATGCCGTGGCGGGGGATGTCAGCAGGTTCTGAATAGCCCCGCTCCCATAGGTCCTAGGTTCGAATCCTGTAAAAATCCCTTGGGGCTAATAAAAGTCTCCTCGGATCTTTCGTAGGCTCCCTGTCATAGGGAGCTGAGCTTTTTGGTTTGCTTTTTTCCTCATAGCCAAAACCGCGAGACGAACGAAAACTACCTTCCTTATTTTGTTATAGCAGCCAGCCAGCCAGCCAGCCGTCCGTCCAGCTCGTGAAAGACACTTCCGCGGCGGCCCCTTACGCAAACTCGCCAAACTGGCCGTCGTCAAACCCCAGATCCTGCGCGGATTTCCTGTTCTCCCTCTTCTTGTCCCGGATATTAGCAGCACTCGGCGGCGGCGGCAATCCGAAGCTACCAGCACCACCACCGCTCTTGGGCGCGCTCGGCGGCGGCGGCAGAGAGAACCCCTGCAACCCTCCCCCTCCTCCGCCGGGGATCTCGGACCCGGATTCGGTCCTCGACCGACGCCCAATCTTTGACCCGCCAAAGTTGATGGTGATGGTCTCGCCCTCCTTGAGACTGTAATCCTTATTCTTCTCCTCCTCAGCGCGCTTGCTATTCTCCGCCGCCTGCTTGGCGTGGCTAGCGTCCAGCAGACCAAGACTCTTCTGCGCCTCCTGCAGCGCAACACCAAAATCAAACGCCTCACTACGCTCCTCAAAGCCGACGCCCAACACCGCCTTGCGACCCTGTCCGTCCATGACGCGCACCGCGAAGAAGCGCGAGGAATCGAGCACGGGTTCGACGGCGTTGATGGAGGTGTAGGGCGCCGCGGCGAAGAGCTGGCCGTTGGACGGGTCCTCGAGGACGATGTCGACCTTGATGTGATTCTCTTTCGAGGTTATGCCCGCGGGCGCTCCCGGGGCAACGGGGACGACGGCGGAGCCTACGCCTACGGGTGTCGGGAGGGCGGCGGCGGTGGTTTCCCAGGCTGTTTCGAGGACGCGGAGGCGCGCGGTGAAGATTTGGCGGTCGGTCCAGCCGGCGGCGGTGTAGCCCTTGTTCGAGGTGAGGGGGGGAATGTTGTAGACGTGGGCGCCGGAGGCGATGAAGAGGATGCGTTGGATTGCGTCGGCGGGGAGGGGGGTGCCTGTTGTGGGATCGAGTTGTTCCATTGTGTTCTTTTGTGTGTCTGAACTACCGTGATGGTGTTGTAGATGTGGTGGTTGTGGTAGGAGGAGGGAAGGATATAGCTTCGACTGCTATCAAGGAGGGGTAAGAGGGTGTGCTTGGGAGCTTCTACGAGTGTCTGGATCGTGTAGATGTGGAAGCTTCATGATGGAGAAATGGAAGACAAAGAAAGAACGGGGTTGAACAGCTTGCCTTGTATTCTAATTCAGGGGAGGGGGGTGGGAAGGGGAGATGAAGGCTTACAAGGACGGGAGCTTGATTAGCTGGGCATTGGGTGGTGTCAGTGTTTCGGGAGTGGAGGGGACCCCGCTGTCGGTAGTGGGATGCTTTCAGGGTGACGATGCTCCGTACAGGGCGATGAGACCGCTATTTCTGTGGTGTTGTAAGGACCCTTGACCGACGGGGGGCCTGGACGGAGGTGTGCACCTTGCGTACGGGATCGGAGGGCAACCTGGAAGGATACGGAGCAGATAGGTGGGTACTTACTCTTTACATTGAAATGACGTGGGAGGCCAGGTAGTCACGTATCGGAGCTTCCGGTGGTCAAAGGAGAGCCCCTCCAGACTGGAGCAAAACTACCCCGCCAAATCAGAGCCATCAATCCCTGGGACTGGGCGCAACGGCAAGCTCCATTCGGTCACTCGTGGCCCGTGGGAATTGAGTCACTGCCTCTTGCCCAAAATTTCCTGGAGCTTCAACACCACACACCCCGCCATCGCGACTTTCTACTCGACGTCCCACCACGAACATCGCGCCGATTCTACTCCGACCACACCAGCGATATTTGTAGACCTTTTTCAACACCGCTCTCGGCGTCACTGACGACACCAAGACCAGCGCACGAGTTGCATGCTGCGCAGGGCCTTGCCCATCTTCCGAATCGAATCCTTCTTCTCAGACCTCATCATGGCTACCGGCGACCTGACACGTACGCTGCCCCCCCTACCTGCAATCAAGCATGTCACTTGCAACGAAATGAATACTCACAACCTGTTCTTACAGCAGCTGGCGACAGCCAAAAACCCCAGGCTTCCACCGATTTCCCCATCCGCGTTAAGACCAACGATGCCATCGAGTACAACACCACTCACTCTCAACGTCTAAGCCAAAACTAACCTCCCCTCCCCTCCAGCATCGTCTCAACATACCACTCCCTCCTCGAGGACCCAGACTTGACGAAACCCGTCGCCGCCATCGAGGCCCTCATCTCCCTCCTCAACGCCTCAGGCACAACCACCGTCTTCGAAACCCTCGACCTCGTCAAGCGCGCCTCAAACACCCTCCACGCCTCCGTCAACAACCCCGTCCCGCTCCAGGCCGGCACCGACCTCTTCCTGCAGTACCTCGTCTCCTCGCTTAAGCAGCAAGAAGGCGCAAACGCATCCGCCTCCGCCGCCGCCGCCCCTCCCCCTACCAGTCCTTCGAAGCCGTCCGCACCCACCTCCTCCGCAACGGCCGCCTCTTCGCCTCCCGCGCCATCGCCGCCCGCGACCGCATCGCCGACGCCGGCTGGCGCTTCGTCCGCGACGGCAAGGTCGTCCTCACCCACGGCGCCTCCCGCGCCGTCTCCAACCTGCTTTTCCGCGCTGCAGACCAGTCAGGCGACGGTGGCGTTCGCTTCAAGGTCGTCTACGTCCGCGACGAGCACCGCCCTGCCGAGTCAGACCGCGTCGTCAAGGAGCTCCGAGACAAGGGCATTCCCGTCGCTGAGATTGCCGAGCCCGCCGTCGCTCACGTCCTCGGCCTGCTGAGGCAGGTCCACATGGTCTTTGTGGGCGCCGAGGCTGTCACGCAGAACGGCGGCATCATCTCGCGGATGGGCACCTACCAGATCGCCAAGCTGGCAAAGCAGGCCAGTCTGCCCTTTTACGTCGCCGCCGAGTCTCACAAGTTTGTGCGCAAGGTGCCCCTGGACCAGCGGGATCTCGGTTTCCAGCAGCATGTGTTGGACTTCCGGACGGATGGTGCCAGCGAGCAGCCCGAGGATGCCGTGGACTACACTGTGAGTTTTGCACCGCAATCACGCTTTCTTTGTTGGAGTACCCTTGGTTGCTAACAAAAATGCCACAGCCCCCTGACTTCATCTCCAACCTCGTGACAGAGAACGGCGTCAAACTGCCCAGTTATGTGTTTGAGCAGCTTCTCGACATCTACGGCAGCTTGAACGGTTGATCTCACTGCCAAACAAACATATACCCGCCTCGGACTTAAGATTCCAAAACATGGAGGCCTCGGCCTAGCGATGACAGAAATTTGGGCGGGAGAATCCCTCCGCGTTGCGGTGGATGCCAACGAGGCCGGCCGGCCGCGGATGTACCGGGGCCGTGTAGTGGAGACCAAAATCCGGCCTCTGACATATAGAGCGGTCGGCGTTTCCGGGACCTGGGATGCAGACACGCAGAGCAAGGCAAGCGGGTCATAGCCGCATGGGTCAAAGTGCTTTGCAAAAGTAGTAGCCGTGAGTTAGGCACCTGTAAGGTACCTTTCACTTAAACAGGTCACAGGTTAGGTTATGCGGGCGCCCTTTCGGGGAAACTGTCCTAGTGATGACGGGGAGAGACAGGTCGGCAAGAAATGCCTGTTCTAGAACTCAACATAAGCAAGTTAGTCGAGTAAGACGGAGTCCAAACAAAAAAAAAAGTTGAAGTTCCCAAGCATTACACGCTTCCAGTCTGGACTTCTCGCCGAATCACTCGTTCATGTATACGAGAATATGCAACCGAAAAGTCCTGCAAGGCGAAAACTCGTACAGTATATACCTAGTACATACCTACATAGTGCAGGCGGTGACAGGAACACGTCACGATGAGGCGGGCAAGGTGGCCGTCCCCCCTCCCTCCTCACGAATCTTTCCCTGCACTCGTAATTTGTTCGTGATACCCCACAATACAACAAAAGACGGGAAGGTCCAAGAAGGACGAACCCGAACGAAGGAGACCCCCACGGCCTCTTGACGTCACTGCCACAATGTGGAAACTGTTCACGCGCGCAGTATGACCTGCATACGCCCGACCAAGGGGTTTGCAGCAACTTTTTTTTCTGACCCGAGGGTTGGAAAAGGCGGGGATGGATGGATGGATGTCCGGCAACTGGTTTTTGTTCCCGGAAAGGTACGTAACTTATGAAGTAGGTAGGTAGGTAGGTAGGTAGTTGCCCGGGAACCGAGGATGTGGTATCACGGAACGGGTGAATCTTGGTTCGTTCAGTATTGGCAGAGATCTTCAACTAGAAGGGGTTTAGCGAATGTGAATCTTGATTGATGATTTCCCGCTCAAGTCGGCGGAAGTCGCCTGGTTTGGCGAAAGTAGTAGTACAGTAAAACGTTCCTCAATGCCAAATTTCCCAATTTCAGATCAAATGAACAATAGCCAAGCCCAATCATGAACCCAAAGTAGGAAGAAACACGATACACCAAGATAGGAAGCCCATGTGAATGCCCCTTGGTTCCTTTTCGTTTCCCCCCAATGATGCTCCCAGCAAGTCAAATGAAACAAAATGCTCAAGCTTGTGGAGTGAAGTGCCAAGGGAATGATGCGAACAAAGTTGAGTTATTCGCGTGGCAAAAGCAGGTGTTGGACAGAGAGCTTTGGCCAGAAGGGAAGTGATTAAGAGAGGTAATGCTACAAGTTTCAGATGAAAGCCAGTGGAAAGAAATGAAAACAACTGCTTAGTTAAGGTCCCTGACGAGTCTTGCGCCGCACCAGGCAAAGGGGTAGTTTCGTTGATACCAGTTGACGCTGCGAAACGTCAGTAGGGTATTACTCGTCGTTGACATCTCAATAGTGAACTCACAATGATCTTCGGCCGGCGATGCGGGGATGCGTTGACCACGATCCTCCAAGCACGATGTTGTGCTTACCATCGAAGAAGTCGGCTACAGCATATTGTTAGCAAGACTGTCAGTCTCAGGAAGTCCAAGTGTATTCTTACCCGTGTACTGAGGGTACAGAGGCATGGGCTCGAACCCTTCGTGGCGAGCAAGGGGCGTGCTGGTCCACTCCCAGATGCCTCCGAGCTCACCTTGTCCCGCGAGGCGACCGCCGTCGGCCGTCACGGGAACCGGGTGCCAATGCTGCAAGCCGACATTGGCACCATCGAGGTCCGCAAAAAGCTCTGATCGAGCCTTCGCGGCCTCAAGTGACTTCCTCTTTGGTGGTGTCTCTTCGACTCCGTCATTCGACAGGTGTCTATGGACATTAGCTTATCAGGTCATGATACTTCGCTGAATTGTCAACGTACCCGTTGACTGCTGGGACCGTCCTGCCCAGCGTTCGCTCAGCCTCCATCTTCTTAGAGTTATGAACGTAAGTATAGATGCTTCGAGCCTCTTCAAACGTCGGGATTCGGCCTCCCATCCATGCTGCGCAACCAGAGAGTTCATCAAAAGATGCAAAGATTGGCCAGTCCAGAGCATATTTCAGCGGGACCAAGCCGTAAACTGTGCGGACTGCAATGCCGTCAAGGAACGAGTCGGGGATAAGCCTGTCCCCGTTCTGGTGCCCGTTCATGCGTCCATTCGCAGTGCCATTGACATGTCCGTTTGTGTGATTTTTGACGTGCCCGTTGACTCCATTAACGTGGCCGTTTGTATTTCCGTTGGCAAGATACGTTTGTCCATTAGCGTCAACAGTCGTGTCAGAATCGGACTCTGCGGCTTGAACATCGGCCCAAGATGCAGGGACCTTTTTGATGTGATTTTCAAACATGTATTGCGCATACTTTTCAAAAGTCAGCCCTGCTCGGGTCTTGCAGAATCACTCATCACTCACCTCCTCATTTGTGATTGGTCGTCCTTGCGCCTGGAATGCATGAACGTCGGCCTTCCTTGCAGGCCTCTCGTTGTCCCTATCGCAACGTAAGTCGTGAATCCTCAATCCTTAGAAGAATCGTCTCTTACCAGCCAAAGTATCCATTGACGCCAGCGTCAAGATCAGGCTCGTCCATGCCAAGAATAATGGACTGAGCAGGTACATCGTGCCACTGGTTAGGTACCCGGGACTGGCGAGCTTTGTTGGCCAAGCGCTTGAAGTCCGGACGTAGTACATGAGGGGGAGGAATAGTCTTGTCGCTCTGGAGCATCATGTAAAGAAGCGTCTCCATGTGCATGATCTCGTGCTCGAATCCCACCCAGATCCCTTGAGCAACAGCTCTGGGAATTTGATCGATCCCGCCCCGGTACTGGTCAAGAAGCCTTGACCGTACGCGCTGCTGATACTGGAGAATCTCTCCCACCGCGGGCCACTCATCAGGGATCTCGGAATGAGAATGGCATTGCTCCGGGTTGTCAACATCAGGGTCGATGCCCCGCTCGAACATTGGCTGAAAGTGTGCTGGCTCAGTTGGAGGCGTCTTCGTAGTCTTACACAACTGGATGTCTAGAAAGCCCGGGATATGTCCCAGATAGAAGATGCAGGCATTGCGAAGCTTGATTGGCTGGTCCAGCAACTCCTCTTTCGGAAGCATTTGCTGTGTAACAGCATCCCATGCTGCCCACAGCGCCTCCCAATCGTCCAGAGTAGGACAGGGCGAAGAAGCATAAAGTTCGGGTAGAAGACTGAAAGGCATTTTTCTCTTTGAAATCATGTGGATTCCTACGATCAAGTCAGCTCCGGAATGAAGATTGGGCCATCATGGTGTAAGTGGTTTTCGCTTCGAAATATAAATAATTGGACCTCAGTCAGATGATCGCATTGGAACCAGTGAGATCCGTTATCTTACAATCCGGAGACTGCACAGTGCCTCTTTGGGCAATTGGATCCACGTAGCCAGCCAAACGTGGGGGAGGCTCATGGGGTGCAGAATCGTTTTCGTGAAGGGTGGCCACCACCGGCCCTGATCACTCGGGGTCATATGCAAGGGAAAAGATTTCACCTACCATGCTCGGTTCCTTTTGTCCAGCAGTTCGTTTCGACCAAGCCTGCCATGTTCCACAAATTCTCGGCTCCCAGTTGAGAGTATTTCAGGCTCTGCTCGACTTGGATGCGCTCGTGTTGCCTTACAAGTGCTCCCAAAACGTATGTGTCTCGAACAGGCGAATAGAAAGCTTGGTGACGTCCTCCTTCGTCATCATACACATACTCGCCGATGACCTCCCAGTCTTTGAGCTTGAAGGCCTCTTCTCCCAAGATCTCATTGGCATTGGCGAGTCCGTTGAGAATGAACCTACAGATGTCAGTAAAAGTGGATGATATAATGGTACATGTCACCTACGCATGAGTTACTCCTTTCTGGTCTTGGGGTTCTAAGTGTTAGTAGATGAAATTGGTGAATAGGACGGGACAGAGAAATTACCGTTGTAACCATGGCTGTGACTGGTGTTAGCAAGCTGCAGACCTGAGAGATGAATAGAAACTTACTAGACCTTGGAAGGGTCGCAGCATCCGTCCAGCCCAATCAACAACTTGTCCGACTGCGTCAGGACGTCGCTGAAGTGCTTGAGGAAACCGGCCGCATCATCGCGCTCGAAATTGCCTAGACAAATAGTCAGCAACATGCCTGGAGCTGAACGTCGAAGATCGCGGTTCTCCAACCTATGCTTGAACCCAAGCTCAAGATGCACTTGGTGCGCGCCAGATTAGACGGCTGCTTCAACCATTCCCGGCCATCGTCATAGGTCCCTAAAAGACCATGACATTTGACGTGATGAAAATCGGGAACTTGAGCAAGCGTGCGTTCCAATTCCTCTCGGGAGAGGTCGAGTGCGTAGTAGTCGATGTTCTTGCCGGCGTCCTCAAAAGCCTGCAGCAATAAACAAACTTTGCGAAGGTTGCTTCAAGAAAAGGTCAGAATCATCTCAGGCGAGTCATCATTCAGCAGGTGATCACTGACCCACTTCCCAACTCAATGACCATAGACTCTGATGAGATGTTCTGAGCGATGTCTTTTGAGTTTTTCTCAAGAACCTCGATTTCGTTGTTGGTCAGGTAGTACTCCTCCAGATATGTGATCTAGGGTAATTGTTAACGTTGATCACGCAAGATGTGGCTGAGCTGAGGAGCACTCGATCAGCACTTACATCCTCGAACAATTGCAGGCCCCGTTCATTGTAGAGAAGCAGGGTCGGCAGCCTCCGGGGTCCGTTTGTAGGGTTCCACATGGAAATGATGTCGTCCTTCAAGTTTGTTTCAACCGCAACGCGTCGAATATCGATGATGTCAAGGCCATGATTGCCCACTGGTTGTACTGCCTGCTGTTTAGTCGCCTTGATACTGGCGTGAGAAACGCTGTCCTGAGAGACAGCAAGAGAACCCATCGTGACAAGTGACTGGGTTTATGGAGAGACAGTGGCTTGAGTGTTGAATACAGGCCGAGTACAAGAAAGAGGAACAAAGGTCAAGGTTATATGAAGAATGTTGAAAGTAGCATGTGCAAGACAACATGTGCTTTCGAGACGAGAAGAACGGACGAGTACCGTTACCTTATAGGGGCCACAGCAAAGCTACCTGGGTCCTCCCAGACCGGCGGAGGCGCCGGCAAGCATACGACGGTACACGTTGGTGTTGCCATGCTAGCAATAGGGCAGGTTCGAGACGTGTACCAAGTGTCGAGTGTGGATTGTCAGACGTACAATTGGTGACTCGGCGGGCCATGGTTTGCCATTCTGGTCTACAGTGCAGCTACTTGACGGAGCTGAGAAGTATTTTGGGGATGTTGGCAGCCAGCGTGAGCATGTGTACGATCGGGGTACTGAGCGCCAGAGATGGGATCAGGTGAGACGGCAACCCATTGAACACTGCGTTCGGAAGTACACTAAAGGTAGTCCGGTTCCGTGGACCTTGTACCAGTCAGTGCAATTCCCCTGGTCATAACGTGCAGATAGAGGAGGAGCGTGACAGCTTCATCCTTGACAGAGAGTGGGAGAGGTTTGCAGTTGAGCAAATCAGCGGCCGTCATCTGAAGCGTATCCCACGCCCCACCGAGGGGGCAGCCACGCTACTATTGCTGGAGCTCGACGCGGATCACCGGATTCGACATAGTTGTGGTACCTGGAATGTTGGAAGCGGCCGTTGTTGCGCCCTACCGCGCGGGAAAAGGTAAGCTTCAAGAGACCTTTATTTGGCAGTTATTGCCTTGTCGAAAGACATCTGGCGAAAAAGAAAGTTGTGCGGCATCTTGGCGAGGCTCGAAACCGCAGCTATCAGGTGTGTCGAGAAGGTTACTTTGCATACTCGATACAAACTTCCCCGCGGCTAAGCCCATCCTCGCGGCTTCCAGAACGAGCCCCCGAGAGAGCCTGCAGAGCTTTTCGGGAGTTTCCAACAAACCAATCGCGCAGCATCTAACATAGCCAGGCCAGCTCTCTATCGTGGTTTTGAGGCTCCTTGAGAAAATCAGAATTCGAGGAAATTCGGCGCTAGGAGAGCAGTAGCGAAGCTGACTGCAGAAACTAGGATATCTGCCAGCTTAGTTGCAACTCAAGAGTTGCCAAAGCTCTTCGAAGCTCTTCCGAAGCTCTTGGAAAGTTCTCCATCGGCTGGCGACGTCGCCTACACTAACGTGACTAACTACCACGAGTGGGTGTCACGGTGTGAACCGGTGTCCAAGGTGCCACCAAAGACGAGGAGCGCCTGTTGGCCTGGGCTTCCAGATCGGCACAAAGGCTGCAACCCCGGCCCAGGTTAGCTGCAAACCTCCCTGAAAGCTGTGGGGGTGAGACCGTGAGACCAAGGAGAGGGGAGGGGCCACAAGAGGTTCCGACGCTTACACGACACGTCTTGGTGAGCCTCAGCCCACCCAGATGACCAATCCTACCGACAACAACGGGTCATACTACGTGTGGGTGAGGATATGTCGACGTCATGCTTCCTCTGGCGGGACATGGCAGCAAAAGTCCTGGCTCTCGGCTAACTTTCTCATAGTACTTTTGAACTACGTAGTATTGATGCTGTACCTGGCACCCAAAGAACAGCCAAAGATTCCACACGAGGGCGGGGTAAATCAGGTACCGTTCCAATTGAGTTACCCAAAGGGCGTGCCGATCAACTGTCCCCGTTGCAAAGCGCAGTTTATGACAATGCCATACTGCAAGGCAAAAGTCAAGGCGACGAAAGGGAAGCTCGACAGCAAAGCGCGATTTATGCATTACATGATTTCCGTCCACGAGTGCGGGGAAGCTGTTGCGTGTCGGTGTTACCTCCGTGCAGTTTCTCTTCGTGTCTGCCAACCCCAGTAGGTTTTGTAGTCCGAAACAGCCCACGGAGGATTTTGTCGCATTGCCGTATTTTCCGATGGATGCTGACAATGTTGGGCATGGGATCATCGTCGGAGGTAATGGGGATCGTATATGGCCGAGCATTCTTGCGCCAATATGCATCCGTACAAGGCCCCTTGGCCGGCGTGGTCAAGACAATCCGGCCCGGTGCCGGTGTCCTCCGTGGGGGGGGGGGGGGGGGGGGTAGGGTAGGGTCAGACACCTTCGGTGAAGCTCGGTCAAGTATGGGTAGAGCGAGATGGGCAAGCATCGACATCTGTCTTTGTTTGACAGCCAGATTGACGCTGCTCGGCAATCTCGAGTTCGGGCGAACCAGCTGGATCACTTGTTCCTTGCATAAGGCCACAGACGGGAAAGTTCCCGTGACATTGGTGCTGGGGGGACGTCCCAACGGCGAGGCGCAGCTCGATCTCCCCCAGACTGATAAGCTTATCTATCAGTTGTCTCTGAAGATCGCTCGGCCGGTTCGAGCAGTGACAAGGTAGTCCAAGGTGGGCGCCGGGGCCAATCGAGGAGGTTCCTGAGTTCTCGGAGATAGATAAGGAACCGCGGCCCGCATCAGAAGACGCTCGTGGGGCCATGGGGACGGACGCCGTTCCGATGCCATCGCCATCTGCCCGTATGGTCATGGGTACACTGTCGTTCTCGTTCTCGCCATTGCGGAGAATGAATATCTAGAAACAACAAGGCTGAGTGAGCACTATACATTTGTCATGGACACAGCAGCACGAATGACTCACCTCTACAGTAGTAAGTGAATAAGGCGTTAGACGACGCCCTACTGGCCGATTGATAATCACAGGTGTGGTGAGGAGTCTGTAAGACTTCTGCAATCTGCATCCGAGCCGGACGGAGAAAGAGTACAACTTGGGCAGTACCAGGAGCCACATGTGGCGAAGGAATGACCAGTCAGCCCCGCCGCTTCCCGAGAAGTTGCCGGATGCACGATGGCCCTGCCTCATAGGAAAGTAGGACCGGCGTCGAGGGTAGGAACGTCCGTTGCGAAGGTGGAAGCAGCCATCGTCAAGTGTCTCTCGGGAGGAGTCATCTTCCACCCATCCAACCTTTCACAACGACAATGTAGAGGCGGCAATCGATGTGCTACTAGGTAGCATGGATCATCCAAATATATTGGCCTTGCTACTAGGAACCAATTCGACGTACGAACTCCATTCACGCTGCCTTCACGATTAATTCTTTCCCACCCAACCCAGCGGCTTCAGCAAATATGAATTACTCAGCTTTGGTCTCTTCGAAGTATGCTCCAAAATGGGATGTGTCTTTCAGGTATGCAAATTCCTCTCTTAATGGGTAGTGCTATCTAATGTGCAATAGGTATTACCAATACTCAAATACCCCCTTTTCAGCAAACAGCTGCCAAAACCAAGCCGCCATGAACGCCGCCCAATGCTATTTCATTAAAACACCACGAATATTCCTCGGCCCGGTTCCACTATGACGACTTGTTCGGCTTCCAAGCCTTGATCCACTTGCCAATTACCTCCACCTCTTGCGCAATGATCGCGGCATTGTCTTCGCCGTTGTTCAGAAGAAAGTCCGGGACATGGTTTGCTCCCTTAACTACAAAGGTAGCCGTCTGTTCGGTGGTCTTGACCGGTCCGCCGGGGCGGTAATCAGAGTTCATCGATGCCGACCTCCAACCGTCATGCTCGCCGTCGCAGAAGAGGACATTCTCGAACGTGGCGTTCCAACCACCAGTCCAGTCGTTGAACATGGCCGCGGTGAACCCTTCAGAGCTGGCTGGCTTGAATCCGAACGTCTGTGGGAAGCGGAGATCGCACTGGCGCTGGCGGTCGGCTGGCCGCACGTGCGATGACACGATATTGGTGCCGTCTGACTTGGGCGGGCCGACATGCCACCATCCGAAGGGCTCGTTGCAAAGTTGCCAAGTCCAGGCTCGATTGGTGCTGAGGTCATCGGGTTTGTTATATCCCACCGCCTTGCCGTACAAGTCGCATGCTTCCTCGCCCTCGCACACCTCGCTATACTGGCTGTGCATATACGATGTGTATCCCTTCCAAGCAGCCTTCAAGCCAACGCCCGACGTCTCGGTGCCCTTGATGACGTTACCGTTGTTCGTGCTCGTTTCGATATAGTCACAGAACTCGTACACCGCAGTCTCGTTGTGTGCCCACTCGATTATAGGCTGCAGCAGATACCACGCGAAGTCGGCATTGTCCTCAAGAGTCTCCAAGCCGAATTGTTCCTTCATCGCATCGATCTCCTTGGCGGAACCTTTCTCAAGCACGCTGTCTACTTGCTTGATGACAAGCTTGACATCGGCAGAGCAGGCTCTCGGCAGGGCCTGCTCAATGGGAGTGAAGAACTGCCAGAAATCATCAATAGCCTGGACGACGGCAGAGCTGGCATGATAGGCAGCAAATGTGCCCGGTGCAATGACAGATGTCCACGCGGAGAGGGCACCAGGATAACTGCCACCGATCAACACCCAAGGAGACTTGTCTGCGTTAGCGCCCTTCTTCTTGTCAAAAGGAAGCTCAACGGTCTCCGCAAAGTGGGTGTTGTCGTAGATGGCTTGCGGCACATTGAGATATTGCAAGGTGTCGGCTGTGAAAGTCTTGAAGGGAAGAGATTTTCCGTAGTATCGGTCTATAACAGTAAGTGTCAGTCTACACATAGTCTCGAGGGCTCTCAAATAGCTGACTTACGCTCCATCAGGACTATTGCGCCTTTGTGCGTCTCGGCATATAGGTATGTCAAAGTGCCGTTTTCCAGATAACCGGTCAGGCCCTCAGCATCACCTTCACCTCCATTCAACATGAATACCGTATATCCTGGGCCGCCCCAGTGCTCCGCATTGTACCAGTATCTTTGTTTGAATGTGCCCTTGGCCAAGTCGGTATGGTCGAGATACTGGTCAAACGTGCCGGCGTGGACTTGCGTTCCCGAATGCGCTCGAGGTTGTAGGCCGCCCATCTTAGGGAAGTGTGATAATTGCGGCGCTTTTAGTTGCGGAACCGAAATCGCAGCCATCACAGAGGATGCGAAGGCCACTGCGG